GCACCATCCGGAAGGGAGAGCATATACTCTCCGAGTTTCGTCTTCAGGGCGGAGAGGAGGGCTGACATGTCGGAAGAGACGAAGGAATTGAGCGGTAGGCAAGCGGCGATGAGGGACTTGGTCGCTGGAGAATCAACGATCGGCACGTGACTGTGGTCACCTGACAAAGCCACGAGCCACTGCGCGCGGCAGTAATTGCGATACGCGCCACCGCGCCTTGCCGACACGCTCTCACGCCACCGTCTAGTTGGGACACGCTAGGCTTTAGCCACTTCCTCACCTAATCAGTTGCCACGCCACAGGACTTTGCCGACTCAGCCCCGGTCTCTCTTGCGCGCCGACCCGGTTCTTTCTACGACATCTCTTTGCCGATTATTCACCTGTGCCACATCCCTCCCACGCACCCACTCCTTTCCACGCCACCGCTCATAGCCGATCTTTTTCCCACGAAACTTGCCACACCGCTCCATTTTCCACGCCACAGCTATTCTTTCCACGCTATCGCTTGTTACCAACTCTTTCCCACATCCACGCCACCACATTTTCTACACCATTTTTTTCCCGCTCCGACTCATAGCCGACGACCACTGACTGAGGACAGTCAGGATTTCAGTAGGGAGGAGATGATGAGCATGCACCCGCGCTAGGGTCCGAGGGAGGTATTCGTGAAGCTTTGGGGAGATACCAAACAGCGCTCGACAAGTACCGAAGACGCCGACTATTACCGAACACGGTCGGTCCCTACCCGACCGACGACAAGCCACCGAAGGACGTTCGGCAGCACTTGGGTCAGTTCGCCCACACTTCACGTACTTACCATGACCGCATAGGAGTGTTACGATAAGTGTTTACGAGATCGGAGCCAGTATTCCGTATCGGCCGATGTCCTCCGTGAGTCGGTCGGTCCTTATCGTTTATCTTCCTGACTTCCGCATGGTCGGTCAAACGCGATCTTGCACCATTGCTTGGCCACCCTGGTCGTACGATACCTCTTCTTTATTTTTCATTGGCTCTCCAACGCCTGTTCCTGCTACCTACGCTCGGGCGACGGATCCCGAACGTTCGGGATTTCGACATCACTGATTACCTTTTACCTTATCACCTTCGGAACCCATATGGACATCTCACCTACCTTCTTATCTTCTCTGATCGCTGGGGCTTGGCGCCCATTCGACATCTACTCTCATTTCTTGTTTAATATTTTACTTAGGGGCTCTGTTTACTATAAAAACCTACATACAACTCTGGAATAAACCAGCTTTCGCACCCCACAGTTCAGAGCTCATTCGCACTCGTCTCAACCATCGAAATCGTCTTCGTCGACTTCCGAAAAACTTGTCATCCTCGTCGTTCGGCCTCATTCGCGTTCGTACTCGTCTCTTCGCTCGTACCCCCCCGTCCTCCCTCGTATATTGTCAGAGTCCCGTGTGGCTCTTGAAGCACGTAGTTGTCGGTCGCGACACTACCTTCTCATTACCGACCGCATCGCCGACACGACCGACCGAACGTTCGGTCGGTGTTCGGCGCAGTCCCGAAACCGTTCGGGCGCTATAATCTCACACTCCCCGATTGCTTCTCAGTACGCCTTCAATTTCTAAAGTCATCACTTACAATTCCTTGTGTATCAGATACTAGCTCCAGCACCCCTGCCTTAGAGGTTGTTTTAGTGTTGTGCTCGGCACTTAGAGCCACCTCTAGCGTAACACCGTCGTGATTGAAAAACTGTAGACCGAGCACTGGTCTTCATAGACCCCAAAAACCGAAATAGTCAGCATTGTAACATAAGCAGATCGAGAAGAACTGCAAGATACACCTGATTAGAGTTCAGTATACTCTCCGGCAGCCTCGACAAGTGGTTGAGCTAGAACATCGGTTTCTTGAATAAATTGTTCCAGCCTATTGCGTGCCGCAATAGTACCCAGCAAAAACAATGGTCGTACTTGAGGTTTTCCCAGTAGCTTATTCATAGCATTCACAGAGTCTTGAAAGTCAGCGCTAGGGTGGTGCTTGTGGACACGCACAGAGAGTTCCTGGGGGGTGAAAGGGCCATACAATACAGGAGTCCAATAAGGGCCAATGAATAAAAGCCAGGGGATGGGCACATTGTCGGAGACATATTCTGATCTGACTGCAGCTTTGGCCTGATCTTCACCCTGGTAGTACATAAGATGCAGAAGGCCCATCACCCCCACATTCTCTTCCAGTGACAAGGATGTAGGAAGATTCTTCATAGTAGGCAAAAGTCTTTTCGTCTCGATTCCTGCACGAAGTCTGATGTGTGGTGATATCAGTGACATATTGAACAAGACAAAGTCAGGGATCTCTTCTCGTCTGTTGCATGTGGAAGTATGGTTCCATCTGAGCTTTGGCTGAGGCATCTGAATAAATCGTCCTAGAGGCTCGTCGTGAAGGCGGAGGAACTCAGAGATGGTCGCATAAGTTATGTCCTCCTTGGGATTGGGAAACAATGTAGAGGTGATACAGACAAGGCAAAGCAGATATGGAATGGGTAAATCAAGTATGGCACAAGGCAAGTTCGTCAATGAAGGGCTAGACATGAAGCTGCAACAGACACAGATGTTTTGAGACAAGAAGAGTGGCCACTTGTTGCTATGGAAAGGCAAAGAAGGTCACAGAACTGTGAGTGAGGATATGAAGCTAGAGAGCAAATCACGTCAGAAGATATACACAAAAGTTTGAGGCCAAGAACAGTCACTTGTTGCTATGGGAAGTTGAAGAGGCTTGCAGAACCATCAGGATACGAAGCTCACAGCAAAGACTATGCAGAGTGGAATGAGAACCAGGAAGAGCCTGCTAGTTTACAGCTGTTGTGTGCAAGGTGAGCAGGTGAGAGTACTAAAGCTGAAGAGCAAGGCCTCATGAAAGGGATTTTGGGCGATATTGTCATGCAGGATCCTATGACAGCCTATGACATCGCTCGGGCTTGCATTGTGATTGTTACGAACTGCTCGTTTGGTAACCCCAAGAGTAGGAGGTTCTTCCCTAGGTCACTCATAGAGGAAGGGTGGAACGTTGGTCTCAACTGTATGCGTAGCACAGGAGCCAGAGGTGTATTGCGATGCCTTATACCAGAGGTATAAGGGATAGTGGTGAGTACTGTAGGAAGACAGTACTATAACGAAGGAGAATAGACAGCCTATTCTATGGGCCTTTTATACTACTTTAGGAAATAGGGCGTGAGAATACTGTATATGTATCCATAGATATTCTCTAAGTCGTCTCTCTCATTAACGACTACTCTTGTGCTTCTCCGTTCGTCTCCTTCCGGCCAGGAAAGACTGGAGCTTTAAGCCCTGTGTGTGAGTAGTTTATAAGGCGGCATTCGATGTCCGCTGCAATAAGGCCCGTGATACTCGACCAACAATGGGTGATCTGTTGGGAGTGGATGACCAAGGTTATTATCTGTACCTTGGTGTATGCCTCAACCTGTGAGGCCGTCTAGTATTTGTGATGATCGTATCGGTATAGACCGCCGTTAAGGCCCGATAAGTCGTGATCATAACAGCAATCCCATCAAGGGTGATATCTGAGAATGATCAAAACTCATGGCTTGTTGTGTATTAAATCATAACTAGTACAAGACCAACCGGAGCTTTGCTCCGGTTCATAGCTGCTTGTTTGCCTTGTCCATGATTACCTCGTCTTTTTATATGATACACCTTATTTTACATATGGAAGCTCTCATTGGCCACAATGATATGTACTACACCAAAACTTCTGTGTACATTACATTTAAGGTGATCTTTCTATCAGTACTCAGCCTCACGATCACATCATTGCGGTGTTGAATATGCAAAAGTGTGGTATAGAGTTGACCATGCGAGAACACGGGAGACATGCAGTCAACAGAAATCTTGTTGAGGGTCAGTCCCTGACAACTATTGAAAGTTGTGCCATAGGCAAGTGCAAGCGGGAATTGTCTACGGACCAAGGTATGTGCTGAGTGAAGAGTGTGGTGAAATGGAATGCGGGGGATGAGAATTGGTTCTGCCTCTAGATATGATGGCACAGGGCCAGGCTCTGAGGAAGGATGAAGGAGCCTCGAGATGGTCCGAGATAAATGACAACAGAGGGAAAACGGCAGGATGATGCTCTAATTTTATGCAGGAGCGACATAGTAGTGCTGTGTACAGTTAATGGATTCAAACACCAAGAGCAGCCTTGAGCTTGCTTACCACATAGTATAACTCCGTGCCGTGTTGTAACAAGCACCTGCACGCGCCAAGGTCAGGTGATGCGAAGGAGAGGAGCGTATGCCGAAGCGGCACGACTCGGATCGGACCGAGCACCTTAAGTTTTTTCTTCTCCCTCGCCGTTTTGTTCCCTCAGTTCTCTCTTCGCGAGACTGAGGTTAGTTTAATATTTCTTACTTGACACATCACACAAGCTAATAGTCCCTGTAGAATACATTCTTATTGTGTCCTTACATGTTAGCTTACTTACTCACTTACCCCTCAGTTCTCTCTTTGCGAGACTGAGAATACATTCTTATTGTGTCTTTATAGCCTCGACTGAGCGCCCAAGACGGTCCCTACGTCCGACATGCCGTACTCTTGCATGCAGCATACATAGGAACACCAGAGTTTGCATACAAAAATGCATAGCCCTGCGCTGTAGCCGGGCGTGCAGCATACATAGGAACTCAAGGCACGGCTGCATGCATAGGCACAGACCTAAATCGAAAAAGGATACGACCAGGACGATGTGGATATGCGTCGCGAAAGGGGGAGCACGCTCGATATTGAGCCTCGATGGTGGGGTCGCGCAGGCGTTGGCGGTAGCCACCGGAGACTCTCGCCTCCAGTAGGCAGAGTCTGCAGAATGCTCACTCTGCCCGCATCACCAGATGAAGGCTTGGAGAGACAACTGGTATGCTCGCATTACATGCATAGGAACAAGGATAACAAAGCGAGGGCTAACAAAGCGAGCAGACTCACTGCAGACACAACACAGAAACTCAGACACGCAGCCGAACATGTGCAAACGAAATGGCGACCTTTTTGTAAGAGTAGAGTAATAATACAATAATCATGCAATTCTGTCCTAGGCAAAGCGCTCCCAAATCTTTGGCCCATCAAGTAGCCCCATCTTCACACCCGTGGCGATCGTCTCGTCAAGCTCGGTGACACTCAGCGACGAGTTTCTCAACGCCTCCTCAGAGGGGTGCTCCTCGAGCACCACAATCATTTCCATCACGCGTTCTCCATTCACGGGATCGGCGTCGTATGCTCCGCCCATGAACAAGTAGCCATCGCGGTTGAGTGCGCGGACGAGGACGTCGATGGCCGAGTAGATGCGGAGATCAGTGACTGGGATGTCTGCGAGCTTGGCGAGGTTGTGGCGGTGGATTTTGTAACCTTTGATAAACGTCTCCATCTGTTTGCGGCAGTACATTGAATAGCCTCGCTTTTCTGAAGATAAATTGCTCAAACATTTGATTCGACCTTAGGATCTAACAAGCATATGAGTACTATGAAGCAGAAGACCGATGTAACATTTAAACTTACATTCTGATGTGTCGGATCTTGATGTAGTCGTTGAAACGTTGATTGTTGTTGGTGGTGGTGTTGGTTGTTGGTGAACCTTGGTGAACGCGCTTGACGACACGGCTTGTGGCGGAGATTGAACTGACGTCGCTTTACAATGATGACGACAGCGGCTTCGCGCCTGCGCACTTGTCGACTCGGATATCTTCACTAGCTGTAGCCTGAATCTCAACGTGTAGACAACCATCTTGTCACCTCTTGTCGTCCTTTTCGCCAGCAGCTTGAGCTCAAACTTGTACGCACAGAGACGCACAGTCACCTGATGGGACACCAAGATGAAGCCACGACCAGGAGGAAAAAGAGCCGTGCATCTCGTATAAAGAGAAAACGACAGTATCGCCGATGAAACCAATCCACTCGACGATGTTCCTATTCTTTGCCCCTGTGTGTATACATACCAGCCCGGTGCAGAGCCAGCGTGCTCGAAATCCGCAGCCCGTCGGGCTGCGAAGTCAGCCAGCATCAGCGCAGACGATAAATCAGAGTTTGCCCATCAGATGCACCCGGCGCATCTGACTCAACTCGGTGGTGGTCAGCGAATTAGCAGGCTCGGAGCGCAGGGTCGCTGGGACGGGGATGGGCCGCAGAGCTGATGAGGGCGCCTCGGGGCTGTTGACCGCTGTTGACCGCTCCTAAGTGGAGGCTATCAGATGCCGAGCGATGGGAACGACCGACTCCGATGATGTTGGTGGTGGACTGTAACCAGCGAGCGATGATGCAGGTATGTGAGAGCCAAACGCACGACCCAACTCTCTTCGAAAGAACCGGGGTTGTCAAATGATTGTGAGCCTGCACCACCACCGCCCCTCGTACTTCTGCATATGAGCCTCAAATCGCGCTGCCGAGTGCTGAACGTCCTCGTCAGTACCACGACAGACATTGATCCCTGCCCACTTACACCCCAGAGCTATCGAACTTCAGGCCTGTCCAGAACAGCATCATCAAACACGACGCGCGAAAGACGTAATGTGTTGGCACACCCACCGTCCCTTCGCCCAATACCGCAAATCGCGCTCGAACATCGTCGAGCCCGTCCTGCTCGATCGACGCGTCCGTCACGAATCACGAGCAAAGCCCATCGTCAGCTCCCGAAACACAGTCGACACACTTCCTCGCGGTCCGTGTCACAAAAAAGTAGAGAAACACACACCAGCCGACGATCGCCGTCCAGTACGTCTCCGGCTGCGCGAAGATGAAGTCCACCCGCCGACGACGCGTCCCCCCCCCCCCCCCGAGTCTGCGCTCGGGAGGACAAACACCGTGAGCGCCTTTTCGAGCGAGGCCCAGTGCGTCGTGGGCGTGGAAGCTCGACAAGTCTGTGACAACACCAACGAAGCAATGCACCCCAAGGTAAGTAAGTATGCAGGGAACCCGCTGTGTGATCAAGGGCGAGTTCTCACGCATGACATGGGTGACGAGGCCTAGTAGGTCACTTCGAGGATCCAAAGCAAAACGAAAGTGAGACTAGCTCGCCTTTTTGATGCAGCCGCGCCATCGCGCGCTTGCAGAGCTCCTTCGCCTTCTCACCGTCCGGATGCGTGAACACGATATCCACGTCGTTGCTCTCCGGCTTTCCACACCTATAGCTGTGCCGTCCGTCCGCCAACCCATCGCACCAACCAAAATGACGTGCGCATGCAAGCTAAACAGAACAGAAAGTGCACTCACCCACCGATAATCGTGCTCACACATCCCGGCTGGACCGTCTCCAGCTCAGAGATGATCACACGATGGATCTCCTCCACCTCAGATCGCGGTATCCTAAACATTCCCCGCGCATCAGGTCAGCCCCAAACGCGCTCTCCGCCAAGCCATCGAAACTCCAACGCGGGTGAAGATACAAGAGCAAAACCCACTTCTTTCCCAGGTCCTCTCTCAAACCCAACGCGATCTTCATCCAGGGCTCCTCCCCGTCCTCCTCCAGGTCGATCACCGCGCCCCGCAGCAGCGCCTGCCCAGGCTCATCCGCCACAGCTGCAGAATCGTTCGCATCCCTAGACGGAAGCCTCACTTCGTAGTATTTGTGCAGGTCCTCGACCGTGCGCAGCCCCAGCGCGTACAGATTGCGCGCGGTCGTGGCCCCGATCCCATAAACGGTCGACAACGTCTCAAGCGCGTGGAATCGCGGCGAGGCGAGCGTAGCCTCTACGTGCGATGGACATGCGCGCAAATTCGGTGAACAATAGGTCCTGGTGCGCGACAGAGGGGGCTGGTCACGTACGGACTTCGACGATCTGGCCGGTCGTCATATATTGCTCGACCTTGGGAGCGGCGAAGGTTGGGTATATATTGTATATGGGTCTTTGGCTATATACTGCGACATTTTTGTGAACTGACCATCGTAAGAAGCTTCTCGCCGATATACGGCAGTTTCTGGACATCGCGGGTTGACGAGATCTTGCGCGGATAAGCTAGACGTACCGCGCTGAGCACCACGGCGCTTCGAGCAGAATAAAGCCCTGCAAGGTACCTTTGATAACCTGCGCGACAGTGGTGAGAATAAGCGCGAGACTCGGACAGGACGACGCACCGAGACCGCACGTCGATAGCTCAACGCGCTCCGCTCCTCCCCCTCCAGCTCGCGCGCGCGGCGCATGGCATCGAGCTGCTCGCACAAGCCCTGGTTCGCGCAGACGAGGGGTGACGCGCGCAGGCACGAAAAGCACGCGTCAGAGTCGAGCGACGCGGCGTCGAACGCCGGCGGCGGGGCGGGCGGGAGGAGGTGCGCCGGCACACGCGGCGGGGACAACCTGGCGAGGGACCGCACCGCAGAGCGGGTCAGGAGGCGGGCGCTGCTGTCGGATTCGCGGCTGGCGATGGTCACCGTGCGCCGCAGATCTTCCACGGCGGCGTACTCCTCGCACGGAGCAGCGCAGCCATTCCGGCGTGACCACGGACTTCGTCTTCTACATACACACGATGAGCTGTGCCTGTGTCTCTGGCTGGAGGAAGCAGGCCGCTCACAGCCGCCTCCCAGTCCATATGCCTCTCCAGCCGCTTCCGCATGGTGACCGCTGTCACGACCACGTCCGCCGCGACCGCGGTCTGGCACGCCTTTGCCCCGCAGCGCACGAGGAGCGCGAGGATCTCGGCGATGGCGACGCTGTCGAGCTTTGCGTCCAGGATGTGGACCTTGAGGCCTTTGAGAGCGACGCTAGTCGTAGGTGTTGGTGCAGAGAGCCTGGTTTTTTTTGATGGATGGATTTGTATTTCTGAGGGCGTTTGCGATTCGGAAGAGGAGGAGGACGCGCGCTGAGCCGGCGAATTGGGGCGTTTGAGAGGCATTCAGATTGAGCTCAGTCAGAGACGATATATACAGGAGCTTGTTGAACGAGTGTTTTTTCGCGCGCAGACTACTTTCTTGTGGGGTACGTCGCGGTCGTCGTCGCTGCCAGTGGGAACAAGTCAATCAAGATATTCGAGTCGATAGTAGGCGCAAAGCCGTTGTCGCCATTTGTTGCAGGGCGACGTCAGTTGAATCCCGATCCGGAACCAAGGTAGGCCTCACTCATACTCGACAACATCACGTGGTGTGACTCAGCGGTGACAGTCAATGACAGTTCAGTGACAGATGATAGCTAACTGAGAGTTATCCAACGAAATAAGGGGGTGCAATCATGGGGCGATCCAATGATGTACAGTAACACAAAGACAATTCTGAATAATGCCATTAGTACTAAGAAATGGGTTTGCCTGAGTGGTGAGAATCAGTGAAGAGCTCCTGCATGAAGCTACTATCCCTGGACCACAGTTGAACAGTGGACCAGTAGTGAACAGCTGCTATATCTTCTTCCACACTAAAGCGGCTATCTTATAAATATTCAAGGAGGTTTATATATGCGTTTAGAATGACTGTGTATTCTTTGAGACTTGTACAAACAGCGTGTGAAGTAGGAGAGAGAAAATGAAGGTAAGTATGGCTCTGGTAAGCAGCTTGATCACGTCCGTTGCTAGTCTATGCAGCAAAAATGCTTGAACCTGACCATTTGACTACGACCTAGCTTGAGTATAACGTATTCTCGGAAGGTTGTATTTTGATCACAGGTGTTGGAAACGTCGAGATTGAGCATGCCTCACTCATGATTGAATACTGCTGCTAGCGATGAAGATACTCGACCCACACCCGCGCGACGGCGTACATGAATGGCGCGAGGGCAAACACTTTGTCAAAGAAGGCGACCGGCTTTATCTCGAGGGTACGGACACCTCGCCGGCAGGCAAGCCCAAGCCCTTGTCTCGCGATCTTTTCATCACGGCTACTTACCTGTATGTGCGCAGTGTTGTAACACTAGACAAATGTGTACACAACTTTGCCCGTTTCACGGGTTGCTCCCTCGACGAAGCGCTCAAGTGCGCGACGCTGAACCCGGCGCGGTGCCTTGGCATCGAGAACAAGAAGGGCACGCTCCGCCCCGGGGCGGATGCAGACCTCGTCGTGCTCGACAGAATGGGCAATGTTTGAGCACATGGGTCTGCGGGCGGAGGTGTGGGCGCGCAGTTCAAATTAGCTGGAGGGGAGAGGAGGGGCAAGCAGGCAGACGGAAGGAGCGTGGAATCGGGAGCTATCAGGTGAACAAGTTTTTGGAATTTTTGGCATGTATGTAAGAATTGCGCGCTGGAGATGCCGTTGTACGTATTGAAGTGGTAAGAGGTGAGAATTGGCACTCATTCTGTTCAGGACATGCAGGGCTATTCACTGTGGTGGCTGTCAGGGATTGTGGGATGAAATTGATGCCTCGGACTGCATCTGGCTAACTTATCGGAATGCTACGACGCATTCGACAGATCGACCAATATGACATAGATTCGACACATCCTCAACTGCTGTTTCGGAAATAAAGCTAGACGAAGGTGCTTATCTGTCATCATGTCATTCCCCACCGTCCTTTGTTCTGCGCCGTCGTGATTGAAAAACTGTAGACCGAGCACTGGTCTTCATAGACCCCAAAAACCGAAATAGTCAGCATTGTAACATAAGCAGATCGAGAAGAACTGCAAGATACACCTGATTAGAGTTCAGTATACTCTCCGGCAGCCTCGACAAGTGGTTGAGCTAGAACATCGGTTTCTTGAATAAATTGTTCCAGCCTATTGCGTGCCGCAATAGTACCCAGCAAAAACAATGGTCGTACTTGAGGTTTTCCCAGTAGCTTATTCATAGCATTCACAGAGTCTTGAAAGTCAGCGCTAGGGTGGTGCTTGTGGACACGCACAGAGAGTTCCTGGGGGGTGAAAGGGCCATACAATACAGGAGTCCAATAAGGGCCAATGAATAAAAGCCAGGGGATGGGCACATTGTCGGAGACATATTCTGATCTGACTGCAGCTTTGGCCTGATCTTCACCCTGGTAGTACATAGCATGCAGAAGGTTTATTACCTCCATATTCCCTTCTTGTGACAAGGGTGTAGGAAGATTCTTCATAATAGGCAAAAGTCTTTTTGCCTCGATTCCGGCGCGAAGCCTGATGTGTGGTGCTAGCAGCGACATATTGATTAAGCCAAAATCGGGGATCTCTTCTCGTCTGTCGCGTGTGGAAGTATGATTCCATCTGAGCTTTGGCTGAGGCATTTGAATAAATTGTCTTAGAGGCTCGTCATGAAGGCGGAGAAACTCAGAGATGGTCGCATAAGTTATGTCCTCCCTGGGATTGGGAACCAATGTAGAAGTGACACGGACAAGGCAGATCAGATACAGAATGAGTAAATCAAGTATGGCACAAGGCAATTCTGTTGATAAAGAGCTAGACATGAAGCTGCAATAGACACAGATGTTTTGAGACAAGAAGAGTGGCCACTTGAGGATATGAAGCTAGAGAGCAAATCACGTCAGAAGATATACTCAGAAGTTTGAGGCTAAGAATAGTCACTTGTTGCTATGGGAAGTTGAAGAGGCTCGCAGAACTATCGGAATACGAAGCTTGCAGCAAAGACTATGCAGAGGGTGATGAGAACTAAGGAGAGCCTACTAGTTCATAGCTGTTGTGTGCAAGGTGAGCAAGTGAGAGTACTGAAGCTGAAGAGTGAGGCCTCATGAAAAGGATTTGGATGATATTGTCATGCGGAGGAATCCTATGACGTCGACGCTCGGGCTTGCATGGCGATCCCGTCGAGGGTGATGCACGCGTCCCTCGTGTAGGTGGGCGCTGAGTAGGATTTGGTGTGCTCGTGTGCAATATTCATATGTAACTACCGGGCGGGCGGGCGGTTTACTTAATCTTATGGGAACTGAGTACTTAGGCAGGTGGGTTTGTTCGGTGTGCATGCGGGACATGGATCACTTATGTAGGAAGGAATGCACTGGAGTAAACGGGGCGCGTGATCGGGATCGCTGCAGCTTGGTGCACATCTGTGTCTAGCAGTGGAGCAGACGGTGTGCGATGCTATCGCGTCAGGGAGGAGAAGTTGGACAGGGCCGTTGTGGGGGATTCAATGGCGGCGCTTTCGACTGATGACACTCGATGGGGTGATGTCTCTGCTGTTCTCGAAGTGCGGTGGGCGATGTACATACACCTTTTTGCGGACAAAACTTGCGCAAGGCGATAGGGATGTTGCCGAATGCACCTGCGTGTTGACCCTGACCATCCCGACGGCGGCGAGTCTCGAGCGGCAAGCACGCACGGCGTCCTCTGAGGCTATGGATATGATTAATGATAAGCATCAGAAGCACCTAACGAGGACAGGCGGAGACACCGCCAATGCGGTGTGCAGTGCGTAAGGATGAATGGGGACGATGCTCCGATACCATTGAGCCCAAAATATACCATATAGATCTAACCTGGTGATACGCTAGAGGTGGCTCTAAGTGCCGAGCACAACACCAAAACAACCTCTAATGCAGGGGGTGCTGGAGCTAGTATCTAATACACAAGGAATTGTTAGTGATGACTTTAGAAATCGATGGCGTACTGAGAAGCAACGGGGAGTATGAGATTATAGCGCCCGAACGGTTTCGGGACTGCGCCGAACACTGACCAAACGTTCGGTTGGTCGAGTCGGGGATTCGGTCGGTAACGAGAAGGTAGTGTCGCGACCGACAACTACGTGCTTTCAAGAGCCACACGGGACTCTGACAATATACAAGGGAGGATGGGGGGTACGAGCGAAGTGATGAGTACGAATGCGAATGAGACCGAACGACGAGGATGACAAGTTTTTGGGAGTCGATGAAGACGATTTCGATGGTTGAGATGAGTGCAAATGAGCTCTGAACTGTGGGGTGCGAAAGCTGCTTTATTCCAGAGTTGTATGTAGGTTTTTATAGTAAACAGCGCCCCTAAGTAAAATATCGAACCTGAAATGAGAGTAGATGTCGAATGGGCGCCAAGCCTTAGCGATCAGAGAAGATAAGAAGGTAGGTGAGATGTCCATATGGGTTCCGAAGGTGATAAGGTAAAAGGTAATCAGTGATGTCGCAATCCCGAACGTTCGGGATCTGTCGCCCGAGTGTAGGTAGCAGGAACAGGCGTTGGAGAACCAATGAAAAATGAAGGAGAGGTATCGTACGACCAGGGTGGCCAAGCAATGGTGCAAGATCGCGTTTGACCGACCACGCGGAAGTCGGGAAGATAAGCGATAAGGACCGACCGACTCACGGAGGACATCAGCCGATACGGAATACTGGCCCCGATCTCGTACACACCTATCGTAACACTCCTGTGCAGTCATGATAAGTACGTGAAGTGTGGGCGAACTGACCCAAGTGCTGCCGAATCGTCCTTCGGTGGCTTGTCGTCAGTCGGGTGGGGACCAACCGTGTTCGGTAATAGTCGGCATCTTTGGTACTTGTCTAGCGCTGTTCGGTATCTCCCCAAAGCTTCCCGAATACCTCCCTTGGACCCTAGCGTGGGTGCATGCTCATCACCGGCACCCCCCAATAAAGAAGAGGCGTCATGGGAGGTCTGAAGGCCCCGTTCTTACAAGAACGAGCCCCCAATGAGCTTCCGCAGCCGCTCGATGACTGGCCGCTTCTTCTCGTCCACCGGCCCCGCCTCCGCCTCCTTCTCCCGAAGCGCTTTGACCACTTATAGGCAGGGTTCTGCAACATGGATGCTCAATGTCTGCACTTTACCAGAATATAACCATGCTCCATGGGTCAATGGTAGTTTAATATCACTATAGACCAAGCCTTGGGTAGTTTTACATTGTTCCAGATGTTATTTCTCTGCATTATCAGAGTACTATATAGTGGAGTGCAGCTTCTACTATTCCACGCATCAGCTTGAGGTCCCCTAATGCAGAAACAACCCTGTAAAACTGGAGATCCAAAGTAGGACATCCAAAACACCTGTCAGACCTTGACAGTGAGGATTCACTTCACTGAGTTATGCATTATTAAATAACCTTGGACTTGAGACTGCCAGCACTAGTATGATGTGCTTCATGTACCAAGTGAAGCATGGCTTGTTAATACCTTGAATATAACCACAAGGGTTTTCTAATATGGAAAAAACCCTGTAAAACTGGGGATCCAAATGGGACACCTGATCATCTGTCAGATTAACCCCTTGACAGCAAGGGTATAGAACCACTCCTGCTACATGTATGTCATCACGTAACAAGGCTTGCTATGTGTGTTGCCATATAACATGAAACGGTGGCCAGGTACTTCCCCTGCCTTCTTTTCTTTTCACAGTTTTAAGACATGCAGGTCCAATAGTTTTGACATTGTTCCAGATGTGGGTAGTTTAACATTGTTTTCAGACATTGTCATACAGTTTAGCATCATGTGGGATGTGAACCTAGTTTTACGTCATTGTGGACACTTGAGTTTTGGTGTTCTGAGCATAAAACCAGTGACGGTGATGTAGGGGGTCCTTTCCTCCCTATTATTGTTCTAGGGTAAAGAGTTCCTCAACTTCTTTACCTCCCTCCCCCTCCTTCCCTTTCTTTGCTTCTTGCTCCACTTTCTGGTTGGTGAATACTATTGGTAGTTGTTACCCTGATATCTGTCACCACCTTCATCAGGTTGATAATAGGGATCTGTATTGTTATAGTTTCCCAGATCATCTAATGCATCCCATGCATCTAGTTCACTCTGGGACCAGAAGCGATCTTGTTGAGTCTCCAAGTCAGCATGCCTAGTTCATCAATTATTTCAAGGATTTGGGCCCTTGTTTGAGCGAAATCGAGAAACAGGAATAGCCACTCTATCTTGTTGTCAAAGATTTCCAACAGGGCATGCTTTATGATGGTGGGGTGTCTGGGTTTCTCTGCTTCAATGACCCTTATTTCTTTAATAGACAGGTGGTTCCTTTTCCTTGGTATTCCAAATGGGATCATTAGTGTTTTGAGCTCTATGATCGGGGTTCAAGGGGCGCCCATTTTACAGATAAATCATTTGTTGTCTTGAAGGAGGTCAGTCATAGGATGAATGTGATAGGGAGCTTCGATTATTTGAAGGGGGTTCCCCTGACTGTGTGGGAAGAGGCCAGGTAATGATGCAGAAAGGATCAATTTAGTGTGGTGTGAGTGGTCCGAGTTCTCCTGGGAAGAGGAGTGCTGGGAGGAGTTCACAATTGATGTTGATGAGCATGGGTGTTCTCTAGGCACCAATACCCCACTTTTCGCAGCTTTTCAGTATTCTTTGACCGTTCGGCATACTTAGGACCGACCGATCCCGATCCGTTTGGCGATCTCATCCATTTTTCAGGTGCCGACTTTCCATTTAGACCTCCGCACAGCCGTTTGGAGCTGTTCAAAGTCATCCTATCCATCTATCATCACTCTCAGCAGTAGGGGCTCTCCACAGACTGTCGCGGCCAATCTCCGATCGGTTCAGTACACTTCACATGGTCGGCACATTCGGTCGGCTTCGGTGTCCCGAATCGGAGGTGGCCGAACACTTTGTTGACTCAGAACGGATCTGTCTTTCTATCTCTTATCGTCCTTATGCCTTCTGTTGACCTATCCTTTGTTATCTTCAGAGCTCCCAAGTTTCTAAATGGTTTACCCATGTGGCGTGTGGTTCTTATCTCCAGGTCCATGTGCACTCACCTTGGCAATCTCTCCACTTATTTAGACTTTAGAGTTATTGCTTCTTATCTTGTAGTGTTTGCAACATCACTCCCTTATCTTCTTTACCTTTGATCACTCTTGGCATGCATTTCCGATTGCTCTATGCCTCTGCCGATCTCCCTATCTTGTACTTGTTCGGACTTACTATAAAAGGGCACCTATGGCCTTGCAATACATCAGCTTTGGCTCCCCCCTCGTTCCGATTCCATTTGTGCGCTTGTGTCCATAAGACTTTGAGCTATTGCCTTCCAACCCTTGTTTGCATTTTGCCCCTTTGTTTATGTTGTTGCGTTCGATTGCAGCCCTCCATCAGAGCCCTCGTCATCTTGCTCTCTCCCTCTCATCTAGTTTGTTATCCTCTGCCAGTGTCCAGTGTGGCCTTGCACCCATTCCCTCCTCTTTGCGTCCTGATCAAATCCCGATCAAATACCGACTGACCGACTGACCAACCAACCAACCAACCAACCAACCAACCGACTGACCAACCAACCAACCAACCTACCAACCTACCGACTGACCAACCGACCGACTGACCGACTGACCAAATATTTCGATTTTGGAGTTGTTTGTTCGCTACACTCTAAACACTTTTAGTATGCTCCCTTGTTGGTTGTTGCACAGCTTATAGTTCCTTGCACACTAGAACCAGCTCCTGCCTACCTGCGCTTGTAGAGGTGTTTCTTGGGTGTGTTTTGCACTCAGAGGCATCACTAGCGTATCAATGTATGAGGTGAACTTGTCAGGATGGATGAGCAGGGCGTGGGGTTAGTCAACTCCATTCTTATACCAGGATGCGGTATTAGCATTGGTATCAAGGGCAAGTTTCCTGATTTGTTGGCTAGCACTAGCCAATCATCTAAATACATTATTATGCTCATTCCCTGGTTGTCCTGCCGAGAAATTAGTGAGTCGCTGTAGTGCCATGGCAGTGGCCATCTGTTAAGCCGCTAGGCTTGTCACATGCACTTGATGCACTAAGAGGAGTTCCCTAGGCTAATCATGAGAGACCAATGAATGAACACTACTGATCTTCTTTGCACATGGGCAAGGAAGTCTAGGTCATTGCTGAGTTTACATTCCAAGAGACCGAGAAGATAATCTTCAAGGATAGGGCAATGTTTTGCTGGCATGTAATTATCTTCACCTGTCCAACAGATGACTTGTGATGGATTCTAGGAGAGAACCCTAAATACAGTGACTCCTTGATGAATAGACAAGACGGGAGGATGGTAAGAGCTTTGAGACAGATCCAGTGCTTCATTAGACTGAGTATGATTCTTTAGACCTGGCAAAGTTCACAATGTGTGAGCTAGGAAGATAGCCAGACACTGGGTGCAGTGCAGAGATCAAGATATATACAAAGTGAATGAGCTGAGCTTCTTGGAAGTTCATCTTGGCTATAAGTATGTACAAGCTATTTAGGGCCAGATCATGATCAGGTCTGTGCTTCTAAATGCTAATCTACTCGACAAGTATACAGACTTCTAAAGTGATTGAGTTGTTGATCATGATCAGTAATCCACAGTCTGCCTTTATCCTAATATAGTAACCTAATTGCAAATGTCTGTTCGCATTAGTAAGAATCAGGAACCAATCATAATAGTCATGAGTAAGCACTCAAGCTGAAGCTTGTTGATAAATTTCATTACATAAGCATTCATGTGTCAGCATATAAATGGTAATTAATCTAATTCAACAGTACGAGTCTGAGTCACATGCATACCACCTGATTGTGCCCCCTGAGTCACGTGCAAAGCACGTATTAGGATGTAGTCCTAACACCATCTATATTACCGCAGAGATGGTATTTTGCTGTAATAGGGCATCTGCTTGTTATTCCAATTCTCCGGGGTGAGGATTTATACCACTGGTAAGTCTTTCCATGGCAATAGTAGTCAGTCTGCCAGCCAGTACTACATCTGATGGAGGTCTTGGTAGAACTGAAACCAAGCTAGTTGTTCCATCACTTGATTATTGATTTCTATCTCTTGGGTGTAGTCTCGCATGAGTCTCATTTCCAATAATCGTTGTGATTCTAGTAGGACGTGGAAGTTGAGTTGTAGATCCGCTAGGATTACCAGTGTTTCTGTCATCAGCATCCTCATCCCATAATGGACTTCTGGTGTTCCACTATAATGGTTGCTTCCCTAGGGCTTTTCTTGTCCCTTCTCTTTCAGGGATGGTCTTGATATTGTTTAGCCCATCATTAGGAATGGAGACGATGGCAGGGAGGAGTATGGGAACTCCTGATGGTGACACTGAGTAGCTTCCTTTGCCAGGTCGTCCAGTGTCTGGGTTGGCAACAGCCAATACAATGTCGGGGGAGGAGTTTCTTGAAGGAGATGAGGAGGTTGTTGTGTCATTGAGGAGCATATTACAAGTAAAGAGTTTGAGAGGTATTGAGATAGATGTAGATCCTGGTTATGAGGGGTCATTTGGACATGCTTTTATACCTTTATAACTTGAATGTCATGGGACAAGGTTTGTCAGGGTATTGCTCATGAAAATCTCGCAGCACTTCTTCCGCTGTTCCTTTTAGGAGGGTATAAGGTTCCCAGGTATTGTCATCTTCTGGGTATCCTTCCCACTTGACAAGATATTTGGTGCCTTGTCCCTAACATTTTGAATCTAAAATAGCTTCTACCTCATAATGTTCCTCATCATTTAACATCTCTGGTGGTGGTTTAACGAAATTTGTGCTGTGGGCTTCTATTTCCTTGTATTTGTTCAACATAGTGGTGTGGAATACCAGATGGATTTTCCAATGATCAGGGATTTGCAGTTTATACACCAATGGTCCTATTCTGCTTAGGATTTTAAAAGGTCCATATCTTCTTGGAGCAAGTTTGAACATTGGGTGTGTTATCCTGATGTGGGTTCTTTCTAACCATACTTGGGTTCCTTCCTCCCAAAGGGGAAGTTTTCAGTTAGAGTCCCGGTCTTTGGCATGTTGCATAGCCATTTGTAAGCTGGCTGCAGCTTCTTCCTGAACTTCTTGGATCATCTGTATTCATTCTGTCATAGCGGGTACCTTGGTCTCTAGCACTGAGTCTGCTGAATAAGGGGGGTTAAACCCATAAAGAACTTTGAACAGTGATTTCCTAGTAGCAGAATGTTTCCATGTATTGTGGGAAAGTTCTGCAAATGGAAAAAGATCCACCCAATTGTCTTGGTGGTAGTTGCAGAAGGTTCAGAGGAATTGTTCGATCTCTTGGTTTACCTATTCCATTTCTCCATCTGTTTGGGGATGGTATGCCGTGCTGAGTGCCGAGGTGATGCCTAGTTGTTTCCATAATTCATGAATGAACTTGGCTGTAAATTGAGGGCCGTGGTCCAACACTATTTTGGTCGGCAGACCATGTCTGTTGAATACATTATTTTGGAAGAGAGTGGTAGTTTCTTCCACCGTGATGGTTTTCTTGCAAAGGGTGATGATAATCCCCTTGGATAATCCCTGGTCAACTACAACATTGATAGAGTCATACCCTTTGCTTTCAGGTAGGTCTGTGATAAAGTCCGTGGAGATAAATTGCTAGGGAACATTGGTAGTTTCTAGTGGGTGGATAGGAGGTTGTGTCCTATGTGTTAGATTCTTTGTGGATTGGCATGTAGCACATCTGTCCACATAATCATAGATAAATTTTGTCATGTTTTGCCACCAGTAGTGTTGTTGTACCAGTTCCAATGTTTTGGCTCTTCCAGGGTGGCCTACTGCCCATGTGTCATAGTGTGTCTTGATGATGGTTCTTCAGATAAGATCATCTTTTGGGATGCATATGTAACCACTTCTTCATTTAATTCCATTGTCATGGGTCCATTCCCCTAATGCTCCTCACATTGCTTAAGGACCATCTTGGAGCAATTTTGTAAGAGCAATGTTGGCTAATATGTCATATTTTGATCATGAATGTCAAATGAGGGAAATGAGATCCAATAATGTAATTTCTGTTGCTTTGATGTGTATATTCCGATTTGATTCCACCAATGTCTTGCTAGAATCATTGAAAAGTCTGGATGGAAGTAAAACCTGTGATTTGTTGTCAGATTCTACCCCCTTACTTAGGTCTGGATGCCTGGACAGAGCATCAGAATAATTGGTGGACCTGGCTTTATAGCTAAGTGTAAAGTCAAATCTGCTCAAATACAGGCTCCATCGGGCATGTCATCGTGATAAATCCTGGGCTGTTTGAAATGTTCCAGATTTTTATGGTCTGTCCAGATCTCGAAAGAGTGTTGAGCGCCTTCGAAGTAGTGATTCCAATGTTCCAGAGCTTTAACAATGGCAAGTAGTTCGCGATTGTGGATGTCATAATTTCTCTCTGCCAGGGTGAAAGACCTAGAGAGGTATGCAATAGGATGCCAATCGTTGTCAGGTCCTTCTTGTAGCAGGGTAGCGCTATACACAATGAGGGATGCATCTGTTACTAGCCGGTATTGGTGCATTGGGTCTGGGTAAATGAGGACGGGTTGATTAGTAAAGGACTTCTTTAACCAATCAAAAGCCTATTGACATTCTGTTGTCCAATCCCATTTTTCATCCTTTTTGGTAAGGTTGTGAAGAGGTTGTGTGATGAGTGAAAACTTGTTGATAAACCTTCTGTAGAAATTTCCTAGACCTAAAAATAATCAGATGTTGCAGACTATGCAAGGAATGGGCCAATCCCTGATGGTGTCAATCTTGGAGTCCTCTATTGCAACATGATCCTTGAAGATTGTATACCCAAGGTAGTTCAACTTTTCCTTGTAGAACTTGCATTTTTTGGGTTTGAGATAGAGATTGTTGTTGCATAATATTTGGAATACTTGATTCAGGACCAAGACATATTCCTCTATGGATCGGGAAAAGATCAGAATGTCATTCATATATACCATTATTTTCCAAGCAATGATGAGTTTTTAGAAGATCATGTTCATCATTGCTTGGAAGGTTGCTGGAGAATTGGTAAGGCCGAAGAATATTATTGTGGGTTTGAAAAGCCCTAGTGGTGTCACAAAAGAGGCCTTCCATTTGTCTCCTTCCTTGATGCATATATTGTTGTATCCCCATCTCACATCTAATTTGCTAAAAATGATGGCCTCTTTTATGATATCCAATAGTTCTTGGATCAATGGTAGTGGGCATATATTATGGATTGTGTGTTCATTGAGGTGATGATAATCTTGTACCAGGCGTAGTTTTCTATCCTTTTTTCCTATAAAGAAAAATGGAGCTGTGCTGTGAGATATTGACCTGTGGATAGTTCCCCTAGCTAAGTATTCCTTGATAAACTTCCCCAATTTGTCATGTTTCTCAAGACTCAAGGCATAAATTTTGGGCACTTGAGGTTTGAACATAGGTTTGAGATCAATGGCATAGTCCCAGAAGGTATGCTTGGGCAGCTGTTGTGATTGTTGTTTGCTAAAAATATTGAGGTATTCATGATGAGCTTTGGGAGCTCGCTCCTTCAGATTTGTAGTGGTGATTTCTTCTTCTAGGTCTTGGTTGAAGCTAACAAATCCTGAGGGTTCAGGGGCAATTTTCCTAATGACTGGTCCTTCTTCGACAACCTTGTCAAAAAGGTCAGATGTGGTATGCACTGTCGAGGTGTCTTGTGACAGAGAACCCGACTTAGTTGTCTTTTTCCAAGTATACTGGCCATGCTCCCTTTAAGCTACATGGGCTTTGAAACATTCCTGTACATGATATCGCTTTTGATCATTGTATTGGTTTTCTCCTTTGATCCTTGTAATTAGCCGAGTACAAAACTCTTCTCGAGGTAATTGAAGCCATTCTTCTTAGGTCAATTCTCAGAGAGTTGTTACAGGTCGAGGTACCAATCATGGTTTGTTTCTCCATATGATGCTTTTACTGCATAATTTTGATAACTGATCCTTGTTAGATGGTTCTTCCTATGCCTTGGTAAACCCATGTGGTTGCTGGCAATTCTGGGGGCACCGATCAAAGTGCACTTCATGATGTTTCCACCCAATGGAAGGGTTGTGATCTTTCAACCAATCTGTTTCTAAAAGGATGTCATTTTTCCCTAGATTAGTAATAAATGTTTGGACACGTTTGGTGTGCGTCCTTCTGAAGTGATCTTGGACTGTGGGATTTGCATCTAGTCCAGATCAAATAAGACCTGCCTTGTTGATTGTGTCATCAACATTTTGGACTCAAATAGGATGGCTAAGCAAATACATGGGGAAATGGTATCTTTTTACCCATGTTTCATTTACTAAGATCCCTTTACATGCCAAGTTGATGGTTGCTCTAGCTCCAATGTATTTTCCCTAAGTTGATAGGCACATGTTAAGACAGATGGGAGCGATGATGCAGCTGTTCATTGCTCCAATTCAAATATATACAGGTGGTTCAAACTCAGGTTTTACTTGACCCCTCTCCTTCACTGGTGAGGGAGAGGTCAGGTAAAATCCTCTGCTAGTTTGATCAACAAGTTCTTCCTTTCCCCTTTCTCTAATTCTCCAAAGACTGCTCTGACTTTAGCAGTATTATCAATGACTCTGTTACCTTGTCATCCATTAGGTGGTATATAGGATCATTGATCATTTTGTTGGGGTTTTCAGGATGAGGAAGGGTTTGCGTGTTCCAGCGGATCACTAGATTATGATACCCGCTGGTCATTGCAATTAGCACTCCCCTCTGCCATTCTTTGATGTACTCCTGCTTGATTTCCCATAGCAGGTCCTGAGTCATTTTTGTCCTCCAAATTAACTGCATGGTTTCTTCTCCCTGTCTTTCCCATAGATCTGTGCACACCTCCTCAAGACAATGGAATGCCTCTGCATGGTAATTGGCAGTCAGATGCAAAATGTCCCTTCTATTGACAATTAAAACAAGTGATAGACTTGCAGTCAAAGGTCCACTTTTGGCTGTCTGCATTTTGCTTTCATGAGGCATTGATGTCCATATCCACTACTTGGTTGTTCATTCTGTGAGGGGCATTTGTGGAGTTATAGCAGAGAGCAGGTTGGAGATAAAAACAATTCAAAAAGTCACTTTAGAAGGAGGTGGAGTTTGCTAGGATGGCCTTTTGAGTGCTGCGAGCTCTCATGCATGCATCTACTTTGCATGTCATGTTGACCCATTCTTGGATTGTGTCTGTGGGTTGAGTTTCCTTGTCATAGATTTTATCCATGACCCACAAATCTAGCCTTTGTTGGTAATAAGGTACTTGTTCCTTTTCAGAAATGTCAGCATCGGCTGTGATGAGGAGGAATTGGTTGGAGTATTCATCCATAGTCATTCTTCCCTGAGAGAATGCCATGAGGGAGCTACACACTTTGTCCATCTTGTTGGATTCTTTGAACTGCAATCTAAATTTAGTCAAAAAGTCTGACCAAGCTCCTAGGTCCTTAGGAGTTTCTGTGCCTACTGTTTTGGCTAGGAAGTTTTCTGCCCATGCACCTGCCATTCCATGCCTCATGCATGATAGCATGAGGGAGATTTTGTCTGAATCAGATTTATACCTGTCTGCTACGAAGAGAAGGAGGCATTGAAGTATAAACTTCTGAGATTCTGTGTGCATCTGGGAAATCACTCTCTTGTATTATGCTCTAATTAGTTCTATTTATGCATAATTAAGAATGATTAGGATTAGAGATTATTTGCTTACCCCCTCCCCTAAATCTGTTCTAATTAGACATAATTTTCCTAAATTAGGAATGATTGGGATTAATTATAGCTTGAAATTTCGGAAAAATAATAATAAATCAAGCATCACAGTTTTCATAGCCTTCTTATAGAGTCATGTTTATTAGAACACTAGTTAAATACCTAAACACTAAATATACCTTATAACAAACTTGCCTTTTGCCAGAGTTGAACCAACAACCTCATATATATAAGCACCCGGGACAGATGCTCTAAGCCACTAAGCTACAAGGTCTAATATATAAACTTGGTAATCTAAATAAGTAGACATAATATAGGCAATCTTAACATCTCAAATTTTATTCAACATTCACCTTCCCTCTCTCTTATAAATAAATAGGTCAATAAATACCCAAAAAGTCAGGTCTTTCAGAATTTAGTTTAAACACCAGCTAAGAAGATAATAAACCAATGGAAAATAAATAATACACTTTATATAGGGTAAAAACAAATTATGGTACTTACACAATTTGGATTTAGAATGTGTAAAACTATGATTGAGTATAATATTCAATGGGACTCTACTAGTATAGACAATGCTACCTTAATTTGCAAATTTAATCAAAAACATGATTATGAATAATTAGCCATAATCAGCTCAAATTAGTATCATTAATGATTATCAATAATTAAGATCCAATAAGAGAGAGGGGTTTTCCAAATAGCCACTAGTGAGGTGGAGGGTGGGGACAAGGGTATATGTATGGCATACCTATATATAAATAAGCACAAGATTGTTGGAGATGATCTTAATATGCTTGGTGCACATATTTTCTATATGGCAGGCAAATATATCATTCTGGCACCACATACCAATATGACTGTCTTTTCCACAGCCCAATAGCTAGAGGAAAACACCAAGTTTAAGCATCCTCTATATAACAAGGCAATGAACAATATGGATAGTGCTGAAAATTATAATATCAATAGCAATGATAATTATGTGCTGCATGAGACAGTATTGATCACTATACTGATAGACAAGGTCTACAAGGCTGCATATAGCACATCCCTAAGCCCAACCTGCATGTTGTGTCCTATATTGACCAGTAGCAGGCATTGGCTAACAATGACAACTTCAATGATCTTGTGTGCAAGGCCAAGGTACTGCGGTCTTCATAGCCTTTTGTGGCAGTTGCCAAGCTGCCAACAAAGTGGCTGGGGGCATTAATGCACATTTCTCTCTTTCCATGTCCCTTATAAAGGCAGCTGGAAAGTTAGCAAAAGAGCTATAAGATAATAGTGCAGGCATACATAAAGGAGAGTAATGTGCTGAAACAGCATAGAATGTGCCATATCTTTATCTTCTTATTGATAGAGCAGTAGTACTTACTATTTTCTACTGCTAATTAAAGACTTCTTGGTGTGGAATTAGTGCTAATATCATGAAATTAGAAACTATCTTTTTAGCCACAGAAAGAGGTAGTTCCTAATTTGGAAATCCATTCCAATGCTCACAATATATTGCTCCCAATTAGGAAATTAGACACTTTTAGATGCTATTAACACTTTTAGATACTTTTAGACACTATTAGATATAATCTGGAGCTAATACAAGGGAGTGGTTTCCTAGATGCTGCTGGTCATTGCAATCAATACCCCTCTCTGCCATTCCTCAATGTAATCCCGCTTGGTTTCCCAGAGTAGGTCTTGTGTCATCTTCATCTTCCAGATCAACTGCACAATTTCTTCTCCCTGTCTTTCCCATAAGTCTGCTTGAGCTTCCTCAAGGTGGTTGAATGCTTTTATGTCAAGAAAGACAGTTAATATTCTAATGCCCTGTTTTTCCACAGTGATAACAAGGGCCAGGTGGCTTGCCATCATGGGTATGCTTTTGGCAGTTGGCATTCCACTTTCTAGTTGTGTTAATATCCATGTCAACAACCTAGTTGTTCATTTTGCGAGGGGTGTTTATAGAGTTATAGCAGAGAGGGGGTTGGAGATGAAAATGATTCAAGAAATCACTTCGAAAGGAGGTTGAATTGGCTAGAATGGCCTTTTGAGCGCTACAAGCTCTCATGTGTCCATCTACTTTGCAAGCTATATTAATCCAATCTTGGATAGTATCCTTGGGCAGAGTTTCTTTGTTGTAGATTTTATCCATGACTTGTGGATCTAGTCCTTGTTGGTAATAAGGTACTTGTTCTTTTTCAGAGATATCGGCATTGGCAGCAATAAGGAGGAATTGGTTGGAATATTCATCCATGGTCATTCTTCCTTGAGAGAATGCCATAAGGGTGTTGCATGCCTTATCCATCTTGTTGGACTCCTTGAATTGCAATCTAAATTTGGCCAACAAGTCTGACCAAGCTCCTAAGTCCTTGGGAGTTTCCGTGCCTACTATTTTGGCTAGGAGGTTTTCTGCCCAGGCACCAGCCATTCTGTGCCTCATACATGAGAGTACGAGGGAAATTTTGTCTGAGTTGGATTTGTACCTGCCTGATTCTACTGTGAAGAGAAGGAGGCATTGAAGTATAAACTTCTGAGATTCTGTCCAATCGCCAGTATAATTGTCCAGGAGTTTGACCTTTTCTCTTCTAGGCTATGTGGGGATAGAAGAGGTGGTTCCTAATGCTTGTCCCGACATGTTGGTGATGGTATATGTGTTTCGGGTATTGATTGGTGTTTGATTAGCTAATGAGTCAGAGTCTGAGTAGAAAGTGACTTCTTCTTGCTCTAAGTCGTCAGGGATTACTAGCTTAGGATCTCTATACCAAGGTAATAGGTCCCAATGGTTCTCTGTTTCATTCCAAACAAATTCTTCCTCTGTTCCATCATCAAAGATGAAGTAATAATGCCCATTCCTATGTGAGCAGTTGTTGTAATTTGGTGGGGTGTTCAAATTGGTGTCTGTATAGAACCAAAGAGTGCCTTCTTATCAAATGGGGCGATTATTGTGTCAGAACTGTCTGTTGATTTGTCTAGCACTAGGAGGATAGCTTCAGCCTAGGAGTACAATGGCTTGTGCTTTTCTATAAGTACTTGCATATAAGCTTGTGTCAGCCATTTATATCTATCCTGTGATACTCAACCAGTGATGGTGGGTTCCACTGGGAGTTGATGACCAAGGATGTTACCTTATACCATAATGTATGCTCCATGATTGGAACCGCCTAGTAGTTGTGATGATTGTTATTGGAATAGACAGCCAAAGAGGCCCTAATAGACTTGATCATAACACTTAGCACTTAGAGAGATAGCACATTCATCAGTATGTAAAGATTTCTAAGGTTGAAAGTGTTGAAAAAAGGATTGCAAGTGCTATACAAGGACTGCTAAAGTCATTTGGCATGCTATTTAATTAATACAATAAGAAAACATAATGCAAAAGGTATGAAAAGTAATATAAAAGCTTGCAGAGATTTTATAGGTACTGCAAGATTGCATAATGGGAGTATTTGAGGTCACTTGTGCATAAGACCATACTAGTTGTTTCTAAGTTATACCATAGCTGAAATCTATGCTATAAAGATAGTAAAATTTAGGGGATTAGTGCACAATACAGAGGCATGCTTATTAGTCTTACCAATATAGTAGAATAGAATGCAAAAGCTATCAAAGGTTGTGTGAAAGCCAACAAAGATTACACAGGCACTGTCAGACTATGTGTTTACTGTGAAGGTTACACAGGAGCATTTGAGATCACAATAGTGTGCACAAGACCACAAAAAAGCCTGCAAGATTATGCTAGTGGTTCTGAGGCAGCACTATAGCTAAGATCTATGCTAAAAAAGATACAAATTTAGGTGCTCAATGCATGGTATAAAGGCATACTAATTGAAAAAGCAGCTAAGATTGTGTGCAAGATTGTATAGAAGCCTAAAAAATTGCACTGACAATTTCAGTGTCATACTATATCAAGAAAACTCGATAATTACTTAATCAACCTACCATCCTTAATTATCTTTTTTAAGACAGATTAAGAGCAAGATCTTGACTAAGATGGAGATCTTAAGCATCTTATTGCTCTTAATCTGTCTTGAAACAGCCAAAAAAGGACACTAAGTTTATTAAGTAATAATCGAGTTTTCCTGATGTAAAAAGCTGCATAATTAGAGCAATTAGTGCATAGCATAGTGACATGCTTACTAGAACTTCATTAGTATAGTAAGAAAAAATAATGCAGAAGCTGTAGAAGGTTGCACAGATACTTGTAGAAATTTAATAGACACTATAATATTGTGCAGTTACTAAAAAGGTTATGTAAGAGTATTCAAGGTTGCAATGTTGTGTGCAAGATTGCACAAAGGTTGTACTAATCCTTTTGTTGTTGCACTATGTCTATAATTTATTCTAGAAAAAGAGCTAAATGGGATGCTTGGTACATAGTATAAAAGCATGCTCATTAATATATAGAAAATTATGGGTCCTAAATCATTTTGATCTTGAAGTACCTTGTGTGGCTAAAAATTAACAACTAGTACTTACTAAGTTTTGACAAAGATACACATTGGTATTAAGCTCAAGCAAAGGTCACGCCGACGCAGTCGGCAATTCCCAAGTTACCGGGTGGTCTTCAATGTGACTGAGTGACAAAGGAAGAAGCGTTATCTAAATCGAGAAAGAAGCGACTGAATTGAGAAGGGAAGCGAAATTCTCCGGGCTCAACAGGCATGACAAATGTATGACATTTGTGGCCCCTGAGAACTCAAGGCAAGCCTCGGGACTAGGTCCTGGGGCCGACCTCAAGCCAACTCTAGGAGGGCTTATGTAGATACAGAAGACTAGACTAGTGTAGCGTAGAGAGATCTAAGTGGAGAGGGATGGTGGGTGGGACGAAAAACTAGATGTACGTAGCGCGTGCTGCGAGTGCGCAGCAGTGAGTTCAGAATGAGGAACTGCCTTCGCGCTCGCGAGGTATATATATTGAGAGAGGATAAAGCGAACACAGGCGGCGGACAAGGCAAGGTGGCGGACAACGCTAGCGCTAGCGAGGGACCCTGATCGAGGCGTGGCGCTTTGTGAGAAAAGGTCCCATTGACCCCGAGCAACTCACCCCTTCCATCTGCTCGATCCAACCTAAAGTTGGGTCACATGGGTGGGAGGCAGGTATCCTTTACCTCAGCAAAGCCACATCCATACGCGGCGGACGGACCGGGGTTTCCCACCGGCCGTCGACTTCTCTAAAAGCCATGTGGTAGGGCCAGTCCATAGACGTGTATCGAACTCCTCATCCGCGCACTCAATCGCGATGGCTACATGTTCATAGGGACAGCATATGACATCGATCCCGTGAATGGAGAACGTGAGTTGGAGATAATCGTAGTGCTCGAGGAGCAACCCTCTGAGGAGGCATTCCAAAACTCGTCGCTGAGTGTCACTGAGCTTGACGAGACGATCGCCGCGGGTGTGAAGATGGGTCTACTTGATGGGCCAAAGATCTGGGAGCGCGCTGTCTAGAGCTTGATTGTACACTAGTCATAATCGAGTACATGTGTACATGGTATGGCTTTGGTGAATTGTGCGCGGTATGGATTGATTCTATCAAAGTCACGAAGGCTGATATAGGGCCCCCAGGATGAAAACGCAATTCGAGCAGAAACAAGAGCCGCATGTCTCGTAGAAAGAGAAAATGACAGTGTTGATGAAACCAATCCGCTGGACGATGCTTTCTAGCTTCTGCTGCCACGTACGTATAGACCCTGCTTAGTACTGGCACCCCGACCAGCCCGGTGCAGGGTCAACGTGCTCCAAATCCACAGAGCGTCGGGTGTTTCGAATTCCCCATGACACGCCGCTTGGTCAGCATCAGCGCAGACAATAGATCAGAGCGCGCCGTTCGGAGGCGGCCGACGCATCAGACTCGGTGACCCACTGGTCAGTGGCTTCAAAGGGCAGGGTCGCAGGGGGCGGGGAGTCGCAAATCTGATGAGGGTGGCTCGGAGGAGCCTCAAAGTGCTGATTGGGGACTATTGGAGGCCGTCGAGGGCTCCTAGGTGGGGCAAGTAGCTATTTGGGAGTAGTCGTGACGAAGATTGTGCGGGCAACTGCGAGGAGGCATATTACTGAAGGCGTGTGCATGAAAAGTAATGGCGACCGTTCGAAGCGAAGAGTGGGAAAATGTGTGAGAGTGCGATGGTCGTCGCCCATTGTCGAAAGGAGGAACATCGATTCCGTGGTCCGAGGCATATGATCCGCGCACTGCTTTTCAGATTGGCAAGTTGAAACGCATGGAAGCGTATAGGCTACCAAAGGGCGAATGGAAATGAGGTTGAGAGGGCGGTCCAGGTGATAAAATGTGAAGAGAATAAATGATGTTCAGAGATCGAGAATCCGATAGAAACGCACCAGAGCAGGGCGTGAAATCACAGCCCAGCATCTGTCTTCGCCTTTGTAATGGATGCCTTGACGCTCTTGATAGCATTCTCTCTAGCTGTGACCAGCCTCTTCGCCTTCGCTGCATCAAGGTCCTTCAACAAGCCAGAATAATCTTGTTTCTTCTTCGTAGTCCTCGCCGGCAGCTGTACACCTTCAGTGGACGAATCATTGGATGGACCAGCAGTCACCGGGGTTGCCAGCGCCCTCAGCCTGCTCAGCTCTGCACGTAGATCGGTGAGGATATCGTCCAAGGTGTTGAGAGTGGAGAGACAGTCTTCCACTTCATCCTTCAGCCTGAACGCGCGACAGACCTCACGAGCACACGTCTCAATGTGCGTGAACCTGATAGGGCCGAGCATCACGCCTCCATACCTTTGCGGCATCCAAAGCAAGGGGTTCGATTCGTAGTATATATATAGCCAAATGGGATAGAGCACAGGACGTACCACCGACTCACGATCACTACGGCATCGATGACGGCCTCCGCCTGCATCACCTTCAGAACACGACTGCCAGCCCAACTCTCCTGGTCATCGTCGCTGCCTTCCTGCACTTCAAAATCGTCATCGCTCGAGAGTCCGGTCTTCCCTGGCTTCAACACCATGCATCTCCACGCCGCGATCTCGTGAGATGCGGGCTTGGATCCGTGCACGACGCGCCTCAGATGGGTGACGGCCTTCTGCGCCTCGGCCGGGGTGGTCGCGCGAAATATGTTGCCAGTGAATGTTGAAGAGCGATCACGGATCTCCTGTGAGGTGGCGATAGACTCTGGCAGCGGCTTCTTGCGGTCGACGAAGGCGTCCAGAGTCGCCATGAGCGTTCGCGCAACGCAAGCCGGCGGTGGGGAGTTATCAGGACAGGTTCGGGTACCAAAATTACATAACTATATACCTATCGGCTCTTTACTGTCCACAAATTCTACCAAGTGCTGTCTGGCAGGCCTCCGACGCCGTAGCTGGCATCCTCCTCGCTCCCTCTCACACGAACGTCCAAAATGTCGCTCGCATCGACGGCCAAGCGAGCACTGCGCCCCTACTCCACCTTCTCTGACGAACCGCTCGGCAAAGCTCGCCCTCGTCGCAACTGGACGCCGAGAGATTCGCCCCCGCGTCGCAACTGGACGCCGACAGACCCACCCATCCCACGCAAAAGCCTCGGCCCCTTCATAGCAAAAGAGACTACCATCACGCGAAACGCCATCTACATCCGCCCCGAGCGACACCTATTCGACGTCTCGGAGGCGTTTGCGTTGGTGCGCGGGCTCGAGCAGCGGTTCGGGAGGATCCAGGATTTTCGATTCTTGCGGGTGCGTCTCCGTGCTTGAGCGCCCGGCGCCGCGCCCGACACCGAACCGCGCGTTGACCACGCCGCTGCTGACCTCTCGCGGCGGTTCCAGGAACACGAAGTGCCCACGAGCCTCCAGGGGTTTTTCTGGGCCGTCTTCGCTGACGACTCCGGGCGCGAGCGGATAGGCGCGGAGGGGATCAAGATCAAGATGCGCTTGCCGGCGAAGAAACTGTACGATGGGGGCGTCGGCCTCGCGGACATTCACCGCTTCCTTGCCCCCGCAGACCTGCAGCCTGCGGAGGTAATTGAGGAGGAGCTCAAGGAAGCCGAAGACCAGGTCCAAGCTGCTGCAGAGGACCCTTCGAAGCAGCCACAGTTTGAAACCATCGACGTGGAAGTGAAGCATGCAGGTGCGCGCGTCCTCTCTCCACTCTCCTTCGAACAGCAATGCTTACCTCCACAGGTTATGTCAACTTCAGCGTGCCGTACAGGGAGAAGCAGGTGCGGCATGGGTACTTCTTCGCGCTGCGATGGCTTCACTGGGGAGGGTTCTCGACCGGCACGGGCGTCACCGTCCCCCAACCGAACCTAGACACCGCCAACGAGTTTTGGCAAACCGTGGTCGACCAGTGGAAGAAGACACACCCGGAACACCAAGAAGGCATGAAAGTGGTCCCCTCGCGGGAAGCGGATTCCGCGATGCCATCTGCGTCGGACGAGGCATGGACGACGACGGAAGACTCCCCTCCGCCAGCCTGGACCCCTCTCGACCTCGGAGAGCCAATCACACCCATGGCCGACGAGCCCCCCGCCTCTCCCTCTACACCCGCGGACACGACGGCCCTCCCGCCGCCTCTGGCGGCCACGACACGCACACCGTCCGACACCCCCCAGCTGGCCCTCGAGCCCGACGCGCCGAGGACGCGCCAACCTCCCAAAATGTCGCGCCGCGAGTGGGTCCTACAGACCGCGCGGGAGAGCGCGCGCGCGCGGGTCGCCGAGACTGAGGCTCAAGAGAAGGAGGCGGGGGCGGGGCCTGTGGACGAGAAGAAGCGGCCGGTCATCGAGCGGCTGCGGAAGCTCATTGGGGGCTCGTTCTTGTAAGAACGGGGCCTCGGGGCCTCCCAGTGTGCCTCTCCTCCTATTGGGGGGTGCTGGGTTAGATCTATACGGTACATTTCTGGCTTAATGGTATCGGAGCATCATCCCCATTCATCGTTACGCACACGGCATCGCGTGTCCTCCTTATGATTATCGTTGATCATATCCATAGCCTCAGAAGACGTCGTGCGTGCTTGCCTCTCGGGACTCGCCACCGCCGGGATGGTCAGGACCAGCCAGCAGCAAGTGCGTCCAGCAACATCCCCGTCCCCGCGCGCGAATTTTGTCCGCAAAGAGGCGTATGTACGAGTCCGTCGCGTGCCACACCTCGAGAACGGCATAGATATTATCACCCCCCTCGTGTGTTGTCAGTCGAAAGCGCCCCCGCCGCTGAATCTCCCACAACGGCCCCGCCCAGCGTGTTCTCCCCGACGCGACAGCGCTGCGTCGCGCGCCGTCCGCTCTGCCGCTGAACACACAGACGTACCCCAGACTGCAGCGAGTCCGACCGCGCTCCGTCGACTGCTCCCTGTATCCATTTCTGTCGTTTTTCTCATGAGTGATTCAAGAGACGGGACGAGACGAGATGAGAGGGGGTGCGGTCTACCGCGGGGCACACAAATGCACATAACTTATACGTGTGTACCAGTACCAAGGCGCACCAACACAGGCCAGTTTTTTCCAAGAGCCAAGAGCCAAGAGCCAAGAGCCGAGAGCCAATAAAAACCTGCACACGACGACCCGGACCGGAGACAGAGCACCGCGGGGGTGCTCTCAGCTCTGCCCGTACGTGCGACGCAAAGACGAGGGGCAGAGGACAAGGGACAAAGACAGATATTCACAACAACCAAACGGACAAATAAAGGGGGGGAAGGGGGCGAAAAGGGGAAAACAAACAAAAAAACACGGTGGACGTGTTGGATGTGTATGTGTATGTGTATGTGTATGTATATATACACCGAATCCCGAGGAACATAAAAAAGAACAGCAAACGCAAAAGCAGAAGCAAATTATTACCGCAGCGAACACGAACGGGCAGACACCGTCGTACGTAGAAAACCAAAGACCAAATGCGCGAAGAAACAGAACCGGACAGAACATCGCTGAAAAGAAATGAACTGAAAATGTAAAGAACTGAAATGAAAAGAGAAGGGAGAAAAGAAGAGGGGGGAAGAGGACGAGGGGAAGAGGAAGAGAAAGAGGAGGGAAGAGCGGGCGAGCGAGCAAGCGAGCGAGGTGCGTGGAGCGGGTATGTGAATGCCATGTGTACATGCGGTCCGATGGTAATGTATGTTATATGCTGACGAGACGACGAGAGGAGACGAGGGGGGGGACATAGGGCGCGAGAACATAGGATGCGAGGACGAGGACGAGGGCGAGAGAAGAGACGCATAAACAAAAGAAAAACACGCATAGACAGCTTTTTTTCTAGGCGGCGGGGTTACGCCGAGCACAGGCGACCGGACGAGAGGAAGCCCAGAGACCGGGCGGCGGTGCGGCGGTATGGCGAGCGGCGAGCAGCGAACGGCAACACGCTCAGCACACCTCGACCTCCCACTCGCCCGCCTCCCCCTCCGCCGTCGGCACGCTCTTCATCGCGATCCTCACGCGCCTCTTCTCCGCGCCCGCGCCCACGCTGCCCTCCCACCCCATCCCCATCCCCGATCCCATCCCAGACCCAGCCCACGACCCCAAATCCGCACTACTATACGCCGGGAACCCCGCCTCCAGCCCCAAGCCCAACCCCAGCCCGCCCCCGAACCCCACCTCCGCCGCCGACATCCCGATCCCCAAAAACGGGTCCCCATAGCCCGACGCAGCTGACAGCGCGGACGACGCACCCGTGGAGGAGTACGACGCCGACGACGCCGACGACGAATAGGACGACGAGAACGACGACGAGGACGACAGGGAGGACCCGGACGCGAGGGACGTCGCAGCGGGCGAGAACCCCGCGCGCGTCGGCATCGGCGTCGGCATCGCGAAGCTCGCGCTGAACGGGCTCAGCGCGCTCAGCGCGCGCGCGTCGTTCCACGGCGGCGTGCGCGGCGCGGCGTCGTCCTCGCTCGACGCGTCGGACGGCGACGCGGCCGACGACGGCGCCGCGGACGATGCGGCGGACGAAGACGCCGCGGCGGCTGCAGCGGTGGCGGGGTGGATGCGCACGCGGATCGTGCCCCGCGGCGTGCGCTCGGCGTCGAACGTGATGTCCAGCGCGCCAAGCCCGAGCGCGGCCGCGTTCGCGTCCACAAACTGGATCTTCTGCGCGCGCGGCTCCGCCTCCTCCTCCGACGACCCGAAATCAAGCTCCAGCCCCCCGACGCCGCTGTCCATCCCGAACCCCCCGAGGCCGACGCCGCCCCCGTACCCCATCCCGCCGTCCATATCGACGTCCCCGTCGCGCTGCCACCCGCGCTCGCCTCCGTACTCGGGCGCCCACGCGCCCAGGCGCTCCAGGTCGAGGCTGCCGCTGCCGCTGCCCGCGGCGGCGAGCAACGCGTGCGGGTGCGGCGGGAGCGCGGACAGCGGGAACGTGCCGGAGAACGGGAACGCCGCGCGGGCCTCGGAGTGCGAGTGCGAGTGCGCGTGCGCGTGCGTGCGCGCCTGCGGCTGCGGCTGCGGCTGGCCCGAGAGGGAGAAGATCGAGGGCAGCGCGCAGAGGAGCACGAGGAGGCTCATCGCGCTCGTCTTTTCGAGCTTGCTCGCCGCGGACGGGGCGGCGGCCGTGGTGCCGGCACGGGCGGGTGAGGCCGGGACGCGCGGCTCGGCTGGTTCCGGCTTGACCCCCGCGCGCGCCGGGCTCGCGAGCTGCGTGCTGAGGGCCTGCTCGCGCTGTTCCGCGGCGGCGAGGCGTGCGCGCAGCGCGTCGATCTCGGAGAGGAGCTCGTCTGCGTCGGGCTGGTCGTGGTCTGGCTCGTGCGCGTGGCGGTGCTGGTGGGGCTGGCGTTCGTCGCCCTGCTGCGGGTGGGCGTGGGCGAGGGCGAGGAGGCGCGCGTTTTCCTGCTCGAGCTCGGCGACGCGGCTGTAGTGCGGCAAACGCGGGGCAATAGGCGTGGGTGAGTTTTCTGATTGCAAATTCGGAGGTAAAGTAGCGTAAAGGGACGAGCGGGGGTGAAATTTTCTCGCGGCGTCGCTTCGCTTTGGGTCGTGTGAGGCAACGGGCTTGCAGGACCCAGAAGCCGACTTTTTGGACGGACGAAAATAAAGCCCCACAGCGGCGAACAAACGGCGCAAATCGCGCGACGAGGCGACAGGTGGTGGGGACAGCAGCGAGGGGACTCACACTTCCATATTCTCAAACTCCTCGCGCTTGCGCTGTCGGCTGAGAAAGGCGGCCGCGCGGTTCTTGACGAGGCGGGCCTCGCGCTTGGAGAGGCCGCTGACGTCGGGGGGAATGAAGTCGCGAGTGCTGACGCGCTCGCCGGTGCCGCGGTGCTTCTTCGGCGGGGGCAAGGCCGGGCTGAGGCCGCGCTTGGACGCGGCCGCACGTCCCGCGGACTGGATGCGTGCCTGCTGCGGGTGGTGCTCGTGGCGGCTGTGGTCGTCCGAGTAGGACTGCTCGAGGGAGAGGGAGCGGCGCGAGGACGGCGGGGGCGAGGGCGAGGGCGGGGTCGGGGGGAGGTCGAAGAGCTGGTGGGTGGGGAGGCAGGGGGGGTCGGGGGCGGGGTTGGAGGGGGAGGCGCGGAGGTGGCGGAGGACTGCGCGGTGGGCGGGGGCAGGGGACGCGGGGCCCGAGGAGGCCATACCCGAGGGGGCCGAGTCGATGGAGTACGGCGGGGACGGGGGGTGGGCAAAGGCGAAGGGCGTGTACGGGGCGTGGGCGGAGGCGAAGGGGAAGGGGTCGGCTGCGGTGTGGGCGGTCGGGGAGCAGATGGGGAGGTCCCAGGAGCAGGGGCCGGAGTCTGAGAGCGGGGAGGAGAGCGGGGCGTCTGGGGAGATGAGTTGGGACATGGAGAGGGCGAGGAAGGGCTTTTCGGAGAGCATGGCAGAGGCGGGGCGGGGCGGGTGGTACTTATACTGGGGCAGAATGTAGATTACTGTGGAGGGTTGTAAGTAAGGAGGGCAGAGGCAGGGGAGATAGAAGAGCAGTCGGGTGATGGCTTGATGGTGGTTGAGAAAAAGACGGTTGCCTGTCCGGGCTTATGTCGCTTCCTCTGCCCGCTCCCAGGCCCAGCCCCGCCCTCGCGTGAGCACCGCGTGCCCGTCCCGTCCCGCTCGCACCCGCCCCCAGAACGCACCCGTCCTCCCCACACTCCCGTGCCCGCCCCGTCCGAGGTGCCCCCGAGCTCCGTCCAATCCCCCGCACACCCCCGTTTCCAGCTGCCCTTCCCCCACGCACGTCACCCCCATCTACTTTTACCTGCGGCTCCGCCCTCCACCGGGACTTTCTTCGGTCCTCGACGCCTTTAAATAAAACAATGACGCCCGTGCACACCCCCCACCTGCTCCCACCACTCCCCTCTGCCGTGCCATGACCGTCCCCTGCCCCTGCGTCTCGCGACATCACCGCGGTCCGCCGCTGCAGTCACTGGGCCCCCCCAAACCAGAACAATAGCATCGCAGCGCCGCATATATATATATAGAACTCGCGTCTAAACTTGGACCGATAGACCCTATATCTCTCGCAGCGAGGTGCTCCAGTATCATGCTAGATTGCGCGCGTCGGAGCCGCATGTGCAGCGCCCGTGCCCTTTCTGCTCGCCTCTGTGCAGACGCGACGCCAGTGCCGCACTCGCGCACGCCTTTGGGACGCCCTCTGCGCCTCTGCGACAGGCCCCTGGTCTCTCGTCGTCGCGTCTCGTGCGCCTTCTTGCCTGCCCCCGCGCAACTCACCCAGTGCACGCTACGCCCACACGTCCAGAGCTACCCCTCAAAGCCATCTGGGACATCCTTTTTACCGTATAGCACGCGAAGCACGAGTCGCTCGCTTCTCCCCGCGTTCGTCCCCCTCTGTGCATCGCATGTATGCCATCATCCCCGCACCCGAACAAACCGTCCCTCTCGATACGCACCGCTCTACATAATGCTGCCCTCGCTGCACAATGGTCGCGCACCTCGCTACGCCGACCCCGTGCCGCACGCACACGCTCCAGTACTACACGGCCTTCCCACACGTCATGTTCGCGCGCTGAGCACGGCATCGTTCGCTGCTTACAGTACAGCACCGATATCACTGGGCCGGTCGTTCCCCTCGCCCGGCGTCTGATGGGATCGCAGGCCTCCGATTACTTAGGGGATCCCCACCAGCGTCCATCAGCACCACTTACTTAGCGCTGTGATGCCCCTCCGAGGCGCCGTCAACAGATGCGTGGCTTACCCCCGCCCCAGAGACCCTGTCCTCCGAACCTGCTGACCCGCTGACCACCATCGAGTCTGATGCGCCGGGCGCGCTCTGATCCATCGTCTGCGCCGATGCTGGCTTTGCAGCCCGACGGTCTGCGGCTGGCCTATACGTACATGAGGGCCAAGGCTAGGAAACATCACCGAGTGGACCGGCTCGATCAGCGCTATCGTCGGTTTCTCTCTTTCCACGAGACGCGCGACTCTTCTATCTCCTAAAATCGCGCTTTGATCCTGTGGACCCTATATCAGCTCTCGCGACTTCTACAGATCCAATCTATACGGCAGACATATGGTTTCGCATAACTTATATACAACTCAGCTCTAGCCAAAGCGCTCCCAGATCTTTGGGCCCTCAAGCAGCCCCATCTCCACGCCCTTGGCGACCGTCTCGTCGAGCGGGGCGGCACTCAGCGACTCGCTCCGCAACGCCTCCTCAGAGGGGTGCTCCTCGAGCACCACGATCATCTCCATCACGCGTTCTCCGGTCACGGGGTCGGCGTCGTACGCTGCGCCTATGAACAAGTAGCCGTCGCGGTTGAGCGCGCGGACGAGGACGTCGATGGCCGAGTGGATGCGGAGATCGGCGACCGGGATGTCTGCGAGCTTGGCGAGGTTGTGGCGGTTGATCTTGTAGCCTTTGATGAATGTCTCCATCCGTCCGTGGCACTGCGACAGTCCGTTGAATGGCCTCGCTTTTTTTCTCTTTTTTTGTTTGCTTTGGGAATGGCTGGCTCAGACTTTTGATTGTGTGTTGGAACTGACGAGCGCCGAGCATGTGAGTACTGGTACTGGCGATGTTAAATGGTGGCACGGTGCACACATTCTGCTGTGTTGAAATTTGTTGGGGACGTTGAGCCCGTGGTTGTGGTTGTGGTTGTGGTTGGCGGTGGTGAACCTTGGCCGACGCGCTCGCCGACCGATGTGGCTGGTTCCAGATCCGGTTTCAACTGACGTAGCTATCGCTCTCTGCCTTACAATAGATGACGACAACGGCTTTGCGTTCAACTCGGATATCTTGACCTGTTCCCTCTCGCAGCGACGACGACCGCGACTAACCCCACAGGAAAGTCTTCTGCGCTCGAAAACACACTCGCTCAACAAGTTCCTGTATATATCGTCTCCGGCTGATCTCTCTTTGAATGCCTCTCAAACGCCCCAATTCGCCGACCCAGCGATCGACCTCCTCTTCCAAATCGCAAACGCCCTCAGAAATACAAATATCTCCACCCAAGAAACCCAGGCTCTCTGCACCTCCCTCGACGACCAGCGCCAGCGACGCTCTCAAAGGCCTCAAGGTCCACATCCTAGACGCAAAGCTCGACAGCGCCGCCATCGCCGAGATGCTCGCCCTCCTCGCGCGCTGCGGGGTGAAGGCGTGCCAGACCGCGGACGCGGCGGACGTAGTCGTGACGGCGGTCACCATGCGGAAGCGGCTGGAGAGGCATATGGACTGGGAGACGGCTGTGAGCGGCCTGCTTCCTCCAGCCAGAGACGCAGGCACACGGCTCATCGTGCGTATGTAGAAGACGAAGTGCGTGGTTACGCCGGAATGGCTGCGCCGCTCCGTGAGGGACGGGAAAGCCGCTCCGTGCGAGGAGTACGCCGCCGTGGAAGATCTGCGGCGCACGACGACCATCGCCAGCCGCGAATCCGACAGCAGCGCCCGCTCTCCGACCCGCGCCGCCCTGTCCCTCGACAAGCCGTCGCCCCCGCGTGTACCGGCACACCTCCTCCCGCCCGCCCCGCCGCCGGCGTTCGACGCCGCGTCGCTCGACTCTGGCGCGCGCTTCTCGTGCCTGCGCGCGTCGCCCCTCGTCTGCGCGAACCAGGGCTTGTGCGAGCAGCTCGACGTCATGCGCCGCGCGCGCGAGCTGGAAGGCGAGGAGCGGAGCGCGTTGAGCTATCGGCGCGCGCTCTCGGTGCGTCGTCCTGTTCGAGTCTCGCGCGCATTCTCACCGTCGTCGCGCAGGTCATCAAAGGTACTTTACAGGGCTTCATTCTGTGCGCAGCGCCGTCGTGCTCAGCGCGGTACGTCTAGCTTATCCGCGCAAGATCTCGTCAACGCGCGATGTGCAGAAACTGCCGTATATCGGCGAGAAGCTTCTCACGATGGTCAGTTCACAAAAATGTCGCAGTATATAGCCAACGACCCATATACAATATATACCCAACCTTCGCCGCGACCAAGGTCGAGCAATATATGACGACCGGCCAGATCGTCGAAGTCCGTACGTGACCAGCCCCCTCTGTCGCGCACCAGGACCTATCGTTCACCGAATTTGCGCGCATGTCCATCGCACGTAGAGTCTACGCTGGCCTCGCCGCGATTCCACGCGCTTGAGGCGTTGTCGACCGTTTATGGCATCGGGACCACGACCGCGCGCAATCTGTACGCGCTGGGGCTGCGCACGGTCGAGGACCTGCACAAATACTACGAAGTGAGGGTTCCGTGTGGGGACGGGGACGATTCTGCAGCTGCGGCGGATGAGCCTGGGCAGGCGCTGCTGCGGGGCGCGGTGATCGACGCGGAGGAGGACGGGGAGGAGCCCTGGATGAAGATCGCGTTGGGTTTGAGAGAGGATCTGGGCAAGAAGTGGGTTTTGCTTTTGTGTCTTCACCCGTGTTGGAGTTTCGATGGCTTGGCGGAGAGCGCGTTTGAGACTGACCGGATGCGCGGAGAATGTTTAGGATACCGCGATCTGAGGTGGAGGAGATCCATCGTGTGATCGTTTCTGAGGTGGAGGTGGTCCAGCCGGGATGTGTGAGCACGATCGTCGGCGGGTGAGTGCACTCTCTGTCCCGTTTGGCTTGCATGCGCACGTGATTTTTTGGTTGGTGCGGTGGGTTGGCGGGCGGACGGCACAGCTATAGGCGTGGAAAGCCAGAGAGCAACGACGTGGATATCGTGTTCACGCATCCGGACGGTGATCAGGCGAAGGGGCTCTGCAAGCGCGCGATGGCATGGCTGCATCAAAAAGGCGAGCTCGTCTCACCTCGCTTTTTGCTCTGGATCCTCAAACGGCGAACGATGTGACCTACTAGGCCTCGTCACCCATGTCATGCGTGAGAACTCGCCCTTGATCACACAGCGGGTTCCCTGCATACTTACTTACCTTGGGGTGCATTGCTTGCTTGGTATGGTCGCAGACTTGTCGAGCTTCCACGCCCACAACGCACTGCGCACGACGCACTGGGACTCGCTCGAAAAGGCGCTCACGGTGTTCGTTCTCCCGAGCGCGGACTCGGGGGGGCCGCGTCGTCTCCGTCGGAGGGTGGACTTTATCTTCGCGCAGCCGGAGACGTATTGGACGGCGATCGTCGGCTGGTGCGTCTCTCTCTACCTTTATGTGTCACGGACCGCGTGAATGTGCGGATTGTGTTTCGTGACGGACTTGTCGGTTGAGCAGGACGGGCTCGACGATGTTCGAGCGCGATTTGCGGTATTGGGCGAAGGGACGGTGGGTGTGCCAACGCGTTACGTCTTTCGCGCGTCGTGGTTGACGACGTCGTTTGGACAGCGGTCTGAAGTTCGATAGCTCTGGGATGTAAGTGGGCGGGGATCGATGCCTTTCGCGGTACTGACGAGGACGCTCAGCACTCGGCGGCGCGATTCGAGGCTCATATATCCGCGCACGGAGAAGGAGGTTTTCGACACGCTGGGTCTGCCTTGGATTGACCCTACGATGCGCAACGCGGATCTCTAAGATGTTCTTATTCTTATTTTTATTTTTAATTCTTATTTGTTTTTCACTTGGGGTGGTCGTGTCGACGGCCTTCAATATCATGTCGCTCGATGCAGATATCGTTCATGTAGGTGCTCCACTCTGCTGCGTCCTCGCCATTGCCAACGCCCCCCAGCACAGCATGGCGGCTAGTGGCTGCGTGATGCCCGCCTCGAAGTCGCAGTCGCTTGACAAATGGATGCGGATAAGCCATCCGCGGCGGCGCGCGCATTCTTTTCTCCAGATCACTCCACAGGCGGTGCATTGCGATGAAAGCAAATAGTGTTCCGATTGGATCAGCCCTGTTCAAGGACGCGGTGCTTTCTTCCAGTACAAGCTAGTGCAAGGGAGTAGAAGCAAGTTGAGGCACTGTTGAGGCCATGGAAGGGGCGGAGCTGGGAGGACTTTCTCGGAGTGTGGGGATCTGTGGAGTGGTTTTCCAGTTACAAGGGTGGTGGGAACGGCGTCTGGGCTCTGCATCATAGGGTAGCTCGAGTATCTCCTGCAGACCGCCGAGGGTCGCAAAAATGCTACTGAATTGTCTGTCTGCTCTTGGCGCGGCTGCGACCGTGGGCGCAAGCACGGTGAACCACATTCGATGCGTCGAGCAGCGTCATTCTTGGTGCATGCAAGGGCAAAAAGAGAGGCAGACTCCGGCGGAGTGTCAGCGCCTGATCTGGACGAAAAAGGGCATCGGCTACGTAAGCCAGATATGCAAGCCTGGCCATTGTTGCTTGGCCAGCTTGCTGCCTTGTGCGCCCTCTTGTTCTCTCTCCTCCCCTCCTCGTCCTTCTGCACACGCCCCCGCCCCCTCCCGCCCTCCCCCGCGATTTCAGAACTCACTGACCCCCCTCAACGCCCCCGAATACCGGGTTTCGCTTTCGTTCAGACTCTCGTTTCCCGCCTCTCTCTTCTCCTGGACGTCTGCTTTGTACGACACAGTGCAACAGGATGTCGAACGTCGGCGACATCATCTCCGAGGATGCGGACACGCGGACGCTGGCGCCCGAAGCTGTTGCATCCCAAGTGCTTCTTATGGCGGTCATCTCTGTGAGCCTTGACCAGTTCTGCATTTTCTTCGGTAGCAGCGCGAAGCAGGCGGGGTACTCAATAAGCCTTCATAGGCCGGAACCATCATTGCGTTTAATATTTTACGACCAAAGAACAAGGTACGTCGTTCTTCCATGCCATCAGGCGCCGTGTTCATCGTTCTGGTCGCGCTCGATCGGATACTCCAGATTGTCTACGAACCCAAAGTCAAGTATCACGTCGGAGACAAAAAGCCACCTCGGATATCCAGCTCCATTTTAGGCTGGATATCTCCTCTCGCCAGGACCAAGGAGGCTGAACTCGTAGACAAGATCGGTCTCGACGCGTCGGCCTTTCTTCGCTTTCTCCGCATGATGCGGTGGATCTACACAGGCGTCGCCGCGGTGACCTGCGCGGTGCTCATCCCCGTCAACGTGACCTACAATTTGAAGAATATCGACTCGAAAGACAGGACCTTGCTCTCGTTACTCACCATCCGTGATGTCAGTGGAAATATCTTGTTCGTCCACGTGGGTGCCGTATACATGGTTACGATGGTCGTCCTCATCGGCATCTGGTACAACTGGCGCGCGATGGTGCGGCTCCGGCGCCAATGGTTCCGCTCGCCAGAGTATACCCAGTCGTTCTACGCCCGCACCCTCGCCGTCACCAAAGTCCCGAAGAAGTACCAGTCCGACGAGGGCATTCGCGCGGTCTTCGAGACTGTGCAAGTGCCCTATCCGACCACCTCGGTGCACATCGGTCGCCGTGTGGGAAAGCTCCCGGAGTTGATCGAGTATCACAACGAGACCGTGCGCGAGCTGGAGAAGGTCCTGGTTCGGTACCTCAAGGGCGGCAAGATCGCCAAGGAGCGCCCTACCATTCGCATCGGTGGCTTCATGGGCATCGGTGGCACCAAAAAGGACGCGATCGATTTTTACACGTCGGTCTTCGTTCTCCGCACTGCCCGTATGCGCGTTTTTCTGACGTCATTGTCTTTGTTTGCTCGGTGTGCGCAGGGCGAAGCTCAAGCGGATGGAGCAGTCTGTGGAAGACTACCGGAATCAGATAGACACCCGCAAGCCTGAGAGCTATGGGTTTGCTTCCATGGCTGCCGTCCCTTACGCGCACGTCGTGGCACAGCTGCTCCAACGGAAGCACCCCAAGGGGACCACCATCATGCTTGCTCCGAACCCCAAAGACATCGTGAGTATGGTACTTTGACTGCTGGGGCAAACGATCCCGTGTTGATGTAGGAGCTCGTCATCAGATTTGGGAGAATTTGAACAAGTCCGATGGAGAGATCCTGCGCAAGAAGACCATGGGCTGGATTTGGCTCGTCGTCGTCTGCTTCTTCAATACCGTCCCTCTTTTCGTCATCTCCATCCTGGCCAACTTGTCGTCGGTGAGTGTTGTTGCAATGCCTAGCCTTGCATGGTGCTTTTTAGACTCACCGCCACCTCACGCAGCTCACCAGTTTCGTGCCGTTCCTCCAAAATTGGTCCGACTCATCGCCGAGGTCGTTCAATATCGTCTCTGGTGTCCTGCCTCCGGCTGTGTCAGCAATTTTCGGATTCTTCTTGCCCATCACAATGCGGTGGCTGTCTCAGTACCAGGGCGCGACGACACATTCGCGCTTGGACCGCGCAGTACTCGCAAGATATTTCGCGTTCTTGGTCATCTCACAGCTGATCATCTTCACGTTGATCGGTGTCATCTTCAGTGAGCGATGCTTCCATGTGGTCTTCTCTTAGAGATCATGTCTACTTACGGTTGCATGGTAGATTCCGTCAAGGAAGTTATTGATCAGATTGGGCAGCACAAGAGCTTCCAAGAGATCGTGGATAACCTGAATAGTGCGCTTTCTCTCTCATCGCTTATCTCTTCACACCACTCATTCACGCTTCAGAGCTTCCGGCAACCATCAACAGGACGTATATTGATCAGTCTTCATACTGGCTCACATTCTTCCCGTACGTGTTTGACATCTACACTGCCGTGATATCTGTCATTCACAACAACACCCGCACCTTGCGAACAGCCTGAGAGGTTTCCTCGCCGTTTTTGATCTCGCTCAGATCATTAACCTTGTCTTGATCTTCTTTAAGACACAGTGAGCCCGCCTCCCACCTTGAGTTGTGTAAGTCCAGTATTCTGATTGAGTGCACGCAGCTTGTTCGGCCGGACTCCCAGGGACATCAGAGAATGGACCCAGCCGCCTGAATTCCAGTACTCTATTTATTAGTGCGTTCACATCGCTCGATTGCAATTGCTGATGCTGACGTTCGGGACTTCTTGCTCATGATTGTAGCTCTAATATTGTGAGTGAGCCGTATTTGTTAGAAGCAATTTATGCTGACAACGAGTTCTGTGTCCAGCTGTTCATGGGCACAGTGGGACTGGTGTTCGCGCCCCTTGCGCCTTTGGTCGCTGTAGCTGCGGCGATCGTCTTCTGGATCAGTTCTTGGGTTTACAAATATCAGTTGATGTTTGTGTTCGTCTCGAAGGTGGAGACTGGTGGGGTATGTGGTCGTTTAAGCGAAGCTCGATGCATTGTTCATCTTTATTTTCCCCCATGCAGCGTCTGTGGAACCCCGTCATCAATAGGTTACTGGTGTCGCTTCTCCTCATGCAGGCGCTGATGGTTCTCAGTACGTTGATTTTTTCCATTGTCCGCGCTGAGCATTCTTAGATCCTGACGCTTTTGGACAGCGATCGGTCTGCAATATGGCTGGACGTCGTTTGCGTGGGTCGCGACTGTACCGCCAATCATCATTGTCATGCTTTTCAAGGTATACACCAACCGCGTGTTCGATCGGCCGTTCCGGTACTACGTGCCGACAGAGGATGAGTTGCGTCAGGCGAAGGTGCACTCGCAACGAGCGGACATGAGCGGCAACCGCTTGGAGAAACGGTTCGGGCACCCCGCTCTGCACGCAGAGCTGTTCACGCCAATGCTGCATGCCAAGATGATGCCGCTGCTGTCGGAGGTGTACAAGGGCAAGATTAGCCACGGACAAGCAAAGGTGGAGGAATATGGGGGACAGTCACTTCAGGCGCAGGTTATTCCTGGGGGCATCAGAATTGCTGCTGTCGATCAAGTAAGTGCTTGATTGAAAGTCATCGACTGTGATAAACATCTCTGACAATTCAACTTTCAGAACAACCTCGAGTACGATCCTGCGCTCTACCAGCGCGATCGCGGAGAGCTGGATTGGGACGCTCGCTCCATGTCGACGACGATGATGATGTCGGACAATGCGTCGATCTATCCTTCGAAGGTTCCTATGTACGAGGGTGGACGGGCATCCCCTGTGCCTACCCTTGTCCCAGGCTACGACCGCTACCTCTCGCGCGGGCCGCAGCAGAGCGAGATCGAGCTCTCGCGTCTCGACCTGAACTACAACGATCAGCAACCGCTCCTCCCGCCAGGGCAGAGCACGGTGTCTCTGCCTGGTTACGCCTCGCCGCCGCAGGCAATGTATCAGTCGCCCGCGCAACAGTATCCGCCAGCGCAGCCCGCCGCATACAATGGGGCTGGGCTTGTAGTGGGTGATGGCTTCCGCGAGGCGCCTATTCATCGGCCGTACCCTTCACAGCAGGGATCTTATGCGTCACAGCAGAGGCCATACCCACCCTCACAGAATGGGTCGTCGGGTTCATGGGCGCAGCCGCCACCAACCGAACAGGGCGAGGTAAATATGGCGGGTCGGGGAACGTTTAGACGTTGATGACTCGATACGAGGCGGCGTAGGCTCGTTTTAATTGTGTTTAATCTGTATTGCTTATAGTTTTAGTCGGTTCGCCGCTGCCGCCGCCGCTCCTCCCACACCCTCCACATGACGCGGCGCTGCATTCCTCCCTCATCATTGTCACCACTACCACCCCACCACCGCATATGTCATCACCATCGCCATCACTGCCCTGATCGTCATCGCATCTCTTCCTATCTGGTCTATCTGGTTCACGGTATACATGGACGTTGTCGGTTACTCTTACTTAGGCTTTAGAGGTTCACACTTTCAGGGTGAGAAAGGCTCGCGCGCCCATTGCTTATCATACGCTGTCGAGCGTACCTGTCGGAAGGGTTCCGAATCTCGATGGACTCGACTCGCTCGACTCACAACTTCGCACTGTCCTACGATCTTTTTTTTTTATTGTGGCAACTGGTCCCCGAGGGACCTAGGTGGAACGGATTGTGGGGCGATCGTGGTGACCGCGGTGTCGCTCGCCTGCGTTTCGTTTTTGTGTCGTTTTAGCACCAGCACGGACTCGCTTCGTCTAGTCGGTATACTCACTATCTGCTGTTATCTTGTCCTTGTCGTGAAGCGGATCCTTGAACGTATGTAGGGTGAGCGCTGGCTGTACGAGTACTTTTGTACCGTGCTGCATTCTTGCGAGGATCGTTGGGTCTGTCTGCCACCGGGATCGCTACGAGCGTGTAAGCCTCCTCTGGTGGATCGGGATGATGTTCGTGTTCGGCGTTGCAGCAGTTTTCTGATCATGGCAGTCCATTCAGTCGGAAAGACTGTCACGGACAGTAAGTATGGGCTCCCTGCTCTTCACCAGACGGTGGCAGTTGACGTGATCGAGATCCTTACCTCTTTTGTTCTCTCTGGGGTGGAAAGTCACCTGTCTTTGGCATGAAGCCATTGCCTCGAACAATTGGAGCAAGATGCTAGTTTAAAAGAAACAGCCAGGTCGTCAAGTTTCTGCTCGTAAAATGAGTGCTACCAGAGCTGATGATACTGTCGTGCTTGTTCCTGGTATCGTTAGGGAGCAGGTCTCTATCCAGAGTCATTCTTCCGGGAAACGCAGAAGATCAAGCACCGCAATGGACCAGCCTGTGAAGCAAGCCTCTCGTCGGGGATGTCATTCCGCGATATTGCTTGCCATGGTGATGGAAGGATAAGTGTACGAACGGAACGCTGAAGTGTTTCAATACTGGAGTCTGGCAGCAAAGACCACGGGCACTTGCCTGAACTTGCTAACACCTTACCAAAGTAGCTCCAATACTCGCAATGAGTGAGAGATTCTTTTATTTTTACGTCATGATGCTTGAAAGCTAAGTTGCAGTACATGATCGTGGCACATCATGTTCATGCGAGAATCGCCAGTGCTATCAATAAATAGGACGTCGAGGATCATCCTTCCTTATGAATTCAGCGACATCCTCAGTCGTCATCTGCTCGAATATCCTCGTGCCTTTGGATATCTGCCTTGACGGCGGCAGACCTTTCTCCATTCGAGTTCGAAGTATTTCACCTGCATCAATCATCAACTGCTCTAGATGCTGAATGTCATCCTCCGGCACGGGAATTTGTCCGAGCGAGAACCGTTATTCTCCCAAGCCATACACAGTGTAAGCAGAGGACGAAAGAGCGCTTTCTGCTCCATGTGTGGACTCCGCAGGCTGAGAATCCTCTCCGACAATGCTTGGACTGCCCGGGTTGGAACCGACTGTCGCAGACTCCGACAAGTCAACGAAAGCTCGCCTATAGCAAGGACTGTCATAGCCTCTGTCACGGCGAACAGAAATGATAAACATCCAGCCTTTGTTGGGGCAGTGTTGAAGCGTTGGGACAGTGACAACGCTGCGTTCGTCCTGCCATCACATGTGTGCGCATGATGTCTTCGTCTTCAAACAATGCTGTGATTATGTCAATCAAGGTCTGAACGACACGGGAAGGGCTGATGTACGAGACGGAGACCCAATACGAGTTGGGGCCCATCTCCACAGAAGCAATAGCAAAGGCGACCGGAGCATCGGGATGTGGCGAAAAGAGATACGGATGAATGAACGCGTCAATGAACTTGAAGAGTTCATGTTTATCTGAAAGAAGCGAAGCCACGTCTTCGTTATTGAAAGATGAACAGTCAAGAAGAACAACACGCCTTAAATGCTTGAGAAGAATCTGCTCAACCGTCTTGATACCGACCAAGTGATTGTGAGACAGATTGAGAACTTCGATGGACTCAAAAAAAGTCAGAAGTTGAAGAACTTGGGCTGTCCGTAAAGACGGATATGTCAAATTGAGGAGGTCGAGTAACAGGGACATTGCCTCATCGGGGAAAGAGGAAAGCTCCTAGAGTTTGGACCTGACAATCGAGCGTTTGTCAGGCTGCGCAATGACGTTCCGCATCAATGAGGTGTCCCCGCCTTGTATGATGGAAGCGATGGAAGGCTCGATAGAGATGTCAACAAGGCTGGGAATAAGTATGGGTGATTCATGTGCAAGAACCTCATATGCGAGAAAAGCAGACAATGCTTTCACCCTGTATTCCGAAGACCAGGTATCCGCGAGCACGCTGTAATCAAGCAGTCTCATTATAGAGCGATGCGATGACGGAAACAACATCCTCCTCAAGACGATAACCGTGGGCGAAAAATCGATGAGAACCTGGATAGTACGCGCGGCAGTACTGTTTGGCCGTCAATGGCTTCCATGAAGGGACCTGACCACGTGATTCCAAGCCACCCACAGATACAAAGCAGTAAGCAGGAGATTGACAATTTGTGATGTCGATAAGTAACAGTGATCTCGTCATTGTTGTCTACAACACGATTAGTGATTCAACAGCTGGTAGTAGATTGCACTATCTCACCTCCATCCCCGCTACCCATAGAAGGCGACAACAAATAGCAGGCATTCCCGGGGGCACAGAGTTTCTGCGGCTCCAAAAATGCAGACCAGCACGACAAAAGTAAAGATGCGGTGTATGGACATGGGTTATCATTGTCTTCTAGTGACTCCCAATCGTCTCGAATCTTGTCAAGCTCCCAACGAACGATCTCCGCATTTTCAGGAACTCTCAGGAGTGTTAGAAAGCGACGAGTAGCACGCAATGGCAGGCGCCCGTAGCACCATTGGTGATGCAGCGCCACTATACATCGATATCCTCGACGAAGGGAGTTGACAGGTGTGCCTTTGGGTATGACCTGTGCCACAACGAGCACTTGATGACGTTGACCTATCTATTCCCGGTAGAATTGAAGTGACCTAAACTAGAGTGAGTGTTCAAGAGAATTTTGAAGAGAGCATTGAGCAAGTCTTTGGCAGTGTCGATCTGTGTCGATGGCGCAGCAGTGGTCAAGGTGTTGGGTTCTGAGCGGCGCGTGGCGTAGAAATTCAAGCCGACGCGCTTGCGGCATCCCAGTGACATCCCTCGGTGGCTGACAAGTACTATACAGGAGGTGGACTCTAGGGATTCTTAAGTAGGTCACCGAAGAATACTTGAGTAGATGACCGAAGAAATGGCACTTTCGCAGACTTTCGCGCGTTTGCGAGAATCTTCTGCAACTCGAACAACCCGCGCGAACGGTTATTTCAATACAAGGTGTTGTTAGTCTCCTCAGCCAGACGGGACCAGGCGGTGCCCGAAGGGCTGTGGAAAGCAAGAGGGAGGGTGCGATAAATCGAGATGTTAAGTGTTGTACTAAAAGGGGATTTCCGCGGCAAAAGAGACGGAACGGTTCGGACATTGCCGCTAGCTCCATTACGCCAGGCCACAAACTGGCCACACTCAGCTGTAATCATTGCCACAGATAACTAGATACCTTTCTGGCAAGTTGATAGGTGAGGTAAGGAAAGCGTTTTCCTTGATTGACTGCCATCGCCAGAATGCCTCGCAGTCTCCACTTCAAACGGACGCCGGCGGAGCAGGCCGCGCACGATGCTCGCAAAGCTCGCAGGTCAGCGCGTCGAGCAGAGAAACAGGGCGAACCCTCTCGCAAACGTCAGCGGCGCGAACGAGACTCGCCGAAGCTGCGTCGCTGGGCATCTGACGATGAGGATGACGATGGGAACGGGAGCGAGGAATACGGCCCTCAGCCTGCTCGACCAGGCGCAGGTCCGTCGCGACATATGTTCGACCCAGACGCGATTCGCGCGGAGGTCGAGGAGGCACGATTTCGGGAGAAGATGTTTGGGGCATTGGATGACGACGAGCGTTTAGACTTTGTGGAGGCGCGTCTCAACGACTATGCTCATGTGCCGAAGCGGTGGAGGGCGCATGGGTTTGGCGCTGGTGGAGTGGATCAGGATCAGGACCTGTTGGACGCAGACCCAAGATTGATGGAGGATGAGGAGTACGTTGAGTGGGTGCGTGCAGGAATGTGGAGGTAAGTGCAATAAGGCTCAAAACTTTCTGAATATTTCTAATCTAAGACTATGATATCTGTTCACGCTGATACTGTTTTTTTCCCTCTTCTTTGTTCGTAGGAGGAAGCACGCTGCAGAACATGCAGAACAGCAACGGCAGCAAGCCGCGTTCGCTGCCATCCAAGCGGAGGCGGCGGCGCGGGAAAAAGCAGCGGCCAACGCTCGTCGAACGAAACGGCGAGAGCGAGAGCGCAGGCGCGAGCGCGATACGCGCATGCTCTATGACCAACGCTGGCGGGAACTCCTTCAGCCACCTGCCATCAATTCGGAAGAACCTGCCGTCCTATCTTTCGTCGATATACCCTGGCCCATCCTGAAGGGCAAGCTCTCGGACGGAGAGATGCTGCACGCTATCAGCGTGAAGGAGCTCACTGCAGAAGCCATATCATCGTTCCTCTTTTTATTGGATATTGAGCAGGATCTAGATCCCACAGGGCTCGCTAAGATACGCAAAGAGCGTCTGCGCGAGACGATGTTGCGATTCCACCCAGACAAGTTTGAAGGACGCGTGATGAGTATGGTACGCGAGCAGGACAAGAGTGCTGTGCGCGAGGGGGTTGGCGCTGTTGTGCGTGCCGTGAGCGCCTTGATGGGGGAGAAAGCTTCATAGACGGTTGGTGGCATGTACGCTTATCTACAAACCATCTCAATGTGAGAAGGCTGACGACAATGAAGGTCGTACCAATATTTAGGTTCCTCCCCTGAGCAACAAACCCAGTTCGGAGGCGAGGTCTTCTACGGCTTACTGAAAAGTCTAGTTCCGTTTCTAATCAAGTCCGGCCCCTGTTGTTCGGATCATGCAATCTACTCAATTTATACCAACATGCTACGCTGAACTGCCTCCACCTTGGTTAGTCGAATGTGTATTTTCTAACGTCTTGTATGGATAATCCCTGTGTGTATTCTAGCCGCGCAATCAGTCCGGTGGTCTACCTTTTTGTTTTCTTTTTGGGCAAATTTCAGCTGGGCACTTGTGTCCTACGGCGTTCAAAGCCACTAAGGAGTGCAAACATATAATGAGGTGTCGACCCACCACACGAAGCCGAGCACGGCTCAAAGCATCCGAGAACGATGAGGCGTACGTCTGCTTTCGGCATCGGAAGTAGGTGGATGCGTCATGTGCACCAAATAATGGGGATGCATCCGACTAGTTTCTCACCTTAGTGGCGCATCCGACGAAGGCATTCGTAACCCATGTTTTCGAGATAAATACCACGAAGGCCAGTGGGCCGACGGCTTCAGAGCTTCTCACCCCCTTTTTGACCTTATCATCATGGCCAAGTTGTCTATCTTGCAGTTTATTCGCGATCAGTACAAAACCGTCCCCCCGGTGGTCAAAGTCGACCTCTCGGGCAAGACAGTGTTGGTTGTTGGGGCCAATACTGGTCTAGGGTTGGAGGCTGCGAAACATTTCGCGTCAATGAATCCGGAGAAGTTGCTCCTTGCGTGCAGGAACGCGGAAAAAGGACAGCGAGCCATTGAAGGTATACGTTTACCGCTCGTACTTGGAACATTGTTCATTGACACAGACGCATACCCCAGCTATCGAAGCCGCTACTGGCTTCACAAGGTCTGAACTGCGAATCGTCGATCTCAGCAAGTTTTCTTCCGTTGTAGAATTTGCCAACAAGTGTGATAACGACAGAGAGCGCCTGGATGTATATGTTTACAATGCCGGTGTGTATTTTGCCGACTACGAGGCTACCGAAGATGGCTGGGAGACGACGTATGTCTGATCATCTATTGTGTTCTACGCAACTCATCTGGGAATCAGATTGCAAGTGAACCACTTGTCGTGCATGCTCCTCTCAATTCTCCTTGTGCCCTGCCTGTTCAGGGCGGTTGGGGCGCCATTGTCACCATCCCCCTATCCGAGGATGGTCATCGTTGCCAGCGATGCCCATTTCTGGGCGACTCTATCGGAGGAAGAATTAGGTAGCAACAACATGATCCTTAAGCTGAATGATAGAGAATATTGTAATTCTTCGTACGTATAGTCCCTGCGGTAGTTCATGCTCTTCACCTAACCTACGCTCTACCAGTGTCATGGGAGACCGCTACGTTGTTTCCAAAAGTAAGGCCGATTAAGTGAATCATGATCAAATCGCTAATTTCTGCTTAGTGCTCAACGTCGTCTTTGCACGAGAGCTCGCCGCTCGTCTCCCCTCTGACTCACCCATCATCGTAAACTCAGTCGATCCCGGGTACTGCATATCGGAATTGCGTCGTAGCTTCTCTGCTCCGCGTATGGCCTTCGACAAGTTGATGGAACTGGCTCTCGCTAGAACGACAGAGCAAGGTAGTCGACAGCTCGTGTGGGCCGCAGTGGGCGGGCAAGGAAGAGAGCCCGAGCTACGAGGAGCATATGTGTCTTCCGCGGACATCAAAGACCCCAGCGATGTTGTGCTGGACAAGACCGGGGCGGTCACTCAAAAACGCATTTTTGTGAGAAACCTACTTTCAAGAGGATGAACCACTGATTGAATTTGATTTTTTTTTTTTCTTTCTTAGGATGAATCGATTGCTGTTTTGTCGAAAGTATCTCCCAGATTCCAGGCCATCCTTGAAGAACATCGATTGAAGTGATATGTAGTTGGCAGTTCCAGATAGCCTTCAGTTGATTACAATATATATTCCTGACTTCAAATCATTTCCAGGCTAGCTTGGGGCATTTTTTTGGGGGGGAATCCGGGTGCTGGGGGTGCAGCTCTGCTTCCTCACATGCTAGTGAAATGTGCATTACTTCCTTACAAACACCGATACAATTATTCGACGGCGTAGGTAGGATCGATCTGTCAGTTATGCAAATCAAAAATCAAGTTTTAGTTTATAATTATCAAAAACTGTGGGCATGAATCGAAGGACCTATTTGCCTCTGGTTGAGGTTCATAGTACATATATCGGATATTCATCCGTATTGAACATGGCAAAGGCCTGGCAGTCACGTTGCACCCGTCCTCCGGAGTCCGTATGTAGCACAAGCCCTTTATACACTCGCCTGATCTCTGCCGGCGACTTTACACCAGCCAGTCTCAGCTCTGATATCATACCAGCGGATTCTCGTTTTGGTTGCGTCCTAATAACTGCACAACGAACCAGTGTTGGGGGTAGAACTCCACTGAGAGCGCTCATAGAAATGGCACACAACCCTTCAGTTCTCGCGCAGGTCTGGCTGTTGTTGAAACAAGTAGACTACGAGTCAGTCTATACCGGTGCGTTGTTCTGAATAAACAATTTTATTCTTCTCATCTATCTGCAGTATCTAAGCGGTGGTTTCTATTCGTGCCAACTGTCATCTTTCCTGCAACCTTCTTCTACGATGCACCCTTCGGCCGGTTCTCAACACCAGGCAGCCTACTTGCGTTGGATGGGATCAGGTCATGGATATTTATGGAGCTCATCTCCCCCATGTCATTCTTATTGACTGCATTCCTCCATCCGTTTTCGCGTACACCCCTCTCAGTCCTTTCACCTCAAGCCCTCCTCACCGCACTCTACCTGACACACTACGTCAATCGCGCTGTTCTCTCCCCGCTCCGCACACCCTCCAGAGCACCTTCCCATCCAGCTGTAGTCGTTTCCGCCATCTTCTTCAATGGCCCCAACGGTTTCCTCCTCGCAGCGTACCTCACCTCCACCGCAGCCGCCACCTTCCTGGCTAATGCATACACCCACCCGCGCTTCTGGCTTGGCCTCATACTATGGGCCGTCGGCTTTGCCGGCAACATCATTCATGACGAGATCCTGCTCAACATACGCCGCAAAGCCAAGGCAAAGGGCAAAGCAAAGGAGAAGTCTCAAGGCGAGCACTACTCCATTCCGCACGGCCTGCTCTACAAATACATTTCGTACCCCAACTACTTTTGCGAGTGGGTCGAATGGCTCGGCTTCGCGCTCGCAGCCAGCCCGCTGCCGGATGTGGGGCTCTTGCCTGCGGCATCTACCGTGTTGACTGCGCTGTCCGCAGGGTCCGTGAGCGCGGTGGGAGGGCTCTTCACGCTGTTTGCGGACTCGGTGGCTCCGCCATGGGCGTTCCTCGCGGCTGAGGTGCTGCTCATGCTGCCGCGTGCGGTACGTGGGCACAGGTGGTATCTGCAGAGATTTGGGGAGGCGTATCCGAGTGGGCGAAGGATCGTGGTGCCGTTTTTGTTTTAATGTACCGTCTCGACATCTTGGCAGGTTCGTAGACAGTGATGTAGTTTTAACTTATTGAGAGGGATTGAACAGCGTCGTCAACCACTCCATCATTTCATCGTATCGGCGTTCACGCGTTCACGGCTGTTCTTCCCGACATCCAAGAGTAGCTTGATTTGGTGGAACATGAGGACCTATCAATGGCGACACGAGTCTTAAATAACCCCGATAACATGAGACGAATTAAAATGAAATCGGCTGCAGCTAGTCCAGTCCCGTCTACATGTTGCAGCACAGCATGAGAGCTCCTGCATCACGAGCAACGATCATTTATTACTCGCACCGTACCGAGCTTTGCGACCCCAGTCGAAGGGAACGTAGCGGTATTTGATCATGTGTCTGTTATGAGTGTCAACAAGACGAAGGTTTGGGATGGACGCGATACAAGGCACTCACTGGATCTGTCTCCTCATTGTGAGGATGAACAGGACAAAAAAGTACATGACAAGGATGGGCCAGTACACTGGGACATCGAAGACCACGGAGAAAGTCATGAAGAACGAGATGATTGTCGCGCGAGTCGTCGAAAGCCTGAATGAGTACAATATACGTTAGCAACCAGACAAAACGCTCCACAGAGATGAAAGGTGATGAATCTCAGTGAAGAAAAATAAAATCGCACGCACCAAAATTGCCATTCTGGAAGCCGGCGCACAAATGGACGGAACTCGTCATCGCGGGCGCTGGGAAGGGGAGAGCGTTCTCCCTCAGCACCGCCCTCCTCTATCTCGTCCGCCATGAGGTCATCCTGTAGTGACGGGTCGAATTTGGGTTGCAAGAATGCGAGGAGGAGGTTGAGAATGTATATTGCGTGTGCGTCTAGCATCGGTAGAGCGTCAACTGGGGCACGAGTGCGGTTATGGGGAGCACATACAGCATACTGCAAAAGGTGGTTCAAGACTCGGTTTGAAAAAAGGGAGAAGGAGGGAGACACACCGATATACCACTTTTTAGAGATGAATGCAAATGTGCACGTCAGCGCGTCCGCTCCACGGCTCATGGGAAACAGCGCAACTCACCCCTTGCGCCAATACGATTCGCAACTCGAATAAGGACACGATGCCGACCGTGGCAAGCCAACGATAAAGGATATGGGGTGTCGCGCGATCTAGCTGGTGTTGGTACTGTCGCTGAAGGCGCGCATACGTCCCAGAGAAAGACTGGAGCGGGCCTGGAAGGTCTGAAGGTTCGGAGTTCATCATCGTTGAAAATTGGGATCGCCGATGGATAGCAGGTGTATGGAAGAGACTATTATGTGCTAGTCAACCAAATGAATGGTGCGGTATTAGTTGCGTTCGTAACTTTTGAAGAACGGAGAGGAGACAAGTACAACAGCGGTTGTACTCGAGCGAGCTCTGAAAGGAACAGCTCAGCGTCCTCTTTCTGACGTAATCGAATCTTCATATGGAGTCGTCAAGTAAGGTTGGGGTTAGGGCTATGGGGCTCGCCCGGGCCGCTCGGTTCCTTGAGCTGGTCACCGTCGCAAACGATGAGCACCTCAGGAATTAGGCCCTGGCCAGGTTTGTGTTCCTACCACAACAATGTCTCTTTTGATTCCAGAGAAGCCCGGTGCACTTTCGCCCATCCTCTCTCACATCCGCGCTCATCTCACTTCTCCTGCACCCTCACAAAAGCCCGACTCATCCCCGCTCTTCGTTGCGATTCAAGGCCCTCAGGGATCAGGAAAGACGTTTTTGACGCAACATATCGCCGCCGCACTTTCAGAAGATTCGCTACGCGTTGCGATGCTCTCCATTGACGATCTTTATCTCTCGCATGCGGATCTTGCAGCACTTGCGGATGCGTACCCTTCCAACTCACTTCTGCACGGGCGTGGACAGCCTGGGACACATGATATTGACCTCGGAATCTCTATTATGCTCCGTCTTAAGAGCATCAATGCTCCATCTAGATCAGAGGTGGTGAAGATACCATTTTTCGATAAGAGTCTGTTCAATGGCGAGGGAGATCGTATACCAGAAGCTGAATGGACTTTAGTCAAAGGTCCACTTGATGTTGTCCTATTAGAGGGGTGGTGTGTGGGATTTTACCCGACGTCGCGTGAGGTGATAGAGGCACGAATGCAGGACACGCCTAGGGGATTGGAGGGCGTCTTCGACATGGAGAAGTACAGTTTAGAGAGCGTATTGGAGGTGAATAAGAAGTTAGTGGAATACGTGAAATGGTGGGAGATGTTTGATGTTTTCGTACAGGTGAGCAACATTATCTCTACCTTTATGACCGTTTCAGATGCTTGTGATATAGATTACCCCATTGGACACACACCCTTACGTGCACATCTACAAATGGCGTCTCCAGCAGGAACACGCCATGAAAGACAAGAATGGCGGGCAGGGCATGTCTGATGAACAAGTCAAGGCGTACGTCTTGCTGATCTATCCGTGATCTTCATCTCTCACCTCTCGCCTTCGAAATGCTATCGATGAATGACAGTTTCGTAGACCGCTACATTCCCGGCTACCACTTTTTTGGAGACGGCATTATTGCTGGAGGTAGTGACCCCACTTCTGGAAGCGCCCTTCACCCACCGTGGCTGAGTCCTACCGAACGCGGTGACCGGCCTGCTGGCCTCCTTCTACGCGTGACGATCGGCGAGGAGCGACAAGTTGTCCAGGTCACTACACGTTAGTAGATCGTGATGCCCAAGGACGAAGATATCTTTGTTTTAGGATATTTTTGTATCGGTGCGTTATCCTATCATCTCAAGACTTCTTAAGACATGCGAAGTCCAGTATGAGCTGGGTGATATCCCGGTGATATCATCCATCCTGTCGATAGCCATAAGACACCGATCACACCATGTGGACAAGGTTCCACCGATGTCAATACATGCAGCTCTTCGCTCAAAATAGCCAGGTAGGTTCAAGAGGCCATTGACATTCTGTGTTCCCCACCGGTCCTGTGGACCCATAGCTTCCATTTCTTCTTACCGTTATCTTCTTACTGCAATTCAGCTCTAAATCTCTTGGCCATGCAACGGTCACCTCTGCTCGACCTCGGAAAAATTCTCGACGAAGGGCCACGGGGTACCGCAAACCTGGGTTCGAATCAGCAGAATGTCCGAAGGGGATAAGGAAGTCAATATCCACACCTGCAAAGGCGCCGGACGGCGGTTTCGAAAGGACGGGCAGATCACCATTTAGGACGTTTCTGTGTGACGGACCGATATAACACCGGAAGGACATTCCAATGGTAAGGCAGACGAGCTGGACGCGATATATACGACGCTGATGCCTCAATATACTTCAGCGCAATGCCACCGACAGTAGTGGCCCATGGTAGAAGGTTGAAGTCAGGGCCGATTGAAATCATGAGCATCTTGAAGACGTTAGCGAATTATAGCCCGGATTTATGTACAGTCCTGCAACTCGGTTTCCTATAGACGCAGTACTTGCCGGGATTGTACCGACGTGTGGGAAGCGCCTCGAAGTACGGAGATGTATCTGCATCTAACGTTAGGTGTGCGGTTGTTTCATTCCCTGGTCTATTCGTTGAACCTGTTGATGTTTTGATAATGGATCCCTAACCAACCGAGACGTTGTGTCAGGCAGAGAGCACCGGGGAACAAGTGCAAAAGGCGGAGCGAAACATTTTAATAGGCAAATTAGAACATTAGCAAGGGCTATCAAGCCCTTAGTCGGGGAATCTGCTCCTCCAGTACGGGTCAAGTACCGGTAGCTTCTCACAAGCAGCGCTACAGACGAGGCTCGAGAAGGAGCTTTTAAGATGACCATTCATTTGAACCAATGCAGAGCAGAGCGCTTACATGGTGAAGGGTCGCGATAGGAAAATAGCTCGGAAATGGCGGGGGGCAAGGTGAGCATGTGCCAGACAGACGGTGTACGTGCGATACGCTATGAGAGGAAATCGCGCAGACCATTCTCGAGATATTAAGAGAGTCAATTCCGGTCGATGTGCGTCTCGCACACCCATGTTTCTCACTGAAGGGAATCCTTCGAGGGCCGCCTCTGTTTATAGCCTTTCGCACCGCTTGCGCCAATCTTGTTCCGTGCGGCTCTCTTTACGGAGTCTTCGGGCGATTCTCGGCCCAGTATGACGTGTCTTCTAATGGTCGCCGCTGGCGTCAAAACGCTTGGTCTCAACTTCATTGTACCCCGCTGTTCCTGATGGCAATGTATATCAGGGACACTACTGGACAACACCGTTTTTGCAGGAGTGAAACAACAGGAACTTGCTGACGGTAAGTGATGCTCTATGGTCGCTTAGAAGGGCTCATTTACGAGGGGCTTCCAAGTTGAGCGTCAAACAGTGACCGGAACAACCTGGAACCCGCCACTGACGCAATGTCACAAAACTAAGTATGCAAAACTTACACCGCGCTTTCGGGCACAATCTGTTACCGTTTATCAAGACCATCAGAATCGATCTTGACAATCGTATGTATGCAGCATATTAATATTCTAAAACACGGTGCAAAGCTTGCACCGGCATATGAGCGCAAACTTTCGACGTGCTGCGTGTAAATCTCACATCAAGGCAAGGGCACAGCATACTGCAATCATCACCGTTCAAGGAAATTGAAACATCGCTGTATGGAAAAGCAATGACAGAAAAACATTTGGAGTGTCCAAGCAGTGTACGTAGTTGACAGGGAGGCGCAAAAAAATGCGACTAGTACACGTTGTGACATCAAACTCTGAAGGAAAATATGTCCCTCAGCAGCATATGGAACCCAAGAATGCAGCCGCCTTGTCGAGTTTGGACATGAGATCCTGATTGCGCGAGGTCGAAACAGCGCGGAAGGATTTCATTCACCGTGGGAGTCGGTCCCGGTCAATCCTGACAGACCCTGACCCGGTGTTTTACGCTCGCGGGTTGACACCACCACGCTTTCTAGGTATTCAACTTCTCAAGCTGGCTTCAACTTTACCATTTTTGATGGTAATTCATATCGTAGCCAAGTCACCCCAGACAAGCATGCAGGGCTTTTCGTCTCCAATGCTCTCAGAGTTTCACCCGCCAGTCTCCGGGAGGTTTCACCTCGCAGTCACCTCGGGGTGAATCCGCACATTTAAAGACCTCGGCACTTCTCTGGAATCAGTACTCATAATCCTACAGCCCTCACTGAGCTGCTGGACAGTCTTCTCCCAGTTTAACTCGGCACGCCGGGCGCCTCGCCTCACCGTCTGCCTTACTCCTCCAGTTCGCAGATACCTTGGAAAGTGCTGAACGCCTCTTTCTACTGCTACTCCGCAATGTCTCAACCTGTTGTAATTGGCGATCCTGAGAAGGGCACGATGGATCTCGTCCTTCCGGCTGAGCTACCCCCCATTCATGCGAAGGATCTCCACAACAGCTCTTATATGAGCGAGAAGTCGAATGTCACTAGCAGTGTAGTGACGCCCACGCTTCCATTGAAACATCAGGATGACAGGAAGCTAAAGCCACAGCCAAAAAAACGAGCTGGATGGCGCATACGTGCTCTCCTATGGTTCAACACTTATCGGTTAGTTATTCCCCTTCATAGCATGTTGAATTTTCAAGTTCATTATCTTATAGGAAATTCTTTACCGTCATCGTGACATTGAACGGGGTCGGTATACTTCTTGCTGCCCTTGATATATGGCATTATCCACGAAAATACACTAGTGCACTCGTGCTCGGGAACCTTCTAACCGCTATCCTGATGAGAAATGAACTCTTTGGTCGTCTCTTATATCTAATGGTCAACACTCTATTCGCCAAGGTAGGGCGCTCTCTCTTTCTCAATGCCATTAATGTTGACACCGCTTGATGACAGTGGACACCACTTTGGTTCCGCCTTGGTTGCACATCAGCCCTCCAACATCTTGGCGGCATTCACTCTGGTTGCGCGACTTCTGGATTTGCATGGCTCATTTTCCGCGTTACTCTCATATTCATTAACCACAAAAATAACCACGATGCCATTCTCGTCACGGGTGTCGTCACCAATATCGCTGTCGCAATCAGCATCGCGAGCGCTTTCCCATGGGTACGCAACACGCACCACAAGTTCGCTATCTCTGTCCCTTATAGCGTCATCGAGTCTGACGTGCTGTTTTGAAGTGTATTCGAGAGACATCACAGGTTCATCGGATGGTCAGTTCATCAGAATTGAATCGTATTAGTTGTCGTTTCTAAATCAATGATCTGTGACTAGGCTTGGTCTACTGTCGAGTAAGTCTCGCTACCTGGTCATGTAGGTGTTACTGATCTGTCCACTTCGCAAAGCTTGGGTGTTTGTCGTCCTTGGAGACAGCTATGACCTCACTACCCACTCTTGGAACCCAGACGGCGCTACCATTCTGCGACACCAAGATTTTTGGTTCGCGTTCGGGATGACTGTATTGTAAGAGATTTTGTCCGTCTAAAATCGTCCAAAATTGAATCTTGACAATGCGCAGTATATTGATCCCATGGTTCACCGTTCGTGAAGTCGAAGTCGACGTCGAAGTGGTTCGTATCTTTTGCACGCACGCAACTTCTTATCTCCTGCTGATTGTGCTCTTGCAGCCTTCGCCCAAAGTAGCCATTCTGAGATTCAAGCGGGGCATGCAGCAAGGGCTCCTCGCACGGATCTCACGGTCGTCCATAATGGAATACCATGCCTTCGGTATCATATCGTGAGTGCGTTTCAATCACCGGTTGATCTTTTCTCATGCCTTGAGCGATATGTAGCGAGGGCACACATGCCAAGTATCATTATTTGATATGTGGGGTCCAAGGAGACTTTACACGGAGCCTCGTCACCAACCCTCCTACCCATATCTGGACACGACAGCTAAAAGTATGTCGATTTACGCATCTTCAATAATATGTCCCTCACAAAATGCAGTTCGCTGGCGTGTCAAATACTTCCGCCCTCTACCACAGAGGTATACGCGTTTGCACAGGCACAGGGCTTGGAGCTGCGCTTTCAACTTGCCTGCAGGTATATACTTTCTCGACTCACGCTGAAGTTTGACCCTGACACTTCTTTCAATAGAGCCCGAACTGGTGAGGCATAATCCACGAGACCCTCAGAAGATGCTCAAATTGATCCTTCCCACCCAGGTATTTGATATGGATTGGTTCAGACCAGGAGAAAACTTTCGGGCCCACCATCTCAGGCCTGATTCACCGCCATATCGGCCCCGAACGCATGTGTCTGTGGGATTCTAAACAGCGAGGTATGTTACAGCCGGGTCTTCTTTCCGCATTTCGTCGAACTCAACACCATCTTGCTCTTGCGTGAAGGCGGTCGACCAGATGTGATGAAATTAGTGAAAGAAACTTATGCGTCATGGGGGGCGGAAGTTGTCTTTATCACATCAAACTATCAGGGGAACACAGAGATCATGGAAGGGTGCAAGGAGGCGGGGATTCCCGCGTTCGTGAGTAGTCTCAACATATTCATCCCCTTATTCTTATGTAGTACTAACTCTCACGATTGTTGAAGGGTACACTGTGGGATTTCTGATGAAGGATTAGCGTCTCACGGATTTGAAAGACCCATGTAGCACATAGTTCTCGTGGGCCTGTACGGGTGATATACCACGAAAGGTACTTAATAGTAATGAACAATCAATATATTAGACTTTCTCGGGACCATCACATCCGAAGGCGCTTCCAAGCACCGACATGATTCCGGTGTTTTCGCGGTCCAGCTTGCGTGAGTGAACCCGATGCATAGTGCCTCGATGTGAATCCGGAAGTGTTCATCCGGTTCAAGACATCATGTCAACCGTGTTCCTCACCCCACGAGAAGAATTCCCGAAGAAGAGGAGAGGCTTAGTCGGCTCAGACAAGGAAGACATCCGAAAACAACCTCGGAAGGGAGCTATGGATACAAATTAGAAGGTTCGACACGATAACTAGAAAATAAAGTTCGTAATTTGTGGGGTCAGGCTTGGGCACAGCAATCCGTACCCGTACATGGACAAGGATGAATGATATGGCCTTTGACATGAGAGTTCCAAGGAGAAATTTATTTTTCCTGTTCGTCTCAGGATATCAGGTGCCGGCATTTTGCGGGTGGTCTATCTTCTCGCAGGAGGTGGCAGTGCTTCCGGTGAGACGAAGATATTCTCTCGATACCATTTCAATTCTGGAAATGTGAACGAAGTAGACGATGAGGATTAAGTAGATTTTGGGGATGGACGGACGGACCTCGTATGGAGCCTCGTATATCGTCAAGCGCCCTTTGAAGCAGCAGATGTTTGTCTAGTCAGCCGACATTGACTGAGACATCGTTGTGAAGACCGACCGATGTTTGATTTCTTGAGGCGTGCTCAAGGACGGCATCCTTTTGTTATACCACCTTCGATGAAGTTCCTGTGTTGTGATTAGAACACGATGATGAGTGTATGTACATTTTATGTTCACCTTTATAGATGACACGTCTAACAGAGCCTGTTATCAGAAAAATCAATTATAAGAGGGTTTCAGACTTACCGACAATGCTGAAAACATCAAAAGCAAAAATTAGCGATGTTTAAAGACAAGGTGTATGGGATGGAGAGACCGATAGTGGAGCCAATTGACGACATCTGGCATTTCTTGAACTAGAAACGATCGATCTGCATGAACAGAGTTGCCAGCAAGAACTCCAACCCTTTGGTCCGGTATCCATTCTTTGATATATTGCAAAACTTTTTCGCGGACGAATGATAGAGTGAATTGAGACTCAAGGCATGCTTTCGTCAGTCCGGACTATGAAGTCATTAGAATACCAACGACATAACTGAAATGACGAAAGCACATACAAAACCATGCTGCTTTGTGCACCATTCGTCCATCCTGCTTATCGTTTCGAGACTGTCACAACTTTTGGATTCATAGAGAATCACTGACCCATCTAGATACTTTTTGTCTGTACGAATCACATATTCAATACCATCGTCCACGAGGTCCAAATTACCGTTTGTGATCAGCACCTGCGCAAGCAACATGAATGAAGACCTGATTTGAATCAAGGATATCAGACGTACTGCAATCTCCAATATCTTATCTTTACTGGGGTCAAGGCCAGTCATCTCGCAATCTATCCACACAAGCGGCCCTGCATTGAGGTTCAACGGTTTACGCGTGGTCATTATCGACTTGGTTCGATAATGTGCTCTTTGAAAGTCACAGTTCGCAAGGACTGTTGGGGAATTAATAAGTTTACGACCTCTGGGAACTTTCAGTACCCTTCTGAACATAGATAGAGATAGGTGGTAGCACTGCCCACGTGTAGAATGTCGATGGAGAACAAACACAGGGCGGCCTAAGCAAGGAGTCAAGACGTAACAGCCACCGCGGCCAGCGAGTACAATTTCGTCGGGGTTCCGACAGCATGGCGGCTGATAAGTTCAAACTTAATTTAAACCCATGAAAAGCTGAAGCACTAAAATCCGGACGCCACTCCAAGCTCCATACTCGAGAGGGACTTCAATGGTACAAAGCATGACTACTATTGTAGTTCAAGCGAGATGAATGGTAGCGTACACATACATCCTCACCGCAAGACAGCCCAATCATCCCTCGCAGGATCTCCACGTAGCGGGACCGGCAATCCTCTATCCTCCTGCTGTTGCACCTGACCTTCATTTTGCTGCTGACGCTCCTCTCTTCTCAGACGCTCCACCCATCGTCCACGTATGTAGAGTAAAACCGACACCGTCAAGCACAATACGACCAGCATCATTGTCTCTGCGAATTCATCGACGTCTTCCTCTCCACGATGCCCGCCACGTAATGCGCCATCGAAATAATCTTCTGGACCGAGGTCGCTATCTATTTCGGCCTCTGTGTTGCGTCGTTCTCGCGCCCACTATATATGCATAGCATGAGCAAGTTGCATTGAGAAAGATGAATGAACTGACCTGAACAGGATCATCATCATCACTAGGTGCAACCTGTCCTCGTCGGCGACGGTTAAACTCATCACGAGCACGACCAATGTACCAAGGTCCGTCATCTTCGTATTGTGCCCCACCAACGTCATCATCCACAGCCGACGCTTGATCTTCTCCGTCGACATTCTGATTACCATCCAATTCCGGCCTCCCGTCTTGTTGGACTTGTTCAGGAGAAACTACAATATGATGCTCAAGCGACTAATGACAAGAAGCATTGATCGCAACTTACAAATTTCCTCCTCATCTTCCCACAGACTCAGGCCACCAGAACCTCCCATGAGAGTATGCGACATGCTGCGCGCATATAACTTGACCAGCGACAATGTCACAGGGAGATATGCTTCACTGTTAGTCGCCAACGCTTGGTCATAATGGCGTTTAGCAAGGTGGAAGTCCTATAGGAAAAGGTTAGGCTTGCAAAATTAAAGATAGGACGGACGTACCTGAGGCACACCAACACCATTCTCGTACATCCAACCAAGATTCCACATCGCCAATGCGCTAACGAGTGTGTCGGCCGCAGATTGATAATATCCCGCAGCTTTTTCCCAACGTATGTTCTCCGGCTCATCACGTACGCCTAAACTATGATAATAATAGTCTCCAACTTTCACCAAGGCATCGACGTTGTTCTGGGCAGCCGAACGTGTCCATTGGGTCAAGGCAAGTCGTGCGGTATCATTGGATGGAAGGAAATTTGTAAAGCGCGTGTCTCGGAGCACACTTTTGTCTGATAAGTCATAGCTATAAGCAAATCAAATGAAGTATATTAAGCAATTGACACTTACCCTGATCTAGTACATATGCCAAGTTGTTTTGTGCAATCTCGTACCCCCGTTCGGCCGCAATCCACCAACTCAGCATCGCAGATTCTTTGCCAGCGTTTGTCTCTGTATTCCACGCTTGTTCACCGCTTGTCAACAGATCGTCGTCCCATGCTCCCCTTTCGGCCACCACCTTATAAAACGATACAGCTACTGAGCATGCGCCGCTCCTCATTTGCGGAGGCATCAGTTTCATCTGTTCGGATTGAATCTGTGCAAGATAGTAATAAGCCTCGAATGGAGATCCGTGCCTCAACGCCATCTCGAAATACGTTGTCGCGAGCTTCATCTCCTTCCGCACTAGGCACACGGGTTTGGTCAGGACATGCAATGAGGACGTTGAAGGAGAAGGGACACGCACAGTAATGATGTTTGCCTAGATTAACCTGAGCCTCTGCCAGCTCCTGGCCAGCCGCAATGGTAAAATACCCGACCGATTTCTTCAAGTCTCTCTTCCCACCCACGAGTCCATCGCGCCAAATGATACCAAGACCATTGTGACTTTCTTTGTCACCATACTCTGCCCCGCGCTCGAACCACATTCTCGCCATAGCGAAATCTGGACGCACTCCTTCTCCTCGAAGAAACATCCGTCCAATGAAGCCCGCAGCTGCAGCTGCATATCCTACGGGCCCAGTGCCCTCCTCGCGTCGTGGAGAGTGCGACAATGGGTCGACAGGGTCATGAGGCCAGATCTGTCGGGCGATGCGCGAGAAATAGTAATGAGCTCTGTCGAAATCGCGCGGCACGCGTCCGACGCCTTCTCCGCCAGATGCAGCTCCACCAGGTGAATGATAGATGCTTCCATGGTAGAATATTTTTCCAAGTCGAAACATGAAGTCAGTCTCGCCGCGATCCGCATTGAACTAATTTCAAAACCAGGTGAGAACCGCAAAGAACACGATAGAGTAGGTGGCTCCTACAATGTAATATTCGAGGATATCTTCCCACGTCTCGCCTGCTGCTCGCGCGCGAGAAGCTCGGATGGCAGGTCGTTGACCGTTGAGTCCTGTCGATGCAACGCTTGCACCTGGACCGTATACGCCACCGTCCAGATCCGACAGGCGAGTAGGGGTCAAGGGTAACGTTCTTCCACCAGGTGGCCCCGATAGGAACTTCGCCATAGCTAGGGGTCTCAATGAATAAGTGCCCAAGATGACGCAGATCTTGGATATTACCGTGCTCAGAAGCCTGCTCGTACCATTCCAAGGCTCTTCCACAATCTTCCAATACACCAATGCCGCTCCAGTATCGGTATCCCATGGCCATCTGGGCGCCCTTATCTTCCCCGTTCGCGGCAAAAGTGTAATATAGCTGCGCCTTGGCTTGGTTGACAGGGACAACATCATGATAACCTGTAGCATGAAAGAAGGCGAGTACGGACTGCGATGTAGCATTGCCTGTGGCTCCCGCGTGCACATCGAACGACCTATAGGCAAGTTTGGGGTTTGATGGGAAATGCGGTGTAGGTGGAAGCTGAATCATGCGTAGATAGGATTGTTGTGGATGTGTCCATTCGAGATAGGGAGGGAGACTTACCAAAGATATTTTCCCCAGCGTGTACAAGGCGTCTGTATTACCAAGTTCGGAGGCATGCTGCAATAAATCAACCACCTTGATGGCCCGACCTCGCAGTTCAGCATCTCGACGACGACGACCATAACCATCCCTCCCGACGCGTGAAGCGAGGAAACGCGGAATCCATGATTGATGGCGTAGTTTTATGGCAATACGCAACGCACTCGCGAATGGACCCTGACCTTGTGGGTTGGGAAGGAATGAAGAGAAGAAGGAGTTCCCCGAAGGCCAAGTCGGTGTAAATGTGGGGTCTGACGCGTGGGCTGATGGGACAGCCGATAGCGCTGAGAGGGTCACAAGAGCTTGCTTGTATGCACGAGCAGCTGCTCTCAAAGTCAGTGATGTCTGTGGAGCTGTATTCCGTAAGTCTGTACCTTCTCTTGTAGTATCTTCGGATGCAGGGATCTAAACATTGAATTTAGATGTCAAAAACATGATCATAATCAGAAAGGATGGAGGTGTAATGGATTCTTCATGAATGACTACAATTCACGGATCTGCTAGCTCTGCAGGCATTTCATCACCCACAATGTATCATGCACAGCAGGAAGATTGGAGACTGTGCAAGGTTAGGGTTACACGTCGACGCAGTGACGTTTCGCTTGTGTCTTGCCAACACTGGCACGCTCATTGTTGGTGAATGGAGTTGTAAAGTGTACTCACTAGACTACTCTGCTCGTTGCCTGAAGGTGATTGGGCCGCAACTCCTTCGCGTGAATCCCTCCCTTCGGCCTGGCGCAACGGATGAATTAGAGGTGGCACTTGCGTGAGAGCATGTGGCACTCACATCTAGTTGGACAGCTGGGACAACATTGGCCTCATCTAATACATGGGAAGAAACAGAGACAGCAGCAAACGCTATGAGGCCGAATGCGAGCCAGGCTGCTTTACGAATCCGTGTATTTCGTTTACGCGTCATTAGAACGGAGACGAATGAGGGCAGGAGATCAGGAGAGGGACCGACAGAGATGCTCCCGTGCACCACTGACTGTGCTGCAAGACAGCAAGCACGAGTAGAAATGTGAGGCTCGAGCTCGAGGCTAGAGTGATGTAGTTAAATTCGCGATTCTCGGCAAGTTGATAATACAAACACTTATCATATTTATGTTAGTCAAGTATTTGCTTACTGACAGCAAACCAATACACAGCCCTAATGACCTTTCGTTTGTCTATGTACATTTTAAAACATTATAGAAGAAGAAGTTCCTTCAAATATAATAGAGCCTCGACATCAGGCCTCAGGACTGAGTTGGAGAGGCCTTAGGTTTTAAGAAGCTAAAACACTAATTACGTAACCAATGATGTCGAACTTGTGTGCACCTCGCAAGTCATACTCGCTGGCGCGCGCCCTTCGAATTCCATACTCACTGTACTCACTAGTCCCTACCACAAATCTCTATCAGAACCCCGTCTGACCACTTCTTCACTTCTTCACTCGCCTCTGATATCATCCTTGACTATGGCGGAAGTGGACGTTCAATTTCTAGAACCACGCGTCCGAGCGATTCTTTCGGCACCTGGCACCGATTTACAGACCATCAGCGCCAAACGCGTCCGCAAGCAACTTACAGACGATGATGGTGTCACTGCCGAGTTTCTACGCGAGAATAAGGGACCAATAGACGATCTCATCGCGCAGGTCTTCTCCAAGATCTCAGAGGAATCCGGCCTTCACCAAGATGAAGGGGAAGGACAGGATGAAGATGAGGCTGACGAGGGAAGTAAAAGAAAAAGGAGCGAGGAGGAAGAGGACGGGGATGCAGGGTATGAGGAGGGAGAGGATGGCGAAGAAGAGGTAGACGACGAACAGGAGGTGGCAGAACGACCAAAGAAGAAGGCGAAGAGGACCGCGAAGACTGAGCTCAGTGACGCGGAGTACGCGAGACAACTCTCGAATGAGTTGAATGGGCGGTCGAGGAGCGCGAGGTCTGGTTCGTCGACGCGTGGGCGAGGCCGAGGGGCCAAAGCGAACGGCGGCGCGAAACGCGGGCGGAAAGTAAAGAGTGCAGAGACAGTTGATTCCGGGAACGAGGAAGAAGATGCTCCCAAAAAGAAACGAGGCGGCGGAGGGTTCAAGAAGGAATACGTTCTGAGGTGCGTCGGCCTTCATTGATATCATATGACGGTATGAGTCGAGCTGCTTTCTATAGTGAGGCTCTCGCTGCCGTCGTAAATGCGGAGAAGATGTCACGACCACAGGTTGTTAAGAACCTGTGGGATTACATCAAAGGCCACAGCCTGCAAAATCCCAGCGACAAGCGTGAAATCGTGTGTGACGATCGCCTTCGAGCTATGTTCGGCGTTGACAAGATTGGGATGTTCAAAATGAGCAAAGTCCTTGGACAGTGAGTTTCGACTTTCTGTCTCTTTATGCAGCCTTATTCATTCTGTTGTCAGACATCTCCATGAACCTGAGGCATGACGAACATAGTATGCTCCAGCTTGCTATTTCAATCGATGAGCGCAATCACGGCCCATCTTCATCGCTCATTCTGGTCCTGCATCGCACTTCGTTCTTTCCTAATGCTCTGTTCAAAGCATCTCCGCACCAGTTCACAACAGGCATATCAACGCGCCGGTTCGATGGCCACATCATAAGAATTGTAAATTGTAAATACAGACTCCACGAGCGTGTAGATACGCTTTTAATATCATGTAAAGTATCGTTTTTATGCATCTGTTATTCCTATTCGACGATGGTTTTTTTCTTCATCTCTTGATGAGTCTAGTTTTAATGGCCTCAAGCCAAGTGAAACCCGGGGGGAATCATTGACTGTGCATGTACTCAATAAGCATGTAGTTATGATGTTCAAGCGCAGCAGAGAATATCAACTATGGCAAGGTTCGAACCTACTTCACATGTACACACCATATACTGGGCTGACATGTGCGCATTGCTAGAATCTAGGATACAAAATCTATTCTGAATGATGCATATAGACACAAGAAAACGCTCTGCTGGACAGGAAAGAGAAGCTCACAAAACAAGATGAAATTATATACTCCATTACACAATCTCAAACAGGTGCGCCCTGGTCAGGTAAGCGCTCTATCGCATATCGCCTCCGTACAATGTACATGAGTGGTACACCCGGAACTTTCCGTATGCGACGACGGAGTTCGCGATCGCAGGTTGCGACAATGAAACATCGGCTCGCTGTGACACGTTGTACTAGACAGTCATCGGCATAGGTCCCGGTATGTGAACATGCGAGTCGCTCGAACCGAGGGTCACGGGCGATTCTACCAAACAATAAATGAAGGGGATGAGCACGGCTTGGGCAGAATTTGAGGAAGTATAGCTTACCGGAGGGCAACACGATACCGATGTCCAAGCTTCTCCAGTTCAGCCATGACACAGTCAGTGATACATGGGATACCTTCGGTACGAGCAATAAACACGTTTATGCTAGACATAGATAGGAGTCTGCAACTCACATTTGGCATAGAGACAGTCCATCATTCCACTGACCATTTCCAGCTTATTTTGTAGACTGAAGTTGATAAAATTGGTGTCGATGAGTACGCGGTACGGAGGGACGAGGGCAGTGTTGTGGGCGAGGAAGAGGGATGAAGCGAGTTGCGGACTGTCACGGATATGAAAATATAGTGAACGTCAATCACAGCCAATGTGTGCAGAATTTGGACTCACGCATGCCGAACTGCCTTAGCCTGGGCTTCTTCGTCCTTTTTCTTCTGCTTCACCTGGTTTTCCTTTCTAGAAAATAATCTCCTCAGACGGACACAGGCTCGCAAAAGAGGCATCTACACACAACCGGATATCATTGGGGTTGAGCATGCGCTTGACGGCGGCGAACTTGCGGGTCTTTTTCGCTTTTCCCTGAACCGAATATGTTCATAAACCATCGTATGGGCCCCATACGATTGTGTCTCACCATGCTGTATGAATATTTGAACGAAGATGTCTACGCAGAGGAGTGGAAGGGGAGGCTCGCGTGACTGTGAGATCCTTACGTATTCGATGGATCTCCAGTTCGCCCACGTGTGACTCTCGACGCGACGCTATTGTGGCACAACGCGCCTGCCACTGTTCCTCCAGCTCTCTCTTGTATTCTCTCTCCAGCATCCACTTGTTTATTCAAACGCCTCGTTCTGGACGAACGTATGTCTCACCCTTGGAAATCACCCGTCGCTCCATTGCCCCTTAACCCCGCACCCGCACAACACACAACGTCGCGACATGGGGCGCTTCGTCCTCCAATCTTCAACCCATATGATAAGTTTTCGCGATCACAATTCGACTCGTGGATTGGAGACATCACTAGCGCGCTCAGAAAGGCACTCCGAAGAGAGGAAGAGCCCAACAAACTAAAAGGCGATACGTCCCAAGTTAGCGACGCACCCTTGCGGGCTCGAGAAACCTCCGAGGATGAGGTGAGTCTATCAGAAGGACAAAATGTGGGTGAGAGCACGGAAGAGGGTGGAGAGGAGTCCGACGAGGCTCTGGAAGACTCTTTCGCGCATCTTCAGTCTCGAAACTCAAAGGGCAAAGCGAAAGATACGAGCGAAGGACGCGGATCCGGCAAAGGCGACATCGACCAACCGATTCAGATACTCGACGAGTCTGAAGAAGAAGAAGAAGTGAACCAGGAGCACTCGGATGAGGGAGCGCACCGTGACTCATCAGAAGACTTCTCCGATAGTGATGAAGAGGAGGGAGAGGAACACCCAGAGAATGTTGCGAGCACAAAGAATGTCATCGAACTCGTATCATCAGACGAGGATGATGATGGTCATGATGAAGGTCAGGAGCACAATGAGTCGGATGAGTCGGAGGAATTCGATGCGCAGCAGATGATTTTCGACGCTCAACAAAAACAAGATGAGGACGAGGACGAAGAAGTAGAAAGTGAGATCGATGATCTCCCTCATGCAGAGAGTGACGATCAAGATGACGAGGCAGAAGAAGGTGCGCTTCATTTCCTCGCATCAATATGCTTTTCGCTGACATTATATGCTCCTACGCAGAATTTTTGCCAATATCCCCGACAAAGTTCACGGAGCCTGAAGTCGAGCTCCCGGATCCATGGGAAGGCCCACGCACTTATGCAGAAGACTTCTATGCCGGTGGGGATCTTGTTGCCCCTGCCGCTGCAGGGCTCACCCCCAATAACCTCACGCCACTGGACATGACTCCCGCCGAAAGTCCTCGCGGAGACTTGGTTATCTTTCCGGATGCTGATGAGGCCTTTACAATCACGCCAGGCGTACTCTCACGATCACCGTCTCCGGAAATCATTGAAGTAGACACAGAGGGGTTGCCAAAGTCCAGCCCTCCGCCTGCTTTATCTGACGAGGATGCGGAGAATGGTGATGAAGGGTTAAATGATGAGCACCTTGACAATGAAGATCTATATGGTGACCTTGCTAATACTGTTCGTGGGTCAGGTAAGTTTGATTCCAGATCTCACAGTTTGAATTCACACTTACGCGCCATAGCTCAAAGGGAAAATCAGGATGATCGCGCTCGCGCGCTCGCTTTCGATTGGAATTGGCCACCTGCATTTTCTGGACGCGTTGCCACCCGCCCTGGGCATCTTGACAGTGAAGGCGTTCAATATGAGGATGCCGAAGATGCCAATAGGGATGAAGATGACGACGAGGATTCGTTCGGTGCGCTTCCCCTCGGTACAAGCGATCTCGATGTGCCTGAGAAGTGGGCCGCTGGTGCAGATGATGGTCAGAACGACGATGAGAAATTAGGTCAAGTCCATGAAGGGCTGGACGAGGTGCACGAAGAGCAAGACGAGGTGTGGGGAGTCGAGCCGCCGATGATAGTCCTTTCCTCCGACGAGGACGAAAAAGAGGATGATCGCATTCCGGAGATGCACTCGATGCCGGGCGGAGAAGACTCGCGACACGTAACACACCATGTTCCCTCCGATCCTGGCTTCGATCCCTTGACCTTAGGCGACTTCGGTGTTGGTGCGTTCCTTTTGTCGTACCAATTTCTCCCTTCCTTGAGACCTCGCATTATTGATACGAAGATTTAGCATATGGCACTGCCGTGGCGGACGCCGAACTCACCTCCCAAACTGTCGATATGCCAGGTCAGCCCCATGGAGAGGAGGGCTTCGGGGACGTCTTTGACTCCTCGTTCATCATCCCGGCCTCCGGTGCGAATACGATGCACGAGAGCGATGTGTCGGATGAACAAATTGAGGCATTTTTTGCGTCGCTTCAACGACAGACCGCAGCAGAGCCGGACAACTCTTCTGTCGTTCAAGATGTTTTCTCAGAAGCAACCGATCTTAAAGAAATCGTCGGTGATTCCTCCTCCAACGTCGTGGACATCGAAGTTGCTGCTGAGGGCCAACTCAACGCCACAACCGGGAACCCGTCCATCGAACTCTCCAATGTGGCGGAAGAGATCTTTGGGGCGGATACCGCCTCTGGTATTGTCGAAGAGATCAACCCTGCTATGGAAATCGATGTTTTTGCACAGTCGTCCGACGAAGGGACACTGCCTGCTGCACAGTCCTCCGCTCCTGATAAGGTCTCAGTATCTACCGTGGAGCGAGAGATGACGGTCTATGTGGTCGAAGAGCTATCACCTGAATCTGAGGCTCTGAGCCCAGGAAAAGAGGATGATCTCCCGGATGTCAGGTCTGCTGCACCTAGCGAAGCTGGCGTTCCTGACTTCAAACTCTCAGATTACTTGGTAGAAGAGGTCAGAACCGAAGGGAGGGTGACAGCTGTATGTTCTCTAATTGGGCAGACTCTTCAAAATATACTGAAATGATTTTAGGAACCCGAGGCAGCGACAGACGAGACTGTACCTAGTGTTGTCCAGCTTGACAATATTTCTGATGCACCTTCTGCTCGTTCACTGGCTGTGGACCTCGAGACCACCTTTGCTCAAGACAACGATACGTCTCCAATTCAACCGACGATCGCACACGCACCCTCCCTCTCTACTTCACCACTGCGCTCAAGCTTTTCTGCTTTCATTCCAGCACCTGTTTCGGCAGACCCGAATGTCCCTGACCCCGCTAGTCGTCCGCATTCCCCTCCACCGCCCTCGCCTTCTTCATCGGCAGCTAAAGTCCAAGCTGCAACGCCATTCGCAACTGCAGCATCCGCGCTCCGTGCTCAGGACTTGGAAGACTCCGGATTCTCTGCCAGAAGCCCTCGTGAAGGCCCCAGTGGGCTGTTTACTCCCGTCCCTGGAAGTTTGGGAGGAGGCACTCCTACACCTTCGGATAGCAGCATTGATGCTTCCGAGGCACCACGACGGGATGCCCAGTCTGTCACGCCCAAAGCAACTTCGAATCTTAGCCTCGCTCCTGTTATCATCGCAGATTACATCGCTCAGGAGGACGCTATTCTTGGGACAGGACCTAGCGATCAAGTTCAGAGTCGCGATTCCTCTGTTGGCGGCGCTACAGACAATACCGCGCAGAACGGTGGCCCCCTTCTGGCTCTCTTCCAACAATATGTTGGCCGGAATCTCTCTTTTGCGCCTATCGCTGTTGCCGCGGGGGAGAATGTGGTCCTTACAACGGAACCAAATAATCTAATAACCGCGGTAGGCGAGCCTGACGCAGAGCAGGATGCTGCATCGGAGTCGACGGCACCACACATACCACTTGAGGGCTCCCCCGATGTAAATGAGGAGGTCGCCGCTCTATCTCCACCCGTCGAGGAGCAGGTCTCCGCCGCTGCTTCGGTTGTGGACACTAAGGCGAAAACGGCATCCTCCGCCGAGGATGATCTGGGCCAACTGCAGCTGTCTTATCCAGAAGGGTCTGTATCTAGTGACGAGCATGTCGGTGTTTCAGCTAGTGCCTCAGTCGATAATCCTCTCGACGCCAGTGAGGACCTCGATGGCGATACTGACGGCGATGGCGACCTCGACGCAGATGCAGATGGTGAGCTGGATCCGGACTACTTCTCTGATGCCGAGCAGGACCCTTTCTTGGTGCGAAGCAGCCATCGCCCCATTCATGTTAATGGTTTCGAACCTCCGTTGGAAAAGACTCACATTGAACCTTCAAAGTCTGAGCTTCCTAGGTAGGTGCTATTTCGGTCTATTCGTTATATATCTTTTTAATTGATTTTTTACAGCACTCCCTTTGAATTTAGCCAAGTTGACGAAGAGAATAGCAGCGAGAGAACTGCGGACAGAACTCCAGAGCGCCCTAGCCCCGACACTGAGATAGCCTCCTCCTCACAGGTGCAAACCGAGAATGCCGATTCCAGCAACGACGAACAATCTAGTGTACCATCTCCCACTGAGTCCAAACCCGCGTCCAGGATGTTAAAAAGAAAAAGAGCATTGCCTTCTCGCTCCATCTCGCCGCGCAGAACGCGATCACAGACGGCGAATGTGACAAAGAAGCAGCCCAAGGGCCAGAGAGCCGCCAAGAACCTTGACAAGGGAAAAGGAAAGGCAAAGGCAGAGGCAGAGGAGCAGGCAGTGCCTGTTGAGGAGGAAATTTCAACGAACGACGCTGTTAGCGACCATGGATCAACCAGCTCGGGCGCTAGTGCTGCGTCTCAGATGCTGATCGCTCCTGGAATGCGCTCCCGTTCACAGTCTTCCGCGTCGGCCACTAGCTCTGCAATTTTCCAGCCCATTCCATCTGGCCGACCGCATATACAACTTGTTCTCCCACCTCTCATGCATACTCACTCGCATGGCTTCATACACCACCATCACGGGCGTGTCCCACCACTGCCGCCTCCTGCTGCGAAACCTGTGTCCTCCGTTCAACCGAAGACGCTCACGAAATCTCGATCTACATCTGCCGAGTTTACTTCGCAGACGTCTCCAAGCCAATTGCGCTCTCCCTCCAGACGTGCACCGCCAACTACGAGCTCTCCTGTCACTCGTTCCAACTGCCGGTTCCACAGAATCAGTGTTCCTTCCCAGGAGGGCGGGTCTCGTTCCTACTTCATCGTTCCAGGCTGTTCTCTTGGCGACGGGGAACTAATGAAAGATGAGGAGATTGATGATCATGGATTTGCCACTCAGGATGACCACGCGCGGATGATCGCTGACATTGAGTCGTTGAATCTCAACTCCTATTTGGTTGGCATCTTGCGCCAGTTGGTTGGTGTTGATCTACTCCGTGAGCAAGAGGTGTTCTATTTACCCAATGCAGGGGAGGGTGTACACAAGCGAACCAAACGCAGGAAATCTGCGGTTGATGAGCTCAAGCGGCGTCAATCCACAGCATCTGCGAGCTATCGTATCCCTGGATCCCCTATCTCCCGCTCCACTACTCCCATGCCCACCTCATTACAGGATTCGGCATCTGCCGGCGTGAGCTCGGGACCGCAGAAAGGCTCCAGGCTGGGTGGCGGATCTACGCTGTCAGGAGATGAGAGCGAGTTAACGGACTACGATGAGCAGGTTGAAGACGCCCCCAAGGCGAAGCGACGAAAACTCTCTCCTACAGAGTCTTCGGCCTCGTCGGCTGCCATACCCTCAGCATCAGCTCCCTTACCATCGCGATCAGCTTCCATTGCCGAGGACGATGCAATCGCCAGTGCCAGCCAGCCTATCGCCATTAGGAAGAGCAAGCGAAGGCCCTTGCATGCTGACGCCATCGCCTACAAGCCAGAAAGGGAGGATACAGAAGAGTCAGGAGATGTTCAAAATTCAAAAGCCAAACGCAAGAAGGACCAGCCTTCGAGAGTCGCGAAGCGGCGTCGGATGGATGAGATCTCTGCGAGCGCACCCAGAGTCAAAAGGTCACGAGCTCGCAAAAGCACTTCTGTGGGAGACTAAGGCATCGTCTCACTGTCCGAGGCTCCAGGTTTGAAGTCTGATATTTGACTACGACATATTTAATTATTGTTACATGTAATTTGTTGCAGTGATCATAATCACACTGCGTTCCTTATTTCCTCCTGCTGGTTTTTTACATGCAGTTCATACAAGTGGGGGGCGTTTGGGAGTTGCCCGATATAATCCTGAACTTGTCGCAGTAGATCGGAGTATGAATCACCTGTCATGGTTTGCAGTTTTCGATCCAACTCATTCAAGTTCTGCGCCAACTTAGCGCTTGACCACCGCCGTCCGTCCTTTTGATCTAGTTCCATGGCTTACAGTACGGCTGATCCCTAGATGGTGGTCAGCCATCTTCGCGAAGATCACAATGAGAACGCTTGGCGCTCAAGAATCAGAAATCAGCATACGGAGTCCAGATTCTGGTCATCAAGAGTGTTCGACGTTCGTAGGCATGCGCTGGCATATTAGAGCAGGGATGTTTGCCAGCGAGTAACCGTCACTCTGACGATGGAGCATACAAGTTGACACAAAGGCACTTGCATAAAAGCATTGTACGAGGAAATACGGGGCGCATACTCCGGCCATGATTCAACTCTCATTTAACTTCCAACGCCTGTCTGTTTTCTCAGTAAATATGCTATACCTTAGAGACGAGACCCTGTCAGGCTACGGGCTCGATGCATCCTGGATTAGCTGGCTTAAGATGAACATTATGAAAATTGCGCTCAACGCCATATGCTACGGCAAGTGCTCCGATGTATCGACTCGCGTTATCTCAGTAATTGAGCGCCGCCACAAGTCTCTTTCTGTCACTGATCATTATAACGTTATACGTATTTTTGTACGTTGAGAAACTCAATGTCTTGCTCTGGTCACTGACCAGCGGATCTAGCTGCCAAGATCTACGCAACTCGCGGGCAAACTAGGTTTTGCTCACTGTCATGCTCGTGATGATCACGATATCGACATCCCATCTTATCCTGAACTTACTCTATTTTTTTTATCGAGCTTGGACCCCTCACCGCTACATATCATGACTCCAATGCACTGTTACGCCGAATGAACAGTGCCCAACAGTTACTCAGAAGAGTTTCCGTATGTCGTTTTCTCAGCTCGGTGATATACTTGAATATACTAAAAATGTCAAAATGAACGACAGTACCTCCTCAGTGACATCATCGTTGTCTGGCGAGCATGGATAATCTGGAAGCATGATGTCAGAGTTCATGTGTTCCTCAGCATTTCTATCTTTGGCACCGTAGTGCCCCCTCAGTATCGACGATGACCTTGAGTTTGGAAGTTTTAGGGTCGTATACTATCTAGCACAGCGGTAGCCTTCAACGTTCAATACCATCTTTTCCTTGTTTCCGATTTCGTCGATCATCTGATACTTTTGGACGTCAGAAACAATCAAAATCCACAGTAATGCGGTCAACAGTGTTCTCGCAGACAGAAAGTTGCACTTATACCTCTATATGAATCTTTCTAGTGTTGGAGGCCCTCCGAGACTGTAGACGTGGTGTACCAAGGTAAATGACGGAAAGAGCATTTGATATTTCCCAAGATGGCGAATTTTCGAAGTTAAATTACAAGACCCGGTCCTACGTACCGGTCCGGCCCCATCTTGATGGCTTCTTCAGCCAGTTATAAGGTACATCTCGACGACCAGCTCTCTCTATGCCCTCAGAACAGCTGCGAGTCTTACTGACTGTATTTACGTTGTCTTCTAACTAACATCTGTCGTACTCACTACTTTTGACTCTTTTCAGAACGACGATGGGCCTCCAGGTCCTGAATCACCTTACATTTATGGGCTCTATAAACACCTCACCGAAGATCTTAGTACATCTCTCGTATTCACGGTACAATTTTGACATGTCAAATTAATCGCAAATGCAGGGTGGGATGTGAAAGTAGTCATCCCAAGCTCCCAGAAATCGTGGATCGGTGCTGTCCTATTCCTATTTGCTCCCAAGCTCTCCTCCTGAATTCCTGGTACGAATACAGGGAAAGCATACCAAATCAAGGATACCATTACGGGCAGATACTTCTATCCTCGAGACCAGGCTGGTGAGATTTCCAACGAGCTATCATTCAATCTCTGACCTTTCAATACTGACTACTCGTCTGAACAGATGGAAATGGCGATGTGTCAGATACACCAAGACCTCTTAGACCAGGAGAGCTCGCTGAATGGATATTATTAGACGGTGTGAGTCTTGGCGCTCATAACACAGCGAATACAGATCCTGATACAAAGTTCTCAAGACACCGGCAACCTGTGCGAACATTGGTCTACATAATCTCTACAAGGGGCAGATCGACTTGTTGGTGAGTATGGTCTATCATCCAAAGCAATATTTACTGATGTAGGCGTGTATGCGTCAGATCTCCGGCCCGAATCTGGGCCGCAACACATCTGGTGCGTGAAAATTCCGCATATTCAACGAGTATATATTGAGACTTGCCTTCCTGGCTTGTGCAGCCGCTTTCGCACTTTCCTCGGGTACGATTGGCGCCGCCCTTTCTTCTTCACTCTCCCAGATTCGTTCTATTGCTCTCTCCTACGGCACTGTCATCCATCCGACCCCAGAGAGTTTCTTTGATCCCGCACACCGCCTCTCAGCACGCATCATGAAACACCTCTATGACAATTGGGGAGCTGACCCTGGAGGAATCCGCTCTGGAGAAATAGATCTTTACAACGTGAATGTGCCGATGGTTGAAGGCCTTCTCGCTTCCGAAGACCTGCCTATCTATTGGACTAAGATCTGGAGGAACACTTATGGACGACTATTCAAGACCATATCACAGACAAATGCTTCGGCTCGTGAGGGCGCTGTATCAGGTGCTGGGCCGGATGGCTCGGTGAAGAGTTCAACACCCATATTGTCGTCACTGCTACCAAAATCTGACGACGCGCTCGACCAAGTAGGGCATCTGATGTTCAAATTTTCCCCTGATATGGGCGGCCTCATCAATCCAGCGGAGAGTACGCTTCCAGACGGATCGGATGGTTGGGCAATGTTGAAGGGTTGGGTGAGCGTCACGCCAATGAGGGCGAGTTTTGCGGAGCCAGACTCCGCGCATGGAATTGAAGCAGACGTACCTTCACAGGATAGGGTTTGGAAAATGAAGCTGTAATCTGCTCGAAAGATAAATGCACTGAATGTGTCTAATGTCCAAAATGCCCGTGACTGGTCGTAAGGTATATACGTGTATTCTCTTCAGCTATCGGTCCCTACATCCATCCATGTACTAAATGTACTAATGAGATCAACGCAATAAGGCCGAGCATCACCGTTGTCATTGGGCCAACACTAGTGTGGACAGCTCGGCTGGAGCTGCGACTAGTGATATTCTGCCTCCGATATACTTTCAAACTGTTGATGATCCAGGAAGCATTCTACAAAAGTCTCAGTGATGATATCCAGACAAGAGGCATGAAACCAACCACAAAATTTCCTGGGTCCATGATGCGATCCGAGCACGTTCCAGGGCATCCTGAGGTGGCATAAGAGTTGCCAGCCCAATCGCCTAGCGAACCACGACAATGAGGCACGAGGATTGCAATGTAAGCTGCTGCTGGGTTTGAAGAGAAGGAGAACATACCGCAAAAAGTGATATCTACGCAATATATTGTCAACAAAATGAAACGAAAGGTCAGGGATGGAACGTACCAAAAATAATAGAGTGATTCACGAAGTACGTCAGGGGATCACAATTATCAGGTGCAAGCATCGCAACGGGAGTCCCCCAGTTTGCGGGATTGGGGCTGCCATCCTTAACATCTTGAGGTACAGCAACCCTGTAGAACCCCCCTAGGAAAGAATCAGATGCAGCCCAACGACCTGCAAAATCTATCGACTCACATACTGCGATACCATCCTGATCCCACTTCATCGCGAACACTCCGCCGCCCTGGCTATCGAATGTAGGGCCATAAGAGGCACGACTCCATTCTGTGATCCCGCACCCTGGGAAGGTATCACCGCTTCCACCTTGGCAATTCAAATTTGGTTGTCCATTAGATGACGCCTGTGATTCTGTGAGCGTGCTATCTAGCTATTTTTCATGTATATGACATACCACAATAGATCCGGTGAAATTGGCTGTTGGTGTTAGTGTGCAACCTAATCCAAGCCATGAGCTACTGGAAGAATTGTGACGTTGGCGCGGGCACGAACCTGGATTTGTGTGCCATGTAACTTGATTGTGTTCATTGTCGTGAACGCCCTCGATGATGTCAATCTCGCCGGTCTGCAAATACAACACCTCAGACAGGGTTCTTCGAAGGTGCAACAAGGATCATTGACCTCAGGCCAAGTACCACTACCGAGAGTCCAAAATGCAGGCCAGACACCTCACGGAATGAGTCAAGCCTCAAATGAGACAATAAAACAGATATCATAAACCTACCACATCCCCAAGGAGCCCTATCAATGTCAAGGATGAAGAGACCAGTGTTATACTGAGCGTAGCTCGACACCCGAACACTGATAATAATGAGCACATAGATCCACTTGCATTCAACGTGAACCGAACCTCTCTCGATATTGGCCAGACGCCAGCCAGTTTGTATCGTCTCCCTTCATTATGACTTGGCTATCGTTTGTCACATACGCAAGTCCATGCGCGATTGCAGTGTCGCGATCGACATAGCTATTGTTTCGAAGTCAAATACAACTCATGGGCAATATTAGCCAGGGAATCATTACTCGACAGTTCCGCTGAATCGGTTGGTATAAGTTGTATGTGAGTACCGTGATCAACAATCAACTCACTGAGTTGGATCACTTTCATTGTAGAACGAGAAATGACTGTTCCGCGGTATTAAATATGGTATCAAGCCCACAATAATAGATAGCACGCACTCAAAAAAATTCGTAGAGTCAAATGTATCCTGGATTATCCAAACATGATCCGTGGTTGAATTAGAAGAGTTGGTGCTGGTACTGGCCAGGACGTCATTATGCCTCTTCGTGACATGTCTCCCAGAGTATGTGCCTTGAGGCCACGAACCAAGTCGCGAGGAAGACAATGTTCTATCATTAAACATTGCATTGGAAAAATCGAGGATTGCGGACGCTCTAGCTGTGGTAGCCAGCAGGAAGAAGGACCAAACTGGAGGAAGTTTATGATACATGGCTGACGATGAAAGTGAGGTTGTGAGGTTATGAATACAGAGAATTGGGAAATGGTCAGGAAAATATGTCTTAGACGTCGAGCAAAGCAAAGAGCATTTGAGGGCTCTGACAATGAGGACAAACGATGGCTTGAACCGCGCCACACCACGACGGAAGAAACGTTCCACGGCACATTGCAAACTTGCTCCGTGCTTAGTCAGGCTGCAGCACTCTCTCTGTACCAGCCTGTACCTGACTCGGCGATCTCAACAGCCAAGCAGCCTGCTACAAGAGTCAACAGACTGTGATGCAGCTGTAGCTGAAACAATTCGTCATCAGCGATGCTCCAGATATTATGGATTTTATCTTTGGTTCTTCTTGTGTTTGTCCTTTTTCTGACGCAGAAGGGGAAGGATCCGTACGGGACATTTCATCTAGCTCTCAACAAGGTGCACGAAGATGAAAGACATCCACAGACTGAATGGCTCAACATGGGCTATTGGAAGGTTTGATCTCTCAAGGACTATATAACCACGAGCGTAGAAGCATTGACTCACACTTCACAGAATACCAGGATCTTTCCCGAGGCTTGCCAAGGTCTGTCTGTCTAAACCCATACGCATCAAAGATATCTTAAATCCTTGCGAAGCCCTGGCCTTACACTTGGTCACAGCTGCAGCCCCTATAGCAGGTGGTCGCGTGCTGGGTATGCATCAGCTGCTGTTTTTTTTTGCAAGATTATGATCTAACAGATTTCACGCAGATGTTGGCCATGGTAGCGGGGACTCTCTCCTGTTGCAGCTTTCCCACCCTGCGATACCTCGACCTAGCCTTCTGTGCGGAATAACCAGCCTTTCAGCACATCATATACGCTCGAAACAACGGGTGGAGGACTTCCTGTCTTCTGATGCAAGTATGAGAGGCCAAACACGCGTAATTCTACATCAATGTGATGCTGTTTGTAGTGTCGACAGCAATGTGGAACACCCCTTGTCCCCATCAGCTTCTGATGAATTTACTACCATCCTCGCACTAGACTGTGCATACCATTTCCACACGCGCTTCGACTTCCTTCAGCAAAGTTATCCTCGTTTGGCACCAGGCGGACGGATTGCCCTTGCAGATATATGTTTCTCGTCCTCGCCGAATAGGTTCTTATCTTCCCTGCTCCCCATTATTCGTATCATGCCCAGAGAGAACATGATCACAAAAGAGCAGTATATCAAGGACCTACAAGAGATCGGGTTTGTTGATATCAGCGTGGAGGATATCACTGACTGGGTATTTCCGGGCTTTCAGAGCTTTTTGGGGAAGCAAGGTGGGGCGTGGAAGTGGTTCGGTAGGATGGTTGGATGGTTGGAGAGGTGGAAGGGGCGTTTCGTGATTGTGACTGCGGCAAGACCTGTTTACCTCCTTGAATAGAAGTGTGAGTATATTCAGATGTGATGCTCATCATCCGGGATTGCACCATGTATGAAGGATTCAAGTCAACTAGAGTGGACTACCCCTCGAAGCCCAGGAAGCCGCATCTCATGCGCTTGAGTACTCGATGTAATGTTCAACATTCAACGCCTGGACTGCCCACAAGAATAACAGAAAATCACAGATCCTCCGAGATCCTGAGCCTTTCTGAGCGCGCCGAAGTCGCGGCCTGCCGGACGCGATATCGTATATGATCACGTGGCTGAAATTTCCTCTTCCCCGACTTGGGTTTTGGCGGCGGTCACCGTTCCGTCCAACCACAAACCACTTTTCCAGCTATGGCGTTCGACGATTTCATCATGACAATTGAATCTGATCAGGAAGACACACTACCCCCTGCCGTCAAACCTGCAAAATCCCGAGTGCCTGAAGAAGAGGGTGCTCAATTAAACCCAGATTTTGTCTTTGACCCTGCAGGCGACTTCCACGATGACATTCTCGATGGGAGAGCAGACGTCGCAGATCTGGTTACGAAAGGATCCCGCCCGGTATATTTATTTCCATTTCCGACTCGCAAAGTCTCACTGGAATCACAGGAACCGATTTCTGTTGACGATATCATTGCCAGACGGCGGCTTACAAAAAACACCGGTAAACGCAAGCGTGAAGAGGAAGAAGACAGCGAGCAGGAAGATTCCGATGAGGAACAAATTTCCACAGAGGATGAAGGCGAAGACTTGGAAGATGAGGCGAGTGAAGCCGAGGAGAGCTTGCTAGAACCTGAGGAGAACGAGGAGGACCCAGATCCCTTAGTGACGTCCGACGAAGAGGGAAGTGAACAGGACGGACTGGGAAGCGATGACGAACAGGACGAGGGGGAATATTCTGACGCTTCTTCATCTTCAGATGACAGTGAACCAGAGACTAAAGCAGAGAAAGCACGTAAAGCAGCCTTCTTCTCATCAGATACTGATGTAGCGCAGACACACTCGTCCTTCCTCACCATGAATCTATCGCGTCCTGTTCTCAAAGCCCTGACCACTCTTGGTTTCCACACTCCAACTCCCATCCAAGCTGCTACCATTCCTGTAGGTCTCCTGGGCAAGGACGTAGTTGGAAACGCTGTGACTGGTTCCGGAAAGACTGCTGCATTCATCATCCCCATGATAGAGCGCCTTCTGTACAGAGACAAAGGCAAAGGGGCTGCCGCTACGCGCTGCCTTGTTCTTGTTCCTACGAGAGAGCTCGCAGTTCAGTGCTACGAAGTCGGCAAAAAACTTGCAGCCCATACGGATATACAACTCTGCCTTATTGTTGGTGCGTCAGTTTTTTTTGCTCATGATCTCAATTAATCAACAGCATGGGTTTAGGTGGACTCTCTTTGAAAGCTCAGGAGGTGGCACTACGAGCTCGACCAGACATAGTTATTGCGACCCCCGGTCGTCTTATTGACCATATCCGCAATTCTCCGACATTCACACTCGATGTCCTTGACGTTCTCGTTCTCGACGAAGCAGATCGTATGTTGTCAGATGGTTTCGCAGACGAACTCGCCGAAATCATCAAATCTTGTCCCACATCTCGCCAAACCATGCTGTTCTCGGCAACAATGACGGATTCCGTCGATGAACTTGTCAAAATGTCTCTTGACAAGCCCGTTCGACTGTTTGTCGATCCACGACGCAGTACCGCTCGTGGACTCACACAAGAATTTGTTCGTGTTCGTGCCGGGAAGGAAACCGACAGGACAGCTATTCTTGTAGCGTTATGCAAACGGACCTTCAAAACTGGTGTACTCATCTTCTTCAGGAGTAAAAAGCTGGCGCATCAAATTCGTATCGTTTTCAGTTTGTTAGGGATGTCGTGCGAAGAATTGCATGGTGACTTGACACAGGAACAGGTATGTAATACGTGCGTTTAGATGCTCTGGATCTTTCAATAATTATCCCGCATTTCCTAGCGCCTCAGGTCTCTTCAGCTTTTTCGTGATAATGCCGTGGATTTCTTGATGGCGACGGACTTAGCTTCCCGCGGTCTCGATATCAAAGGCATCGAGACTGTGATCAATTTCGACATGCCTGGACAGCTCCCCCTTTATCTGCACCGTGTGGGCCGAACAGCGCGCGCAGGCAAGAAGGGTCGGTATGTGCTCTTCTTTCAGATATTGCCTACAACGTTTATTATTTCTTCAGTTCCGTGACCCTTGTTGGGGAAGCAGACAGAAAAATGCTAAAAGCTGCGATCAAGCACGCATCAAAGGAGGATCAGGTCCGACATCGTACGGTGCCTCCTGAGGTTATATCGAAGTGGTCAAAAAAGCTCGAGTCTCTGACGAAAGAAGTTGCTGGGGTTCTTCAAGACGAAAAGGAAGAAAAGCATGTAAGGTGTGATCACATGAACACTGAAATTAGAATTCACCGCTTTATTCAGATTCGGAAAGCAGAGATGGAACTCAAGAAGGGGCAAAATATGATCGAACACGAAGATGAAATATACTCGAGACCTGCCCGCACATGGTTTCAGTCCAGCTCGGACAAGCAAAAGGCTTCAGGTTTGTTTTATTTCATTTCAACGTACGAACCCCATCATCAGACCGCTTTCTAGATCTTAGCAAGCTTCAATACCAATCCAAATCGTCTGCTCCTAATCAAGACAAGTTGAACCTCGATAATGTCAAAGTAAGCTAGCTTCACCTTCATATACCGCCAGTTCTTACTATTTGACATAGCCTAAGCGTGACAAATTCTCTGGTCTTACTCGGCGAGTCAAACGGAGAAAAATGGCTTTAGAAGAAGAGAAAGAAGAGGGCGACCGCAAGGGTGTGGATGCTGCCATACGTGCAGCAAAAAAGGCTTCCCGACCAGCGAAAATTGGGGTTCCTGTCCAACAAAATGCAAATTCATCCAAGAAGGCAAAGCGGAAGACCAAGGTGACTTCTCATGGTAGCGTGTTTGGCAAGGACATGGAGCAGAGAAGCAACCGAGGTGAGGGTGTTCGTGCCAAGAAAGGCGACAGAGTGGCAGGAATGAAAAAAGGTGGAAAGCGCAAGGGCAAGAGCGTGGGCAAGGGCAGGGGTAAATAGGGGCTCTTATTAACGCTACGTGTATTGTGCACATGAGTAGAGATCAGTTGGGCTTTGGCCAGATTCCATCCACCAGGATGGACGTCATACAGTTCACCGAGGTAGGCTTGTCTCTTGATCAAGTCAGGCCAAACGGTCGCGAATAGTGAAGAAGCGTGACCACGGCCATTTGAGAACACAAGATAAGCTTGTCTGTCCGCAGTAGTCGATTAATCCCCTGTCGTGCCCATCTGAAGCAGAATTTCAAAGCTTGGTGTGGAACTAAAATTCTCAAGGATGTTGGAGGCCCGACCTGATCCTGCCTGGCCCGATGCCGCTCCGACGAGCCTGTGACGCCGCATGAGACAGTTGATAGCCGCTCAACGGGATAGGCGCAATTTACCTGTATTCATCAACGCCCCCTGCCTCATTGATTATTCGTAAATTGTTACGCCAGAGCACGGCGGGCCGTTGTCGTTCTGTTCATGTCTTCGCAATCGATCTCATGTTGTCCCACTGACCACCGCTCGAGCGGACCGACCTTCCGCTCGTCAGAAGTGGCAACATATAAGTAAAGTAGGACGGCGTTGACTCTTCATCCTGGTCCCTAGTTTGTTGCAACATCCCCATACGATTTATTTCTCCCACTTGCTCAAGACGCGTCCAAGATGGCACCTCGCGTAATGATCTGCGGTATGCATTTCAGGCTTCAGATCTATTCGGGAGCTGAAATGCTAATGACTTCTATCTGACTCACGTCATGCAGGTGATATCGTCTGGGCACACGACGAAATGAGGGAGCTCTTCGATGGCGTTGCGGATGTGGTTGTGAGAAGATCTTTACTTGCATCATGGCGGGTGGGAGATTCTAACAAAAGCACTTCAGCGAATGGACTCATCCAACCGCGCAGACTTTTTATCAGGATTCGGCCTCGGGGGAAAGTACGAAGGCACCGTCGCCGTATACCGCCACAATTCATCTGCAGAGAGGATCGGTGTCTTCGATGAACAGATCGTCGATGCACTAGCACCGACCGTCAAGTGGATCGCACACAATGGCGCTGGATACGATCAGATTGATGTCGTTGCATGCAAGGCGCGAGGCGAGACCCTTCCTGTTTTCAACACATGTCGCTCAGCTCAACTGTGAAGTCGCGCGTCTACTTTGATGACAGGTATCATCGTTTCAAATACGCCTGGGGCAGTCGACGATGCAACTGCTACGACCGCCCTGTATCTGATGATTTCCGCGCTTCGCCAGTTCGCGAAGGCCGAACGCAACTTGCGGTCTGATAACTGGAAATCTGGGCTCTCATCTGCTGTCCAGCACGATCTCACAGGTCGGACACTGGCGGTACTCGGGCTTGGTGGTATTGGATTCCGGCTCGCAGAGCTCGCGCGCGCGTTTCCGATGCGCATCATCTACCATTCACGTTCGCGCGTCGCGGACGCGCCGGAGTGGTGTGAATACTTTAGCTTGGACAGGCTCAACGAGTTTCTGGGCCTTGCGGATGTGCTGAGCGTACACGTACCCCTACGAAAGGAGACAGAGGGCCTCGTCGGGGAAGAGATGATCAGAAAGCTGAAGAAGGGTTCTATCATCGTGAACACCGCACGAGGAAAGGTGATAGATGAGGCGGCGATGATCAGGGCGCTCGAAGATGGCCATGTACGCACCCCATCGTCTTTTCATTTCACACGAAATCTGACAACAGGCGTATCTTCCATCATCTATACTTCGAACAGCTCGGTGCTGTTGGATTGGACGTATTCCCTGACGAGCCCGTCGTAAACCCGCGCCTTCTCGACTTTCCGAATGCGACGCTGCTCCCTCACATGGGAACTGAGACGCAAGACTCGCAGCGCAAGATGGAGGTCCGCGCGCTCACGAACATCAAAGATTACTTCTCAAAAGGCAAAGGATCGGACGTTGTGCCAGAGCTAACAGAGCTGGCAGCGAAGTTATGAGTAAAACGCAGAATCGCAAGTCTTAATGTAGCCAATATCATCTTTTTCCATGTTCTGGGTTGTCTAGAAGCCTTCCGCACGCAGATTTTTGTCCCTGCTCATCTTTGAGCATATATGTACGCGCAGAGGAGAACAGCAGAATCAAAGCCGCCTCGGGAACTCGAAAGCCTCTGACGTAGAGCGATTACATAAATCCGCCTCCTCTTCAACAGGACCTGTGGTCCACCACAAGGCAAATTTGCATTGTTCAGAATAATTCTAGCCCAGACTACTCTAGTCCTCGAAACACCAAAGCCGAGTCTCCATAAGCACTCGTGGCAACGCCTATTAAACGGTCAGCGAGCCTCACCCAGTGCGCACCGGTGCAACGAGGATTTTCCATCTGCTTATTTTCTTGTCCACCCATTTCATTTGAATGGAAACTAGCCGCCATTTACTCACAATCATGGGAGCCGACTCCGGGTGCAAGGGTCAGAACACAAAGGTGAGGGTCCAACTAGCAACTTCCATGCTCTGTGCCGGAATTTGCGCGGCTGTATCGTGCAAGGGGCTGAACTGTCAGGAGTGGGGCATGTCTTGAAAAGCCATCCGTCGTTGAAGGCTTCCTTAGCATCTTCGGGATCCTCTTCGAGCAATGTCGCAGCCTGGGAAGGCTCGAGGGATACGAGACGTCGAGACTATCACCCTGTGATTATAGTCGGAGGGCGTTTAGGTGCAGTTCTTAGTACGTCAAATGGCTTCCACTGCAGCCGCGCCCTGATGTTCGCATGCGGAGCCATGGATACCTCTATTTTTGTGCTTTTACGCTCAAAGCTCATCCTCCTTCACCCCACCATAGACGATGCAGGTGCAGGGAGCCTATAAAACCATGTCCCTTCCTTTCACAACACCCGCAGTGGACCTTGTTCACGATGCGTATCGTCGTCTGACGCACGAGCAACTCTACCTCTTCTGTGCCGTTCGCTTGTTGTCTACTGCTGGCACTGATGCTGAGCTATCCTCGAGACTAGCGCATCACGACATCCATCTATACGCCTTTCCTTCTTCGCCTTCCTCGGCGAATGAACCTACAGTGCCACAGGGACCGCATCATCTCACAGTCACCGAGAAGAAACCAGGCGATGGATCAACTACAACCGCGGACACAGGGCTCCCGCCGACGATTCATTTGGCTCGCAATCGCAATCCTCGACTGCCACCCCTTCCCGTAGAGTTGATGGCAGAAATCATGGACCATATCGGAGATTGGGAGCTCACCAAAGCTGTCGGACTGCCCACGTCGCTTCCCCAGCCTCTATCATGGACGCGTGCGTCTCCCACGGACCATGCGCTGCTCACAGGTTACCTTCCCCTCATCGTCTCGTGTGAACCGTCTGTGCACCCTCCGACAACAGTCGGCGCCAGCCTGTCTGTCCGATTTGCATACACTCACATTCTCTCACACCTCTTCACGCACCACCGTCCGCTCTTCCGCAAACTCTATAAACACCACCTCATTCTCATCACCGCCGCGCACTACGGCCGCGTTTCCGTCCTTGACTGGTGGTCCTCGATGCACAAAGAGCACCCATCCGAATTCCCCACGCCCCCAACAAGAGCGATCGCAGAGGCGATCGACGGTGCGTCGCGAAGCGGACAGGTCGCAAGTTTGAACTGGTGGCTCGCATCGGACGACTTGCCCTTCGAATATACAGAGGTCGCACTCGAGCATGCGTCCGCAAAAAACCAGGTCGCTGTGCTTGAGTGGTGGCGCATGCAGCGCGCGCGGCTACCACTCAAGGTCGGGCGGGTCATGGACACTGCGAGCGCAGCGGGGCACGTCGGCGCGTTGACATGGTGGGCAGGGTCAGGACTAGACTACACGTACGACAAGCAGGCACTGTACCACGCAAGCTGCCACGGGCGCGTCGAGGTACTGCAGTGGTGGCTGACAAGCGGGCTGCAGCTCTTCTTCGATCAGGACACGTTGGTGGGCGCGACGCGGCACAACCGCCCAGAGGTGCTGGAGTGGTGGGACCAGAGCGGGCTGCCGATCCAGTACCGGATGTGCGACATCGAGGAGGCGTTGGAGGATGCGATCGGAGGGGGTGAGCGGGCAAGGGAGTGGTGGAAGAGGAAGGGTGTCGATTTTAACGCGAATGATAAGGAGTGGATGAAATTGCAGAATCTGAACTAACCCGATGGCATTCGAAGGTCTGATGGGCGCAAGATGGGGAAATGAATTTTGGTTAGTGGCCGTCTTCGTGATTCATAATAGCTGCAGGTATTTTTATACATACATCGAACATTTTAACCGCTTTGGTAATTGTTTGAATTCAGCTATGCATACACTGACGATACTACGGCCCATGCTCGAGTGCCAACTACCACCAATGCCAGACACCTTGAAAGTGTAAATAGATCTATTTATTGGAACTCGAAACTCAATGTCCAATGTGTAGCGAGAATGCAGCGTACAGAAAATATAGAAATTCTAAAGAGATCTCAAGCAGGAAAGAACCCGACCTTCTTCCAGTAGTCAACCCACAACTTGACATCACCTTCACCGAGCTGGGGTAGCGCCTCATCGGCTAATGTACCAGATGCCTGCAAGGAGTTCGTCATGTCGAATTTGGGGAAACCCATCGTATCCGCATACTGATACGCGCTATCGTTCTCGTGAGCGAATGCAGAATGGTACCAATCCAGCAGACGCAATCCGGGGTTCTGGTGAAGGCTATCGGCGTCAGGCGCATCACCAGCATCTTCAGCAGATTTTCGCAAGAGGGCGAGCCATTCCGTGTATGGGACGAGAGGGATGTTGAGCACAGAAGCGAATACAGAGAAAATAGAGGACCACGTTGCAGGCCGAGGATGGACCAAGTTCATAATCGAGGAATCAGATTGACAGAAATCAACGATTGCGGCGGCAGCGACATTCACGGGGATCCAAGAGACATCCTAGAGGTGATGTGAGCAAGGGAGAATGCCAACGACCAACACTGATCAGATAACTCACCCCTTCGCAATCAGGCAAGGCCTTGAGGTGAATGGCAGACCGAACAAGCGATGGGAGCCATTCTGCTGTCGTCCATGCTCCGTTGATGCCTCCACTCAACTGACCCACGCGAATGCTGGTCGAGCGCAGGGGCGTTTGCTTAGCAGCCTCAGCAAGCATCGTCTCTCCCACCCATTTAGACTCCCCATAACCGTTACTGACAGCCACGTTGGCTCCAATTGGAACCTCTTTGACAGGCTCGGCACGCGTGATGTCTACAAGCGTATAGGAGTAAGTTTGAAGTTCGTGTTTGAGCATTGTCTAAGAAATCTCACCGTTGAACATGCCAATCGAGGCGGTAAACAACACACGAGGGGGAGAAGGGTGCGGAGATGACAGTGAAAGGTCGACAAGATGACGAAGGCCTTTGACTTGTGGCTCAAACGACTCTAATGACAAGTTGAAGTTGACCGGCCAAGCTGTCGAACAGACTCCATTTGAGCGTGAGCGATAACGCAAAAAAAGGGGAAACTGACCATTGTGTATGATATGTGTAATTGATACACGAATCTAGATTGTGAAAGGCGTGAACATCTGATAAACAGGATTTGAAGTTGTGGAAATGTCATACCTCAGACAATAATTCAGTAGAGATACCAAGATCTTGCTTCGTCACATCGCCCTCAACGAGCACAACCTTCTTTGATGCCGCGAGGGAAGTATCCAAACCCCTTTCCAAAAGAGCCGATTTCTGTCTGTCAAGAAGCGGGATGGAGCTGCGTGATTTTCTGTTAAAAGCATAGATGCGGGCGACTGATGGAGACGCAATAAGCAGTGCCAGGATATTCGAGCCCAGTGCTCCAGTACTTCCTGTCAAGAAGATCGTATCTTTCGGTGGCTGAGGAGCAGAGGGAACGTGCGGCGGGAAGTCCTTCGAGTACCTCGCCACCATGATGTTCATCTCCTGGGCCCTGTCCAATCCAGAATTGATATTATTCTGTCCTTGGGCAATAGAAGAGACGAATGATGCTAGACTTGAAACAGAGGGATGCTGATAAACGAAGCTATTGGAGATGTCCTGCGTATTGGCATCCGTGGAGTCTTTGAGACTGCGGAGAATGGTGTTTCGGATCCATGTTGCTTGCAAGCTGCAACGAATGGTTGTCAATCAGTCCCTATCAAATCCCCATTCATGTCGTTGACAGACCTGTCACATCCATGCTGAAAGAAATCATCTCCGTCCTGAACTTCCTTCTTCATCACTTTCTGGACAACGGCCCGTATGAAGCCCAAAATTTTGGCCGAGTCCCACGTAGTCGGGGAAGGAATGTCGGCTCTCCCAGTTTCGTCGACAGCAAAATAAATGGCCTTGATTTCATCGTCATATTCTTGAATGACTGCTTGTCGCCTGACACTGTTCTTGGCTGTAAAGGTGAAAGGTTTCGAGGGAGAAGATACTAAAATCATCTAGAAAGGGAGGTGCTTTGTGAACGTAAATACGCAAATAAGACATTTATCTCACCTCTTTGAAGACCCGAGAATGCTGAGGTGCGTATGCATTCATCTCTTCTACTGAAGGCCTAAAAGCGAGTGATTTTAGTGACTCGGGAGTAGCATAGTTAGCCAGGTCAGGTTGACGCACCAGATCAGATTCCTAAATTCAGCTAGCTTTTCTTCATCTGAAGGGTCGAAGCGATACTCGGATGTCGGGTCGACAAGGACTCCAGCTTGAAATTGACCACGACCAAACATCAGGGAAGCTCGAACGTGAGGGTCTTGATTGAGAATATGCTCTACAATGACTAATCAACAGAGTGTCATATCATTTTGAGGGTCAAAACGAACCTAGTGGACCAGGATTGGTCTGATGCATGCATGCATAGTCAGTATTGATGCGCGCGAGAAAAGTGATACCCACCTTTTCTCCTGTGCTATGCATAATCTGATCATCTGTGCGTCCGAATATTTTCCAGTATCCGGGCTTCGTTGGATGCGGCTCGAAAAGATCGGAAGTAGCATACGCTGGCACATCTTCGTACACAGCATTAAAGACGCTGGGCGTGTTCAGGTTGCTTGACTGCATATTAGGGCAGGAAATAGGTTATAAGATAGGTCCTTATCCAACAGGTTGGGTGGGCTTACCAACACGACAAGCTCTAGCTTGCCCTCCTCATTGGGGACAAAAGCGACCTTGGCAATGTCTGATATCCTGAAATATTCCCAGTCGATATTGAAATCAGCTATTGTCAATGGATCAACCAAGCGAACGTCAATGCTGTTCATATCTTTCAGTGTAACAGGCTCCTACCTGGAACGGTGGAGCTCAAGACCCCAGCTTCTGTGCTGAAAACAATGACCGCTACAGAAATGTGCTTCAGAGAGAAAAGAACTACACACCTCCCATATAAATTAAACAGTGTCACATTTGCAGAGACCAAGACGTCGCCAACTTGCTTGCCGAGGGGGCCGCCGCCGAACATCTACGAAAACACCGCTTCAACAACGCTTTTTATGATAGCCTATCGAAGACATACAACACCGTCAAGCTCAGATAATGTCTTGACATAATCCGGGTTCTTGGACCATGCCTATGAAGTGCCCCATATTTAGGATCGAATCTCTTTGAATCTGGATTTTAATACATACCTCGACAAAACTTGGAACTGTGAAGATGATGTCGCTATGAGCTTCCAGACTAGCAGAGAAGACATTCTCGATTGTAGGCTTCGTTGCCGGAGATCGAGGCCTAAACATATTCAAGACCAGGCCAGATGATGCCTGCATATGACGAACTGTTGAGCCATGGATTGAGTCAGCGAATGCAACGCTCTCACCGCCCATGCTAGAAGAAGATATCCCATTGTGTGATACATGGGCATCGCGTGACAAGCCATGCGTTTACCGGTCAAATTTCGTTCTCCATACCACGGTACTGTCGACAGCTGCATGGCACGACCGTGAGTCCATGCAATCGGCTTGGGGAATGCGGTAGATCCTTCATGAAGAGTTGATCAGGTAAAAGAACCTATAGACGTAACAATGGTACATACCAGACGAGTGAATGATAATGGCATTGGAGTCCCATGCAGGTGTCTCGAACGCAACGCTTGCTTCGCCCTGTGCGGAGTCGGATGATACATAAAGATCCTCGAAGACAGGGGCCACAGACGTCGTCGGCATAGATGGAGATGTCAGGTCTGATTTCAGCGATTGAAATGCGTCCTCGAGCAAACCACGGCATGATTCCTCTACGATGATGTGTGAAACGGAAGCCTTGTTTATAAGGTGGACAACCGCAGCGTGGGAATTGCGAGGCGAGATAGGAAACGGCGTAAATCCTGCGTATTGAACACCAGTGACGAGGGTAGAATACGTGATGGAGTCTAAAAGACGTCAATGAGCAGCGTGAAATGAAGGCCGGAGAAAACACTAACCTAAAACGGCCAAAATACCTACAACAGGCTTTCCTGCGGTCAGATCTGGCACAATATCAGGAGAAAGACCCAATTCCGTGCGCATCCTCCGTGCGGCACGATGGACAGCACGAACACCTTCAGCCCATGTTATGGTGCGGATCGAACCATCGATATTGATATACGAGTATAGAGGATGATTAGGAGAGTTCTTCGAGTGCCAATCAAATACCTCAGGCAGAGTCAACGAGCCTAAGGGAGGAGCGCAAAACGTCTGGCTGTTATGAGCCTGAGTAGGCGGAGGAGTGGGAAGAGGACGAGGAATCTGAATTGACACGGAAGACATTGTTCTTGTTCGATATCTGGGATGATAGAAGGCGTTTGGTGATGTATAGCGGCATTCAGGATGTGTCTTTTATAGCTTATCAATGAATGAGCCTGTGGCCGCACAGACTCAATGCCGGAGGTTCGTGAGGCCTGCCGACGACGCAGCCGATGTAATCTCTACAACCATTGAGACCATTGGGAACTGCTGCTCTGCCGGGAATGAGCGCGGGGTAGGAAGAGAACGCCGACACCGTCGGAAAAGGTAGCTTTGTGTGCTTGGTTCTACGGAAGGAAGGCGACGGAGAACCAGACGCGTTTCCAACTTCGCTCGGGGACAAACGGTCATCATGAGCAGGACTTTGAGGTGCAGCCATGACGTTTTGAGGGCGAATATGCAATAACACTCTAAATACTCCGAGCTGTGTCATTATTCGAGCTGCCGCGGCCAAAGCTGACTTGTGGTATTCTGGTTGCTGTACAATCGAGCTTGATGCCGCTGCGAGGGGATATCGGGATATGGCATCGGAGAGGGAAGCCTGTCTGCCGCCGGCATTAGCGTTGACTTCTCGTTTGCTGCCGTTTGAAAAAAATGAAGGGCGCGTGCGGTTTTGCATGCCGGTTGACTTCTCAAACCCGGCAAGGCTGGGTGCTGCACACGACTGACGTCATAGACGAAACAACGATGAGTCCAGCAAGACACATCATGATATATACTCGCTTGTCACAGAGGGAACATAGATACGATCCAAATTCCATTCAGTAGCATACGCTAGAGCGAGACTGTGAATTGTGTTAAGTGATACGTCGTACAAACCGGTGGTAAAAAAGACTCACCAGCTGGACAAGTCCTTTCCCCGCCTCGTGTACGCTGGCGACAACTTGGAGTCTGTCGAAGGGGATAGGCGTCGGGAATTGGTAGACACTAATAAATCTAGTAATGAAACTCACAGGCTGAGGAGTTCGGATCGGCTATTGGTCGGGAGACGGCAAGATACGGCCGGCAGACCCTAACCTACCCTGACTGGAGCCAAATTACCAGCCTATTATACAGCCTATTTTCAAGTCAACATATCAATGCTCTCTTAAACTCCTGTATTTGTAAACTTTTGTGTTGAGTCCCAGTGAAAAGTTGGTCGAGGCAGATCAAGGCAGAAATAGGCAGAAATAGGCATACATAGGCAGATTAATTCACAGATATTAAAATAGATCATTAATACTAGAAGCATTGTGAGAAACATGAGATTCTATATTGATTCTGTTATAATCTGGTCTATTGGGGCCTTTTCGGCTGTCTATTCCAATAATGATCATCACAACTACTAGATGGCTCCAATTATGGAGCATACATTATAGTATAAGGTAATACCCTTGGTTATTGACTCCTAGTGGGTATCATCATTGCTGGTTGAGTGCCACAGGAAATAATATGGGTGACTGATAGCAGGCTTACATGCATGTACTCACAGGGAAACATAAGCCATTGTACTCTTGGTTAAAAGGAGATAAGTGAAGAAGCACAAGAGTAGTCACTAAGAAAGAGCAGCAACTTAAACTTAGAGAATCCTATTGGACAGAAGAGTATTCTCATGTCTTTCCAAAGTAGTATAAAAGGCCCATAGAATAGGCTAAGGATCTTTAGTCTATTCTCTTTGTTCTTAGACAGTCTTTATACTATTTACCTTTATTGCAGTCCCCTTACTATAACTCCAATATTATCTACTCCTGTACTATCATACAGTTGAGATTATCATTCCACTCTTTCTCATTATGTGACCTAGGAAAGAACCTACTACTCTTGGGGTTATTGAATGAGTAGTTTATAATACTAGAATAGACTCTTCTTGCCCTTGCCTTGCACAAACTCTAGCTTGCTGCTATACTCTTTCTTAAAACCTTTCTTAATAGGGATAATAGACCCCCATCAAGCAAGTGTTACCTCTTAAAAACATCTTGGAGCAAAACCCAGGCCAAAGCTACTCTCTTAGCACTAGACAAATTAATAGACAGTTCCATTACAATAATCATCCTATTTAACAAGAAGGTACTCTTTGGTTCTATATAGACACTAATTCAAATGCACTACCAAATTATAACAACTGCTCACATAGGAATGGGCATTACTACTTCATCTTTAATAACAGAATAGAGAAAGAGTTCCTTTGGAATGAAATAGAGAATCATTAGAACATATTATCTTAGTATAGAGATCCTGAGCCAATAATCTCCAACAACTTAGAGCAAGAAAAAGTCATATCTAGGAAATGCCCCTCTTGTATTAAGCTCTAATTATTGATAATTTTATGAAGTTTTGCTAAAATAGCATTAGTAATTTTTTCCTCATCCCCCCTTTATTTTAGAGCTAATTATAGTCAATTAAAGCGAATTAGTTGGACAGATTTTTGGAAAAATAGAATCTATCATAGTATTATCATTTCTTGCCATTACTATAATCTGTAACCTAGAGATATCTATAAAGGTCACTACTTGAATATCTAAAGCTAAAGTCTTATCTTATGAAGAACTTGCCCTTGGCTAGAGTTGAATCTGTAACCTTATAACCTACACTTCAAATAGATGCTCTAAGCCACTAAGCCATAAGGTCTAAACTAATATCTTGGTAATTCAAATATATTGACATAATTTAGGCAATCTCAGCATTTTTAATCTTATTACTCACTTATTTTTGATCTATTTTTGATCAATAAATATTCAAAAAAATCAGGGCTTTTATAGCCTCAATTCATATTCTAAATACGAATATAATATAATAAATAAAAATAAATAATACACTCTATATAGGGTAAAAAAATATTCTGGCACTCACATAATTTGGATTTAGAGTCTGTATTATTGTGGTTGAGTTGTAGATTTTGAGTAAACTCTAGAATCATAATTAACATGGTGTTTATTACAGATTTGATTATAAAGATAATTATAGATAATTATTTATAATACATCCTAATTATCTTAGATAAGCATCATTAATAATTAGGCATAATTTGGATTTAATATAAGGGAAGGGTTTTCTAGATGTTGGCTATTAACTTCTAGTGGATATTACTATCATTGGTTGAGTATCACAATAGATAATACAGATGACTAATAGCAGGCTTACAAGTATATACACATAGGGAAACACAAGCAATTGTCTCCCCAGTTAGAAAGAGACAATAGCAGAAGCACAAGAGTAGTGGCTGAGAAAGAGCAGCAACTTGGAGAGCCCCATAGGATAAAACAGTATTCTTGTATTTTCCCAAAGTAGTATAAAAGGCCTATAGAATAGGCTAAAGATCTTTAGTCTATTCTCTTTATACTCAAGCAGTCTTTATACTATCTACCTTCATTAAAGGTCACAGTCCTCCCCCACTATAATCCTTTCCCAAATATTATCTGCTCCTATACCCTTATATAGTTGAGATTATTGTCCTACTCTTCCTTATTGAGTGACCTAGAAAAGAACCTCCTACTCTTGAGATTACTAAATGGACAGTTTTTAATACTATTGGAATTGGTATTGCTTGCTACACAATGTCCTAGCTAGTAGCACTTGATGTAAGGTAAATTAAGTGCTCCAGCTTACTCCTTACATGTTCCTTATAAGCTCACTTATCAATAGAGGACCTAGCTAATGGCACTTTCACAAGCATAGGTACTTATGACCTTTCCCTCCTTGCAAGCCCTTATTAAAACCTGTAAGTAGTTAATAAGTTAGGCAAGCTTTTTTGCCCATTTGCTGATGCTCTCTATGTTGAATGCATCACCAACATCTTTGACTGACTTGTCTTGGATGGAGAGCCTTCCTGAACAAGAAACAAGAGATATGTGACACATGAAAGGAGCTTGTGTGTCATGTCGTGGACTTAGGATGGACTAGGGCAGAAATTGAGGATTATGACCACAGTGACATGGATGAGAACCATGTGACATCCTGGGCATAATAGCAATGTAAACTAATATCCAAGTATCAATGCCTCTCAAATGGCATTCCTTTTCACCATCAGACAAGGGTTTTTCAAATGAATGGTGGGTACAATAAGTGATGGAAGCCACTCTCTTCTCTGCCAGTTCCTCCACCCAACTAACCTACACAAAACCTAATAAGGCTCACCAGAGTTTATATAGCGGCCTCAGCAAGCATTGACTCCTAAACCTCGTTTGATGTTCCATAGCCATTACAGACAGCTATTCTCACTTCAATTAGGATCTCTCTAATGGGTTTCACTTGTTGAATATCTATGACATGGATCAAGTCAATATTGGATGTGTCCTACAAGGTGTCATGCAAATAAATGTATCAAGGCATGTTCTTGAGTAACCCTACTTCCCGGGACAGCACACTGTTTTCTTTCCGCAGAAATTAATGCCAGCCCCTCCTTGCAGGATACATATAAGTGGCGATTGTTGAGTGACAGCAGAGTCTGTCATAGCCAAGCAAAACGGACTCAGCACTACTTCAGAGAAAGTGGCCGACAGGCTCGAATCTTGACTGCCCTGCCGAAGATTCGGAAGATCGATGAGCGGGTGTGTTGTCTCAGGCATTCATATGTAGGTGAGGTTGAAGTGACTATACAGAGCCTGTGTTTAAAAGGACTCAGAACACAGACACCGACGTGAACATGCAACATGGTGCGCTCAATGGGACAATGGCATGATGGCTTGAGCCTACCCTCCATGAAATGCTGATCGAGACCACGCCAACATTCCGCGGTCTAAGTCAATCTTTAGGATTTTTCTCCTAGGCGAGTATATAACTAGTCTCGTGGATGTAAGAAAGTCGCTCCTGTAGAACTTGACCATACCGATCACTACCAGGCTGGCGGTTCAGAAGACGTGTTTCAAATTCTTCTCGTACAACTCGATGTGAAGTTATTGCGGCAACAAGTCTTCCGCAGTACATAGCTGCTCTGAAGCTAGATCGGTGATAGCAGCGCGGCTACGGGATGGGTCATGTTTAGCGTAGCTGCGATTCGGCGAGAATTTCTGCGCGATAGACTCATCAAGTGTTCCTTGAATGGAGTCGGCGACAAGCCTTCCCAGCACTGGAAGGAACTACGCAAATGATTGCAAATGATTAAAAATTACATCGATAACGGCGCATTGTAGCTGACGCACCTTATAAGCATGTCCGCTGCCCGCGGTGGCTAGGACCAAGCCAGCGTCTGAGGGGTAGTATCCTATCACCCAGTCTCCATCAGGCGAGTCCGTGTACCTATTGAAAGAAAAGTTAATTGGATGTATTCAATTGACCTGGATGTGACGTTGTCTTATGATCTTACCAGCACAGCCGGGTACTCGAAAATGGCTTATGTGCAAGCTCTGGGTATATTTGGCTCATTTGCTTGCGAAGGAGTCTTGCGATCGCTTTTGGGATCAATAAACCCTCCTTATCATGAGAGAGGATTGTCCGCGGAGTTGATATATTTTTCGAGGTATTGTTGGATGCATAGTTCGTGTGTCCCACAGCATGGATGGCCATCTTCATGATGTTCTCGCTGTTGGGCTAAATTTACAAGCATTTTAGTTATGTACCAAGCAAGATAAAATCTCTTACACACCGGAAACATGTAGAAACCTGTTGCAAAGTCGAGAATCACAGGGCATTTCCGGTACCTATCAGCCTCATCCGGAGTCAAGTCGATGGTCGCAACACTCTGTCTACGAAGAAAAAATCCATCCCGCGTCTGAAGGAGATGAACCCGCGAACGCTTACCCGGTAGCAAGACAGCTAGTTTCGAGGCCAAGATCGGTGAAGGAGGATGCTGTCCAAGAACCCGAAGCGATGACGACCAAATCGGCACTCATGATCGTCCCGTCACTGCACTTGACACCAGTTGTACGTCCGCCCACCTTCGAGAGCCCCCTCGCACCTTTCCCCCCGATGACCTTGCCTCCCATAGACAGAACACGCTCTGTCATCTTGGTGATGCCTTGTGCAGCGAAAGCCCACCCCCCATCCCGGTTGAGAAATCCTTTCATACCCTCCATGGCTCCGATATTTACCTCAGATGGAAACGCCGACTGGATAGCTTCACGGCCGTCCAATTTCAAAACACGTGCGCCTATCGCTACATCATTTGCGAAGGAGTCTGATGCGTATGCTTCGTTCGATCCCAGAACAACTACTCCGGATCTAAACAGATGGGTCGCCAGCGATCAGATGCTTGGCCTTCAGTTGATATGACTCGGAGTATGCTGAGAAACACGCACTCATGGTAGGTGTCACCCCACTCTTCTATATCCTTCCAGCATTGTATTGAATCATGGGCTAGCTGAGTGTAGAAACGATCGGAGTAAGATGTCCGGACGACTTGATTTATCACGAGATCGAATGAGCAATGCAAGTGAATCGTACAAGACGACGTACTCACTCTTATTTATATCGGTGCTCGCAGCATCAGGCGCAGGGAGGACTTCCGAGCGATCAATGGCTGTGACATCTGTGAAGCCTCGCTTAAGCAGATGGTATGCCGTGGAAATGCCAAAGCAGCCCGCTCCAACAATGAGTATCTTGTCATCCTTGTTGACCATTATTCTTCGAAAGATAGAGAAGTCTGGTGTAAGGCTGATGATCAAGAATTGAGAGAATCAGTTGCACCCGAGTCATTCCGTCCATAGCCGCGATGAGTTGGGTCTGGGCAATATTCGAGACGAGTCAACTTTACGACGTCGCGGACTTCCAATCACGATTATCTTATCGGCTTGATTTGCTCCTCCATCCTCCATCTCCCTCGACTCGAATAGGCAGAGGATTAGAACAGAATGCGATCATCAGGCAAGGTGTATCATCGCACACCGAAGGAAGTGCTAGATTCAGAGTCTATGCACCACATCGTAAACATCCTTGAACACAGGAGCCGAAACCAAAGAGCGCGATTCCAAGGTCCCTTAGGATCAGCCTTCTCTCAATTTGAGTTTTCTCTCCATGTGTGACCATCCGTGGCTGTCCGCCTTACTCCCGTCGACTTGTCCTGATCGGGACTCGGATCGCTGATAGCCCATAGGAGGAGACTTCCCAATATTGGACCTCCGCCTTGCAGGGATGATGAGGCAGCAACGAGAGTCCAACCAAGTATCCTCACTTGCGATTTGTCGAATGGCTATATATGCCGTATGTCCTATGCTGAAGATCGTGTTCCAACTACCTTCAAGAAATGCCGACAAACCCGAGCTTCCCCTGACTTGCTGTTGCTTTGAAAGTTACAGAAAGTCCTTCACCTTTCTAGCTTCAAGCCGCATAGTTCGCAACATTACATGTATCCTCGCACGCACTCAAAACGAACGTTGACTCGATTGCTATGTTGAATCGCCATGCATCAGTCATTCAGGCGCAATTCATAGTGCGATACGAGACATGTAATTGGATGGACAGTGACTACCCTACTATTAAGACATTGATCAATAAGACGACAGCAGTGGAATCCTCTTTCTAACAATCAAAGTGTTCTATGGAATGTGGATCTAGATATGCAGGTACATAAAAGCATGTGATGTGATGGAATGGAACAGACAGAATGATAGATGGAATAATGTAAGTAATTAAGCAAACAGCCCGACAACGACACCCTGCATTTTACCATCCCGGATCGCCTCGTGGATCAGGGAAACATTTTGTCCAATCGTCACGTCTTGGACGCCCAGCCCCTCTGAGAATAAGTCGAGATTCTCTTTTCCATGCATGCCAATGCCGAGCGTCACTCTGACAAACTCGTATATCGGCCTCGTTTTGTTGAGGTACGCACTTGCTGGTGCTGGCCCACGGGCGCCTGTCAGATAATCGGTGCGGAGGGTGTTGAGCAATTGAACAGCGCGGCTGGACACGGCTCCGCGGAAGGCAGGGAGGGCAGAGAGAGCAGTGACCTCGACGGCGGCAGATGATGTGAAATATTCGACCAGAACGGACGAGGAAGCAGAGCTGACGGCGGCCATACGCGGGATAGCGTCCATCGTGCTTGTATGATCAAGAGTCTTAAACATGATTGATGACACTTTGCGCAGGATGGATGAAGCATCTGAAGGCGCGAGGCTTGCACCAAAGTGAGTGCGCAGCTCCTCATCTACAATCTCGGCAAGACCGCGACGGAATTCAAATTGCATGGCCCTTAGGTCGAGTGCTGATGATAGAGTTTAGAGAGGAAGAGAGAAGACGACGACATACAAACTTACCTTGACAAATTAAATAGAGATATGTCGAAGTCAGCAATGAGAGTACTTCGAGTGAATTGACGGTGGCACGGGCCGATATCAGAGCCAGGGAGCTAAACGAAAACATTGAGTCTTTCCGTATGATAGTGTATGATGAAGACCTTACTTGACAGCCTGATTGTGCATCTCCGCGGACTGAATGTGAGTCGATACAGGACTAGCAAGGTACCCGAGCTCTCCGACATAGGCGGCGACGGCAATGTCCAGACCCTTGGTATGGTAGTTCAAGGAAGGATCGCTGGCAGCAAGCGAAGGCGGAAGACCGCGATTCATCGTTGGATTGATGAGCTCTGTTGATTGAGCAAAGAGAAGCTTTCCGATGTGATGAAGGGCGAGGCGGGTCTTCTCCATGGCGTTCGTCACCGCCATGGCCTGGAAGTTGCCACCATGATGAACGTCTCCCGTCTCTCCGTCAAACAACGGGTTGTCCGTAGCTAATAGGTGGTGAGTGTGAGGAAGGGCAAAGTTGTCAGATGAGACGTACTGGAGTTGCATTCTAGAGTGACGGTGTTGAGAGCCGAAATGATGTCTTCAATTTGAGGGCCCAGGAATTGAGGTGCGGTACGCAAAGGGTAACGATCCTGACGCAGCTCGCCGTCATCTTCCTCAATTGTCACCTCCTTTTCCTCGGCATGAGCAAACTGGCTGCCCTCCAAAAGGTCCCAGATTGTCCGAGCTGCTTCCACCTGCATACTTCAATTAGCTGACGTATATGTATGTAACCTTGAGATGCACAAACCTGCCCTGGATGAGGACGAGCGACTTCGTGGATGAAGTAGTGGTAGTTGCCGCGTTCGCCGAGGAGAGCCTCGGTTCCCATAGCCGTGCAAATTTGGGCCAGCATCGCGAGATGGGCGGCATCGTTCAAAGCAAGTGCTGCAATGGATGCGGAAAAAGCGGTTCCATTCAAAACACCAAGGTGCTCCTTAGCAGCCAGAGGGATAGGGGCAATGTTGTGTTTGGCAAGTGCATCGCGCGAAGAAACAATCTGGCGAGCTCCGAAGACCGAGGGCCCATCAAAGACCCGGATTGAAGGGTTACCTATAAGTGTACCCGCAATGTACGAAAGAGGGGAAAGATCTGGCCGCAAACATACAATGAGATTTGGAAGCACTTAGAGTTGATGATCCGCTCACCCCCCGAAGCCGAAATGCTGCCGCGGAGCGGCACGAGTGGTGTGATGTTGGAACGCAAAAGCTCTATCATCTTCTCCACAAGCTCCCATCTAACACCGGAGTGACCACGAATCAAGGAATTGGCGCGCACAAGGATAGCGCCTCGTACCCAAGACTCGGGCATGCTGGTAGATGCTAAGGGGTCTAAAAGTGGAAGCGCGGGAAGCGGGCTTGACGTTGAGGAGGGGAGTATGCCCGAATGCTGGTGTTGTAGGAGGGCGCTGCCGAGAGCAAGCGTATCGGCCGTTCTGGTGTCCGCTGCATATCTCATGAGTGAAATGATCTAAAAATGACGATCAAAATAACCTACCGCTCCCGCCAAACCCAGTGCTCACACCGTAGACACTTTTCCCACCATCGACCTTGCTAACAACCAGATTGCGTGATTTTGCAATACGTTCCCTGATAGTAGGGGTATCACTGAGAGCGACGGAAGCGTTGTATCGAGCGGCAGCTGCAACTGCGGGGATAGACAGGGACTGTCCATCCAGAGTGACCACCTTGCCATTTCTGGGGGAAGGCACGATACGTTAGGAACAAGCAGTCGTTGTAGAAGCATAATGGGGGTGGGGTCGACGTCATGCCGATCAATGCACCGTCACGTACCTATAGCTTTCAAGCTCGGTGAAAGATTGGATGAACCGTGTGATCAAGTCAGAAGAGGGGCGATCCCCCCTATGCTCGGTTTGAATGGCGCTGGGGACGTCATGGACGAGGGCCTTCAGTGCGGCGACGGTAGCTGGTGACTTGTGAATACCATCGGCGCGGTGTGCAGTGGCAGTGCGTGGCTCGGTAGAAAGAATGGTCATCCTGAGCGGAGGTGGAATGGAAACGGGAGGGGGATGTGGGGATTGTTGTCGAATGACGAGCCCATTTATAAGTCTCCATGTGTATGGATACGCAAACTGGACTTCAATCAGGAAACTAAATCGAGCACCGCTGCGCCCTGGAGAGCGGTTGACGCCAGCGCCTGATCAAGTCCATTTCGCTCGGCAGAGCCAATCGTTCAGCTTCAGATCCGTCCGGATATGACCTGGAGATCCGGCCGTCCAATGACCGACCTCCGAACCCATGGAACCCACCGTGAAGGAGCATCTTCAGGTAAGGTTGCTGTAGTGACCTCAACGCTAAAAGGACCATACTGTTTCACAGGGCTTGACTTGGCGCTGTGCAATCAGTCGTTCAGGAAGCAACGATCAGAGTGGGAGACTGCCCGGCCACTGCCCGGCCAAACCGGCCGGAGGAGGCACTTCCGTGGAAACTTGGCCGTTATGACTTCGCTGATTTGATAATCGACAAGTCCTCTCGTCCTCAAATGCCTCGAACGAGCTGGAACGCCGCTGCTGACTTGCTTTGACTTGTATCATTCAATGCCTGTCGACTTCAGGGCCCAACACTCGCGCTACAGTCCCATCGGCGAACAACTGCTCCTGTGAAACATTGGGAACCAGAATTTCCAGCATCAACACACATCTCCGGAAATAGCTGCGATCATCTTTCTCGCATTACAGCGCCTGTGCACGCAGCGCAATCCCATGGTCACTTATGACCAGCCCATTCAACTCTTGTCCACAGCATCTGCACTAATGTGCTCACGATACGCCACGCCGCATCCTTATTCCCTCGCAGCCACTGAGTCACTGACTCGTCATTGAAAAATAGCGTTTTGCGCCACTCGCATTGATACTGGACCGACGTCAAGATGAGTAACATATTCTAAGTTACGGCGCTCGCCGTAAAAGTGCGCTTAGAGCTGAGTTTCACCTTCATAAAGACTCATCTCGTAACCGGTGATATTGACAGAGGCTCTCACGACTGGACAGGGCTGATATCGATGATTTACGCATGGATGCTCTCGCCCGACATAGTGCTTCTGATCTTCTATATCGCGGCCTCGTGGCCGGTGCTGACCTCCTCTCGCTATTGATAACACTTCAGCGCTATGTAATGGTGCATTATCACTAAACTATGGTGAACGAACCCTGATAGCGTATACATTTCCGTGCAAATCATCGGGTGTGATCCCACTCTGAGCGCCACCTTCGTGATCGCAGTCTTCATTCGACTAACCTGCTTTGCTAGTCCGCTCAATGTCCTCCACACCTGTTTCATGATTCATTCATCTACAAAATGTCTAGGTACGACCTCTGAAAAACCCACACTCAAGCAGTGCTATTTGTATTTGGCTAGTTGTTCATCTCCGGACCCGGACACCGCTGTACGTCACTTACTTTATGGGCGGCTGTGTACCCACTCATATCTACTGAATCACGGCTGACAGGTGCAGGAAGAAGCTGATCCTCTAAGATTTTCTGATCAACAGTGAGGCAACAGAGGCAGTACAGAAGCTCACACGTAACGTGCGAGGAGCTCTCCAGGAGTCTGACAACAGCGATGCCCAAATCGTTGATGGACCTGATGCCATAGTCCTGAATCCGCTCAACTCACATACATCTGTCAACCTTCGGCATATTGACATCGTGGATTCAGGTCTGCCAATCTGCGTGTAATGATCGTCATCAGTTCAACATCTCATCTCTGGTGCTTGGTAATGTATTGCCCCTAACCCTGGTTTCAGTCTTCACCGGCGGCTGCGATTCAGGTTCGTCTCAGTTGAAGCTGGAGGCTCCGAGAGTGGGAATGTTCATTATGAGAGAACTTGTCATCCATCGAATAGAACGGCACAGACGGAGAATCGCACATTCGTCAATTCAGTGCCTATGCCTAACGGTGCTTTTAGCCGAATGGGAGCATACTTTATGCAAATGAGACGCTTCCATACCCCGAAGGATCGAGCAGGTGATGAGTACACCATGGGGAAGTACATTTTTTCCATGATCAGTTCAGTATCCGTCGACCTATGTTGACCGCATGGATGATTTCAGCCTCAGGGGTAGAGCCGCAGCTTTTTCCGGCGAATTGGCTGGCATTCAAACGGACAACATTTGAAGCACAGTGCTGGCCTTGTGCCAAAATCGAAAAGGGGTTACAAGTGGGAGGTCTCCCACTCCGTTGAGCAGAGCTCTATAACGTTAGATACGTCTGTGTTGAGCAATGGAAAGACATTCCCAGATACGACTGCCGGAACTCCTGCGAAAACTGTGTATAATGTGCAGGGCTGCAAAGCAACCCTGCAAGAAATTGGTAGCTCCATAAATGCTGATCGTGATTCATACAATACTCACTATACGGAAGGGACAAGTCAAAAGAATTATGTGCGCATATTATCAGGTGTATGGGGAATCAGAAGCAGAGCGATATGGTCATACCCACAAGTAGTAGTGCATACCAGCGGTCGCATAATACCAGGGTCTCGCCGGCGATAACAAAAACATCCCAGATAACATAACACAATCAGCATACGGCAAGCTCCAAAGAACCCTGACTGAGCCTGGGCAGAAGTGGGTCACTTAGAGCGCACCCGCTTGGTCTTGCGCCCTGTGTCACTTTCATCGTTTTCACCGTCTTCATCTTCGCTTGCGGATGTTGTGCGCTTCTTGGTGGCTTTTGTTCTTCTAGCTGGCTTTTGAACCTTAGCACCGCCGTCGTTCTCGTCGTCGTCGGACGCAAAAGGATTGTTATTCGCTTGCTTTCTCAACTTCAATCTTGGTTTTGGTTTCGCTTTTGTCCTGACATTTCCTTCTCTCTCTTCGTCCTCGTTCGGATTTGATTTGGCAGCTTCTTTGGTAGACGGCGAAGGATCATGTACGCCAATCTTATCAACCGCTTTATTGGTCTCAAGTTCGACAAAATACGCGTCTTTGAGGGCCTGAAGACCAGCTTATAGTTAGACCGTTCCGGCGGAAAATGGGTAAGACGTACCTTTGCTTCAGAAGCTTCAATGAGGGCATTAGGCTTCCAGACCTATATGACAACCGGTAAGGGCCTTGCTTACTGGAGCACGAGGCCTTGATGTACTCACTGTTGACTGGATTCCACTTGGATGCTTGCTGTCTAAGCCTACTCAAAGGGAATCAATATGTCTGAATATGCGCATGGATTTTTACGGATTACCGATGGCTGTGTACAGGTTTGCTTTGACACCTAGAACGTTCATACCGTGATTGCGGAGGAGGACACGCATGACCTTTGTCCCACGTAGGTATCACTGAGCCCAAAATTGACGAGTCCAAGGGACGCTCGTACCTCTGTGACCGCAGCTTTATCGTACACATTTGGAAGGTAGATGCACAAAAGGTGTTGATAGTTTGGGGTCTCGCTTATGGGGCAGGTCGCCACTTTCGCTAAGGATGCAGAAGTAGAAGATAATGGTCCAGATACAAGTGATGCTGCATCCATGCATTATTGCCGTTATTTTCGCTTACGGAAATGTCAAATTAGAACGACATACTGGCGATTGCGGACCAAATAGTATCGACTTTCTCAGGAGGAGCGAAGATGAGCCTGTAGTTTGCCGCTTCAGTACATATAAGCCGCAACAGGATCATTGATCAGCGCCGAGATGAAACATTACCATTTCCCTGAGACATAACCTTTCTGGGTTGATATCTCTGTCAAACGTTCAGTGGCTTTTGCTTGTTCCTATGATCAAACGATCAAGGTGTTTCTATTGTCACGATTTCTAGCAGATGAGATATGACTAACTCACTGCTTCCCGGAGTTCTTTCTTGCTCTTTGCCCCAGTTTTCTTGTTCGACCGAGTTGGGATTGTGCTGTCGTTCTGCACGCAGGCAGGATGAGTCCAAGTCCCTCATGCGTAGTTTGCGATTACTTACTTTGATTTTCTCGACTTTCTCCGTGACTTCTTTCACTACACATCACGTAGCCTGAGACGTCAATGTGGTGAAAGTCTTGAGAACGAAGATACACACGCAGATTAATAGCTTCTTGAATGGCACTTTCTTCTCCGGAGTCCTTTGGGGGAGCTTGAGATCCTTGTACCCATATCCACTTGGAAGTATAAGATTCGATGAGACGGAAGGTGTCACGTAGCGAAGGAGTCAAGTTCGTACCGGTTTGGTGCCGTCGTCTTGAACAAGGGAAGGTTTGTACTGTATTAATTTTTTTATTGAAATCGCGTCGGCGCATCGTCCGACCCTCAATGAAAGTGAAATCAGACCTTGGAGAGAAATGTGTCCAGCGGAACGTCAGCCGCACAACTTGGAGACCACGCATAAGAATACAATTCCAATTGAGGCACCACGTCTTCGGACTGCTTGTTCTCACTCATTCGAATAGTCTTAAGAGCCCTATCTGAGCTGTGTGTGAGAATTGTGATGTCGTGGCAGTGGCAGAGACTCGAGAGAGACTCGAGAGCGCGACGACGAGACTCGAGAGGCGCGTTGTGTGCCAGTGTTTGCCGGTGTTTGACATCGTTCCTCGTCAACGTTCCAACTTTTCGTCATGTTGTCAACGCACGGAATTCCCATTCGTCCAACAAAAGAAATCTATGAGATGCGAGGATGTTCAATTTTGTTCAATCTCACTATGAAATTTACCAGGATTTTTGGTGCTGTCTTCATTCACTGGAGAGCAGCGTGTGGGCCTCACCTGGCCGCTCCAACTTCAGGTTTATACTGTAGCAGAGACAAAGCATCCGGCTTCTCATGTCACGACCAAATTCCGTGTATGTAACCGTATTATGGTATGTGAGGCCTGTGATCAGGGCTGAGCGCCGAGCACTGAGTGTCTAGGTGGGCTTTCATCCGAACTTGCAGCTGCCTCGAGGCCCTCGATCTCATAAAATGCGTCTTTTTCTAATACGACGAAATCATCAGGATACTACGCCGTCTAATATTCCTCATGTTCCCCTTTCCTGGGTATACTTCCTGTCCAGACAGGACCTTGAGCTTGTTGATTTTCATTATTTCATGAATGGCGCACTAGTCCCATCGCTCTATACCAGGCCGATTCACTCTTCTCTGTACACGCTAGGGGTTTGGAACTACAATATCGAGCACACAGGCACTTACCCAGTGGTTGGAATAGATCAGCTATCGATTATCGGTGGTTGACCGCCGTGAAACCGTCCGGATATTCCATTCCGGCAGACGGCCGCTGGTGCACACACCTCTCCAAAGGTGCGTCTATTAATTGATTTTTCATTGCGTCATTACAACAGTTCATCTTTCCACTCAGAGTTACCTTGGACCAAAATATCCAAATTGTTCCAGCGCGTAATTCGAATCGGGTTCTCATGTTCACGACCGCCGTGAGTAAAACATTATCAATTAAGATCCGAGCCGCCTCTCTAGGAACGAGGTTCTGTCCACCAACCAGCTCTCTCCTAAGATCCGAGACTCCTTCCCGCTCTACATATGCCTAATGACGTTCTATAAGCGCATGTGCTCGTTAAAGTCGAGACCCTTGTTTCGGACTGGTGGCAGAATCCATAGATCAGAGATTCTTTACATAGTATTTCGGTGAGCCATTTGAACTTCCAGGGCTCTTAAATCAGTCTTGCTGATGGGATGTCCACAACCATTTATCGTCTAATGATCGCGGGCCGGGTATATCCACGACATTATAACGTTTCAGGACACCGAGAGCATGAACGCTTGTATCTAAATCACTCGCCGAGCTATCTTGAATGCATGTCGATTCGTTATTTGAACGACGAGGTTCCGTTTTAAGTGTTCATCTAGGTATTGCACGAGTAATCCCGGTGTTTGTTCGCACACAGTCTCTAGAACACCAAAACTTTCCATCAGAGCGTTTAGACTGTCCGACTAGAGGGGGTCTTCCTTTAGTGACCGTGCTCCGCGGTGAAGATGGGTACTTCGACTTCTCGTTGCATGTGTTCATCCTGGCAGGCATTTTTCATGACACAGCATATCTGCTCCTCGCTGACATCATCTACGCGCTTAGTCGTATTTAAGACTCATACAGCATACCGACGTTTTCAACGCTAGATTTGACAATTGAAGGTTTTCATTCTCTCGTCGTCAGGATGTACACTTACGGTGATCATAACAGGATTTCAACAGCCTTCAAAAGCTAGTGCGTGAATCGTGATCCGGGCGAAATCACTTACGGCATTGAGAGTCTTTCGGTATTGACGCCCATAGTGGGGTACGTCAACAGCTTCCATTGTACTGACCATCCGACATCGAACCGGAGGCAAATGTATGGCATGCAGTCGCTGGATACTTCAACCCTGTTGTCGTTCAGGTAATCGGGCTTGATGATTCTCCTGTCCCATACCATGGCACCTCACTCCCACGTTGAGCCTGCCTCCATTGGCAGTCAAACAGGTGAGCTACCGAGGTACGGATTCCCATGGATTCTTGCGGCTCAATGCAGCAATGCTATAGTACCGATGGAGAGTCCCTGCGCGAGATCGCCTTTTCAAGGCCAGGAGGTTTCATATCTCTATTCCCAAGGACCGTACGGCTGGTGCCCTAAGACGCCGACTTTCGTGGATTCTTGTCATCGCGGATCTGTTCACGATGCGCCACCTATACAATAAAGACGAATTGGCTTCATTTCACGAGGCCAGCATATATGTCATTGTGTCATAGTCTCAAACACCACACCATGGAATGATTCGTCCCACAGATCGCAGGGCCCGTGAACAGTCTGTGAATGCATGGCTTGGGCCCATGTGGTGTCAGGACGCGAAGCCAAGTCTAGTGGTTTGCTGGGAACGGGTTGGTAAGCGTATCTCGGGAATCGTAACATTTCTGATGGTGGGCAGCAATATGCCACTCAGCTTGCTAGTCCGATATTCGATGGCGAGCTACGACGAGCCACATTGGAGAGCCAAGTATAGGCAACGTCTTCGCGGATATTGGATCTGATGCGTCGCACTCTCCAGCGCTGCCTCGGTATCTCCAAGCGCACATGCGTCTCACGAGAGGCTCGATACACTTCAGCCTTTCTATTCTAGTGCCCGTCCGCAGCTTCTCCACAGATCCAGCGGGAGCGGCGATTATCAAATTCTATTCTGGCACTAGAATCCCCAGCAACGAACAGTCGGATGAGGTCCTTACGCCTCAGGGACTTTCGGTGCAGATCCTGCAACAATCTGAATCTCCGGCATCGCATAAGTCAGTCGCACATTGCGCGCAAGAACGGACTCTTCAAATCGATCAGACTCTGACGTCTGTCATTTGCGTTTCCGCGTTCCACGTATTTAGTGGATGTCTTTCATCATGGAGCCACTGCCTTACACCACAGATGCGATAGCACTCGATGGAGACCGCGCCTGTCTGTCTACCGCGTAACGACACGGCATGGAGCCTCTGGGTAACCCATCCATCACCTACTTGCGGTGCGGTGGTGGAACTCGAACAGGGCGCTCTGTCACTTTCGCTATGATACCCCTCGCTCCTGCCTAATAGCTGTCAGACAGACGAAGCGCTCAAGCTCTCACCGGTGCTTCGTCGACATCACGACATCTGCGTCTATACCCGGAGCGCCCCAGCTAGTAAGAAGGCGAACGACGTCCTGATCGAAGAAGCCTACTTAGTACATCGGACCCGCCAGAGGGGACCGCACGTAGTCCTACGCTAGCCCACACTTACGTAGCCGCACGTACTGATCTGAGCCTTCTGAGCCTCGGTGGTCTCATTGGTATCCGTGTGCGAGTCTCCAGACGCCCGATCTGAAAGCTTCTGAAGTTCGCGAAGGAGACAGAGCTCATTCGGCGCCAAAACACTGCAGCCCCTCGCAGCCTCCAAATTCCAGCAGACCTCGGAGTGCGTCGCCGATCAGCCAACGGATCCGACGCGAAACAACGTTCACCGCGCGCGAACCACCGGCACTCTCTTTCAGACAGACAACAAGGAAATAGATTAGAAAACACGTATGCATGCATGTATGTAGGCGCGTGCTCGCCGCAAGCCGTACAGATATCGTTCAGGCGCGCTTGCTTGCTCGCTCCCATGTGTGCAACACACGTCCGGGCGCGCCCCGCGCCCTCCCGGAAGTATCTGCTTTTTGTGCGTTCTGCGTTCTGCGATTCGCGGTTCGCATTTCACCATCCACCCGCTTTTCAATTTCCGTTCCGCCCGTTCCGCCGTTCCGCGCCTCACGCGCGGCGGCCGACAAACTCGCGCCACGAGCGCACCTCGGACGGGATCTTGCCCTCGGTGTACCCGCGCAGGCCGCCCTCCTCCATCTTCTTCGCGAGGCTCTCGACGAACAGCAGCGCCGTGCGCGCGTTGTTGAGCAGCGGCAGCCCAAAGTCGACCGCGTTCCTGCGCGCACGCGGGGGGGAAGTACAAGGCAGCGTCAGCGCGCCGTCCCCAAGAGAAAGAGGGAAAGAAAGAACGAAGGAAAAAGAAAAAGAAAAGCAACGGCGTGGCCCACGCCGTCAAAGAAACGAAGCAAGCAAGCAAGCAAGACAGAAGAACACCGCTCACCGTCGCGCGACGTAATCCTCATCCGTCACATCCACCGCCCTCCCACTCGCGAGGTTAATCACGCACTGCACATCATGCTCATCAAACACCATCCTCAGCTTCCGCTTATCCTTCGTCGGGAACACGATCCGCTTCGCGCTCACGTACGGCAGCGCGTTCAGCGCCGCCTCCACCGCGGGCGTCGCGCAGTACAGCCGGAAGCCGAGCCCCGCGAGCGTCCGCGCGATCGCCGCCATCTCCGGCGCGGCGGTGTCCCCGCCGATGAGCACGCCCGAGCGCGCGGCGGGCACCTTGAAGCCCGTCGTGCTCAGCAGCGCCGCCCAGTACGCCTCGTGCACGTCCTTGCCGAAGCTCGCGACCTCGCCCGTGCTCGCCATCTCTGCGCACGATCACACGATCACAAAAAAAAAAAAAAAACACTCGGTCAGCACGCGTCGCACGCGCGCCACGACGAGAGCGACGCACCGACGCCCAAGAACGGATCCGCGCCCCCAAGCCGCGTCCACGAAAACTGCGCGACCTTGATCGCCGTATAATCCCGCGCCTCCGCCATCGCGTCCACCGGCGCGGGCACCTCCCGCCCCACGATCGCCCGCGTCGCCGTCTCGATAAAATTGTGCCCCAGCACCTTCGACACGAACGGGAACGAGCGCGACGCGCGCAGGTTGCACTCGATCACCTTCAGCGCCGACTCCTCTTCCTGCCCCTCCTCGGCGGGCGCGCGCGCCTGGCGGATGATCTGCATGTTGAACGGCCCCGAAATCGCGAACGCCTTCGCGACCTTCTCCGCGATGCCCTTCACGCGCGCCAACTCGCGCTCCCCCAGCGTCACGGGCGGCAGCACGAGCGTCGCGTCGCCCGAGTGCACGCCCGCGTGCTCGACGTGCTCCGAGACGGCGTGCACGAGCAGCCGCCCCGCGTGCGCGACCGCGTCCACGTCGAGCTCCTGCGCGCCCGCGATGAACTTGCTCACCACGACCGGGTGCAGCGGCGAGACGGACGCGGCGGCGGAGAGGTTGTGCTCGAGCGCGCGCGCCTCGTGCACGACGTTCATCGCTGCGCCCGAGAGCACGTACGACGGCCGGATGAGCACCGGGTACCTGCGCGCCGCGGCGGGTTGGACAACGCGAGTCGTCAGCTTCGAGGGCGCAAGAGGCGGAGAGGCGGAGAGACGGAGACGGATACGCACCCGACGCGCTCCGCGAACGCCTTGGCGGCGTCGACGCTCGTGACCTCCGTCCACGCAGGCTGATCAACGCCGATCGCGTCCAGCACAGACGAGAACTTATGCCTGTCCTCCGCCCTATCGATCATCTCCGGGTCCGTCCCAAGCACGTTCACGCCGCTCTGCTTCAGCCGGAGCGCGATGTTCTGCGGCAGCTGGCCTGCGCGCGCACACACACACACACACACACACACAGACAAAGGTCGAACGTCAAACGTCAGAAAGCGCGAGCGAGCGAGAGGCAAGCACGCGGGAACTCACCGCCGACGCTGACAACGACGCCCTGCGCCCCCTCCAGCTCATAAATATCCATCACGCGCTCCCACCCCAGCTCCTCGAAATACATCCTATCCGCCTCGTCGAAGTCCGTCGACACCGTCTCCGGATTATAGTTCACCATCACCGTCCGGACGCCCATCTCCCGCAGCGTCCGCGCACACGTGACCGCGCACCAGTCGAACTCGACGCTGCTCCCGATGCGGTAGACCCCGCTCCCGAGCACCATCGCGCCGTGCGCGTCGAAGGCGACGTCGTGCGTCGACGCGTTGTAGGTCGTGTAGAGGTAGTTCGTGTGCGCGGGGAACTCGGCCGCGAGCGTGTCGATCCGCTTGACGAACGGCGTAAGCCCGAGCGCCTTGCGGTGCGCGCGCACCGCCACCTCAGTCGTGGGCGCGGGCGGCGGCGGCGGCGGCGGCGTAGTCGTAGTCGTTTCTGACGAAGGCGGCGCGGTGGCGGTCGAGGTCGAGGTCGTGGTCGTCGGCCCAGAGATCAGCGACGCGATGTGCGCATCCGAGAAGCCCATGCGCTTCGCGCGCTCCAGGAGGTCCCTATCGAGCGCCTCGAGCGAGCCCGCGGCGCTCACCGCGCGGTGCGTCTTGACGATGTTCTCGAGCTTGTACAGGAACCACTGCGCGCGCAACGCACACGCACGCACGCACGCAAGCTATGCGTCAGCCCGTATCCAGGACAGGAGAGGGGAGGGGAGGCGGACGCGGACGCGGACGCACCTTGTCGATTTTCGTGAGCTCGTGCACGCGCTCCACCGACCACCCCTCAACATACATAGCCTGCGCAATATCAAACAGCCTCATATCCGTCGGATTCCGCAGCCTCTCCTCCAGCACCTCCCGCGTCGCGCCCCCGCGCTCGGCGACGACCTCGAACCCGACCCACCTCGGATCGACCATCCTGACCGCCTTCATCACGCTCTCCTCGAACGTGCGCCCGATCGCCATCACCTCGCCGACGCTCTTCATCGCGGAGCCGACGCGTCGGTCGACCTGCGCGGAGAACTTCGCGAGGTCCCACTTGGGGATCTTGGTCACGATGTAGTCGAGCGCGGGCTCGAAGCACGCGGTGGTGGTTTTTGTGACGGCGTTGGGCAGTTCGGGGAGGGTGTAGCCGAGCGCGAGCTTGGCGGCGGTGTAGGCGAGCGGGTAGCCCGTGGCTTTGGAGGCTAGGGCGCTGGGGGAGGGAGTGAGCAGCGGACAAGGGCGGGCGGCTCGCGAACGCGTACCTGGACCGACTCAGACTGTCGCACCGGGAGCGGGGGCAGCGTCAGCTTGATTGTGCGAAAGAGAAACGGCGGAGAAGAAGCGGTGGGGTGCGCACCGGGCGTTGACCTCGATCACGCAATACTCGCGGCTAGTCGGGTTGAGCGCGTACTGGATATTGCACTCGCCGACGACGCCGAGGTGGCGGATGACCTGCGCGAGCGCGGACGCAGGCCGTCAGATCGGAGCCCACGCAGACGGCCGCGAAGACGCGGACGCAAAAAGAGAACCCACGCACCTTGAGCGCGGCGGAGCGCAGCATGTGGTACTCGTCGTCGGTGAGCGTCTGGGAGGGCGCGACGACGATGGAGTCGCCGGTGTGCGTCCCAAGCGGGTCGAAGTTCTCCATGTTGCAGCAGATGATCGTGTTCTGCGCGGGCGGGCGGCCACGTCGGCGTCGGCAAGTCAGCGTGAGCGTGAGCGTGGGCAAGGACGCGGGGGAAACGCACGTCGGCGCCGTCGCGTACGACCTCGTACTCGACCTCCTTCCACCCCTTCATGCTCCTCTCCACCAGCACCTGCGCAAAGGTCAGCGTCTGCTAAACCAAGCAGCGCGTCGGCCGACTCACCTGGGGCGAGAGGCTGAGGCCGCGCGCGGCCAAGTCGCGCATCTCGTCCTCGTTGTGCGCAAAGCCGGAGCCGAGGCCGCCGAGGGTGAAGGCGGAGCGCATGATGACGGGGTAGCCGATGCGGGCTGCGGCGGAGAGGGCGTCGGGGACGGAGGAGACGGCGGTGGAGGTCGCGGCGGGGATGTCGATTTCTGTGCGCGGCGAACACGGGTGAGTACGAGGGGAGGGAAGTGGGAGAGTGTGAGAGTGTGAGAGTGGGAGAGCGGGAAGAGAGCGTGCCTTTGAGAGCCTGGACGAAGAGGTCCCTGTCCTCGGAGACCTCGAGGGTGCGAATGGGGGTGCCGAGGACCTTCACGCCGAGCCTATCGAGCACGCCCATCCTGTCGAGCTCGATGCCGACATTCAAGGCGCTCTGGCCGCCAAAGGTCAGCAATATGCCGTCGGGGCGCTCCTTCTCGAGGACATAAGCGACGTAGTCGACGGTGACGGGGAGGAAGTAGACGTCGTGGGCGAGGTGGTGGGAGGTCTGCCAGGTGGCGATGTTGGGGTTGACGAGGACGGCGCGGACGCCCTCCTCGCGGAGGGCCTTCATCGCCTGGGAGCCGGAGTAGTCGAACTCGCCCGCCTGGCCGATGGAGAGCCCGCCGGAGCCGACGACGAGGACCTTGGAGACGGCGGCGCGCGGGAGCTTTGGGAGGACGCGGGAGGAGAGGGCGCGGGCGAGGGCCGAGGGCGAGTTGAGCACGCGCGCGTCGGTGTCGGGGTCGGTGTCGGGGGCGAAGTCGCCAACGGAGGGGGCGGCGACGGCGAGGCGGGGTGGGGAGATGTGGAGGGCACGTGCGGCTCGCGGGGGGGCGGGGGGGCGGAGGCGGAGGGAGAGGCGGAGGGACGCGAGGAGCGCCATGGCGGGAGACGGAGACGGTGCTGGGCGGTCGCTCGTTCGCTCGTTCGTCTCGCCCGTGACTCGATCCTGCCTTTTTTTTGCTCGTAATTATCTAAGGGCTTACGTACGCGGGCGTGCCCGCACAGATGACCCGGGACACCTCTCCCCCGCCGGCCCCGGAGCCCTCCCGCTCGTCCCCCAGCTCAATACCGGCGCGCTGACCCCTTGCAGCCCCCGCCCTTCGCACCCGCGCAAACACGCAGCCCACAAAAACGCAGCTACTCGCACGCAACCATGGGCGCAGGCGTTTTACACCTGTACGATACGCTGCCGGAGGGAGACGAGGCGCACAGTGTTCGTCCTCGCGCCCATCGCAGACGCGCGGACGCCTCGGGCCCTGCCTGCGCGCCTCTCCCGCTCTCGCTTCCCTCCCCACTGCTCCGAAGCGCACCATCCCTTCGACACGGACACAGCACACGCGACACGGCACACGGCACACAGGACGGGTCATCCTCTCTCGATCCTGCGACCGCGACCGCGAGCACGGGCGTTCTGCACCTCTATGCTGCCGAAGGGAGACGAGGCCTCCCCACCACTCTGAGCACCCAGAGGAGCGCCCGCCGCTCGCACACGCGCACCTTCCACACCGAAATTCGAGATGCGCACCGTTCTCGGCTCGCACCGACTCGACTCGCAAACGGACGGGTCGTCCGGGCGTTGTTCTACTTCGCCGCGCGACGCACCCGCGCTCTTTTATTAAAAACTTCTACGCGCACCTCCCCGCCAAGCGACGATCCGGAACGAAAGTGCATAAATATCGATAATAATAGGGAAATCCCGACGCGACCGCGGGCGCGGGCGCTAGCCTCTACACCTCTACGCTGCCGGAGGGCGACGAGGCCCACAGCTCCCCGGCGCGTGAGCGCGAGCGGGAGGCGCGGTGCGCCGCCTCGTCTTCGTCTTCGTCTTCGTCCTCCTCGATGCGGCGTTTACGCTTCGACCCCTCCCCCCGCGCGCGCGCCTGTGTCTCCCGCTGCGCGCCTGCCTGCCCTCGTGGCCCTCCCCGTGCCCCCCCACGCGCCCCCCTCAGCCCCTCCCTGCGCTCCCTCGCCAGCGCCTGCGCCGCCAACGCCCCCTCCAGCACCCCGCGCATCCCCATCCTCATACGCGCCCCCGCGCCCCCCTCCGCCCGCACCTCCCCCACCGCCGCCGCGATCCCCGCCACCACCCCCCGCACCTCCCTCACCCGCCGCGCGACCGCCCCCGCCGCGCGCATCTCTCCCAGCTCGCCCGCCACAAACTCCGCCTGCGCCCGCGTGATCCGCGTCTCCGTCGTCGGGTCCAGCGGCGCCGCGTCCGGGTCGGCGATCGGCTCGGGCGAAGGCGCAGGTCCGCCGCCGGCGTAGAGCCGCTCGCGCCATTCGGCGACGCGCGTGCCGGGCGAAGGCGCCCATCGGACCCCGCGCGAGGCGGCGGTGTCGGAGCGCGACTCCTGCTTGATCGTCGTCTGTGGGGTTTCGGCGCGCGGCGGCGACGGCGGCGGCGGCGGCTTGGCGCGGGGCGTTGTTCTGCGCGCGCGGGGGTGGGGATGGGTCTCTGTCGGCGATGGGTCTTCGTCGGCGGGCGGCCGTGGCTGCAGCCGCGCGCTGCGTCGGGTGGCCACGCCCGGTGTGCGCCCCGCGCGGCTCTGCTTCTGCTTCTGCTCGGCGGGCTTCTGCCCCGTCTCGGACGCGGTGGGCGACGGCGCGCGGGGCAGCCTGCGAGTTCGGTTCGAGTGTGAGTGTGAGTGAGTGTGAATGTGGGCTTGGGATTGGGATGGGAATGAGGTTGGGGATCTGGATCTGGATCTGGGGCGGTGGCACGGAGGGTGGTGGGGCGGGCGGGGACGTACCGTGGCACGCCTGTGGGAAGCAGCGCGACGAGCTGTGCGATGATGCTCGCGCTCTTGAGGTTGGCTTTGAGGCCGTGGACCTGTCGGTTTCGGCGCGCGGGTGAGCGGAGGCGAGAGCAGGGGTGGGCGGGACCGCGTGCCACGAACATGCGCGTGCGGACGACGAACACGGACACGGACACGAACACGAACACGAAGAACGAACGCGAACACGGACCTTGGCCAGTTTCTGTATCTCGATGCGGGACAGCTGCCGCAGCTCTTGCGCGTCCATCGGTGTGGTGGTGATGGTGATGGTGGTTCGCGGATAGTGGGGTGTTAGCGAGGCGAGGAAGGTGGACAGACGAAGAGGATCTCGACGGCGTCGTGGTGCGTGCGTGCGATGCGGTGGCAGCCTCAGTCCGGTTCGACAACACAGACGGGTCGGTCCGATGCAGGGAGGTGGGCGGAGCGCGTGCGCGCGCGCTTTAAAGCGCGCGCAGGAACAAGGTGGCCCCGTTTCGGAGTCCGCGTGCCACCGTGGGCCCGCCCCGCCTCGCCTTGTCTTTTGCCGCCGTGGGCGCTGGGCCGATGGCCAGTGCCACCGCCGGCGCCATGGCCGCTGTGTGCCACACGCGCGCACGTGTCGGTTCTGCGTTCTTGTTGCCGCGTTCTGGGGTTGTGCCGAGCCGAGCTGCGCTGGGGCCCTGCTCGTGGCGCGAGGGGCCGGAGGCCCGCACACATCGGGCACGGGAGAGCGAGTCGCGCGCGTTGCCTTTGCGCGAGTGGGGTCAGACCCAGCATTATGCAGCCATAGTTTTTATTGGACGAAAGCATAGCAAGGCACTATGGCCGAGCGGTCTATGGCGTGTGACTCAAGCGAAATGCTTGCCTGCGCACAGCGGGTTTCTCATCTCCGTAAGGGGGCGTGGGTTCGAATCCCACTGGTGTCATCATTTTTACGTTCTTTTGCCGCCAGCCGGTGATTGCAAACGGCGAGACTAGGTTGATGCTTCTTATTACCTTCGAGTGCCTTGAAATTACTTCTTCTCCAGGACGCTGTGATAACTAATGATATAAATGGTTGCCATTGAAGACACCCATTGGATGGTGATGGCACATAGGGATTAACCTCTCTCAAGGCACTATGGCCGAGCGGTCTATGGCGTGTGACTCAAGTGAAAGCTTGCCTACGAGCAGTAGGTTTCTCATCTCCGTAAGGAGGCGTGGGTTCAAATCCCACTGGTGTCATTTTTTTCGGTGCCATGCTCGCTGTTTGACATCAGATCCCCCCGTCAGAATGAATTACGGTCGAGAGATAACGATGTATGAGGGCGCAATATAAACGGTATAAATAACAAATAAATATCAGCGTGATGCAGAAGTCCATTGGCAGCAGAAACGCGGCTTCTAGTCATCGAGGAAAAGAAAAAACGAAGCAAGAGAAAGAAACCTCATGAAAGCAAGATAGCAGATTGAAAACAAAAATTGCGGGCCACCCGCGCCACCACACCCCGGCCGCCCGGATCAGTACTCGTCGTCGCTAGACTCCCCGAGGCCGAACACCTCTCCGGACTCCGTGCTATCCCCGTCGCTGCTCAGCCTCTCGTCGCCGCTGTCGTACCCGCGGGGGATGTCCTCGTCGACGTGGCCGAAGGTGACGAGCCTCCGCATCTCGGCCACACCCCACGTCCAACCGCGGTCGTTGTCGGGCGACGAGGCGACGGAGCCCACGAGCCGCCGCCGCTTGAAGGTGCCGAACCGGTCGACGGAGCCAGACGAGGCGGAGCCCAGATCCTCTTCGTCGCCGGGCTCGGGTTTCCCGTCGTAGATCGTGGCGCCTGCCTCCGAGGGCGGGGTGAGCATGTCCGACGGCAGCGAGATCATGGGCGAGGGGGATCGGGAGGAGGATCGGGAGGGGGATTGGGAGGGTGGTTCGGAAAGCGGTTCGGAGGGCGGTTGGTAGCGCTTGCGCTTCACCCCGCGGGGACTCGAGCCAGAATGGGCGGACGGGGTGACTTCCCGCTCTGGGGTTGGCTCTCGCTCTAGGGTAGTCTCATCCTCCCCGATGGGATCTATATGGGCAGAGGGCAAGGGCGAGCCGGGGAAGGAATCATGGTCGTGGTCCTCGAAGGGTGAGCTGGCGCGCCAGCTGCCACCGCTTCAAGCGGACAGCGTATTAGCTCGTGGCAGGACCGATCTAGGTAGGGACTCACCTCGAGCTCTTGATCGAGCCTGTGTAGACCTGGTCATAGCGCGACCAAGGCTTGGGAGATACAGGCATCGGCCCTCCCTCCTCCTCGACAGGGTTCGGCGAGCCGGGATGGGAATGCGAGTCGCCGTGATCCGGTTCATCGTTCTCGCGAGGCAGGCTCGCCTCACGATCGTCTTCACGGGCTATGGCCGACTCGCGGTCGTCCTCCCGGGGCACGCTCGCCTCACGATCGTCTTCACGGGCCATGTCCGACTCGCGGTTGTCTTCCCGGGGCACGCTCGCCTCACGAGCGTCCTCATGGCCCATGGCTGACTCGCGGGTTTCCTCACGAGATATGACCGCCTCGTCATGGGTCGGAGCAAAGGGCGCGACAACGGCCGCCTCGAACGCCGCGATAGCTTCCGCCGCCACGCCTCTGGGAGACGCTGGCGCTGGTGGCAGCACGGCTGCCTGGAGGTCCAGGGAATCCAGGATCTCTTGACCCGCTCTGACCAGTCCCGGAGAAGCGGCTTGCCTCGAAGCGCGACCGTGCATCGCCTCGACGCGCCTCTGTTCCGCGACCCACTGTTCCGCTGCGGCCTGCGGGCCTTCGCCATGCCCCCGTCGCCAGCTGTCTTCGTCGGCTGCCTGCCCCACCTCGCCGTTGCCAGAGTTGTGCACAAAGCGCGTCAGCATCTCCTGCAAGCGCATTCTGTGCGCCCCCTCCGCGCGCACTTGATCCCGGTAGCGCGTCACCTGGTCGTTCAGGCGATCTGCAGCCTGCGTGATCCCCGGCAGCATGTTGGCTGCGGCCTGGTTTAATTCGGCCACATACTGCATCGTTTCCGTCAGCTGCCGCATAGCCGCCGTGTCTGCGACAGTCTCCCCCCTGCGTGTGCTGCTCCCCATGCCAAACGACGGAGGAATCGCCGGGATGATGGGGTACCCCTGGGGATATGCGTTGGAGTCATGACTCCAGTGGGGGAGGGCCCCGGCGTAGGGTGGCAGGTGAAGGGGAGGCAGGTGAGGGTAGTGAGGGGCGGTGTACGATTGATGGACGGGGGGAGGCTGGCTTGGGGGGTAGAGCGAGGAATACGGGTTGAGGTTGGGGTACCACTGGGACTGGGGGTACGGCTGGCTGTAGGGATGTGGCGCCGATTGCGGTTGAGGAGGGAGGTGGTGGCGCGAATGGGAAGATCGTGCTGGCCCAGGTGCGAATGGTGGCGGGCTCACAGAACGATACACCGGCGAGCGGGTATCACGGTGCGTCGATCTCGGCCGACGCATTGGCGAGCGCGCACCTGTGTAGGAAGTATCCCCCGTGGTGAGAAATGAAAGAGAATATATACTCTCTTGGATGTACGTACCCCGCTCGTTCTCGCGTTCTGTGTTCGCCGGTATGGTCCTGTTACCGTGCGATGGCGGTGCTGGATGTGGCTCATACGGGGAGTCACCGGCGGGAAAGAGGGCTTGTGGGATCGGACCTGAATATCGGTGAGCGAGATGTTGCGAATATCATTTGAGAAAAACAAACCGGCGTTCGCCTGAGGAACGGGCGAGTCATGAGTCGCTGACCGGCTGCGGCCGACACCAGTGCGGAAGCGAGGTGGCATGACAGGAGTTGCGTCAGGCCGAGGGGATGGAGAGGTAATCTCAGGCCGAGGGGAAGCAACGTCGCGTCTGGGAGATGGTGGCCCAGCAGCGGGACGAGAAGCACGATGGACTTCAGTTGCGGGGGGAGGGGGTGACATCGTGCCCCTGGGAACAGAGGGCCCTGCGACGTTTTCGGAGGGCAGAGGAGCGATGGGGGGCTCACGAGGGCGCGTGGCCCTCCTGGTTTGCGAGGGCGCGCTGCTACATACGCATCCCGCTCGCGTCAGAAGAGACATCATGGTCCATGAACGGAGGACTTACGGTACGCCATCTGGGTACCGATCGAGGAGGTCTTGGATGATAGTGACCTTTTTCCTGTTGGCTTTGACGCCGTGGGACTGATATGTAGAGGTCAGCGGCAGCAATCATCGAGATGCTGGGGAGGAATACCTGTGCAAGCTTTTGGAGCTTGGGGTAGGTGAGTTGGTTGAGGGCAGTGGCGTCCATTGTACTGCAGTGTGGAGAGATGAGTGAGGAAGGCGGAGGTGAGATACGAGTTGAGAGTACAGGTGAAAGTGAAGGAGAAAGGAGGACGTGAACAAGCAATCTATATAGTCGCAAAATTCAAGGTCAGCCGTGCCACCCACCTATGAACCACCGCAGAACAATGGCCCCAATCGCGTGTGTGGCGTGTCACAACGCGTAGGGTGGCAAGTTGGAGGCGACTGTCTCAACTTAGAATTTCAAATCTCACCGCCACGCGACGAAGGCGTCCCGCAGCTCCCGGCGCTGCTTCCCGCATCCAACGGCGGTTGGCGGTTAACATCAATTGAAAGGGACGAAGTAGACAAATTGGGTACCAGACCCTCTAGATGATCTATGCACAAGGCAAGGTGGAGCTTCTTAATTTGTCGTGCTGTCTTGTTCATGTCGCGGAGGCAGCGGCCCGCCGTAGCCTTCAGTCTCCCGAAGGTTGGAAATCAGCAACCAGTGGCAAGCGCTCCTGCAGCGTTGAAATGTCATAGAGTTGGGCTTTGCACGCGCTGTCATCATTTAATCATCGAAGCAGCCAGGGAGGCATTGAAGGCGAGCCCATACTTTTAGGCCACAGCCGACATCACAAGACATGTATTCGACATCGTCGACACGCCGTCAGGAAGATATGATAAGTAGGTAGCTTCTTGAAGGCAACAAGACAAAGTCATAACATGCGGAGAGGATATGGCAGCAACATAAGCCTAATTTACAGCACGCACCGTCCGAACGCTCGATTTATATACATACCCACACTCCGAACATGAGGTGCTGCTTCGCACCCGTTAGAGATACCACCTCCCGACCGTCGATCGCCTACTTGAATCTATGCAGCGATCGCCACCGGCTTCGAATCATCCTTCTTCCCCCCAGCAGCGGCCTCCGCTTGCTTGACCGCCGCTTCAGCCTGAGTTTTCTTCTCTTCGATCTCCTTCACCTTTTGCTCCAGCGCTTCCTTGCTCCCAGGCTTGTTGAAAGTGACGCTGCGGTGGTGACTCGCGCCTCCCATGGTTCCTGTCTGAGGCGTGGACACGTTCACGATGGGAGCGGTTGTCGAAAGCCCTCGATGGAATGCTGTTGGGAGTACTCGTCCTTCCGGGTGTTGGAATGGACACGAAGCACGAGTGCAGCCAGATCCAAAGCGACACGACGTAGCAATGTGAGTGCTCTTGTTGACCGGATGCTGGAAGGTACATCCTTGGCGGGTGCATGCAGCTCCGTATCGGCAAGCAACAGCTCCAGAAGTGGGCACAGCGAGAGGAGGTTTCGCCTGTTCTACAACTGCGTATAACACCTCAATTTACATGGCCTCCAGCAAAAGAATAGTGAGAGACGCACCTGCTTGTGGATTGACGGCAGCAGGACTGACGTGCGCCTTGATGCAATCCTTATCCTTGCAGTTTTTCCCCTGTTCACAGGCCTCATTGCTTAACACCATACCACTCTCTGCAGTGGCGACTGGCGACGGATGAGACCACCGACAATGGGCGTTTGTACACTTCAACGCGTATTTACACAGCGTTGGAGACTGTGGACGGTCAGGAATAGCGAATGCAGGTCGAGGGGGCTGAGGCGTGGTAGGGACTGGAGTAGCGACAGCCGGCGCTTCGATTGTGTTTGGGGGTATTGGCCGTGGAGGTTCTGCATTGACCACATGCTGAGAAACTGTGGATGCTTTCTCGTTATTCGTAATGGCTTCCGAGCGCCCAGTATGCGACGAAGATGGTTGTCCTCTTCCACGGCCAAACCCTCTTCCTCCTCTTCCAGATCCACGATTTCTCTCGCCACCGCCACCGACCATCTGTTGCGGCTGTCCCGGACCCTGAAAACCTTGCATACCGTTGAACATCCCCATATCCGGCATTCCTCCTTGCATAGGAAATCCACCGCCGAACTGACCCTGCGCGGGATTGAGCATCCCCAAGCTCGTTGCCATCTGTGCCATGAGCGCCATTTGGTTCATCATCATCTCCTGCAACATCATAGGATTCGCAGACCCTCCCATACCCATTTGAGCAGCCATCGCATTCATGTCCATGCCATTTTGTGGCAGGTATCCGGCAGCAAGCGCAGCTTGCATATTGGGATCGGCCGAGGCATTGGTGATACTGTCGATCCGCTGCTGGATGTCATCCCTATTCGCTCTACCTCCTGCTGGACCCCCGACCCTCTCCAACAAACTTCTGGGGCCACCGTGCCCATGCCCAAGCTGCCCATCCCGCAGCATCGCCCTCGGCCCCACAGGAACATCGGTACGTCGTATCTTGTTCGGTCCTGGCGAAGGTGAACGAGCCGACGCAGAACGTTTCTGCGCTGTCGGGGAATGAGAAGGTATAGCTTGAGAGATCGCTTGCTGATACAGAGGAGCGCCATTACGAGGACCACTTGGAGGGTTTCTTCGGAGTGGTTCGGCGGGGATATGGGGGACAGCTTCGCGAGTGGGAGTTTCAGAGGGGAGAGAGGGTACTGGTTCGTGGGAGGGCTCAAGATCAGATGTCGCTTCTTTTGGTGCGCCTTTGGCTGCTTCTGAAAACAACCAATCTGTGAAGCTTCGTTCTACAAACAAACAGGATTAATAACAGGTCGTCGCCCAATGCATATTGTGCCTCACCGAAGTCTGCACCTATCACTATTGGAAGATGAGATATAGTGAATGATAGAAATGAAGGAATAACGGCCACGCACAGTCCTCGAGTTCAATTGATATCTGAGCTAAAAGATGAGTCGTCAGCTGCCGTTCTGGTGCTCTCGACATTGCACATACCAGCCGTCTTGTTGTTTATGATCATTATGGTGATGTATTCCGCCATGACAGGATCTACAAAACATCGTGAGACGTGGAACCAAGACATTTTCGCTTAAAACACACCAGCATCAGGACTGTAACCTCGTTTCATAAGCTCATCCTGAATAGAATTCTATTTGGGTCGTCAGTCCAGCCATGTATCAAAGATACCTCGATGGTACGCACCTGCAAAGCGGTTGCCCGCTCTGTACCGATAGTAAGACCGAAAACCATGATGATAGTGTAAGTCGTTGTGCTGGTCGAGCTTCAACCAGGCTATTCACCAGCGTCCAGCAGATTATGTCACTCAAGCGTGACATATCCAAAAATAGGGTTTGGTCCTGAAATCCGTAAAATTTTCTCGAATGCGCACCCCTTGAGCACTTCGGCAGTAATCGAGTAATCAGTGATCACAGGGTGCTAAGGAAGCCCAAAATATTAATGTAATGGTCAAACACAAGGGGATGTGTACATGTATGGTTTTAGATTCTATCAAAGCTAAGAAGAAACTGAGTGATGAGTATCTCCTAGTTTGACAGGAACCCAATATTCTACTCAGTCATTCTAGGATACCTCTTCTTTCCCAACACAGTGCTCCCTCCTCTTAACAGAGCTCATAATGGCACAAGAAATACTTGTGATTTTTTGACAAAATGCACATACAGATTCTTCTCTCACTACATGGGCTCTTAAAAAGAAAACACATTGGAACATATCAATGCCCATATCCAAGCTTCCAAACAAGGTACTTGCACATATATTCTCCTTCCATTCTATAAAGGATACATGCTTGTGAAAGTGGCTGACATTGCTCAAAATAACATATGTATGTCATCTTTGGTGCAATGTGGCATTGAATTATCTATCACTATGGAGCAACATTATATTGTCATCTACAAAATGGGCAGAAATGGTATTTGTGCAAGCTAAGATGGCTGCCCTAAATATCAATGTTGGTTTTGATGATTGTAATCTCAATGCCAAGCATGGAGCCTTGTGCAAGGCACTAAGTCATTTAGCCCAAGTCTAGTTCCTCAGTCTACATAGACTACCAATATATAGCCCAAGAGTGATAGACAAGATCATGGCCACTTTGATAGACAGTCCTACTCTAATGCTTCAATCATTAAGTTATCTGACAAAGGAGAGTTTTGATATTTCCAATAATATCTTTTGTAAATAGATCCTATAGCTAAAGGAATTGGTCTTGCATACATACAACTTTAGCTAGTTATTACCACTTTTTCAATATAGTCTTATCTATATAACTCTCATTTGTGGTTTAAATGTGATGTCTCTATCCATGATGACTATCCTTGACATTCTTGGACATATACCATACTTGGAAAGTATCTTGCTAGCCCTGCTATACCCATGCTTAACCTCTTTAAGTCTTATTTAACCCTTTTCTTAGACTACAAGATACCTTTACTTTATTTATAAAATTTCAAAATTTATGTAAATGCATATAATTGTTATAAGTTTGTTTGACATTTTTTTGTCCTATCAAGCAGCTCTATTTTCTTCAACCTTAACCACAACAAAAATTACAGTGACTGCTCCTCTTCTTTTATTACCATAGGTTAGCTCACAAAATTTCTTTATATGTAATATATTGCTGGTGCTATTATAGACTCAAGAAGTTGGCCTATTAGTGCCATCACTGTGAAGCACCTAGATGGTGCAGGCCTCAAGATTAAGGTGGCAGAATGTAAAGATAACCTTTTTGAAATATGGGACTTGGACTATTATTTGACAATAGCAAAATATTTACTATTATTAAACCTTTCTGACTATGGCATAAACCTATGCATCTCCCTCTTAACTACCATTAGTGCTGCTTTACCTCTTTAATACCTTAAATAGTTAATAATATCAGGCAAATTCAGAGTTAGTATAAATCATTGGAAATATATCTTCACAGGATCAATTATGTACTCTCTATGAATCTGTTAAGACCTAGTCTTCATATGTAATATATTAGGAGGGTCCTGAATCACTAAGGGAATATGCAAAATCCAAGTGCATCCAATATAGATACTAGCAGCTACTTTGATATATAGCTCAGAGTTGATAAGAGATTTATAATAATATTATGATTCTAGGTAGTTACAAAGGTTATTCCACAGATATAAAGGTATAATCTGATAAGGGCCTAGATAATAGTAGATATGCTGTTATGAACTATTTACTATACTTTTACCATGATCTGCATAGGGACATATAGGACCCTTCTCCTATTTATACCTCGCATTCCTGTTCTATCAATACTTGGTCCATGCTCCTGTCTGTACATATTTATAATTGCTGTGGTAAAACAGCCATTCATGACATATGCTGCCTGCCAAAGTTTAGATAGAATACTGCAAGTCATATATAGAACATAGCCAGTATCGATATATTAAGTAGTTGAAAATAGTAGTAGAAAGAAGTACAAGTATAGGTTAAACCAGTATTATAATAGTTTGTTTTATTAGTTTGTTTTATTGACAATCAAAGGTCTGGCCTATTAGCAAAGACCTAGGTGCTAACAAGGTAGGGCTAGTACTAAGTGTCAAGAAAAGAAATAGTAGGGGGCAACAAAGGTGAATAAGCTGACAAAACAGGTCTTTGGCTTATTCTATATATACTATACCTAATTTAGGGCAAGATTGTTAGAAAGTTTATGCTTTTAAGGGTAAATAATTATCTAGCAAATAGAAAAAGAAGTGAGTAAGCCAAAATATTGGAGTATCAAATATAGGATAATCAACGGTTAAGATCCATAAGCATAATGATTAAAAAGTAGAAATAAGGGTTAAATTATAATTAGAAAATATGAATAGTGATGCTACTGAGTTAATTAGTCTAAGAATAGATATCAAAGTAATTGTCTATTGGTAAAGTTAAGAGGTTAGTCACTAGGTATTAGTTATCTCTAATATTTTACAGAGCATATGCTATATAATTAGGTAATTATTAGTTATGTGTTATAAGCTAACTCTTAACAGAATTAGTGGTCAAGCTATTTATAGCTTTGCCAAGGCCTACAAACATAGCTTTAGCTCTTCTTAGGGCTTCTTAGGCCTTTGAATAGATCTTTGAATAAAACATATACCATTTATGCCTTATTTTATAGACTTATGGATTCTAAAGGCCAACTTTTAACATAACTGCAAGCTTCTCAACCAATTGGTCAATATACTAAGGTAGCAAAAAGAAAGTCTACATTTACTGCTTTAATGTCTGTAGCTAGAGAATTGCAACATTGATCTATGACAAGTGGCTAAATTGACTTAATAGACATCTAATGCTGTAATATAGGATTAGAAGAAAGAAGAACTATGCAATGAGTGGTTAGATTAGGATTAACCATGGCCTAGTCTAGTAAAAATTGAGGCAGATACCAAAGATAAGGATAAGGATATCATCTTGATTAGGCAAGATTTTGATAATAATATAATTATTATCTAGAATAACAGTATTTTTACAATAAAGTAATAATCTATTGAACATCAAATAGCCTATTTTGACCTTATTACTTACTTCCAAATAGTATGTATATTTGTAAACAAGATCCACTATAGCCATCATTATAGTCTGCTATTTATAACTATATAGTATGTATGTATTTGATAATAAACATTGTATTTTCCTATTAGTATTAAGCCACTAGGCTTATTATGTGCAATAAGCATTAAAATGGGTTTTCTAGGCTATTTGAAGAGTAATAGCCTAACAAATAAAGACTATTGCTTATCTTTAGGCTTGTTCAAGAAAATCCAAGCTATTGTTGATCTTGTAATCAAACAGATAAAGGTGTTTCTCAATGATAGAGTAATGCTTGTTGGAGATAGAGTTGTCTTCCCCAATCCAATAAATGATTTTAGATATATTCCAAAAGATGACTCTATATACAGCAAGTCCTTAATATGTTATAGAGATATAAGAACAATAGAGGCTTTGAAATAAATCCAGTGCTTTCTTAGACTAGGTATAATACTTTGGATCTGGCAGAGTTTATAATGTATGAGCTAGAAAGGTAGCCAAATACTAGGCATAGTATAAAGATCAAGTTATATACAAAGTGAATGAGCTAAGCTTCTTAGAAGCTTATCTCAGCTATTAATATGTATAAGCTATTTAGGGCAGGATCAAAATCTAGTCCATGCTTCTGAATGCTAATCTACTTAGTAGGTATCAGGACTTCTGGATAATTAAGTTCTTAATCATGATTAGTAATCCACAATCTATAGTTTATCCATATATAGTAATTATTGCAAATATCTGTCCACATTATTAGGAATCTAGGAACCAATCATAATTAATATCAGTAAGCATTCAAGCTAAAGCTTATAAATGAGACATATATAGTAAGTGTTCATATATAAGCATATTAATAGTAATCAAATGAGTCTATAGTTTATATTCAAGTCATATGCATACTTTCTAATGTTTCTTCTAAGTCATGTGCCAAGCATGTGTTAAAATATGGTTCTAACACTCCAAGTATGAACATATATAATAAAACCATTATCAAATATGGGCAGGCTTGGAGCTAACTTGTCTATAGACTGAATGACCTTGTTAATAGTAAGGTGGAGTTCAATAGACATATGCAAAGCTATATAAAATAATGTGAAGTCAATGTGAAGACTAGTGAAGTAGTAATAGGTGTTATAAACTGCTTACTATATCTTTCTTGCTTTTACTATGATCTGTATAAGAACACATAGGACCTTTCTCTCGACTATACCTTGCATCCCTGATCCATTGTTACTTGGTCTGTGCTCTTGCCTGTACATATTTGGAACAGCTGCAGTACAGCAGGGAAGCCTTAGGCTATTCACTTCTGTCTAATCTAGGAACTGCTATTAACCAGTCTTCTCTGATTCAAAGACATTAGTCTGATCAGCCCTGAACCCTTCACATTTATTGCTCTCACCACTATTCCATTTGTGTTGGTATCAACTTGTGGCCTAGGAATCTCCTGTCCCAAACAGCTATTCATGACAATAGGAATACAAAGGTATGAAGACATGCAACAGGCATAAGGTGAGATAAAGATATGTAAACCCAAGTCATATTTGACTTAGGCAGCTTTAGGGACAGCAACATAGGCCCTAATAATAGGTACAATAGTGGTTTGAAGGTAAGACAAAAGTGATAAAGACAATGATGAAGATAAGCAACATAAGTGAGATCTTCTTATAAAGTTGAGCTCTAAACAAAGAGGTGTTCAAAAATGGTCTATTACAGATCTAAAGGTAGGTATTTATAGTAAAATAAAGTAGGTAGAGTAAACACAAAATTATACAATAAAATACAAGCCAGGTTACACCAAGCTTAGAAACTTGAAAGATAAAGGAAACTATGTGTAGGATAGCTTGTAGACCATAAAGTTCTATTATACAATAGTCAAGAAAGTAAATGGTATTTAATAAAGGAATATATGGGTAGGTGAAGTGGTCTATGCAAAATATATAGAGAAAGGAGTTATAAGACCTGCTATATCCAATAAGCATATGCAATAAATCCTGCTGTAAATAGAGTATTATGGAGCTAACTTCGAAGTGCTCATATAAGAAAGAGCATAGCACAAAATATCAAGGCTTGGCAGCATTAGCATTGCCAAAAGTGTTCCTCTGAGTAGTTGCATAATACCCAAGTAATCACACATACTATAAGATACTACAGTATTATACTGTAAAAAGGATAGCATTAACCTGCTATTATAACCCTCTTTATATAAGATATCTTAGGGGACATTATGCCAGGCTATGAGCCATTTTAACTTAGCTGAGGGCTACTAATCACCAATAGAGGCTTGTATAAATTTTTGCAAACTTAAGTAAACAATCATAAAGAGGATGTGAAAATAGGAGCCTTAGTGCTTAAAGAGGTGGTATACTCATCAGTAAGCATCTCTATAACACAATATTGTAGCAAGCTTTATTAGCCATGCCTATTGGACAATATAGGTCTTGTGATTATCATTTCCTTCTCCTTTGCAGAGTTTGCATTGTCTTTTTACTATACTCTTTACTAAATATCTCTTTGTCTCTTAAGCACAATAGGACCTTATGGTCAGTGAGCACCTTTGCATGTGGTTTCTCATTATCTCTCAATATTATAGTCTTGGTATAATATCAACTTTACTTTACCACCTTACAATCTCATATTTACTGTACTCACTTTAATTTTACTATAAATACCTACTTATGATGCTATAATATACTAGTTTTAAACACCCCTCTATTTAGAGCTCAATTCTACAAAAAAATCTTATTTGCATTGCTTTACCTTGACATCACTCTTGTTTTGCTTGATTCCTCTCACTTTTTTTGTTACCACTATTACTAAGGCCTTTATTACTGCCCTTAAAGTCAAATAGGTTGCTCATGACCATAGCCTATAGTATCTTATTGTACAAGACTATTGTCATACTATCTTAGCTCATTTAGAGCACAACTTAATAATTGTGTACATATAACCTAAGTAATATTATATCATCTAGCTTGATAATCTCACCATTATGTGGTATGTATCTCATATCCCATCTCACAACTCACAAAGGTCCTTTAATATTCTAGTAAAGTTAGCTCTTTACCTATTCAATATCTAGTGGTGCATTCTTGTGTTCTGTTTTTGCATACAAAGCTATTACTAGCATATTAGCAGTTAGAGTAGATTAGACCTTGCTTTTTGAGAAGGTCAATGGCAATTGAGAATTTATTGACAATAATGCTTTAAAAGCCTATAATAGAGAATTGAACAATGTCCTCTATTAAAATGGCTATTAACATATTGCTGCATTAAAATTTTGGGCTATAGTACACCATATTTCTAGTTTTATTCTAGGAATAGAAGATGGGGACACTCTGCCCCTACTAACTAAAGTTAATTTCTAATAAGAGGATATCCTAGAGAACTAGGAAAATGCTTTAAGGTTTGCTTTGATTGATGATAGTGATAAGTTAGTCCAAGCCAGACTAGACAGGCTAGACCAAATATAGTAATCAAAGATAAGACATTAGTTTAATCTAGGTAAGTATAAACAAGAGAATTGACCAATGCTATAGTAGCTAAGAGCAATATTGGTAAGAACCAGGTGAACATCATTTGCTTTTATTTAGAAGTGCTTGAGCCTATGTTAACTTCCCTAATCATATTATATAGTGTAAACCTTATACAACAATTAAAGCACTATTCTGAGCAAGCTCTATATAGTCTTGTGTATATCTCTGAATCTAATTTTCTCTATAAGTGCTAGACAAAAGTAAGTTAGACCATAAGCAATATAAATATATAATAAGTTTTATAATATTTATGAGGATTTAGGGTTATAGCATAGTTTATACCTTTAGAGCATTTAAGCATAAAAGTTAATATCAAGAGCTATAATACTGATAGTAGGTGTATCAAAAGAAAAGGTACTAAAATAGCAATAAAGCCACCTAAAGCAGCCAGTTCTTGATATATATGGTAGTAAATGCCAAATTAGAATCCAAAAGGCCCTATAAAGCTCTTATAAGGGTTTTCTAGTTAATATGCTCCAAAATCAGTTAGAAAAATGCTAACTTTTTCAATATTTTGGTTATGGAATATACTAAAACTAAAAAGGATAGTCATAATTTGTCATACCTGTTATAGTATGTCACACTTAGTTTGAGACTAAGTAAATCAACAAATAGAGCCCCTATAGTATTGGTTTTACTCTTATGACATAAAAGACTTTATACTATGCTATCAATTATTATGTTTCTATGTTTAAGCACATGCTAATCTGGCATTAGCAATGAACAGTTAGCCACCATGCCAAGATCATAAAATAGAAGCCTGTGGAAATAGTGGTATAAGGTAGGATTCTTAATAAAAAACAAAAATTTAAGTAAATATCATGCCCAGTCACAAAACTGAGCTTTTGTTATATGTTTATTAGAAGAGTAGTGTAGAAGTTATATGAAAGTTGTGCAAAAGTTGTGTTGAAAAAGTAACACAAAAGTATTTAGGGCTTCCTTAGATAAAAATCAAACTTCTTAGAGTCTAGTTAACAATATATAACATTTTGTAATATTTACTGGCAAATTCCATATAAACACCACAATTGCTGGCAATTGTCTAGAATTGGCAGATAGTCTCTTATTAGCAATTGTTAGCAATTGTCATCAATCAGGTACCATTGGCAAGATATATCAATCACCAACAATTACTGGCAATCTGCTTATGGTCTTATTTCCAACAATTGTTGATAATTGTCTACTATTGTGGTTGTTTTTTTGTCCTGCCTGGTCTTAACTTTATATCCACTTTTTAAGCTTTCCTAGATCTTGTTAGATATTGTTATGCCTTGCTACTCTATCTCTAAGTCATATTAGGGTACACTATGCCATACTACCCATGGCCCTAGCTAATTATTAGCAATTGTTGGATATTGTTGGGTTGAGGGCTGTGTTATAGACTTGGAGATCATTGGCAAATATTGACAATTGCTAAGTGTCTAGAAAGAGTTTTCAAGGGATTGAAAATTTATAAGTTCTGTAGAATGGAATTGATAAATTGGCAGCTAGATGAGTTGCACCCAATTGTGGCAATTTGCAATAATTGTGGTCCGACATTGTCAACAACTGCTGACAAATACCAGGAATTGCTGAGATTTGTTGAAAAATAGGTGTTTTTGAGGTAAAAGTTTTGATTTTTGTCTGGGTTGGTCCCTCATACAAAACTCATGCAATGATACTAAACTGCTAAAATTAGAGGAATACATGATGAAAGCCCAGTTTTATGACTGGGCATGGTATTCACCTGAATTTTGTTTACTTGACTAAAGATGATTTGGTAAGTGCCACTGGTCTCAACCTAGAATCAATACAAATATGCTAAAAACCGGGAAACATGATGTAATTTCAGCCTAAAATATGCTTCAAACGGGGAAGGATTTGACTGTTTTTTGCCCTCAAATATGCTAAATTTCGGGGAAACCTTCATAGGAGCTTCGCGAGGCCTGGCCCGAAGTGACTTCGACTCAGAAAGCACGGTTACGATAGTACGATCACAATCTTCCGCCCAAGTACCTACCTCGATGAGGTATCGAGCATGCTCAGTCAATCCGAGGTCGCGAAGCTCCTCGAACACTGTATCAGCGAAGACTTACCCGAGCTGGCCATGGAAGAGGTTCTGAGCGCGTATATCGCTTGGTGAGCTACGGCATTGCGACGGTGTTCGACGGTTCTCCGACACTGGTCTCTGAACATCAGATCTGTCTTCAGGAAGTTCATACACGGACACACCTGCAAGGGAGTCTTAATCAAGCTCCACTATCTGTCTATATATCTACGGGTCACGTTCGTGCAGCTTCGCTCTTCCGTTTCTATGCCCCAACTACAATCTGATACAAGCCACTCCCTCTACGACTGTTGACAGCGGCCGCCGATGGATCCTAGACATGGCCAAGGACGTCTTCCGCATCCTCGGGCTGGAGCTGACATTCGGGGGTGGACTCGTTGGTGCATGCCCTCGTGAGCGATCCTGCAGCAGCCTCGTCTAGCCTACCATCTCACCGCGAGCACCCCGTCGCGCAGTGAGCACGCGCATCGGAAAAGACACTTGGAACAGACTGCGCCGGAAAATCCCCCGTCGGAGCGCGTGGGCGGAACACTGCCGCACGGACTCCGAGTACGGCGGGCCAGTCATGTTCCACCAGCTGCGCGAGATCTCGCTCTATCGAGAGCCGGCGCGGCGCCTCGTCGACGCCGACGACCATCACGCCGAGCGGCAGCAAAGCTTCACGGCCAGCTCGCCCCCCGAGCCGCAGTCCACCTCGTCGGGCTGGTCGAACGTTCACGTTCGCACCACTCTTGGAGATGCAGAGCGCGAGGCGGAAGACGAGGTGTCTCCCCTGCCCGCGGCGTCCCCGCGCGACCCCCGCCGCAACTTGCGCTGGGCAGAGAGACCCCGCTGGTTGCGGGATTGGTTCCTCACGCGGCCGCACCTCGCTGGTCCTGCGATGCTCGACCTCGTCTCGCCCGAGTACGCTTCACAAGTTCCCGCGTATACCTCCCGCCGAAACACACTCCCTCTGTACAACTCGAGCGGAGCCTGAGAGGTGTATACACATGGTTGCATCGTGGATGTGCCGAGAATTAGCTAGCCTGTGCATGCAAGAATTTTGGAGCAGAGTTACGGTGTGGATTGGGAAGATGTGGGTGACGGGATCGCGTACTCTCTTTGCCATCACGTCCGCCAGCGTCACCGTCCACCATGGTTTGTGCGGCAACGAATGGGTGCGGACGCGAGCACCCTGAGGGTCATTGTGACGCACAGAGCAAGCAGGAGAATCACATTTTACGGACTAGCATACACACACATACGGTACGACTCTAGGCATACGATGCGTCGTAACTAGACTATAAAGCCGATCCCTTCTGTTCTGAAAAAAGACACAGGAAGGATTGAGTTCTGGGCAGACTCTGCCTTGTCGTCGGCGCGAATCGCGGTGCGCGGTCTGCATGCAAGACGAAGCCGTTTGCGAAATAGACTCGCGCAAAGCGGGCTCCGGCGCCGTGTCGACAGCGGCCTGCCCCGGCTCAAGCTCAAGGCAGCCTGGCCTGAACTCATAAATCTGTCAGAACGAAAAGGCGCGGTTCCAAGACGATGCGGAGCCTGTGCAGCGATACCGCGCGGCGCGCTGCTGTGATAATGCAAGAAAGGGGACCAGCGCCTGTGGAGTACCTCCCGATTCAACTTGACGTCGTGGGGACCGCGGTGGTGTAGCCACCGCCGCAGAGGGCATCAGAGGGCATCAGGATACCAAACGACACTCGAACGCCCCGATCCCAAGGACCCGTACGCAGCCGGACGGCACATGTGCGCGTACCGGAGCACCACGCCCGACGTGTGCAGAGCGCCCCTCGCGGCCCTACCCCAGACGTCCGCCTTTTCTCACCCCACGCTCGAGCGCGGGCGTCGGGCGTCGGGCGACACCGAGGCGGTAGAACGCGCTGTGGCCGCCGCCGTCGATGGGGGCGCACGACAGTCCATGACGCGCATCGCCGGCGGGTGCGGGGCGGCTCTCAGAGCGAGCGGTGCGCCTGCGCCTGCGCGGCGTAACTCACTCGCACGCAAGCTTATCTTGCGCGTGAGCGATAGGGGCGCGGAGGCCTTGGTATGTAATATGCAAGTCCCGCGTCCGCGTCCTCGCGTCGGGAGGTGGGTAGCAGCCGGGAGTCGTGAGTCACGAGTCGTGTTAGGTAGACGGCAGGTGCGGCGGGGGGTGGTAAATCTCCTCCCCAGGCCAGCACAGCACCCGTCGCGCGGAGGAGCGCGCGGGGGGGCAGAGGGCTGCTTGCGCGAACTCTGTCCGGTCGTGTCTGGTCGTATCCAGTAGTGCGTCATGCTGTATATTCGCGCGCGCAGAGCACCGTGGTATCCAGGATCCAAATGCCGGGTCCGCAGCCCAGCCGATGATGCCGCCGCCGCCGCCGCAGACGATGGCGATGACGCCAACGCGCGGATGCTCGAGAGCCGGGCGGGGAGGCGGTCTCTCGCAAGCCCTGCGCGACGCACCTACCAGAGTCTACGTATCTAGTAGGAGCTGACCAGACCAGAACATGGCGCGCGCGGAGCAACTCTTCGCGTCGCACGCAAACCGCCGGCGCGAGGCCCGACGGCTCTAGTGTAGCTGGCATGACTAGCCGCGCCGGACCAGGACGAGCGGGGAACAGCAAAAGGGGAGACGACGGAGCTGTGCGGTATCATAATACGAGGGCCAGGCAGGCGCAGGCGCCTGCGGCCTATCTTCTGCCTCGCCGAATATTGACACGTGCAGAGCACCGCGCGCCCGTCGCGCACACTGATGCAGCGCTCGGAGTCCAGCCAGCTAGCTATCGCACCGTCTAGGAGGGTGCTATTCGCGTAGACGCGAATTGTTCAGTCGGGCTGGGCTAGCACGAACGCGCGGGCGTGGGCTGGGCGGGCTGGGGTCGAGGCGGCGAGCGGCGAGTGGTGAGCGTGCAGAGCCAAAGCGCTTTATCTTTATCCTGAGGCGCTTTATCTTGAGGCGCTGTTCCCGCGCGCGCGTCTGTCTATTCTTTTCCTCCGCGGGACCCACGGGCGCGTGGGGGCACATCACGTACGGTGGGTGCAGGTAGAGTGGGCGCTCGGCGTTGCCGATGGATAAGATGTTGCTGGGTGTGGGCAAGCGGGGCGCGGTGTTTTCCGGGTACGGTGTGCTAGGGGCCGAGGAGGCACTGGAGTTGAATGTGGCATGTGCACCACGTGTGCTGTCGGTAGAAGCTGGGACGACACGGCGGGCCTGGGCCGAGGTGGGCGCCTGTTGTTGGTGGGCGGGGAGTGGAGAGCGATGACGTGTGCGGTGCGGAGCGGGATGGCCTGGGCAAGGCACGGCGACGTCATCGAGCCACCGCCGATAATCAGATCGCTGTCGCTGTCCCCCGCTCAACCTCGAGCTCTCCTCGTCCTCGCACCGTCCGGGCTCGCCCTCGCTCTCAAGCTAAGCACCTACCCCTTTCCCCCGCACACAATCCTCTCGCTCGAATATTACCCAATGCAACCCGCAATGGCCGCCTCCCCGCCCCCCGACACCTATGCCCGCTTTTCCTCCGTCCCCCCCGACCTCCATCCCGCACGCTCGCCCTCGCCCCCCTCCGTCCCCCCCCTCGCCCCCCTCTCCCCCTCATCCTCTGCCCTTATCCACACCTCCACCTCCGTTTCCCCCGCGTCGATACCCTTATCCGCGTCCTCGCCCCCGGGCCCCGTCAACGACACCGACAACGACGCAGACGCAGAGGGCGACTCGGACCCCGACGCACCCGACACGAGCGACCGCGCCGCCTCGGCTGACCTGGACCTCGACGACGCAGACGTAAGTGTCCAGACTTACGCTCCCTTCCCTCTGCGCTTTGCCCTCCCCCCGCGCTCCCCCCCGCCAGCTATCCTTCCTCCGCGCGTGCTCACGTTTCCAACCACTCCCCTCCCCCCGCTCGCGCGACCCCCCTCCCCCCCTCGTCCATCTCCTGCGCTCCCACTCCACGCCGCATCCGCGTCCCCCGCCCTCCCCTCTCCTCTCCATCGACGCCCTCCTGGCCCCGCCCGCCCAGTCCCCAGACGGCGCGATCGACCTCGAGACGTTCCAACAGATCCTCGATCTCGACGAGGACGACACCTTCGACTTTTCGCGCGGCATGGTCTCCGCCTACTTCACCCAGGCCGCAGCCACATTCACAAAGATGGACGACGCGCTGTGCGTGCCCTTCCTCTCCCTCTTCCGCCCGTGCCCGTGCCCTCTCCCCCCCCCCCTCCTTTTCAACATCTACTCTCGCCATGACTGACATCCCCGCCCACAGCGCCGCGCGCTCGCTCCCGGACCTCTCCTCGCTCGGCCACTTCCTCAAAGGCTCCTCCGCCGCGCTCGGCGTCGCCCGCGTGCAGGCCTCGTGCACGCGCATCCAGCACCTCGGCACCAACGACGCCCGCGCCGACCCCGCAGACGCGCTCGCGGAGATCGCCCGCGTCCTGGCGCGCGTGAAGCGCGAGTACGCAGCCGCGGAGCGGTGGCTCCGCGCGTGGTTCGAGCGGAACGTGCCCGGCGGGATGGGGGAGGAGGACTAGGCGCGCGTGGGCGCGGGTGTGTGTGCGGAGGGCGCAGTGGGTATGCGGTGGCTGGCCGGCTGGCCGGCCGGCTCTGGCTGGCTGCCCGTCGGCGGGCCGCGGAGGAGGGTTCGCTCGCGGCGCCGGAAATCTCTCTCTGTGTGTATGTGTGCGTGTGTGTACGCCGCACCCTGAAGGGTTCGAATGTCATGGTATATACCCTCACCCACAACCAGCATCGATTACCGGTATTTCACGATATCAGGCTAGGCCTCTCGTCGGAGTCCTCCCGCTCCCATCTTCTCTCCCCTCCCACCGTCATCTTTCCTCGCCTCTACCTCTATCTCTATCCCTACCTCTTCGTTCTCGTTCTCCCATTGCCCCCGCCTTCGACGAATCCATCGAAATCCAGCCCGCCGCTTACTACTTGCCATGCTACCTACTCGCTACATGCTACTTGCTACATCCTGCCTCTTCTTCCTCCACTACTACTACTATCGCTAAGTATCCAGTCTCGTGCATCGTCCGCTCCCCGCAATCGTGCTCGCCTCCCAGGCTTTCCGGCCCTCCCCGCTCGCCTCGCCTCGCCTCGCCCCGTCTCGTCTTTTTCTTTCCGCTTTTTTCCCGCTTTTTTTCTCATTTTCTTCTTCGTGTTTCGTTCTTCTCGTTCCTCGTTCTTCGTTCTTTTCGTTTTTCATGTTTATTCCCTGTTTCTGTTTCTGTTTCTGTTTCTGTTTCTGTTCCTGTTTCTGTTTCTGTCTGTCTCTGTCTCTGTTTCTGTTTCTGTTTCTGTCTCTGTCTCTGTCTCTGTCTCTGTCACTTTGCATATGACATCGGCGCACGCCAACGCTATTGGATTCTGGATTTCTGGACGGGTTTGCGCCCTGCGAAAGTTTGCGGGGCGTGGCTGGGCGCGAGGCGCCGTGCTAGTACAGTGTACGAGTACATGCAGGTCCGCGCGTACAGTACTGCATGTATGCGCGTGCGTGCACAGAGTCGCCCGCATCGTGTTGGGCCGTTGGCGTACTTGCCGTACTGTAAGTGGGTCGCCCGGCTCGGCGGCGGCACACCACTGGCACGCCATACCTGGCAAACACTGCGCCCCGCCCACCTAGCGCCCTCAGGGCCCATGATCCACGCACGCGCCTGAGTACTTACGCAGCTCGCTCGTATCGAGCGCAGACATGCATCTATCGGCGGCGCCGAGCGCCCAATCTATCTGTACTACGCATACCATACGTGGTGTACCCACGCGCGCGCCCGTGGGCCGTGGGCCCCGCGGAGGGCGGCGAGGGACAGACGCCCGCGCGTGGAACCGCGACAAAATAGAGAGCAGCGAGCGCCCTGCCTCCGCACCGCCGCACCGCCGCACCGCACTCTCCCGCGCGCGGCGCACACCTCCGCGCGCGCGCCTCGGCCTCGCGCAGCCTCGGCCTCGTCTCCAACCCGCCCGGCCATCTCCCGCGCGCACGGGCCTCCTCCCCGTCGTCGACGCAGACGCCCGGCGGCCCCCCGCGCGAATGTAGGCGCGCACGTCGTCGTGGGTCGGGGATGCCGCTGCGCGCGAGTCGCGAGGCCGGCGGTGGCCGCGGGCGGGGGCGGTCCGGCTCTGAGCGCGCGGTGCGCGGTACCTCGATGCGATCCCGTACGACGCTACGATGCATGCACCGTGCGCTCCCCGCCGCGCATGTCGTGTCGATAGCCCGTGTTCCCGTCCGCTGGTGTCGTCGTCGCGCAGAGCTCACTCGAGTGGAGCGCGTGCGTTCCACGGGCGTGCGGCGGCGCGTGTAGACCCGTCGCGTGGCGACTCGAGCGCTCTGCGTGGGTCGCGGTCAGGGCTGGTCATTCGCGGGGGCGCGAGGGGGCGCAGACGGCAGGGCGGTAGGTGGTAGGTGGCGCTCGTCGGGGCGCGCGCTCTGTGCCGTGCGAAACTGCGGCGGCGGGCGAGGGGAGTCTGTCTGTCTGTTTGTCTGGAGCGCGCGAGGTCGGCTGTCGCGGAAGGCATCGCCCTGCTCGGTCGTTGTGCGGTTGGTTGGTGGCGCGGATACAGGTCGAGAGGACGATCGTGTCGAGGGCTCGGTGGCGTTGTGGCGTTCTGAGAAAGGGCGGGGCTGCTTGATGCGGAGGGTGCGCGTGCGGATGCGTGTGGAGCCGCGCGGTGGGAGAACGCTCAAATGGACGTGCGTACTTGCAGCGCCAGGGCTCGACAGGACACCGCGCGAAGCGGAGGATACAAGGCAGGGCAAGACACGGCACGGAACTCATACTGCGAGGTGTAATAGGACACGTCGCGCGACAGAGTGCGCGAAGCACGCGTCAGAGGGGCAGCAGCGACTCGCGGCCGATCCTCGACGCAGCAGATGCGTCCGGCGCGAGGGGACGTCCCTGCGCACCGAGGAGGAACCGCGGCATGGACAAGGGTAAAGTTGGCGAGCGAGCGCCCTGACGTCGAGCCATCATCGAGGGCGCGAACGCGCAGGCATGAGACATTTATGTCCTCGAGGTCAAACGCAAGAGGCGATCCCGCACAGCGCACAGTCGCCGACCAGGGCGGCGCCAGAAGCCGGTCGCGCGCACCCGAGCTTCACTCGAGACCCTGGCTTCTCTGCAACGAGGCCGACAGGCACGGCGGGTGGCGATCGTTCATCTGTAGAATGCCGGCTTCGGAGTCCAAAGAAGTGGATTTCCGCGGTTTCGTACACGGTGCGCTCGGCGAGCGCGGGACGGCAGCGAGGTTGACTTTGGACGGGCTCAGATCCTAATCGGTAAGACAGAACGAGGGGGAGATAGGCACGGTGTTCGGTAATGAAAGTGAGAAGTGAGGATTCGAATGAATTCTTCATAGTGGGCCTCGAATCGTAAGCGCAGCATCTATCAAAGGACTTGCGCATGCTGGTCGTACTCGAGCCAAGCCCAGTCATAAATTCCCATCCTCTCCTTCAGCTCTGCTTCGGTACTTAAACTTCGGCGTCGGCGTTCTGGCACAAAGGAATACCGCATCTGGTGCAAGAGCACTGCGAGCGCGCCGCTATTCGAGATAGCGTCGTGGAATGCAGCGCGGGATCCGTCTGAAGATGAGAGCGCGTGCGAAAAGGACTGGATGATCTGAGAGGGAGGTTTGCGATGCTTCTGCTCCAGTCGATGTGTAGTATGGTACTTGCCGTCCAAGTCGACGAGGCGAACGTACCTCGATATCGACGAGCGCATCGGCCAATTTCTTCTTGCTCCGTGCAATGATAGAGATGCGTCTATCCTGAGCGCTGGGCTGCTAGGACTTTTGCTGAAGCCAGTCCGAGGCCAGAGCCACCATCTGTCATAATGAATATCATGGGTTCGTCAGAAGAACAAGTGACACGTATTCTGGATGCCTTGCCATCAGCATCCCACATGTCAGATCTCCGAAGCATGCCCACCAGTCGCGGAGAACAAGGAAACGAACCTAGCGCTGCGCGGCGAAGAATCGACCCACGCCCTCCCGCGCCTTCCCCGCCAATTATCGGCAGTCGTTTGTCCATGCTTGAAGCGCTAGTAGCTAGTCTCAAGCTTTCACAGATTTCGCCAGAAACTGTTCACAAGCCGCGCTTGTTATTCCCGTAAAGCTCTCGATATTTCAGTAATCGGGTATCTATAACCATCGCGCTATATCAATCACCTACGCTTGTACAGCATCGCAGTATAAGCTGTCTCATCAAGAAACAGGAAGCAGATCAAAACATAAAGCACAGACAGTCTGGTAAAGGGCGCTGCACTCGAGAGCAAAAAGTTCGGTAAAACACGTCCGAAGTCGCGGCGGGCTCAGAATGCTCAAGGGACCGGAGGCTTAAGGATCGAATTTTCTTCGAGCCAGTGAAGATGCTCCTCGCGGTGGCCGCGCACCTTGCGGTCAACTGACGATGCCCAGATCGGTACCGCGATCTACATACCCAACCGTCCGCACGCCAACAACGACACAAAAGTCCCGAACCATCAAAGTTAGCACGCGGATGAACAACAGGCGAGGGCAGTCGCGAAGAGTAGGAAGGGTACGCACGTAGGATATAAAGTCGAACAGGCCGTCGACAAGCCAATTGCGCCGCGGCGAGGCTTCGCGGCTCGACGCGCGGAAGAGCTCAGTGATGAAGTTTCCTGTTATCTGAAAGTCGCCACACCTGACGCCTGTGTCAAGAACCAGCCGCGAGCGAGACGCAGCACGAGCAATAATGAAGGCAGCCCGTCAGCCCGACGCACTAACAGAAGCACTAACGTGATGGAGGCAGATGGCACTGGGGATTGGAGACGCACCCTTGAGTAAAGTCGCCGCGGCGTCTTCAGGGGTGAGGGGAGTATCGTCCTCCTCGAACTCGCGCGTTATGCGGGGCTTGACCTGGTTCTCGGCTTCGTACCCAGGCGTGAGCATCGTCGGCGGGAAGAAGATGTGCACGTCGATGCCATACAGCAGCAGCTCGACCCGGAGCATGTCGGCGAGGCCGCGCAGAGCGTGCTTTGCAGGGAGGTAAGCGCCATAGCCGGGGAGCGTCATAAGACCTAACGTGGAGGAGACGAAGACAATCTTGCCCGTGCGGGACTGTTGGACCATGAGACGTGAGATGGCCTATGTGATCCGAATTAATGAGTTTTCGAAGTTTCTATTTTGACCCCAGCATGTAATCGTGATACGAGCTGGCCTGACCTGCGAGAGAGCAGGAATAGGACGAAACAAAGGAACTCACGCGTGCGGTCCATGCCTGTGCCCAGTATCCAGAATCCATGCCTTCCTTCAGCTCATTGTCGGTATATTCCACGAAGAACTTTGGCGTCGAGTTTCCCGCACACAAAAAGACTGCATCAGGCGAGAGACCGTCATGTTTGGTGGTGACGTCCTCGAGCGCTGCGCGGGACTCGTCGGCGGTGAATAATGAATGAGAAAAGGATTGGAAGATCTGCTCTGGACGCTGACGCGATTTCTGGTGGCTCAAAATAAGATGTGCTTCGTCATGATAGCGGGCCAGATATGGGCTCACCTCTATCTCGGCGATCGCGGTCGACAGCTTTGCCTTGTCCCGGGCGACGATAGAGACGTGTGCACCTTGAGATGCCAGAGACTTTGCAAGTGCGAGTCCGAGGCCTGAGCTCCCTCCTGTGATGTAGACATGCTGTTGTACGCCGTATTCCCAAAATTGGCAGTCAATATCTTTCTCTTCCGCTTGATCATGTCATCATCGCACCTTGCCTGCTGGGTTCCACCGCTCAGAGTTCCAAAACATATCTTCTTTCAACTCGTAAGTGAATGGTCGAAGGAAGTTGGGTGGGCGACGAAGTGAAGTATAGGATGCCGCTCAGACCCATAGGTGTCCATGTTTGTGCCAGCCAAACATAGAGCTCTCACAGACGATTCTGATGCCATCGAGGCGCTTTATCCACTATCACCTTAACATAGCACAATCACTGCGCTAAGTGTTTTTTTCATCATGAAAACTTCACTTGTGACCGTTTCACTGCTGTGTTCAGGTCCCTAAGTCCAAGAGAGTTTGATCATCCACCACAACGTGTTCCCTCCCAGTTGAGCAGGATGCAGTAGCTTGGACTCTATACACGTAGAGGTGCTACGCATCAACCCATTCCACGTTTTTGATACATGAAACAGGAACTTATTGAGCTGCTCAATAATCTGGTGGGTACATTCTGGCGCCTTCCTGCGGTCGTCGGCCTGCGTTCCATGTGTGCACCGCCCATCTTCAACCATTGATAGCCTAGAATAAGCAAGGTTTGTGATGACTCACCCAATGGACTCTTATAGCACTGCATCCAGAGTGATGTGCCCAAGAATATCTGAGGTCTAGATGATCAGATGGACATGTTTTACCCACAGCTGATTCAAGTATAGCCATGGAAGGGCCTGATACAATATGAGAAGGCACGCTATGTTGAGCATCTAAAAGAACGAGCTCGCTTTATATGAACAGGAACGGGAATGTGAAGCAGAGACTTCTTTTTTGCCAAGAGACATGTCCGGCACGACTGAGACGTCTGCGTACCGACTCCAAGCAGTGAAGGTATGTTCACTTCGCAGCGAGAGACTCTCCTTGCAAGGCTCTAATACGACGAAAGTATGTTCAACGTATGTCTAGCTTACCGTCCCCTTCCAAGACCCTTAAATCAACTCATGCGTGATGATCACCAGTTGCAAGCCTAGCTCTTCTGGTGAGCCGTGCGTCGCCCCAACGTCACTTTGAAGACTGATCTTTGAGCTAGATCCACGATACGGCCATCCTGTTAGATCAAGAGGCCTGACCGATTCACCCGTCAAGAAGATTTAACCTCACATGTTCATCTTCTAGGTGGAACTAATCTGGTCGACCAAATGGACGTTTCCGAAGGTTCTGTATCTCATCAGTCGGTATTCACCCTTCTTAGACACTATAATCGATGTATATGGTGCGTGATAATCTGCTTCCATCAAGAGTGGTGTCCTCATGGCTCCTCAAGATTACCTTGCCCCGAATCCTGATCCACACGTGAGCATGTTCTCAATGCATCAATAGGCTGAAGATAAAATTGACCTGCTGGTAGATGTGTCACATCACATATAGTATCGGGAGTGGTAAGTGTTTAGCTGCTTACGTTCACGCGTCACAACACAGCTTAGATGTCACTACAGTTTTAACAATGGTTGGCATCACAATCTCAGAACGTGAGCTTCTTCAAGCTTAGCACTGCTGTAAAATATCACTAATCTAGTGGCCATACAGTCATCCTGATCCTACGTACATATGCTCTTTACGACCGCTCTCGAAAGTTCTTCTATTTTTTTGGGTTCCTCTGGGTGGTGTGTCATTATTTTTGTTTCCTGATCCTCGGTTCTGACAATACTAATTTTGTGTCTTGTTGTAGAGCGGAACAGGGGTTGCGAGCTGGGCTGTGGCCGTCTTTGTCCAGTCTATTGTTTGTAGGTCGTGTAGTTCTTGAGGTGTTCGTTGAGCTGAATGTTGACTATGTTTTATAGTCGAACGACGGGCAAACCCCAAGATTGCGGGATGTTACATGGCGGTCGTGAATCCTGTTGTCTTCATATGCTTCATGGCTTTGTTTATTGTCGAGACATGTGAGTTTGATCTTCCTCTATGCATGTTTGGCAAATACACCATGTGTCTCACTGCCAATCCTTGCCAGTCATTGTAGGGTTCACTCTATGGAAGGGCTTTCGTATATGTGAGTAGGAACCCTGCACACTGGGAATGACTGTTCTCTGATTTGCGTGACAAACCCATAGGGCGGCAAGTCAGAATGAGCTCCCTCCTTGCCACATTCTACAAGGATAGTGAGTAAAGAGTGGGTTTCGGCCACTTTTCATGTTGAGCAATCATCTAGGCATCTTGTTCTATCTTGCCATCTTTCGTGAGTCCTAATCTGCCTATATATGAGACAATTGATGTATAGTGGCTCTGATTACAGCTTTGACCATCGGCAATATCATTGTATTCCTCACGGCACCTGTATGTGAATACAAGTTTTGCTCATCACTGCAAAGCTTTGATATACTCATATGTTGGCAGGATGAACTACTTGATCTCCTCGACACGTGAGTCTGTTTCTTTTGTCGTGGATCTCAGCTCAGAAGAAAATGCTCAACCTTGCTACCCACATTTAAGGATGACCCGTGTATTTCACAGTATATTTGCATGTCGCATCCTCTTACACCTCCGCTCGGCTGCTAACAGTCGCCTCCTGAGCTCAACAATGGATGCTGTTCGGTCGAATCTTAGTATTGGGCGCTTTAGAGTAAATGCTGGGGCTAGAGATTTGCTCAACAATATAGGGGGTAATACCAGATCGGACGAAGATGCACATGGCAATTTTGAGCTTGCGGAGATGTGGAGATAAGATATGATTTTTTGATGACTCTATATTTTGACCATTGAGGTATGAGTATATATAAGTGGAATAGACAATCCATGTACACAGTATGTATTACAATTGCAAAAGCACACAGTGAGCACAGGTTACTCTTTAGCAAAAGTACTTTACTTATTACCCATTCTGGGTATTTAGAAGGGTATAGTGATACCCAATACTCAGACAGGGATGGATTGAGCATGCATGTTAGGACAATAGTGTGGATTACAGATATAAAAGACTATACATAAGAGGATCATATCGTAAGGACAACTAGAGGAGAAGGAAAGGAAAGGGTAGAAGACTGCTGCTAACTAGTCATTATGGGCCTGTAGGCCATTAGGAAATGCACAGATTTCCTTTTATAGCTTATAGCTTTTTCTCTGTCTTTTTTTTGTCTTTTTCTGTCTTTTCCTCACTTTAGCTTTGAAACCCCTAGCTGACTTGTATGAACCTAATAAGACAAGGTTAAAGAAAATGACTTGGTAAAAGCTGAAGATACATATTAAAGGTTAAAAAGTGCCAGTCTATATATTTCAAGAAGAAAAGTCACATATGATATACAAAGGGTCAGTAAGGTAATAATGTTCTGGCAAGCTACAAGTAAACAAGTATAATAGACTGCAAACTTATAACAATTTTTATTTATGCTTGGAAAGTGTCTCCTTCTACTACCTTGGAGAAAAGGGCATTATTTAGGTTGGTATATGGCCATAGGCTTACCCCTGCCTCCAAACAGTGTCCATGCACCACTCAATGACTATGCTATAGATAGACTACCTACTATGCCTAATTTTCATATAGACATGGATATAGACACTGTTAAGCTGATAGGCTTATTATATGCAATAAGCACTAAGAGAGGTTCCCTAGGCTATATAGAGTGTGAGAGTCCAGCAGATAAAGACTATGGATTATCTTTGGGCATAGAAGAGGAACTCTTGATTACTATTAAGCTTGTTCTTGAGTAAATGTAAAAGGTGATCTTTAAGGATTAGATGATGTTTATTGGGCATATAACTGTCTTCACCTATCTAACAGATAACCTTAGATGGATTCCAAGAACATCTGGGAAATTACTCTCCTGTATTATGCTCTAATGAGTTCTATTTATGCATAATTCAGAATGATTAGGATTAGAAATTATTTGCTTACCCCCTCCCTAAACCTGTTCTAATTAGACATAATTTTTCTAAATTAGGAATTATTAGGATTGATTATAACTTGAAATTTTGGAAAAATAATAATAAATCAAATATCACAGTTTTCATAGCCTTCTTATAGAGTCCTGTTTATTAGAGCACTAGTTGAATACCTAAACATAGAATATACCTTATTCCAAACTTGCTTTTTGCGAACTAATAGCTTTATATATACAAGCACCTGGACAAGATGCTCTAAGCCACTAAGCTATAAGGTCTGATATATTAACTTGGTAATCTAAATAAGTAGACATAATATAGGCAATCTTAACATCTCTAATTTTATTCAACATTTATCTTTTCTTTGTCTTATAAATAAACAAGTCAATAAATACCCAAAAAGTCAGGTCTTTGAGAATTGAGTTTGAACACTAGCTAAGAAGATAATAAACCAATGGAAAATAAATAATATACTTTATATAAGGTTAAAAAAATTATAGTACTTATACAATTTGGATTTAGAATGTATAAAACTATGATTAAGTATAATATTCAATGGGACTCTACTAGTATAGACAATGCTACCTTAATTTTCAAATTTGATCAAAAACATGATTATGAATAATTAGCCATAATTAGCTCAAGTTAGTATTATCAATAATTATCAATAATTAAGATCCAATAAAAAAAAGGGTTTTCCAAATAGCCACTAGTAAGGTAGAGGGTAGAAACAAGAGCATATATATGGCATGCCTATGTATAAATAAGCGCAAGATTGTTGGAGATGATCTTAATATACTTGGTATACATATTTCCTACATAGTAGGAAAATATGTCATTTTGGCACCACATACCAACAAAACTGTCTTTTCCACAGCCTAATAGCTAGAGGAAAATACCAAGTTTGAGCATCTTCTATACAACAAGGCAATGAATAATATAAATGGTGTTAAAAATTGTAATATCAATGGCAATAATAATTATGTACTACACAAGACAGTATTGACCACTATACTAATAGACAAGGTCTGCAAGGCTATATATAACACATCTCTAAGCCCAGCCCACATATTGTGTCTTGTATTGACTAGTAGTGGGCATTGGCTAACAATAACAACTTCAATGATCTTGTGTGCAAGGCCAAGGTACTGAGGTCTTCATAGTCTCTTATGGCAGCTGCCAAGCTGCCAATAAAGTGGCTAGGGGCATCAATATACACTCCTCTCTTTCCATGTCCCTTGTAAAGGCAGCTGAAAAGTTAGCAAAAAAGCTATAAGATAATGGTACAAGCATACATAAAGGAGAGTAATGTGCTAAAGTAACATAGAATGTGCCATATCTTTACCTTCTCACTAATAGAGAAGTAGTACTTACTATTTTCTGCCACTAATTAAAGACTTCTTGGTGTGGAATTAGTGCTAATATCATGAAATTAGAAGCTATCTTTCTAGCCATAGAAAAAGATAATTCCCAATTTGGAAATCCAATCCAATGCTCATAATATATTGCTTCTAATTAGAAAATTAAATACTCTTAGATGCTATTGATACTTTTAGATACTTTTAGACACTTTGAAACACTTTTGGATACTTTTAGACACTTTTAGACACTTTTAGATACTTCTAGACACTATTAGATATAATCTAGAGCCAATACAAGGGAGTAGTTTCCCAGATACAGTAGGGCCCATAACCTGTTGAAATATAGGCTAGAAGTATTACTTAGTGTCTATGTAGATCATTTTATATTCAATCAGGAAGTACCTAGAAGTATTACTATGTGACAAAAGCATAAGTAAAAGTGACATATATGTCTTAAAAAGAAGCAGGCTCGCCATAGCATCTATATAGATCACTAAGAGGAGTCTGACACTAAAGGTGTCAGTAACTATAAGTATGGTGGCTGGGAACTGTATAGAACTTTGGCAATATCTAAGCTTGTCAAGTAAGTAAGTAAGCAATAAGTAAATTATAAGAAAGATATGACAAAGGTGATTTGCCTCAGTCCAACAACCTAATACAAAGAGAGCATTGGTTTAGCTATGGCAAAACTGACCTCAAATCAAAGTCTCACATAGATATCTCTTGTTCTTGGTTTTCTGGCCTTCAGATGCTCAGCAAGGTTCTCTCGAACAACTGTATCTGGTAATTGTAAAAGACCAAACTATAATATGGCAAGATGGCCGAGCGGTCTAAGGCGCCAGATCCAGGCTTTGGTCTTTCTGGTCCTCCGGGGCGTGGGTTCAAATCCCACTCTTGTCAATTTTTTCTCAGCCCCGCAGCAAGTTCTGACAAATTGCAACCACCACGAACGACTACGAGCCACTGCGAGCTACAGTGCCTTGCATAAAAAACCGGAATCGTGCGACGCGCAAGTTCTGGCACAGGATGACCAATCTACCATATATAGTAATTCAATCTGAAAGCATTTGTCGTAGTATGCCAGTAAGTACTATGCATAGTAACTTTGTCATCTTGCTCCAGGACTTAGCGTGTCGCGCGATTCCGGTTTTTTATGCAAGGCGCTGTATTACGAGTCACCCTCTCGAGTCTTGACTGAGCACAATCTTACGCTATGGGAATTCACGGCCTGGCGACATTTCTTCGCGAGAACCAGCGTGCCCTGTCAAAACCATTGAAGCTGCCGACTGCAGTGTCGATCGCGTTAGTAGTCGATGGGTGGTCGTAAGTCTCATTCTACGCACGTTATTCGTTCTGACTTCATGTTACTGTCTCTGTTTCACTGACAGGTTCATTTATGAATTGTACAACCAATCCGGTTTGCCTTGGGTTTACGGTGGAGAATACACACGATTTTCAGATCTGGTGGTGAAGACTGTAGAAGCATGGTTAAATGTAGGGGTTAGACCGTTTTTCGTGTTCGATGGTGAGCTCGATCGCTATAGCCCGCTCTTAATGGATGCCGCCTGCTCTATCTGTGTAGCCAGCCCCCCCGTCCGTCGACTCACATGCCATTAGGTCCATATCCCCCGCTTAAATTCGCAACAGCCATCTCGCGTGCTTCAGAAAATATCATTCAGCCCTCCCTTCTTTTTTTCAGGACGTCCGAGGCTTCTCGATCCACGCCACGCTTCCTCCGAGAGAACACAATAATACCACCTCTATGCTATACAGTGTGTGTCCATGCATTGAAAACTTTATCGCACAAAGGCGTTGAGGTTCATTTCGCGGATGTGGAAGGAGATCCCTACGCTGTTGAACTAGCCGGCCGAGTACGTGGTTATGTGACTGGGCACGACTCCGACTTCGTTGTCCTAAACACAGACGGGTATCAAGGCTACATCCCTATGGACGAGATGATCTGGACAGCATTGCGCGACTCGTCAGAGACTTCGGTGGAGCCAGAAGACGACGGCGGATTCACAGTCACCCGGAAGCCGAAACGCAACACGAAATCCAATGGAACGTACCACAGCGGGCAGGGCCTCATACCACCTGATTTTGGCACGGATCTCAGCATGATATGTTCTGTGTACCGGCCGTCTGATCTTGCCGCACACCTCCATCTTCCTATGACACTCCTTCCTCTCCTCGGTGCACTTGTTGGCAATGACTACACTGCCGATCAACGTCGTTCTACGCATAGGCTCTTTTTTGAACACAGCTTGACCGTTTCACAGCGTATCACGCGTGTGGCGAACACGCTTCAATCGATTATCACAGCTGTATCCGGAACCACACAGAAGCGGAAGTTGAAGCGGCCAATTAACAGTGTTGTGGATTTGATCGGCCTGACGGTCGATGCACTGCTCCTGGGCCCTTCCTCGTCTATAGGGGCAAGGGAACGCGAGGCCATTGTCGAAAAGACTGTTGAAGCAGCTTTGCAATATTCGATACCCAAGCATGACGGCGATCCAGCTCTTTGGCAGTCGGATGTCTGTGCCCTTCACGATCCAGACAGGTGTCCGTTCGTGCTGTATCTATCCCCGCAAAAGGCTGACAAAATCGAAGAGAATCCATCCCGAGCGCATATCCGGTCTCGATATACGTCGGCGTATCGACGCGGAACTCTCTCACCTAGACTTATGGATCTGTTCAGTACTGGAACCTTGTGGCCTCGATTGTTTTTAGAGGACCCCGATCTCGAACCGACCGCCCGAAGCATCGGACGACCCCTTAGAGAATGGACATATACCATCCTCAACGATGGCATTGGGCTTCCTGAACAAATCGCTGAGGATCAGGAAGAAAGTAGCGAGGACGACAAGGATGAAGGGAGCGATGATGACAGCGACGAGCTGATCGACGTCGTTGAAGAGGATTCAGACTCGGATGGAGGAGATCTGCTGGCTCCACTTCGTGGAGCACTGCAGCAGCTGGGGGGTAATTCCGATACCGACCCCTTTCCGACGACACCTATTCATCTGCTCGTGTCGTCACAGCCCAGGTCAATAACGGAATATATCCGACGGGGTACAAAACTCGGAATGGAGACCGTACCAGTACCCTCCATCGCCGCACTTGCACCATTCCTCAGCCCTGATTATGATTTCTCAAGTCACTCACCCATACAATCACGGTCTGAGGATGAGCGTCTGGCCCTCTTCCTGCGGCTGTTGCACTCCGAATCACCAGCCTTCAAGGCACTGCCCCCAATGCAATTGATGGCTGTCTTAGCCTTAAGATGGGTTGTCCGACGACTTCACGAACGTGCTGAATCCCACGGGTTTGGGAAGGAGCGTGATCGAGAGCGATGGACGCAGAGGGAAGCTATAGCCTATCTAGGTGCCTTTGCATGGGCATCATCCTCGGACGCCGCTCCAAAAGAAAGCAGTGAACATGCTGAGCCTCTGGTCATTCTCAACCGTAGCATTCAACTCACGGCTCAAGTGTCTGTGGCATTAGACGCGATCGAGATACTCTCACAGACCCTCCTGCTGCATGATCGCGTCTCAAGTCCTGCTCCATTGTTCTCGGGGCACATATTCCACAGGAAACTCGCAGACGGGAACACAGCCGAGCACCTTCATCAGGAATCCGAGTACCTGTGGGTCGCTTGTAGCACAGGATTGGAGAATATGTTTGGAGCTGAGAAAGGGAAGCGTGGAAAGAAGGAAAGAAGGGCGAATAGATCAGGACAGCCTGAACTCACAAGGAGAGAGTATTCTGCTGTTCCTTCACAAGGATTGTTCTCAGTGCTCGCTAGCATGGATTCTTAGAATTGGTTAGCGTCTATTCTATGTCTGTGCGACGCTGTGCATTGTCTATCCGAGACACTGTCACATGCAGTGTGGCTCTCGATATGTGGCATCCTGGCAGTGCGCTTGGCGCGCTGAAATAAGCACCGCTCGTCTATATAAATAGTATGTTCGCCCAAATCACCTCAGATCAATCATCCGCACCCTCTAGAGTGGCCCATCCTCTTGCACTCTCAACTTCACACGTCATGCCTGTAGACATCCTGACCTATCGTTACAAGGACAAGATGGTGTATGTGTCCGCTGCGGAGACTTACGAGGTATTTTTTATCGGGGTTTCCTTCTCACACACCATGATTGATATTCCATACATCCGCAGGAGGCCCTAGACTTTGCGCAGACAGTCTACCCCGAGCTACAATTAGTGGACCGAAGTCGAATAACATTCGATATACGCGTGGTTACGGGCTCCATGATGAACAACGTTCAGATAGGATCGATGGCCTGGACACAGGTTGTTTCAAACCTGACCAGATTTGAGGTCATTGATGTCGAAGTTGCCAAGCCGCTACCGGCACCTCGGACTGTCATCGATCCCCCTCCACAATACCCCATGGATGAGAAAGCCCGTCCTTCTCTGGATAAGGAGAAAGACAGGCTAGATCCTAATGCCAAATCTTCACGTCACTCACGATCACCCTCACCTACATCCTCCAAGTGGACATCCCTGTTCAGAACCTCTAGCCATACATGATCTCACAAATGCATTCTTCTAATTTCCTCTATCGCCTCGTTATGATTTGACAGCCACAGAAAGGCTCACTTATACCCCTCGTAGAACTCTTGTTCGATGGTTCAAATCTCATACTTACCGTCCTCTAATAGTCTTTAGAAGACTTCCTACGAGCTGAACAGTTTTGAAACAGAAGGTTGCTGTGATAATAAACCTAACATTCCTGATAATTCGAAGAAACCTCTTCAAATATCGTATACACCAACGAAATGAGTGGCCTGTGGCGCCAAGTATGTACTAGGCATACGGCACCATGAACAATATCGCATCCTTATTGTTCGTCGCTTTCTGGTTGTTTTGGAACCAGCATAGTGTGCACCACTTCCTGCTCAAAGCTCCGAATTCATCGATCACGAGTCGTCGTCGATCTCAATGAGAGCTGAATCTTCCTCAGATTCATAAGAATTTTATATTGTATCTCGATACGAAACACGATCACAGACTAGCCACTCTACCCAGACGCCCGCGACGGGTACACATGTGCAAAAGCCAGCCGATGGACTCCTTGAAATCGTTCCAGAATTGTCCAGAAATGGACATAGTTGGAAAGAAAAACGCGAAAGCGTGTGGCAGGCCAGGATATCTTGACCATTGCTCTAATAAGTAATTGCAGGAGGTATGATTCGAGCAAAGAGCAACTCACACAAACAGCTTTGTTCGAACACCCTGCTCTTTGAGCACTTCCGTGTATAGGAAATTCTCGTCACGTAATGGATCCATTCCAGAGACGTGCATGCATAACGGTGGCAGGCCTACATGTGTTGTGGCAAGTAGAGGTGAGATATCAGGATCCATGGCCGGCGCGCGGAGAAGACCTGTGAAAATAGGCCTCGATCAAGCATCAGACGAGCACAAAGTGGGGCACCGAATACCGTAGAACCAATGAAATGAAGAACCGCGAAGCACCTCTGCCTCTGCGAACTCTTCAGCTGATTTGAGCTCGTCTTTGTACCTGTTTTATGTTTTTTGTCAGATTTTGAGATGTCAAGACTCAAGAATAAAACCTTACTTATCAGGGTAGGCGTCCATATGAACGACAGCCGGAGAATGCAAAATTTGTCCCGTGAGAGGCTGTGACTTGAAGAATGGATCATCTCGTGCGCGCACGGCAATGGCTGCCGCAATGTTTCCACCGGCAGAGAGGCCCGATACGATGAAACCTTTCGAAAGATCTACGGAAAGTAAGGCAGTATTGCATACAGCCTATCGAGGAACATTCCCTAGTTGATGAGAGCATGGGCACGACACTAAAGGAACGCACATACCCATTTTAAAGCAGCGTAACTATCGTTGACTCCTGTCGGAAATGGAAATTCGGGCGCTAGTCTTCAGAAGAAGAGTATGACCATGTGTTTGAGCTACCCTGCGACGCCAGATATCTCTACAATACGCTACTTACCGATAATCGACGTTCATCACTGAGATTTGCATCTCCACGCATATATGCCTGAGCAAATAGTCATCCATGGCCGCGTACCCAGCCACCCAACCTAGAGAAGAAAGGCATATCAGAATGTAAATATGAGTGTAGATAACAGAATCAAATGACCTCCGCCATGGTACCAAACTAACAAAGGAAAAGTCTTTCTCGGTTTGTTCACGAAGGAAGGCACCAAGCACCGTATAAGGATCTCGTCAGAGGGATCACCGACCGGAATATTATAGTCTTGAACAGAGTATTCCGATGCTAGAATTGACAGAGTCACCAGGGCCCATAGGTAATCGATAGGATGCGCCTTACCGGGAGGAAGAGTGGATCCAAAATGCTCCTCCATCCCCTTGGCATAGGCCGTTTTGAAGACCTCTCGAACAGCAATGAGGTCCTCCGGAAGAGACTGAGATGATTGTCCTGCAATCAGAGCCGCGAACTCTGCATTGGGAATGCTGAGTTGAGAGTGTCTAGACATTGCAGGCCTTCGTCAATTTGGTGGAATTGACGGGTGAGAGGACGGTGACCAGTTACACAGATGGCCTAACGTCCACAGGTATTTATATCAAACTCTTGTCTACAGAGGAGCGCTCTCACTTAGAGTTGTTGAACGCCGTTGACTATGGCCAAGAATTGGATATTTCAAGGCTGCATCGAGGCAAGAGGGCACGTAATCGGAAGTAACCTGTAACGACATTAGGGGTTTAGCCTGGCCACCAGCATGAAATTTTCACCCATAAGACGGGCCCGACAAGCGGACGAGCTACCGTATACCGCATAGTAACGAACAGGCAACAACTCAAATTGACGTCGTAGATTCGCTTTGAGTAGCAACACTTTCCTTTCAAAGCTGGCCAAAGGCCGACCGCAACCCAACGGGATTGACTGATATGCTTTTGGAGCTACACCGTATGCAAGTCTGCGTGATGGAGTGGAGCATAGAGAAGTCTGTTCTGAATCGGTTGTAGTACGTACATGCATATCCTTGTCTAACACCGGATGAAAGCGAGACAAATGAACAGCGCTAAGCAGAAAGCGCCAATAACCACTTAATCCCATCCCTGAAATCACTCCGGAACTGAATCGAGATAGACAACTTCGGAAACACGAACTCAAACGCGTGTGGAACGCCAGGGTATCTGTCAATCAGCATCAATAGCACGATTCGCGCCAAGTCCCGGCAGGAAAAGCAGCAGTCAGAGACGACTCACACATGTAGCTTGGTCTGAACGCCACTTGTCCTGAGAACCTTCTCGTACAGCAGCGCTTCATCTCGCAAGGGATCCATCCCCGCGAGTTGCATCCAGAGCGGGGGAAGCCCGGCATGTTCAGAAGCCAGCAAAGGCGAGAAATCAGGATCCGCAGGAGGAGCTTTCACCAGCCCTATGATACAACGCGCGCGATGAGATGCGCGTCCTGCCCAAATGCAGACGAAGTAGCCACCATAAAACCACGCTAACGCCCTTCCTGGAAGTATGGGCGCGTCTTTGAACTCCTCAAGGGACAGCAGTTCATTCTTGTATCTGTTCGGATCGGGAGACCGTAGATTGAAACGTAGGCACGCAATGAGTAAAAGATAGGGACGAGTAAAAGATAGGGACGAGTAAAAGATAGCGATTTTGGCTTGCCTGTCAGGGTATGCGGCGGGGTGAATGGTGGCTGGAGAATGTAGGATCTGTCCTGTGAGGGGGTACGAACGGAAGAAAGGGTCATCACGGGCACGCAAAGCCATCACCGCGGCGATCGTTCCGCCTGCCGAGAGACCAGACACGATGAACCCCTTCGACAGGTTTGCCGAAAGCAACGCGACATTCTGGACCGCCTGAGCCGCAGACGGGGTCGGTGTAAGATGCTCGCTGCATCAGACAGCGAGCAAACGAGAACACATACCCACTTAAGAGCCGCGTAGCTGTCATTGATCCCTGTGGGGAATGGGAATTCGGGAGCGAGTCTGCAAGAGATCATTTCAGAGGGCTATTCAAGACTAATGAAATCAGGAACGATGTGGTGTACCTGTAATCGACATTGACGATAGAGATCTGCAGCTCCACGCAGATGTGCCTGAGAATGTAATCATCCATAGCGGCATAACCAGAGATGAAACCTGACGATCGACACGTCTGTAATAAAAAACACAGTAGGGGACAAGACCATTCGTACCTCCAGCATGGTACCAAACCAACAAGGGGAAAGTTTTCCCTCTCGCATTGGCAGGCGTCGGCACCACGCACCGCGCAAGAATTCGAGCTTGGCCACCAACAGGGACTTGATGATCCTGAACACGATACTCCGAAGCTGTGTTACCGGTCAATGACAGATACGCAGACGGAGAAAGCGCAGGATCAGAATAGGATAAAGGTCGCACAGACGAGAGTTCATATGAAGTAGATCCGCACCAGCTGGCAGCGTTGGCCCGAAATGCGCCTTGATGCCCTCGATGTACGACGTCTTAAACACTTCCCGCGCGGCGCTCACATTCCACGGAAGGGGCTTCGACAGCAACGTCGCCATGAGCGGTGCGAATTCAGGGTGCGGGGTGGCAAGCTGCGTGCGCGTGGACATCTTGACAGCTTAAGCAATGGGGGGTAAACGCTGGCACTAGACACGATAAGGGGGTTGTTAGGCAATGCGTTGTCCTCCGTGCGACGCCAGAGTCGTCGACAGTCGCCCAAAGTGCACGATGTTTGCCTGACTGAGCAAAAGAGAGATGACCCGCTGGCCTACTCACATGATGCCCTTTTGACCAGCGGCCGCGCCTGCGAACTCGACAACCCTGTGATTCCGTACCCGCATTGAATCGAGAACGCCACAAAGTTAGCTCTGTCTGCTTCTCTCTTGATCCCTCGCGGGCACTCATGGGATTATGCGTGAACGAAAGAAGTCAGTATTAGCTAGTGGTAAGGCCAACGCCGCCCGAGCAGGCTTGCTTTGTCGAGAGATATAGGCTATCTCTATTTTCAGACGTCTGAATGCTTATAAGGCCTCGCTTTTTCTAGCTTGTTTGAATCTTGCGTCGCGAATTATTGATGTAGGCTTACTGGCTGTCAAAGGGCCGTCAGTAGGACGAGGGGGAAAAGCATATGCATGCACGTGCGAACGTACCTGCTCTCACACTCCACGGCAATCCACCAACCCGACAAAGCCGCGACCCGTGATCCGCCTCGCTCCGTCGTATAAGTCAAGTGAATGAACGAAAATCCGGCAGGGGCATACAGAAGGAGAACTTCTAATACAAAACGCGGAGGACATACCACATATGTAGAACGGTGCGGACAAAACAGATATTATAAGCGCGCGTAAAGCGAAGAGGTCGAAGAAGCGAGAACACGACACCAGATTCAAACGAGCGACATGACGACTCTTTCACTGCCCTGCTCTAGTCTATACCCTCACCCCCTGTTTGGCCTCAAACCGGCGCGCCTATACCCCCTCTTTCCCTTGTCCGCCCTCTTCGTCCTTCCACAACAGCTTCCACATCCGCGTGGCCACATTCCCCGCAAGCGTCCACGGATCGCCCTGGCGCACAGACCCAGCGAGGCGGTCCACAAGCTGCGCCTGGCGCCCTGACACGACCGAATCGCGCACAAGAGCGAGCAGCGTTGGGGTCGGCGCGAGATATTTTGCGATGAGCGACGGCACATGTAACGCGGGCGGCGGGTGTGAGAGCGAAATCAAAAGCGTTTGATTGTCGCTGCACGATGCAAGTCAATTTGACGCGATGTGTGATGCGTGAGTGAGCGGAGTGCAATGCAGAAAAAAACGGAATGAGACGTCAGAATAGTGGAAGGTCTCATGTTTGTGGCGAACGCGAAATAGAGGATTTGAAGACGTACAACAAGTCAGGAAACGGCGGGCCCGTATGCATTGGCGGAAGCGCAACCCCATCTCCAGCCCCACCGCCCCCCTGCACCTGTACCTGCGCGTCTGCGCCAGTAGCTCCCTGCGCTTGGCCATCCGTCCGCCCCTCTGTACCCTCCGGTGAATCCGCCCAATACCACACCGCCTGTCCCCGCTTCGCTGCGCGCGCCCACGTCTCGTTAGCCTCCTGCTTTTGGCGTTCGTATACCGCCTGCTGCGTCAGGCTCCGCGACATCAGGTCCATATGCTCCTGCGTCGCATGCCGCGAGCGCGAGAGCCATAGGTAGTATCCCGGCTCCCAGTATTTCTGATGCGGCGGCTCGGCCCCGGACGTGTCTCGGGCCGATGTCGAGATTGAGGTCGAAGGGGAAAATGGTGCGCGCGAAGGAGGCGGTGAGGTGGACGAGTTGGGCGACGGAGAAGATGGGGCTGCGGGGCCGGCAAGGAACCCACTGATAGGGGTGCGCGACTCGGGCGGGAGCGGGATGTCGAGTGGAACAACGGCTTTGAAAGGATCGAGCGGGTGCCGCCAGCGAGGGTCGAGCTGTCTGCGTACCTCATGATTGAAGACGCGGCGGATACAGACAGTGCGTGACCAGGGCTCTTCACCCAGTGTGCGCCCCCGAGCGGTCTGGGATGAATAGGTAAAACAGCGCTCGGATATTTGGGGAGAGAAGGGGCCTATAGAGAGATGGAGTGTGAGATATGGGCGCATACAGGGCAAAAATATATGTAGGTCTTGAGACGCAGTATACAGATAGTACGATGTGAGATCATACTAGCCATAGAACAATAACTGGTAGCTGTCTCCATGACCTTGCTACATGTGTCACAAGCACTGGAGTTATGAACAAAAAAAGAAAGGAATAGGGGTAGCACTGGCCCATCGATCGGCGGTTGTCTAGAATCTGACGCAGGCAGGCATCGTCATGCTGAACTAGACTCGCCATGCCAAATACCTAAGCCCCATGCCCTGGTCATGACACTCGAAACGATACGTCGTTTCACACGAAAGCACGAAGCAAGCGGTCCTACAACATTCCTGACGAGCAGCACAACGACGCGCACGAACGAGGCCCGACACAGAATGGAAGGTATAGAGGCCGGACAAAGAGCGATGCCGGAGAAATGGGAGAGATTATTCGGAAGAATGCACGCATGAGACACGAACCTTTCGGAGGAATAAACAGTTTAACAGAAGGGATTTTGTCAACGAGCGATGGAGGGTATGCGACAGGCTGAGCAGGCTGCGACTGCGGCTGGCCGTTGCCCGCGTTCGACTGTGTCGACATGACGGTAGATTAAAGCAGGTGTATGCGCCTTGTCAAGGCGCTCGGGTGAACGAAGATGTGGTCGGCGGGCTGTTGAATGAATGGCGTTAGTTGAGTATAGTGTTCAGAGAAAGTTGTGCAGACGCGGATCACAGAGATGTCAAGTTAAGGCCCAACCTACAAGTAGAAGTTAAGCCTCTCTAAAGGATGTGCGGTTGTGTATATACAGACCGTCGTCGATGGCGTGGAGGGATGGCTGCAGAGACCTGCAGAGCGGTGAGGGGAAGCGGGCGAGGCAGCTCTCGGGTCCGTGCCCCCGGAATTGTCCCGTATTCGGCAACATCCGAAGCTCACGTGGTCTGCGCTACATAACCCGCGCATTTTTTCTGTTCTTTTTTCTCAACTTTGCGCCGTCCAAAGAATCGCCGTCGCAGCACACACACAGGGAGCTTCGCGCTTTCTCTCACCGCTGTGGGGAAAGTCCCCGGAGATGCAGAGCGCACCAGCCCGCGCACACTCATTGGAAAGCATCCGCCCTTAATCCGGCGGGCCCGTGCGCTGGGTCGTCCTCCCGTCTGCCCCGTCCCTTCTGTTGGGGACGTAGGGTTGGGATCGGACCGCTCTGCCCGCCCGTAGCCTTGGTTAATCAAACGCGAAGATATGAGCGGACCTCGGGGCGCGGGCACCCGTTGCTCATAGACATAGTTATGCGATTGTCAGTGCGCGCGTTTCCGAGGCGTGCGTGTCTGGTAACTCAATGGGGCTCACTCTCGGACGGCGCAGTTTCAAATTTTTTCCACATTTTTGTGCAGCTTTGTGCTGTGTCCATTGCACGTTGGTCAGTGTGGGAGATGACGGTGAGTACTCGTATGCTGGGTTTCTCTTCAATCATTCATCTTCAGAACGCATGATGCTTCAATGCTTTATTGAATTTCTTCAGGGAGTATATCTTGTTTGACCACAGTCATTCAAGGGCGGGCTCCAGATCTTGACAACCCTGATTCTTCTTGATTTCATTATTCTCCGTTTGCATTTGTGCCCACAACTTGTTTACTGATTTATTCGCTTTTAGTTCTTTCTGTCGAGTGGAATCTGGCAAGAAGGTGGTCTGGTATTGTCTCGTCGAGCGCGTCTTTGGTCTATTCATCCTCGTTTTGAGTGCTTCGTGTGGTCAGCTGCACGAGGAGAGTCCTTTCCATGTCCATCATGTCCTCACAATTAGCTAATAGACATTGATAACACGGCTTTCTCGGACTTTCCTATCATCTACACCTTGAAAAAAGCCAATACACGCTTTACCAGCCCAGATACCTTCTTCCTTCTCATCTCTTTCTCCTTCTTGAACACTCCTTGGGCTTGCAGCGAGCGCACCGCGCTCTGCACGTCCGCTTCTAAATCATGATGCCACACTTTCTCCCACATCAGTCCAATATCCCCTCTGACACCGTCGGGGGACGCCCCCGACTCTCCGTGCCCGTCGTAAATGTCGCCCGCGCGCTTGGACTCGCGCGAGACGAAGGTCGCGCGGGGCACGCGAACGTCGTTGTATACGTTCAGCACAGCCTGCGTGCCAAGTTCAGTCTGCCGGGTCCTCTGCCGTCGACAAGAAGATTACGATCAGGCTCGCACCTCTACGTTGGTCACGGTTGTCTGCGCATGGCAGAGCAGGCGCGTGAGGACATAGACGTCCTCAATGCCCTGTCCGACGCCTGCGCCGAGATGCGGGAGCATCCCATGGGCCTGTCGGCGGCATCGTTTCCGACGAGCACCAAAAGCTCAATCAGCTTGCTCATCTGTCGTGCACGACGGCCAATCCACGCACCGCATCTCCCAGCACCGCAACTCTCCCGCGCACGTAGTGCTCCAGCTGCGGATACACGCCGTGGATCGACCACTTGCTCGGTTGCTCGAGGCACCGCAGGATGTGCTGTGCGTCTGCGCCCCAGTCCGCATACTGCTCGAGAAGCTCCTCCTGCGGGACGGGGGTGACCCACGGCGTGCCGGGCGGGAGCGCGGTGCTGCCGATGGGGCGCGTTAGGTCCGAGACGAAGGCGACAACGTTGATCTGTCAGGAGTGGGCGGGTGGACGACCGACGAATCGAATTCGAGGTCAGATCAATACGAAGGCGCTGTGCGGGCACGCACTGTCGTGTTGTTCTTGATGGGAAACGTGATCATATGCTGCATTCATCACAGCACCGTACGTATCACACCACGCCGATCCGCATTAGCCCCGTATTCGGCGACGCAACACACCCACCATCGAATGGAAACGTCAGCGGGCTTTCTCACCATGCCCGATTTGCACTGGGCGAAAAGGACATGACAATGCGGCGCACCTTCGACTCGCCGATCCAGCATATCGGCAGCGGCGTGAGCTCTGTCTTTACCCCGAGCTCCACCAAACGCTTCGCGTCAATAAGCCCGCGGTACGCGACCGTGTTCGTGTACACGAGCGCGCGCTCGGCCACGGCGTCTCCGACGACGAAGCGGCGCACCGTGCTCCGGATGCCGTCGGCGCCGAGCACGATGTCCGCTGCGTGCGTGGTGCCGTCGGCGAAGTGGAGCGTGTACCTGTGCTTGTGCTCGTCGGCGCCATCGGCGATTGAGATGCAGCGCTTATCGAAGTGCGTCTGCGCGCGGGCGGTGTCAAGCGTCTCTATAAGCCCATCGAGGAGCGCGGCGCTTGATAGAAAATGGAAGACGGACGCTGGTCAGGCGCTCCTTGTCAGCATGGGATGCAACAAGGCGAGACTTTACCGGTGGATCCCGAGCCCAAGGTCTCTTTCCTTCGTCGGGTACTGGGTATCCCATTCTCGTGAGTGCGTGCATACTTCAAGAGGGTCGACGCTCTAGGGATACGCACAGTGTAGACGGTCTCACTCTCCCCGGTGCCATAAATAAACCGGAACGATCGCATCGTGGGCCCGCTATCGTCCGAGTGCGCGATGACCTTGTCGAGCACGCCGAGGGCCTTCAGCACCCGCACGGCATTGGGTCCTGCGTCGCCGCACGCGCAGCGTTGAATTGTTAGCGTCAACACCTTCTCGAAGATCGTCTGCTGCCTCGGGCATACTCACCGATGCCCACGCCCGCGCCGACCTCCCCGTATTTAGACTGTCGCGCAGAGGGATATATGTGGGAATGCATGCAAACGGCAGCACCTGGATCGCGACACTCACAGCTGACTCGAAGATGTCTACCTTGAAGCCTCCCTTGGTGAGCCCGATGGCACATAGCAGACCGCATATTCCCCCGCCGACGATGGCGACGCGGAAGTCGCGCTCCCTCACGGGTATGATTGGATCCGCTGGCGTTGACATTGGCATCGTTCAGCGACGTGTATAATTCAATGAGACGAGGCAAGAATGTGTAGACAAGAGGTAAATAGAAGAGTCGAGCACGGCGAGTTTATCTAGTAACTCACACGGTCCTCATCATAGAATTGCCGGCCGTTCGCAGGGTCTTGTATTCGTTCTTCTCGACGCACGGAGGTCAGCTGTGGACTACAAAGCTTACAGGTGTGTCTGGCGCAGAGTTCACCCACATCGGACGTCATCGCTGGGACTGTGCCCTTGCGGATGCTTGTGTGTCGAGTGCCGTTATTGCGGGTGTAGAACCCTTCTGTTACGACAAAGATTACGCAAGACCGAGTGCCGGTGCAGAGCTCAGCCACTTCATACTTGCGAGCTGATCCGCTCTGTCATGGGTAGTGTGCATATATACCATGACAAGCAAGACGTGTCGTAAGTTTTGTCGAGAAGCCTTGATCGATTCTTTTCAGGTTCTCAGCATCTCTTTTTGGAACGGGAACCTCACTCGTCCCCATCGACCCAAAGAATGGCAGCATGTCGGCGCCCGAAATCATTATTCACCTTCGTTCAAATTCATCTTTAGTATCAATAGTGACTGTTGCGAATCTTGCAGCAGAGCAAACACCCAAACTCGAAGATCTCGAATGCCTATGCATACTTGTCCTTCTCTCGACTTTATTGCCCAAGTTCTCTCATGCCACTGGGTCATGGTTCAGATATCGTTGGAGATCCCGGTGAGTATCAAGTTAGAGTCGTTCTGTGCTCATCATAGTGATCATCGTGGGCTTGCTTGCCGTTCCGAATGTTGCGATGTGTAATACGGATTGTCACACACGCTCACGATGCTGATGCAGCACAGTCTCCGTTCGTTGCCCACATTCAAGCGGGACCATCGGCAGCCACACCTCGTGGCGTGCACCATCGTCTCCTAGGCGAGGCCAAGGAGACCGGGACCTGCTTCCCGCAGGAGTTTGCCACAAGGCCTTGTTAGCCGATGTGTGGTGGCAGAGGCTCCGCATCGTGTACACTCGTGCTATTGTCTATGATCGCGCTCCGCTCTCGCCAGCCGCGTCGGTCAGAATGTGGCCATCTCTGACTGAGCTATAAAGCAGCGAGAGGGAGGCCCTAGGAGCACCATCCACCTCCCAGCTTTATCATCTACCTTTTCATCTGCTTTTTACATCTACCTCTGGTAGTAAGTCTTCACTCGATCCAGATGAAGTCCCAATGCTGACGACGACGACGCTTAGACATGAACGCCTACAATTACTTTCGTGACGACCAGTCAAATAAGCAGGTCTTCCTCCAGGCCGCTGGTCTGAAGTACGAAGGCGGCGGGCGGCACGTCTTGCTGACCTGGGGAAATGGCACCGATGTCAACAGCGCGGGCGCTCAAAGATACGCTCGCCAGATCATTCAAATTACTCAAGATGCTCAAGGATATCACTACGACGACCAACCTGTTGTAAAATTCCAATCTATAGCCTCTCAAAACAACAATGAGTACTTCAGACTCGGCGAATTTACACGCGCTCAAAGGGACCGGGTCCTCACCATTGCCAAACAAACCAAATTCAGGCAGGATTCCAAGGTGAACGGCTGTCGTGTCTGGATGGGAGACGTCCTCCAAGTTATGTTGAACGAGTCCTTGATCGCGCAAGAAGACTTCGACAAAGTCTTTGTAGGAGTACCTCTCGTGAAACGTATGGCCGAAGGGAACTGAATGTGCTGTTGGTAAGTAGCGTCTTGACCATCTCTATCAGCTTTATAACTAATCTCCTAAATGTAGAATTACTACGACATCTCGTTAAGCCATTTGACAGTTTTCAGTGCTTAGAGGCCTAAACAGCCCACTGAACTCATCGACAGAACCATGCCTAGACCGAGTCTCATCGTTTGGAGTTGATTTTTTGTCTTACATTGCTACGCGATACTTGTATGCTATACCCGGATGAATTGTGAATTGTACTTAAGTCATTGATGGAATTTTTCATCCGTGGCCGGCGTACATAGCTGGACACAGCGTATCTGTCCACATAATATTAACGACAAATTATAACGGGTCATCAGATCATGACACTCGAAGCTGAACAGATATGTTCTTCACTCGTCCACACTTACCCCATCAGCCTGTCCGCGTGTCCGCCTCCAAGAACTGCTACCACGTGATCTTGCCACTGCCATCTCATCGATCTCTTATAACAGTCTGACCAGGTCTGACCTCTGCTCACATTGACAATCGCCTCGAAATCCTCACATAGCAGCGAGCCCTCTCTTCCGTCCCTTCCTACTCCATCTTCATCTTATTCGCGCAGGATCATGTCGTCATCCAATCATACCCACAAAGCTCACAACTTTCGGTTGCCAAAGTCACCTCAGGATTTGAGCAAGATATCTAATGACATCATTTCTCGTCCGATGGAAGGGTCTGTCGTTGCCAGATTGGGGAATGGTGTCTTGATCAAGTATGGCGGATGGGATCTAGCAGAAGAGGTCCTTTGTACTCGATTTGCTCGCGACAAGACGTCTCTTCCTGTGCCACGAATTCTCCATCATCCAGGTTCGCTCTATCGCAGGGAAAATTGGGCCGATACGTCGCCTGGCGCTTATTTCTTCCAGATCCCTAGCGTTTGGTACTTCTGTGTGGAAGAAGTTCGTGGTGTATCTCTTGATACTGTCATTGACACCATGTCAACCAAGCAACATGAAGACGTCGCCGAGCAACTCAAGTCGATTCTGTCCGCCATGCAGGTTCTCAAGCCGAAGACTCTCGGTTCCGTAACTGGAGGCTCGTATCGCAATATGATGTGCGTGCCCCCTCCATTACAACCGAAGCAGGCGTTTTCCACTATGGCCGAATTTCGTGACTACATCCATTTTCTGATGACCCAATGCGGTCGCCCGCAACAGGAGATAGATGAACTACTCGCTTGCATCCCCCTGAACTGTGGCTTTCGCTTCGCACATGGCGACCTGCTTCCAAAGAATATCATGGTCGACGGCTCCAAGATCACTGGCATCATCGACTGGCAAAATGCAGGCTTCTGGCCTGACTTCTGGGAATATTGTCGAATGCACGATTCCAATTTTGAAACGCGGGGCTGGTCCAAGGTTCTTAAGATAGTATTCCCGGGTGAAGGCCGACCGAAAGAGGTCCAGGCTATCCATAGGATGTTGATAAATTGCTCCTGGTTCCTATCCTAGTTACCTTTTACAACACACATGTAAGTGCGATGTCCTATACTCCTCTTCAGTAAGAATACTGACAAGATGTTTTGCTTCCTCGTACTTCGTACTTGCTTTCAAAATTACACCATATATTACGCACCAGTGTCATTGTCCATTGTAATTTCTCTCTGTTTGATCTCAAATTGTACTGTTCAAATCTCGGATATGCATGTGCTTTGTTGCAAGTGCAAACCATTACGCGCTGATAGTGCTAATTTCATGTGTCACCACAAATACCAAGGTTGGCCATCTTTCAACTCCGACACCTCTCGCTGTCGCGACTGAGTCTCGACTGTCGCCAGTCGACTATTTGAGGTTGACTTTTGCTACTTGCTGCGTCGCTGACGCTGAACATCTTGCTGTCATCATACTGCACCTGATTCACAGCAGTATCTGGCCCCTTGTTGCATCAACCATGTTCTGTGTGGCCTCAACATCATCATAACGGAGCCTTTCTCGCCACATTGTCATCGGGACTTGTATCCAAGTTTGTAAGTGGGTGGCCTCAGGTCGCCGCCAAAGGCCATATCAGATTAGCCCCGCTTTTCATGCATTCCATTCTAGAAGGAATCGGACTGGTGAACCGGCGCTATCAATTTAGCCATCAAAAGACGCTCCACCACTATTGTTCGAAGAGGTGTCAAGCTTTAAGGCTACCTTGCCACTGATCACAATCATCAGATCCACGTGTCGTCAGAATATCCGAGGAGGATAAAAGGAAGGAACTCAGAGGATTATCGTCACCCACTCCAGCGATTTGAATAACTTCACAGTGCGTGTACAATCTCATACCTTCCTCCAATTGAATTCAAGGTACGATTGCTCATGATGATTGCTTTATAGCGATATAGCGATGAACCGGTATCTGTGGCATCCCGACAACAACGACCAGAAAACTGTTTATCTCCAGGCAGCCGGCAAACAATACGAAGGCGGCGCGAGGCATGTATTGCTCGCCTGGTCAAACGGCACCTTTCAGTATAACGGCAACCGCACAAGCGTACGCCAGATCATTCAACTTACGCAAGACGGCGCTGGGTACCACTACGACCTGAATCCTGTGGCAGAGCTATTTCCTCCAGCTGCATTGAGAAACAACACGTTCTTACCCCTTGGCACCTTCACGCGCCTACAAAGAGACCGGATCCTACAACTAGCTCAGAACACACCGTTTGTATCAAAATCAACAGTGAATGGATGCCGCGTGTGGACTCGGGATCTACTTGAGGCCATGATGAATGAAGGAATGATCTCGCAGGAGATCTTCGAGCAAGTGGACTACGGAGTTCCTCTCGTGAAGCGTATGGCAGAATAAGGCGCCGAATCGTAAGTGTCTTTTCCCCTCTTGACTTGTCTTAGGATTAACCGACTAACGCCTCCGCCCATAACAAGCTCAGGTACTATGTCGAGCCTCAAGTTCAACTGCAATTCTATTCATGGTAAAGTATTTTCATGGCCTTTCTTCTTCGAATATCAGCCCACTTCGACGAAAACTATTTGTCTATACGACTAGTACATGGAGGTGCTCACACAGATCACGCTTGCCTGCACTCTTCAAATAACTATATTTTGTTGTTACATCGTACATTGTCTGGCATCACATCGTACCTGACAGACCCTTCATGAGTACATCACCTGAATTAAATCAGCACGATAACCTTCTCAGCAACTACTGAGCAGACAGGCCAACAATCCACACAATGGCTTCCCTGAACTCCCTTTCGAACCGCTTCGCGGTAGTGATCTGTGAGCATAGAGCATTAACACCGTGTGGCACGCCAGGGTATCTATATGCGCCCATCAGTCAACAATCTCGAAGACATGGAGGAGTGTGGCTTACACGTGCAACTTCGTCTTGACACCCTGTTCCCTAAGTAGTTTCTCAAAGAGAAAGCTTTCATCACGCAACGGATCAAGACCGCATATTTGAAGGCATGCTGGCGGCAACCCCGCGTGCGAGGGGGCAAGAAGAGGCGAGAAGTAGGGACTTGCAGGCGGAGCCTTAAGAAGTTCTGCGTCATAAAAGATCAACGAATGGGGGGGAAAGCCGTATAAGGCCAGACAATGCATACCGTAGCACCAGAACATAGTCTTTTTTGAGACGATCGGTACGCCCTTCAACGCGTCCATTGATAGAAGCTCGTTTTTGTATCTGTGATCGAGTAATCGATTGCACGTTCGTTAAAGCACGAAAGAAAAAAGACCGACTTGTCTGGATACACATCGGGGTGACACAAGGCAGGGTAGTGAAGGATTTGACCAGTGAGGTTTCGACCTTTGAAAAACGGATCATCGCGAGCGCGAAGTGCCACAGCGGCGGACAGGTTTCCACCTGCTGACGCCCCTGCAACTATGAACCCTTTCGAGAGGGAAGCAGACAATTCGCGCTCGTGCTCTGCTGCCTGTATAAGATGATGTATGAAGATATGGTCTTTGAATGAAGATGATAAATGTTGCGAACCCATTTGAGGGCAGCATAACAATCGTCGAAGCCCGTTGGGAAAGGATTTTCTGGAGCGAGTCTGGTACAAATACCGTGAGATCATGCAGCTGCGTAGCACTTTCTGCCTACCTGTAGTCAACATTTATAACGGAGATTCGCAGATCAACACAGATATGCCTTAAGTTAGCGTCATCCATGTCAATGTTTCCCAGCGACCATCCTAAGTATAACACACCAAGGGACGATACCATCTCAGTAGCTTGCCATCGAAACCTAAGAACCAAAACCTAAGATAGGTGTACGTACCTCCTGCATGGTACCAGACTAATAACGGAAACGTCTCTCCTGCGACCTGCAACGTCGGCACAACGGACCTCACCACGATCTCACCTCCCTGGACGGCCACCCTGTGATCTTTAGCATCATACTTATCCACTATAGCGGCAGACATGAGCATATGCTATCAGGGGTCGACACTGGTACATACCTGAAGGGAAAGTAGACCCGGGATACCATGCATTCAACAACGCTCCCGAAACGCGCATGGCATGAATGTCATTCTCCGCATCTTCTTCGGCATCGGGCGGGGGCCCTAGGCTGTCTGCAATCTCTGCGAACTCGGGATCGATAGTGGAGAGGTGAGCATATTGTGACATCACAAGTGAAGGCGGATACAGTTTCGAAGACTCGCTTTATTCAAATATATATATCGAGTGATATCGTCTCTATAAGCGAAGACCGATATATTGAGAATAGATTCTCAAGCTATACGCTCTCTAATCAGCGAAGAACGATGTCGCGCCTAGGAGATAGGCAGGCTACAGCGGTGGTGTGTCGTGCGTCTTCGACGCCGAACGCGAAATAGAGGACAATTCGGACTTACGCCGGTCCGAAGTTGAATGCTGAAGCGCTGAATGAGCAGGGATGTTCAACAACTCTTCGAGACGAGTACATCTTTTGTCGGAGTTAGGCCTTTCATGAGAGTGTCCAAAGATTCTTTGAAAATAGGCTTTCACAAAACAATACAATTTTGTCCATGTCTTTCAGAGAGCTGATCTATGCATCATTCATTATGATGAGCCAGTAAGCACAAACACCTGCAGAAATACAGCAGAGGACACGAAAATTCACCTGATCGCCGATAGGCGGGAGTCTTGAGAAGATTGGTTCTTTGTGGGAACCGGAGATTGTAAGCCTCAATTGAGTCGCCCATGACGAATCAACGACTGTCTTCTGACTTGTTTGTATTACTTATCGTGCTTGGGCTGTGGGCGCTTGAGCGTTTGAATTCAAGACTGAGAAGTGAAGACTCGCTAGGACGACAGAACTTATAAAGAACACGGGCGGCCTTTTCAATGAACATACATGCTTGGAATCCCACGCTATTCGCACATCCTTGATGTATGGACACATCCCAGAGGGTTCCAACGCGTGGCCTCACGGACATCGGTGAGTATTTGATTGAATGTTCAGTGGAGTCGCGGAAAAGGTGTTGAATGCGTGTCTATGAGAAGTTAAATGCTCCTTTCGTGGTACTGTCAATGGTGGTCACGATTAAACAAAAAAGACGCACTTTTACAAGACAAGACCCTAGCGCTCATCTAAAAGAGTCTTACTAAATCGAACGGCCAACAATACAGGTCAGAGTGGATAGAGAATCAAAGGATGTGACTTGTAGATCTCAAAGGTTCCAATACAAAACTCATCCAGCTGGGGCCATTCACTGCAGGATGTGAAGAAGGTTTGTATTGAAACCTATTGACACCCGCTTAGATCTGCACGTATGTTGCCTCTTGCATTGGTAAGAGTCCAGGCAGAGGCCAGTGACGTTGACCTGTGATAATTGGTGGATAGGCTCGGACACAGCGGCCAATACAAATTTCGCTCCTCCGGCATAGACTCCATTGGTATAGATTGGTATACAGCCTACGCGGCATTCCCGGCCGTAACGACTCCGGCAAGACGTCCAACGAATCGTAGGCACGAGGCAAGCGGTGCGGCAGACGACTGGCAGACGGTCCAGCCGCAGAACCTTGCAGAATATGGAACTGCTCTCTCATATCTTATCCCTCCCCACATTATCTAAAGAATATAAATGGGCTCTCGACAACGGCTGTCGCCATCGCTGACTGATGTGTCAGTGACCAGCCAGTCGCTGACGTCACAGAGGTGGCTGTTTGTCCACTTGACCTGATTTAGAGCTCTAATAGCTATTCCTAGCTATTACCAATAGCTTTAAAGTGAGGGCGGTCGATATTTTCAGCTATCGACTCCCATCGACTTTCTCAACCATGGCACAGAATGCCCATTTGTCCAACATCGATCCTGAGTTTGCTGCTCTGCTCGAGAAGGCGCCTCGCCCACCTCTCATGACTGACATCACTGCCGCACGGGAGGTCATCTCCTCGTTCGCTCTACCTAGTCTTGTCGCAAGGCTTGGTCCACTCCTCCCAAAAGGCATGTCTTATTATTGGTGATGAGACACCATGATCTCCACTTACAAGTTCCTGCAGCCTCCGAATATCGCGTGGAAGATCGCAAAGTTCCAGTCGATGGTGGTGAGATCACTGTACGCACCGTGGTTCCTACCCCGGCAGGCGCGAAGGACAAGAAATTCCCGCTCTTGGTCTGGTACCATGGGGGAGGTACAGACCTGGATCTCAATACCTATCTATCGCCCTGACCTTTATTTGGCTCTAAAGGATGGGCCATCGGCAATATAGATCTAGATGACTATGTACTTCGTATCCTCTCTGTGGAACTGCAAATCACGACTGTGAACGTCGAATATAGGTATGTGCTAAACCCGCACTTACTCAAAATTGGAGACTTCGACCCACATATATTCTCAGGCTTGCTCCAGAGCATCTGTTCCCTACAGGAATCAACGATTCCTACGCTGCTGCCAAATGGGTATGTTAGGATCTCCTTTATCTCACAATATCACAAGACTGATGTCGTCATGTTCCTTTCTGCAGGCTGCTACGCAAATTGATTATCTTTCGGCGGATCTTTCGAAGGGTTTCCTCGTCGGAGGCGAATCTGCCGGCGGGAATCTGTCTGCTGTTGTTGCTCTCAAGGCACGGGATGATCCGTTTTTTGTTGGTCGTCAGATTACAGGCCAGGTCTTGCTCTATCCCGTTCTCTCGCACCCTGATTCTATCCCGGATAAGTAAGTCGTCGTCCATCCATTCATATATGCCTCGCATATATCCAACATCGATAATTCCAACAGGTACAAAAGCGATCTATTGTCAATGGAACAGAACAAAGATGCCCCAGTGCTCGGCGCACAGGAAATGGCTTTCTTCAGAGGTTGGCACCTTCTTCGTGCTGACATCTGTAACTAGCGCGCCCTAATTTATCTGTAATATAGATCAATTAAAGCCTGTAATAAACGACCCCGACTTCACTCCCATTAACGCGACATCGCACGCCAATCTACCTCCAGCCAGCATACAGGTGTGCGGTTTGGATCCCCTGCGTGACGAGGGCCTTCTCTACGAGAAAATCCTCAAGGAGAACGGCGTCAAGACACAACTGCGAGTGTGAGTGCATTTAGCGAGGAAGGTTACACTGAGTCTGAAAGACTTCTATAGGTATCCTGGCGTACCGCATGCGTTCCACGTGTTTTTCCCTAGTTTGAAAACCTCCGCGCAGTTCGATCAGGACACGAAGGAGGCCATCAAATGGCTGCTGAGCTTGTCCGTGTGAATAGGCCGCCGCTACCGAGAAGTATGATGCTTCGAAGAAGAACTTGTACGATAGCACGAATGAAGAGAGCGAAGAAGAACTTGTACGATAGCACGAATGAAGAGAGTAGCATTTCGGGTAACAATCGATGTTTGGTGGACAGAATTCAATAGGGCACGACCCTCGCACGCAGCATGATTGGTGGAGCATGCCAATGTTCGAATCTAAAACTGAGATAGGATCGAGGCATCCTTGCAGTATCCTCTTCTAGAAAGGTAAATCCCACCTGGACAGATTCGGACAAACTAAACAATCCATCAAAATCTATCTCTGCTACCTTTCTACCACCTGTCGCCATTGTGATGATGATGATGATGATGATTGTCGCTTGCTACTTGGAGCGTCGAGGTTGCTGGTTCACGCCGGTTTTACCTCAGCGGATTAAATCCAAACTTATACACCACGAAAGAGACAATGAAGCGCGTACGGCGTATGTGTCCAGATGTGACCCCTCGCTCGCTGAAATGTTTTGGTCGAAGTCACCGCAGCGGTGCGTCACCCGCGTCGGCCCGCCGCTGCCGATGTTCCGCCGGTAGCAAGCAAGTGCACAATGTCGGCGCTGCGATCTTTTTTTGACTAGCACATCACACAACTCCTCCGAAACAAGTCTGATGTTCAATTGCCTCCAGATGTCACTACACCAACGAAAAGGATGTGAAGCGCAGAGCATTGCTGCTACGGTGAAGGTAGCCATCCTATCGGCTGCTTTGTTCTTTCATCGATAAACAAAACAACGACAATCCATGACATTCAGCTTCTGGTTGCCGATGTTCCCGAAAGACGTCGACGCGTACAATAGCTTTGTTAAAATCTGGGTCATGTCATCTATTGCTGTTAAGTAATAACCTTTGGATTGCGGTATAACGAACCGGCTGGCCATCGCATCTTCTGGAAGGCTTTGCTGACCGACCTGGGCAGACTCTGACAGACTGTACTACCGGACTGACTCATGTTTGCCACATAGCTTCGCCTATTGTGGAGCTCGGGAGGCTGGAGATTCCTCAATTCCTATTTTAGGATGTTGTGCTCCTCGCCACCCTGTTTGCATTGGCCATCGCAGGCTGGGTGGCTGTTCCGCCCACGCATGGACGCGCCACACATGCGATTGGAACCATTGTTCTGCGGAGGTTATGTGTGCCACGTCTGACCTTGAATTCTGTGAGTATTTAATTGCCTCGGGTTCTTCAAAGACGCCCGTCTTCCTCTCTCCTCAATCCCTACCTGCACAATACCTTCCGCCCTCTCTCAGTACTCATCTGCCATGATGGACGCCTCTACTCTCAGTGGCCTCACCCGCGTCCAGCTCCAAAAGGTCGCAAAGGCATGTCTTTTTTCGCCATCGTGACAAGCCTGGCTACTGACCTCTATTCAGCTGCATGGCATCAAAGCCAACAGAAAGACGGGGCTGATCATCGAGGACCTCCTCGACAAGTACCCTTCAGGCGTCCCGTAAGTTCGTCTACAATCAGTATTTGACTATACACCTAACACGAATACAATACGAATATAGAAAGACGTCTCGCAAATCCAAGAGAACTGCGCCTCTCTCTGCTCCTATCCACCCGCCCAGCCCGTCTGGATCCCACACTGTGCATCTCACTGGCCCCCACCCTCTTCCCATCGAGGTGCCACATGCCTCCACATCCTCCGTCATGATCCCGCCTCCTCCCTCTGCTGCGCCATCACCTCCTACTATCCCGCGCACACCTGTCCAACCTGTCCGTCTCTCAAGCCCCCCTCGGACAAGCCCCCAGACAAGAACGAACAGGAAGCAGGCCCATCGATCAACGGTGGCGCAGGGGAGTCCAATTCGCGCGCCACACTATGGTATGCCCTTCAGTCATTATTCTGTGTCAAATCTGCTCATTCCTTGATCAGCATCGGTGTCAGCGGCTTCGACGTCACGCAGACTCTCCAACGCTGGAGAACGCTCAGTGGGCTTCGTGTCTCCCCAACCATCTCCAGAGTTCCCTCACGTGATGCGTGGCTCTTCGCGCGCACATACCCCTGTGCCACTCAACTTCGAGCAGTCGCTCAAAGGCAAGGGTGAGGATGAAAACCCGCATGCATCTGGGGAGAATGCAGGTATGTTCTTTGTGGAATTGATCCTTTTCGTCGCGTGGCTTATAGTGGAGTTCCAGGTCTGGCGCCCTCGACGCCTCGCATGGCGGAAAGCCCTTTCTTGGGCTCTGCGCAGCGCAGAAAACGCGATCTTTACCGTTCGCCCACCCCAGCGCCGACTAGCTTCCGCAAGTCCCTCGATAACAGGGCTGAAGACGCGGACAAGGAGCGCGACAGCGACCAGGGTATGTGCAATCACAAAACGATCGCTTGCATTTATTCCTTCTCCTGACAAACAATTCCATCACAGGCTCTCAGTCGCCGCGAGGCTATACGCCCAACTCGCCGCCATACCGTCCTGCCTCGTCAGGCCATCAGTCATCGCGAGGATGCACCCCCAACTCGCCCCCATATTGTCCCGTCTCGCCAAATCTCCCCCCGAGAGTGTATTCGCCCTCCTCCGTCGACTCTTTCTTACGTAGCTTGAATCTTCCTCACTCCCCACTCCCACTCCCTCCCTCTGCCCCTTCTGCCCACCTCCCTCTTGCACCGCCTCAACCTCTTCTTCCTGTTAGTGGCACGAAGACCAGTGTAGTCAGTGCATCTCAAAAGTTCGTCGATGTCGCTACTCTGCGACACTTGACGGGCATGATGCAGGAGATGGCAGACTCGAACCAGGCTGCCGTCGACCACCTTCCACGCGTCATGCAGGAGGCAGCGTGTTTGATGGTTGAGGTAGAGCGCTATCGTGAACTGCTGCTCATTGCACGGCGACAGAGACTCGACCTCCAGGAGTGGTTGACGAAGTTCATCAACGACTGCGGCGAGGGTGAGGTGGATCAGAAGGTAACGGAGGATCGTCGGCGAGAGGTTCACAGGAAGGATGCAGGTGCCACATGCGAAATTCCCCGTCCTTCCGACCAGGCACCTTCAGCGAACCAACGTGGCACTGAAGAGAGGGTTGCTGGAGAAGGTGCAGTGCATGCTGCGCAGTCGGACTCGAATGGAGCGGGCCGACCGTCTTCAAATGTCTTCGGATTCCGTGGCACCGAGGCTGCCCTCTTGCCGAAGTCTCCCAATGGATCGAACAGGGATACAAGAGAAGTGTTTGGAGGGGCACGTGCAGCGCACCCTTTTCCCGTTGATCGAGCGACTGTCATATTTGGCGACGACGACGACGAGGAGGCTGACCAAGACTTCACGGCGCCGAGCCAGCGTGCTCCTGTCGTTGGCGAGGATGGCGAAGTGCCGGATCGGGAGGACTGGGATCCCTCGAGGCGCGCGCTCTTCTTTGGAGAGTATGATGATGAGCCTGATCGGTATGAAGACAGGTAAATACATCTCTGTTCGGTTTTTGTGCACCTGCCTGATCGTGTGTTCTGCACTCGCAGGCATAGCTCTGTAGACCCGGAAGAGATCCCCGAGGTGTCGACCTTGCCGACACAAACCCCTGCCTTGGCATCACCGCCGCACTCTGTGCGTGCGCCATCACACAGTCCCCTCAATATCACATTTGGATATTACCCGGGATCGACCGATAACTTCCCCCTCTCGCCCCCCCTCCGCCGGGTGAGCAGTTCAGAGCGGGAGTATACCCCGCCGAACTTTCCCTTGATACACTTCGGCTCGAGTTTCAGTGGGTCATTGCGGGACGTCCCACAATTATCTCCAGCAGGGGTCAAGCGCAAGCGCCTCGCCGCGCCCTCACCGCCTTCGGAGGCAGGGGCCACCATCGCCGAAGAGGAGGGGGATGAGGACGGCTTCTCGGAACACCGCACGTCAAGCCCTGTCGTTGACTTCAACTTCAACGGGAAGCGGCGAAAGCTCGACTCAACTCGATCAGGGGACGTGGGTTCGCACCGTGGCACGGCTAGTCCGGAGGTAAAAGTCAAGGTGGAACATAGCGATGATGAGCTCGATCGTTCGAACGTGGCAGAGATGCTCAGCTTTGATCACGATCATCGTATCGATGGGTATAGCTCAGACTCTAGCAGAAGCGACACCGATCATGACGTGAGGCGACAGGATTGGCCGCTACCACCAGAAGCGATGTTCTTCTCAAAACTACCTCGATAGTTCCCACTGTGATGCATTTCTTCCTTTCTTATTCCTTCTCTAATGTCGTGAATCTTTTTCTCTTTCCGATGACTGGAAGCGCGTTTCTGTGCTCATAGACTTCCACATCCCTATATATTGCTCATTTATACAGCTACCCCTGTTTGTATTACCAGACATGTATTGCTCTAGTTTTCTGTCGTCTCTCGCCTCTCTTGTCGTGGATCATTATTCATTTTAGCATATTGGCCCGAAATTAATTGCAGTGCTCGATTTAAAATAAATAAAATCCTTGGCCTCATTCACACGGAACATCGACAGCTGAGGCAGAATAAAAGTTCGGTGATGCGAACACACAGAGACATGAATCGGACGGACCGAGGGAGACCCTTCGCCGTGAGTGCTCAGCGCTCAGCATGCGCTTGTGCATTTAGTGTCAAGGGAATCATCTGCGGGAGGGCTTAGGCGAATAATAGCGCGCGTACGAGAGTTTGCACGTGAGTCTTGATCGATCTGTGAGTGGTGATTTGACTCAGCTACTACGCTTGTACAGATATCGTGGATGACCGCATGCGTTCCATTCGATGTGGCTTCTACGATTTTGAATGAAGGCAGGAGGGCATCAGATGGTCCGATGAGATACAGGAGGCTATATGAAAGATGAACGGGTCATGAAGCAGCGATAGTTCTCTCGTTGAGAGTCGATGGAAGGCATATACGGCAGACGATCTTCGGTAGATATGTATCAGCATAGTCCGAAACGAATATTATCTCGACAAACTGAGGGCTCCCTTGGCTCCCCCACCAAGCTCTTTCCACCACTGCGACTTATCTCCACCTCCACCTCCGCCGCCTCCCTTTGATCGTTTCGTGATGATCGTCGATAGGCCCGACGAGACACCCTTGCGTCCACCGTTGCCTACCGAGTGCACCACCTTCCTTTTTGCTGCGGACTTGACCTGCCTGTTTTGTGTAGTGTTATTGGCACCCTCGCCGTCTGTCCCTCCTTCTGGTCTATTCATGCTGGCGTGTGCGCGACTTTTACCCTTCACCCCGTCGGATCTGCTATTATTCACGCGTATAGGCATTGTCGAATACGCCCGTTCCCACTGTTTTCTGTGCAGCCTGAACACGGCCATTGTCGCGCGTGCATCGGTGACCTACTCAAACTTAATACGACTGCGACGTCCACCGAGAGATTTCGAAAAATGACATACCGAGCTATGCTCCCCGCCTTGAATCTGCACGGAAAACATGTCCCGCACGAGGTTGCGCAAGGCCGGATGCGTGCCACGTGACTGCCCGTTTTTGTGCGCGAGATGTTGCGTATCGCGTTGCTCGGCTCGAGGGTGAGAAAGGAACAGGACCTACAGAGTAACAAGAGGTCTAGCGCTGAGGTGCGTGTAGGCAGATAAGCGCACACCTTCAAATCGTTATGTACGGCATGTCCGACAAGGATACGACCCTTGAGCAAGTCAGCAACGCGTGCCTGGATTTCATCGAAAGGTTTGGCTGTAATATAAGAGACCAATTAGTGTTGTATACATAGACCGGGAAGGAAACAAGTGAATATAAGGACAAGGCCTTGTAAATGAGTAAAACGATCACATGACGACATACCGTTAATCATGTCCCTCTCTCTCACCCCGCTGAACGCCGTCCGCCAATCTGTCACGCGCTCCCGCTGCCTGACGAACTCGTCGAGTACAACGGCACCGTTATAATCGACTATTGAAACACGGGCTAAAGAAGACTCTTTTCCACCTGGGCCGATGCCCACCATCTCACAATCCAATGCCAGATACTTGCTGCGTGAGAGATCGACAGGTGATGCGGGCAGCAGACCGTAAATGAGTTTTCGCATGTCTCCAAGGCATTCTCCATTCAAGGTCGTCGCATCTGCGAGAAGAGCGGGATCGATGGCATGTGGTTTTCGCGTAGTAGATGCGGGCGGATTGTAGATGCTAGACTTAGAGGTAGAAGCTGTTGGAGCTGAAGTGGATACGGAATCTTGAGATATTTTACGGCGTTTTCGTGGGTGAGAATGCGCGTTTGTTGATGGACTTGTTGACTGGAATCTCTATTCGCGAAAATGCGTCGCAATATCGTGCCTGGAAATTCATTAACATACCTTCTGTAAGGCAAGCCAGTTATTCGACGGGCCATCTTTGAGTACCATCTCGCTCACTACGACCAGTCCCGCTATCAGTTCTGGTCTACATAGCTATAACGATGAGCATACCAGCTTGTTCGCCTAGAGATGTTGCGGTAGAGGTCAAGCTTCTTTGTACTGCGCAAATGTCACGGTGCGATGCAGATTGGGTTCCCAATGTCACGCTTTTGTCATGATAAATGTGACGGAACCGTGACCTTCATCCCATCGTGGAGAACAGTGCTCCTGCGCGCAGTGTCGGACGTTGCATTGGACAATCACCCAGTGGTCCTTGTTTTCTCGTAGATAAGAGACGAATGTACAGAGAAGCATGAACGCAAGGGCCTCGCGTCAGTTTTTGCTCAAAGCAGATATGATCCTGCGGATATCATGCCTTCCCCATCCAATTCGAGTAATATAAACAAGCAAGTAGATATGAAATCTAGAGATCAAGAGCTCCGCGCTACCTGCAGTCCCATCCTATCGTTGTTGACCTATTGGAAGTAAAAATGTAACAGACAATTCACCCACTCTTTGCACACTATGCCTCATTGAAAGTCATGGAAGAAAGATGGTTTGAATGCCTACACAACCACACCTTCCTATTTTCATACCACTGTGCAATCGTCAGGAACTGCTCATCATGATCATCTTGCATCGCTCATTCGCTCTCTGAGATGAGCGCAACAATCATCCTGAGAGTGTGAAAGATGTCTCCGATGAATTATGTGTCACTCGAGAAGTATGAAGCAGACGCTGCTCACCGGTAGAGGTAGTAAAAGAAGGAAAGAAGGTAGAATCCAAGCTTGATGAAGCTTTCTTTCTTATGACCTGATAGTGTCCGAAAGATTTCCGTCGCGTCATACATGTGGTTCTTGTTTCGAATCCTATCATAGAAATTAGAAAGCGGGAGTACATTAGAAGAGTTGAGAATTCGAATAAGCGCTGGTATTGGCGCGTTGGGAACGCACTTGTTGGCGTTGAACGCGAGGAGAGGTGCGTTGAGAAGGAAGGCCATCCATTGTCCCGAGAGCAGGAATAATAGCGTGAGGAATGCGTGTGCGGAGTTTTCAGGGAGTACGAACTACATTCATGAGTAAACATCTGAACACGTGCAAACAAAGTCGTACGAGAGCCTGAAGGACACTTACTTGGTTGAGTTTGTTACAAAGATCTATAGGATTGATATAGTCGCATTCCAGATCAGAGAACATGATGATCTGGGCCACGCACAGGCAGTTAGTAGGTTGGTAGATCGTGTGCACGCAAGATACAGGGCACGTACGAAGAAAACCATCGTGAACAACAACCCCGCAGCCATCAGCACCGCAAAGAGAAAGAGCCATCCTATTTTCAGCACATATGTCGCAGCGAGGAGCCAGCGAGTGACACAGTTTTCAACGGGATGTTGGCATCAGTCTCTCCTATACTCATTGGAAGCAGGAGGCCGCACCTGCACCACCCATGTTGTATGAATTACAAGAGAATGAGATGATTAGAATAAGGGTGTTGAACAGTAGGAACTGCGCAATGTGGTGGAAGGAGGATACAGCCGCCTTGTAGACAGGAGGTACGAGGATGAGAGGCCCTGCAAAGGCTGACGTCCACTTGTCACCCGGTCACGAGGTGACAGGAATGTGATTATTCGTGACCTATTTACGGCATCTCCCTGCAGTCTTCAATGCTGCATCACTACTGCATCTCGGCTCAACACAATACCATTATGATCTACCAGCATCTACCCCTATCCTCCAATCTTGAGCACTAGTGGTGCCCTATGCTGAGACAGGTCTATGCTTAATTATCGGGTTGCCCATCTCTAGTCACACAATCAAGACCTCCAGTCGAAACACATAGAGTGAAGAATATGCCATAAGACATACTTCCGTTTCAGCGGACATTGTGATATCACACGGCTGCTAACAGATATGATGAGAGATAACATTGGACGCATAGTCCCACTTATATTTCTTCCCAAGAAGCAACTAATCCACGAGCTCCTGCTGCTGCGGCATCATCCACGACTTCAACATGCCTGAAGATATGGCCACCCTGCTTCAGCGCGTGCAGGACCAAGTTACGATAGGACTCGATGCTGACTAGTGAGCCGCCAAAACACAATACGCTTTCGGATGCAGGCACTGTTCGACTACCCTGCTCCAATATCATCAGTACAGCGAAGTCTGGATAGCAGTAGAGGTACAGAATGTACCTGATTCTCGACACCATCATTCAACACCACGGCGATTTGTGATGCCAATTTACTCGCACACTCCTCCAATACTCGCAACGCGATCGGATCGTCATCTTCAAAGGCCGCAGCGAATACTAGCGGAGAGAGAGCCGAGAGCCGCTTCTCCCGAGAACAAGCAGCGTAGTCGTGCAAGTCCACTTTCTTCGATGGAATGTCGCCTTCCTCCGCCGCGACCACGGGATCGGGCATGTGAATAGCCTCCAAAACGTCCAAGATGTTATTGATCCCAAACCGCTCGAATATGCGATCCTGGAGCGTCTGCTTTCCTGGCACTGCTGCAGGTAGAACATATCCGGCGGACGCAGCATCACGGAGCTTCAAAAGCGTGCATATCGCTGTACGTCCCACGTCGAATCCGCCACCTTCATCACCCAAAATCCATCCCCACCCGCCAACGCGCGCCAACTCACTTAACGGACCTTCCTGCAGCTCAGTATCTCTTCCCTTCTTAGTTCGCCCCCGCTTGAAGCTGACAATGATGCTGCCTGTCCCGCCAATGCACGCGACAGCACTATGCACGTCTTTGAGCAATGTGAGGGGTGCACCGAGTAGAAAAACATCGTTGGTGATCGTCAGGGCGGGCCCGGCCGGCACACCGAGGAGCGTCGAGACTTCAGGCGTCAAGCGTGTGATCGCAGAGGGCGAATCGACGCCGGATATTCCTAACCAGGCTGCGGAAAAAGTGTAGAGCGATGGATTGGCTATGCTTAACGGAAGAGAGGTTGGCAGGGGGATTGCGGACGAAGGCAAGGAAAGCGCGATTCTCAAGGCCGCGACCACAGCCGCGGATATTTCGTGCAGGAAGGCTTCGATACCAATGTAAGTGAAATTAGAGGGACCGGCGAGTGCGTGGGAGAGGATCGCGCCAGATTGAGAGGCTATAACAGCTGCAGTTTTGGTCCCACCGCAATCGATGCAAAGATAGAAGCGCGCTGGGGAGGAAGTAGACATTGTGGTGGTAGGTGATAAGAGGGATCATCGGATAAACCGGGGTAGATCAAAGTTAATGATTGACTTGTCTAACTCCATATCGAAAGTGATCCATACCTGATGGTAAGCTTATCAACCGTATCTCACGCTTTCATAGAATGATTCAGCGTGGAGAGATATCAGAGTGGAGGCTAAAATCAACCAGTTATGCGCTGTATTACTTTGCTGCGGCTGGAGTTGGGGAGCGAAGGAAGGCGTTATTATCAATGGCGTCGGGTGCTATGATCAATCGAAGGGGAACTGATAACTTTGTCCTAAATCGCCTTCTGCGCGAGTGTAATATCGACGATAGCTCGAAAAATCATCTTGTAAATCGAGAAGCTTATAGGTGGTCCAGCCGTTAATGTGTAGTGTATAGCGCAATCAATATGATGTTCAGAGGTAAAGACTGACCTGCATCAGTTATCGGAGTGGGCTTGGAGTGAGCGTCAACATGATGGATATGAGCCAGCCGTTGTATGCTCAGCACCAATGGGCATATTAACGCTTCCATAAGGGCCAGACAGCTGTGAGAATTTGTTGAATATTGATGGCAAGAAACTGAGATTCCCAAAGACGTCCGTGCGTGGAGACCGTTGATTCGTGACGTCACCCATTATTCTGTTCTCCTGCGGCCGGCCCTAAACAATCTCACCGAAATTCATGGCCACACCTTCATCTAGACTTCAGCCAAAAAACACTTGATGCAAGCTTGAGAAAATTCGACTCTTGTCAGCCTCATTGCAATACATGGAAAGGATGTTACAGGCCAGAGAGCATCGATAATGGGATATTTGTAGTGCAAGGTCTTTGAAGCATGATTACGGACCGAGATTGTGAGGAACGCTCACTAATCCCCTTGTGGTTTCTCGAACTCAAGCCAACTAGTACAAATACCTGAACCCTTTCTTCCTCTCCATTGCCACCTCTATAGAGACCCCCTCCAACCTTGCTGCATCTTCCACCCGTTCGCGGTCTGCATCACTGAGGCGTCAAGCTCTGCCGCTGCCAGTCTCGCATTCTCGCGAACGAGCATCTAGTGTACAACTGCACCGAATATAGATCAGCATGAATGCATTTGCCTGCAGAGAGGTCAATAGCATATAGGACGTACTCAACGCAAGCAAAGAATTGAAAAGGAGTGCTGCGAGGCTTATGAACATTGATGGGTGGTACTCCGGGCCCCATTTGTCTTTCTAGATGAATGTCCCAACCCTGATGATCTACAAGGCGTTAAAATCATAGTCCTTGTCGTAAGATGGAACGTACAAATTTCCGATGTTTCCAATGCCGTTCACAATGCCGGTGGCCGCAGGTCGCTTTGCTGGCGGTCGTGGAGCTGTGTTTGCGACTCATACCGCCGTCAGCGCAAAGCCTAGCGTACACATGAGCAATGATTATGAGAAAAGGATAAGAGAAACGAGTCATACTAGACTCCCCCGCCGCCATGAGAAAAAGTGCAACATAACGACCTCCAATGGATATTGTATTGAGGCCGATAATGTATCCTAGTATGGCACACCACCACGAGCCCGCGATGTGGAAGAAGCGTTCGCCAGTTCTGTCTGAGATTTGCTTAGCTGCGAGGTGCCTTATCTTCTCCACAACAATCAAAGTGACATACCAGCATGCCATGCATTCAGACAACACACAATAGTAGCAAAAATCCACGGAGGACTGGGAGATGCCATGAGTATATGTTTACGTGTCCCACGAAGTGCATTACCCACGCTGCGAGGAGCAAGCTGATTGTGACATTAAACCCGAATGTTGACGTTAATCTGGTATGTATGACGACGTTGAGGATCAAAACTATATTTGTATAGATTGCTCACGTAGGAAAGAAATTGGTGAAACTCAGACCAAGAAGCTGTGAGCAGTTCATGACCGATATGATACATACTTTGGGATCTTTGATGGCCGACACGAAACCACCCCAGGCACTAAAAAAGCAGCCAATTCAGTCCGTAAAGCAGAAGGACATAATGTATTGAACGAACGAATCATGTGTGGTATCTTCGTCTGCCTCGCCTGCATCTTGGGAAAGCCGCACTTGTGCGAGGCGTCGCTCAGCGGGTGAGAGCCGGCGACCATTGTTCGGCTATCATGATAAGGTGAACATACAATATGACGTTAGAGGCAGAGAACATACGTAGTCTGAGAGCAAATAACTGTATGTACTATTAGTAAATGTCGAATAGATCATTCAAGTGAGCTGCTTACATTGTCCAGAATCCTAGAAGCATCGTAACTGCTCCCTGCACTTGACTTGGCTATTCCTTACAAACAATCGCAGTTCGAATATGATGTGTCGCACCTCGATGTAAAATAACCCGCAAAACACGGTTGAAGACCACGCGGATAATCAGAGCGCATACACTTGAATGTAGTAGGACAGACCATCTCCAGGCTCTGATTCCAAGGCGACCGTCCATACCAGAAATACCAGAAAGAATACCTGCAGCTATGAGCTAAACGCATCTCAGCATAAATAGCTCAATATTTTGTCAGCATACAGCTCACGCTTCCAAAAGCATTCGATATAAGAAGGCCACCGTATAAGATTGCCGAGCGGAAAGCTAGTTCCTGGATTGATGATATTGGTCATATTATCGTTGGATTGAGTGAGACATCCTCACATATCTTGTGTACCATCTCGATAGGAGATATATTGCTCCCGGATAGAAAGCAGCCTTTCATCGTATGATTTCTATGCACGCCAGGCAAACAGCCGTGGATTAGCTCACCTCAGGCAATCCTATGAACAAACGGCATGCAACAATGCCGGCAAAGCTATGGGTTACCTATAGATCCTGTGAGGCTCCACTACCGCTGGATACAGCTTGGATAACGCACGCCTATCAGAGTACTTGTCAAGCCCCATACGATGACGCACGTTCCAATGTATAGGGATGGCCTAAAAAGTGGTGTGAGCAGCGCCGAGTGGTTGATCAGGAAAGTGCTGACCTCGTGATACGATTCAGGATCTGGGAGGCGTCTCGTCGAGTGATGCTCTCGGATCCTGAAAAGAACTCACCATGTTGGATGGAAGTTACGCGGGACAATAGGTCGCATATAACGCCGCGAGAAAAACGCTGTACTTGATATCTGTGTCGCAGAGTTAAACCAAAATCGACATACAATGTCAGCGACATAAAGAACCTGTAAGACCCAAGTCTTGCTCTAAACCTTTCAGTCGAGCTGCAATGCAGTACGCTAAACAATCAAATCGACAGTGGATATCTCCATTAAGCAAGATGATGGGTGCAAAATGCACATCGATATAATTCAGGACGTAAATGGCGATGATGATGGGCGACAGCCGTAAATTCAGCTTGCGAACCAGCTTTTTTTCCGCGGACCTCCTCAGAGGTCCGAGCAAGCTGCTATCACCATCGTCCTCGGGCAGTGGGCTTGATACCTTCCGCTCAATGGTTTCGACGGAAGGATTAGCTCGTTTCTTGTCGATACATTCGATATCATCATTGGGTGATATTGAGGATCAGAGGCGGAGGCAGAGATTCCAAGGACGGGTGACATGCAGTTGATATAGTGCTGACCAAAGACCAATAGTGTGATGTAACGGTTTGGGACTGGAGCTCGTGACTCCAAAAGTAGAGTCAATGGGCCAATCCCGAGAGTATATGGAAGAACAAGCATCGGCGCCCTGGCAGTGCTAGCCTTGTAACGGTGGTGGAGTGGCCCATCTACCTACACGTGTTTTCTCACCTCTGAAAGGACATAGACATACCATCATTTGAATCTTCTGATGCGCCTTCTACACATATAGATAGCTGAAATTTGTGACATGCCTTCTAGACTTTTTGAATTAATAGCAAGAGGCCGAGGTCGGGACCGAAGTCATTGTTCGCTTGCAAGCCTTGTTAGAGAGACGCCAACGACAGACGAAGCCCAAGGCCGGAAATAACCTTATCTCGTCATGACACAAGCGCTCAACGTTCAACTATAATGATTACCTGAAACCTGCTAGCGTTAGCTCAAGTCAGTACAAAAATCTGAATCCCTTTTTTCTTTCCGTCGCTTCCTCAATCGAGATCCCTTCAAGTCTTGCTGCTTCTTCAACTCGTTCACGGTCTGCCTCGGTAAGGGCACTGAGCTCTAACGTTTTCAATATTCCATTTTCACGGATGAGCATTTGACGAGCCACTGTAACGAACAGGTATCAGCATAGATCATACAGAATTATGAGAGACACACCAAGGGCAAGCAATGTACTGAAGGCCAGTGCTGCGATGCCTATAAACATCGACGGATGGTACTCAGGGCCCCATTCTGCCTTCCATGCAAACGACCCGATCCTATTTTTTTTTGTGAGAACGATGCAGAATTTTCGGAAAAGAGTACATACAGATTACCCACGTTTCCGATGCTGCTCACGATGCTGATAGCTGCTGATCGTTTTGCCGGTGGACGAGGGATCGCGTTAGATACCCAAACCAGTGTTAGTGCATAACCTAGAAAAAACATGCGTGCAGCGATAGGCATATACCGATCAAGATGGGTCTCACCAGAATTTCCTGCCGCCATAATGAAAAGTGCAACATAACGACCCCCAATGGACATGGTATTGAGAGCAATGATATAGGCTATGATGACGCCCCACCACCAACCCGCGATGTGGAAGAAACGTTCACCGGTTCTGTCTGGAATTTGTTCAGCTGCAATCCGTCGTCTTTTTCCAAGGAACGCACCAGCATGCCACGCGTTCACGCAGCAGACGATGGTGGCAAAGATCCACGGAGGACTAAGGAGGCGCAGTATCAGCTTGTGATCCTCAAAGCATCGCTCACTGACGCTGCAAGCAATAAGCTTATTATGGGGTTGAATCCGAGTGTCGATGTCAACCTTGAATACAATCAGTTCTGATATCTATTAAGATAGCTTTTGAAAGTGTGCTTACGTCGGGAAGAAATTGATGAAACTGAGACCAAGGAGCTGCGAACATGCCATCACCGCCATGATGGGGACTTTGGGATCACTAATCGCTGACACCAGGCCACTCCAGGCTCTAGAAACAATAGATCCAAGCCTCAGATCGGTCAAATCTTGGGAGGCTGAACATACGAGTCGTCGGCAGAGTCCTCGTCTGCTTCACCCGCATCTTCAGAAAGCCGTACTTGTGCGAGGCGACGCTCAGCGGGTGAAAGCCAGCGAGTATTGTTCGGCTATCATGGACGCGGGTGAACAGTAAAAAACCAATGTAATATCAATGGCGGAACGGCGGAACATACGTAGTCTGGCAGTAGGTATCTTCACGAAACTTCGTCAATGCAATTCCGCGATATCACTATGTCGGATCACTCACAATGTCCAGAGCCCTATGAAGATCGTGATCGCTCCCTGGTCTTTTGTCAGTTGCGCCCTTCAAACCCGCACGATATTGCGCTACGCGATGAACATCAATACCTCAATGTAGAACAGCCTGATGATCGTATGAAAGGTGAATCGAACGACCCCAGCGCGAGTTGGGGTGAGATAGAACGAACCATCTCCAAGCTCTGATCCCTAGGCAGCCCTCCATTCCGGACAGAACACCTGCCGCCATAAGCTAGGTATTATTTCAGTCTGAGTGACTCACTTCTTCGCGACTATATGACTCACACTCCCAAAAGCGCTTGATAGTAGGATACCGCACGCGAGGATTGCTGCACGCAGACACAACTCCTAGGTTTGGATTTTAGTCTGGCTGAAGCATAAGACCCCTTGAATTATTTTCACTTTTCTAGTGTACCATCTCGATAGCAGGTATGTAGCCCCTGGATAGAAGGCAGCCTTGAGTGTGGAAATTGATTTCAGTTGATGTTGATAGGCTTATAGTCAAATAGTCAAACTCACCTCTGGTAATCCGATGAACACGCGACATGCAAGGATGCCAGAAAAGTTATGGGTCACCTTTCTGAGCTGTGAGGCTGACAATCTATGATTTTATTCGGGTGATAACGTACGCCCGTTAGGGTACTGGTCAGGCCCCAGGCGATTACGCACATTCCAATATAGATCGATGGCCTGAAAGATCGTGTGAACTGCGCTGGACGATTTCGACTAAGCATAATACTGGCCTTGTGATACGATTCAGAATCTAGAACGTGTCTTGATGACTGTATCTGCTGAACGTGGTAAGGAGCTCACCATATTCGATGGGACTTGTGCGGGACAATATGACGCATACAATACTGCGAGGACTATATTGTATTGTATATCTTGGTCGCAAAGTCAGACGGATTCAGCAGGATAGTAAGACAACCGAACCCGTAAGACCAAGGTCTTGCTCTAGACCTTTCAATCGAGCTGCAGTGATTCCGGTACGCTACAGAAGCGTGATACCACTTTCGGATGTCAGATATCGAGTTTGAAATCAACAAAAAAGACCGACATCAATAGTATTCATGAGGAAAATTACAACCATGGCAGGCATTAGTCGCATATCCAGCCTGCGCAACAATTTCTTTTCCGTATAGTTCCTCTGAATGCCAGACAGCGCATCATTGTCATCATCCTTTCGTAGTGTGCGTGAAGCCTTCTGCTCTCTTGGACCGAAGGAGGCACCATTCTCTGCGTTATCGAAGGGTTGAACATCGTCGAGTGCCATCGGGGATTGGAGGGAGATGCCAAGAGAAACGAGAATTCCAAGGACGTGCATTATTTATATGGAGCTTACAAAGGCTGAGCCCGCTACTACGATGTCTGCGAATGTAGAAAACTTTTAGAGTGGACATCTCGTGACTGGTTCTAGATTAGAAGCTGGTGGTCAATCCTGTGACCCTGCAGCAGAGTGAACACTCACGACAGGTGATCCATCTTCGTCCGCTTGCCATCTGGGAACCATTAGGGCTTGCAGAATGCCTACTCAGGAGCTGTACGAAGAAGCAAAGATCTGCGGGTACAGCTGTCTAAACTCAACTTGAACGAGGCAAGGGAGGTCTACCGAATACTGTGTGCTGATTCGGAATTTGGCGGCGATGATGCGTTGACAGTCTCATATCTAACGGCGAACTCAAGGGTATCGTGGATGGAACGAAGAGACCCACCATACACATGCACGAAGGCACTCTTCCAAACGAACACAGACCATGCGTGTAAGGAGTTCTGAGACAACACGACATCCGAAGCATATCAGATCATCCACTGCATCTCTCTCCATTCTTTCTCGGGTGAAAAGATACAACAAGAAGGATAGATTCGTGACACCATTGACTGGCAGCTGCGATTCACCTGTGCCAATCATCGGCGTCTGTAATATTGCATTCAGCGGGGAGTCATCAAAGGTGACAACTTGGATTTTAGGAAATCGCTCAAAGACGTGCTGGTGAGTCAGGAGAACAGTGGATGAGATCAGGGAATTTTCGGTTCTACGCGCAGGGCCCAAGATTCTGTGTAAATTGTGGAAAAGGACAAGAATCTCTCCCTAATGGCGTATCATTTATAATAAGAGCAGCCTTTTCACCCCTTTGGGGAATCTTTCCCAGGATTTCCATGGAAAATCTAGGCTCTGCAGTGGGGTGACGCCTGCCCTAAAGACCATGGCGGCCCATAAAATGCAAAGATCAGGAACATTCTTCTTTTCGTGCGGCGACATGGCTCTAATTTTCCCCAAATGTTGCTCATGGCTGCTCTATCTACGCGGCCGTTCGAGTGTCAAGCCATGCCCCGAGCAATATGGACGTCTCAGTACCCAATGTGCATGCCTTGGTCGTTTTACGACACGAGAGGCGTGGACGGGTCGGTGGTTCCTCACATCCCTACCGTCTCTAATATATCATCACAATTAATTATCTACAATGCTGTTATATATCGATTCTGAATTTAATTTTCTGTTCTGCAGAATGCTCTGGACTCTCCGAACAAGACTTGAGGCTGGCTTTGCTGGGTGACATGTTTTCTGGTCTTGGGCAGATATCCAAAATGATGTATGAAGTATGGTGCGCTTGTATGGGCGTTCACAGGGTTTGGCTCCCTGATCTGTTGTACATGCGGACATCTGTGTAGAAGAACCGCTGCACGGTACGAAATGACGCCCTGTGGTATTCAACGTGTTTATCTGTTTGATGCGCGCTTGCAGAATCGATCCATTTCACCGCCCAAACCGCCTTCAGCGTGCCTTGGGAAGTCAGCTTACCTCCTATAAATTGGGGCTGCTCCGGCAAGCTTCACGTACTAGGGGTTCTGCTTAATGAAGTTACAAAATTTGTAACTTATATCCTCAAGCTTCCAGATGATTTAAATGAACGGTCACGAGTCCTCTCCCAAATCCCCATTTGCTCAGCTTCAGCGCTCAACGTTCAGCTTTCGGCGTTCCGCGAGTGTTGGATCAGGTGAGTCGCTGGGACCTCTGCTGCCCCTTTGTCGTCTCCCATTGACCTCGATGTCTCTCAGCGATACCGAGCATGCTGACAAGAAACTAATCGGAACCTCTGTCGATTCCAGGAAACAAGAGGTCTCCGGCGCACTTCTAGGAGACGATGGCGAATTGCTCGGAGATCGAAGACAATCTGCGGAGAAAATTTTGGTGCGTAAAGTAGATACGCGATTGCTGCCCATCATTGTCGTGATTTTCATAATGAATTACATCGATGTAGGTCCTTCTTCAGTCTTCAACTCGATACCTCAACTCTGACGTTGATGATTTTTGTTCGCCTAGCGTACTGCAGTCACCGCGGCCCGGCTCAAGGGTCTAGAGGAGGACCTTGGCTTAACAGGTTTTGTACTTCGCTGTTATGAATCGGATTTCTAATAACTTTACGACACAGATATTCAATACAATATAGTCCTCGCAGTACTATACGCGTCATATTGTCCCGCACAAATCCCATCTACCATCGTGAGTACTTTTAGAAGTCCACAGCTTTCAGTGACTGATGCATCTTTTCTCATAGATCTTGAATCGATTCGCGAGGTCACAATCTTTCTTGTTCCACTAAGATTGTCTGGCACTGTTCATACAATATTACAGGCCATCACTCTACATTGGAACGTGTGTCATCATATGGGGCTTGACCAGTACCCTCACAGGCGTACGTTTGTTAAATGTCGCCGCACTCAGCGGCTGTAGGGTCTCAAGGCTCACAGCGCAGATAGGTGACCCACAACTTTACCGGAATCCTTGTATGTCGCGTGTTCATTGGATTACCGGAAGTAAGTAAGATCACGACCATCCGCCTCACGTACATTTCGATTTACGCGTCCTAGGCCGCTTTTTATCCTGGAGCCATGTATCTTCTATCGCGATGGTACACGAATAAAGTGAAGGATGGCGCACCACTCTCAGCTTCCACAGGATGTAATTGATGTCCCAAATTCAGGAGCTAGCTTTCCGTTCGGCCATTCTTTACAGTGGTCTCCTTATATCAAACGCTTTCGGTAGTGTAAGTCATATCGCTGTAAACAGCTTGACTGTTTGGTCTCATTTGCACCTAGCTCATGGCTGCAGGTATTCTTTCAGGCATGGAAGGTCGCCTTGGAATCACATCTTGGAGATGGTTCGTCTCAATTTACCTATATCTATACATCGTGAGCATACACTGTATCTTCGACTTTGCAGGCTGTTCTACATCGAGGTATGCCACATTGTGTCAATTAATATCCTGAGGCCGTGGAAAGCATGACTGACACGATACTAGGGGTCAATCACGATGCTCGTAGGAATCTTGACAATGTGAGCAATTGAAATCATTGGTATTGTAGACTTGCATCGACGTTTTTGTACAGGTACTTACTTCCAGACCATGTACGCTCCTTGTCGCCGACATATCGTCATCATCTCATCGTTTTCTCCATGGCTAATAGCCCAATAACACCCGCTGGCTCTCGTCAGCTGAACGCCGCCTTGCACAAGTGCGGCTTTCGGAAGATGTAGGCGAAGCAGACCAGGATACCGCAGTAGATTCGTCCGTTTGTTCCACCGTATATAAGCTCCCCATAGGCTAAATCGACCTTTCTGTAGGGCCTGGAATGGTTTTATGTTGGCGATGAAAGATCCCAAAGTGTCCATAATGGCGGTAATGACGTGCTCGCAGCTCCTCGGCTGCAGTTTCATCAACTTCTTCCCGACGTAAGAAAATTTTATCACCGGCTTCGATATTGTCCTCAGGGTCGTGGGGTATGATAGGCTAACAGCGACACTCGGGTTCAACACTACCATTAGTCTGTTGCTTGCAGCGTGAGTGAATAATGTTACAGAACCTCTAACTTATGCCTACAAAGTTTCCTTAGCACTCCGTGGATTTTCGCCGCCATCCTCTGCTGGGTGAACGCATGGCATGCAGGTAGGTTTCTTGAACTGTTTTAAAATTATAGACGCAACTTACGATTGTCTAAAACTTAGACAGAACTGGTGAACGCTTCTTCCACATCGCAGGCTGGTGGTGGGCGGTCATACTGGGGTACATTATCGGTCTCACGACCATGTCTACCGGGGGCCGTTACGTTGCGATGTTTCTCATGGCAGCGGGGTATGCGGGTGCGATTTGTTCTTGATCCCTGAAAGACTTCTATTGAGACGCTTATGTAGGTGCTGCGCTCACAATGGTATGGGTGGCCAACGCAATACCACGCCCACCTGCGAAACGGTCTGCCGCCATTGGCATCGTGAATGGCTTCGGGAACATAGGGAGTCTGTAAGTGCTCTCACTCTCAACGGCCTGCTTCAGTTGTTGATCGAATTTTTTGCACCATGACAGGATCGGATCATTTACTTGGAAAGCGGAATGGGGTCCTGAGTATCGCCCCTCGATGTTAATAGGCATTGCGGCGCTGACCTTCAGTTCTTTGCTTGCACTTGGTATGTTTTAAGAATGTCTCCGCGTGACTACATTGACCTTCACCCACTGCAGAGATACGCCAGATGCTTATCCGTGAAAATAATAAACTCAAAGTCACAGAACTTGGCGCTCTCGACAATGGAGGCCGTGAACGGGTTGAAGAGGCAGCAAGGCTTGGGGGGATCTCAACTGAAGAGGCGATGAAGAGGAAGACAGGATTCAGATATTTTTACTGACTGGCGTGTGTACAATCTATTCGTTGAGCCTGATTCAATTCGACGTGGCAGCATTAATGATTAAAAGTCACTGAGTCAAGTCCGTTTGATCTCCCTAGCTCTATCCCTGCCTTGCGGCCTCCACATTGAACCCGAAGTCACTCACAGATCCGTATCAATGATGCCCTCTCACTCGAATACAAAGGCAAATACCTGAATACCTGATTCGACCCCCACGGCCTAACTAGGAGACTCAATCAAGGGAATGATGTTCTGTCAATCGCCGTCGAAGTAAATGAGAGCCCCAAATGGCAGAAACCCATACGACAATATTTTAGGTACGTACGATGATACAATTACAGATCGAAAACTCATTCATCAGTCATCGGCCTCGAAGTTCAACTCTTCCGACACCAAATTAATACAGATATCTGAACCCTTTCTTCCTCTCCATCGCCTCCGCCACTGAGATCCCTTCCAGTCGTGCTGCATCTTGAATCCGCTCGCGGTCTCCATCGCTAATGGTGACAAGTTCTGACGCTTTCAATCTTGCGTTTTCATGAACGAGCATCTGGCGTACGACTGCATCGGACGAACATCAATGTAGGTCACATGTATGGCATATGCAACTAGGCAACAAAACGTAAGACGAACCAAGGGCTAGCAGGGAACTGAAGGCCAGCGCTGCAAGACTTATGAACATCGAAGGGTGATATTCAGGGCCCCATTCTGCTTTCCAAGTAAACGATCCGATTCTGGCGTTGCACAAGGATTCTCAGGAATATCAAAAAGGATCTCAGAGTAGCACTACGTACAGGTTTCCGATATTTCCGAAGCCATTCACGATGCCAATGGCGGCAGACCGTTTCGCAGGTGGGCGTGGTATTGCGTTGGACACCCATACCATTGTGAGCGCAAAACCTTCACATAAGCCTTGATAGAAGCCTTTCGGGGATCAAGAACAAATCGCACCTGCATACCCCGCTGCCATGAGAAACATCGCAACGTAACGGCCCCCGGTAGACATGGTCGTGAGACCGATAATGTACCCCAGTATGACCGCCCACCACCAGCCTGCAATATGGAAGAAGCGCTCGCCAGTTCTGTCTATAATATAGTCAGCATTGTCCTACTTTCGAGAAGAGGAAGGGAAATAGTACCGGCATGCCACGCATTCATACAGCAGACGATGGTAGCGAAAATCCACGGAGGACTAGGTACAGTACGTATTAATGCAAGATTCTATATCATCATTAACTCACGCTGCAAGCAATAAACTGATTGTGGTATTGAATCCCAGAGTCGACGTTAATCTGTGGTACATTGTTGGTGATGTCGACGAAAACAGCTGCCAACACAAAGCACTTACGTCGGGAAAAAATTGATGAAGCTGAGGCCAAGGAGCTGCGAACATGTCATGACCGCCATGATGGATACTTTAGGATCTTTGATAGCCAACATGAAACCACTCCATGCTCTACGAAGCTCTCAATTCACCCAACGAGACAATGAGATAGGGTGGCACGGACGTACGAATCGCCCGCAGTATCTTCGTCTGCTTCTCCCGCATCCTCTGAAAGTCGTACTTGTGCTAGACGGCGCTCAGCGGGAGAAAGCCAGCGGGTATTATTTGGCTATTGTTGGAAACACCTGGTGAGTGGATGTGCAGGGCCGAAACGAGAGGACGTACATAGTCGGGAAGTAAGTACCTACGTAGTAGAGGTGACGTCGGTCAGTGCGAGGCGCATGGACCAGAGATTGAAACCTCACGTTGTCCAGAACCCAAAGAACATTGTAATTGATCCCTAAACTTGGGTCAGTTGCGCATACCCTTACGACACGGATATCATGAGTCATGCCTCGATGTAGAATAACCTACGAGAAAAGATTTGAAATATTAATCGATATTGTGCGTGATTATTCATGGATAGGACAGACCATCTCCAAGCTCTGATTCCCAGACGACCTTCCATATTGGAAAGGATACCCGCGGCCATGAGCTAGAGATAAATGAGATCAAATATCTGATTGTTATTCGGCGATTTCACCCACACTCCCAAAAGCATTCGATATCAGGAGTCCGCCGTATAGGATTGCAGAACGAAAAGCCAGCTCCTGAATTTGTGATATCAGACACGACTATCGGAAGCTCTGGTGGGATCAGGTTATCTCTGACTTTTCTTGTGTACCATCTTGATAGAAGATATATTGCGCCTGGGTAGAAAGCGGCCTAAAGCGCGTGAATCATATGCACATCAGACAAACGAGTAGCTAAAATCGAGCTCACTTCTGGTAATCCAATGAACACGCGACATGCGATGATGCCGGCGAGATTGTGAGTAACCTATTTTATTCGAATGTGAGACTTAACCGCTTCGAAAGATTGAGCAACGTACGCCTGTGAGCGTACTGGTTAAACCCCATACGATGACACATGTTCCAATGTAGAACGATGGCCTGAAAAATCGAGTGAGAAGTGCTGAACGGCCCAGACAGAGTGAAAGAATGTATCGACCTTGTGATGCGATTCAAGATCTGGAGAGTAGTATCTCAATGATTGAAGTTGATTGACATGTAAAGAACTTACCATATTGGATGGGATCTGTGCAGGACAATACGACGCATACAGTACAGCGAGGATGGTGTTGTATTGAATATCTAGTTCATTGAGCGAGACTTAAATCTGATATTATACGTTTAAAATAAAAACCTGTAAGATGGAGGTCCTGCTCTAGACCCTTCAATCGAGCGGCAGTCACTGCCGTGCGCTAGTGAAATAATCCCGCGAGTCAGGAATCAATTATGCAACTTCAAAAATATAGAAGACTGACATCAATATAATTCATAATGAAGATTACGACGATGGTGGGTAACAGTCGCATGTCCAGTTTGCGAACCAATCCCTTTTCAGCAGACTTCCTCAGAGGGCCGAGCAGTTCGCCATCACGGTCATCTTCAGGCAGAATACTTGAAACCTTTCGTTCTATGGAATCAATGAAAACTTGTTTCTTGTCAATGTGGCCGGTATCCTTGTGGGACATTGGAGATCGTGTGAGATGCTAAGAGGAAGCTGAGATGTAAAAGAGCCTTGCAATGGAGTTCATATACCATCACGGAATGCCGGGAGAACGATACGCTGATCTAAAATGGATGGGACTCGTGACAGAATGACGAGCAATGTGGCCTACAGAAGGTTCTGAAATAGAAGTCAACAGCAAATATGGCCACTCCATGTACGGATGGACTCACGACGGAGTCGCACGTCTACCTGCACGTGTTGTGTTGGCTGAGCGTTGCCCCAATGTGAACCGGGATACCCTAAAATTGGCTGGTTCAAGAATAATTGTGCAAAATTAGACGTCCAGTAATGATACGAAGCGATGAGAGGCGACCACAGTCTGCCTCTATATCGGTTCAGATAACCTTCTGAGATCGGGTTCACGTTCAGATGATAACTTAACCGAAGCAAAAAGATTCATTTGAAGCTCAGTTTGGAACAAAAGGATGCTGCGATAGTGGAGTTGACGGAGACATTGCGCTTCATGTGACTGGCTTGGTATGCCTGCTGACCTGGTTGGTGATATCGAGAACGAGTGAAAATAATTGATCAGATGCGCATACAGGACGTTGCGATACAACCGATGTAAACGAAGAACCTAGGGGATACTCAACCGCCCTAGTCTACCACAGATCAAGCAATGTGATTGATCTGAAAACCTAAGAGGGAGGACTGATGGCCTCGAAGTCAGCACAAGAACGGGTGAAATTGAGATGATTTATACTCACACTGCAGGAATGGTCGTCGCTGGACCTGTATAATGCGGATGACAGAAATCAGCACAAAACGTAGCCAGTGAATGACTCGAAGACTGACCAGGGGCCGCTTGAAGCCTCGGGAAAGGGGTAGCCGCGCACTGAGAATTTCACAAAGAGTCAGATATTGGTCACAGGTTGAAAGATGGACACATACAGCAGCCTGGATATCGCTAATAGTTTTACCAGCAGGGAGCGTCGGGGCGGGAAGCTTGACGGCTTTCGGAACGGGAATGACCTCGGAACAATCAACCAAGGACCGTGGGTTCTGTGGATATTTATGTATAGCAATCGTCATACAAGTGCCGGAAGCACTGACCTGTCCGACAGTGGCAAGACGACTCATTACACTCTCAAATTTGGAGACCATTCGTTCGTGGTTGGCTGTGAAAATAATATATAAGTAAGCCTCGGAGGAGCGTGAAAAACATCCACTTACAGATGAGGGACTGCCATTCGCAAGCAGATCTAGAACATGCGACATGTAAGGCCAGTTTCAAGGTCTCAAAAGAGGAGTTCGTACCGAGCATCCCTGGAAATTACGAAGTCTGACTGGAGGCGGAATTCACCGCCCAGGGGGGAAAGAACTTCGCCAACGTTGGACCCATTGCCAGGGAAAATGCTACCAGCGAGAAGGGTCTATTGACGTATTAGCTCGAACATCCCTGATTTAAATGATATCATTTGACTCACCTCAACAAAGAACTGCGCGTCGAAGCTGCTCGGGGTTGAGTCGAAAGGTGTTCCCTAGTAAAAACGTAAGGATCAATTTCATTGATTGACATGGATAGATTCTACCGGAATGGTGGGGTCAACGTGATCTTGCGCCGCGACGGTGTGGGAGATCAGCAAGTCCACAGTATCGGTGATACTGAAGCCTGCATCGGCCATCCGAGCGAAGATTGTATCGGCGGAGTCGCTAGGTTCTGGAACCAGGAGGTCTGGGGATACACGGGAGTGGTTGGAGCGACCAGCCAAGAACTGCAGGCGTGGACCACCGGCACAGTTGGAGACACCCACAGCTCCAGCAAATTGGATGCTATTGGTGGGGAGCATAAGTGCCGTGAGAAAGGTGGGAAGCTGTGGACATACAAGTCACCAAAGGACACCTTGTGCGCCAGTGCGAATGGACGCTGGGCCTCGACAATCTCGTCAACTCCAATATTAGCGTCTGCAATGATAGGCAATCAAAACCCCAGAGGCGAGAAAAGTCAGTAGGAAATCACTGACGGAAATTTGTTTCAATGTCCGCGAAAGCCATGATGGAACCATCTAAAAGGGTAGCCTGTGAGCAGAGGTATGATAGTAAGAAGGAAAATATATACCAGCTCCTCCGCCACTGCGCCGATGCACATCAGGATATATAAAAAGAGATCGAAAAAATGAATACCCACCCGAATTTCCCTTCCCGTGTCAGCTTCTCGGAGAAGCCAATGGCATCGTGGAAAGTCAGCTGCGAAGCGATGACGTTTTATTTATGATGAATTTTGAATGTCATGGAACCTTACACGCAAGGACTAAAGACTATCGGTCAGATGGGAAAGTAGGCAACAATAAAATTTCACATACCTCGTGAACCTCCTCGCCTGGGAAGTCAAACGGTCAAACAAATGTGTAAGACTACTTGTTCTCGTTCAGAGACTCACCGCACTCTCCACCATCGAAACTAAGATTTGGTCAGAGCTGAAGTAACGATTAATCAAACACTGCCTTACAGATTCTCTTGAATGTCGTCCAAGACGTTGAACCAAGTGCAGCACTGTAGTGTGGACGTGAGGAATCTGGTGGGATGATCAATGGCGATGGAATTGTACCACAGCATTGCTAGCCGTCCTTCCATCGCCACAAGAGACGCGCCTTGAAGGCGCAGCGATGGCAGAGACAACAAGGGCAGTCAGAGCAGCGATGGCTTTCCAAGACATGTTGAAGTTGAAGTGATTGGACCGAAGAATACCTGTTGAGTACTGGGGGTTCAATGGCATGCGGAGAGCCCTTTTATTGTCCTCTGAAGCTGAGAGGACTCAATAAATTAGCACAGGTAAATTCGTAATGACCAGAGCATTGACGAATGAAAAGACTTGAATTCGTGAAGCACAATGGGCGGGTAAAGTTTACCGACGACTTGATGCTTCAAATCATGGCACGGTGTGAATGAGAGCACGGATCCACACGACGAAACATCTCCCGACGCTAGAGTATGAATGACAGCAACCCAGCGCAACGGTATGAAGGCACCGAGCAGCTCTGGCGGGGCTACATCAGCGACAAGAGTATAACAAGGTACCGAGGTCACTTACCGGTGGATATATTTTCTCATTGGGTAGCGAGTTTTGGAAAGCATGCTGAAGAAGAAGGAATGGCAGAAGAAGTAGATGGATGGGTTTCAAGGGCTATCCTGAGCCGGGCATATCGTGGCAGATTTGGAGAGCAAACACAGTAATCCAATCTCCTGCTCGACAAGCGAAGATTCTGGAACGCATACAGTTTTAACGCTTTCTAGGCTGAATTTCTAGATGAACGAATCTCGATACTGAAGTTATTTCACAACAGGTATGAGTGCGAGGACCTACATCGATACCTTCGCAGGTTAGACTTGGCAAGTTTTTCGTTGTGGTTACTACTGGCGATCGTACACATATATGTCGATGTGTCGAAGCAATCGAGAGGTGTCGACCTGGAGCCACATTGCAAGGCCTCGCATGCCCTAGCGGGACCATGTACGGTGAGGATGCAGATGAACACCAATCCAAGATTCACACCTTTGGGAAATGATCAGTCGACTGTCGCCTATCCCAACGGTCAGAATCTTTAGACACGGTAACATGAATGAACACTCGGCAATACAGAGTCTTCCGGTTCTTCGAGCCAGGGAAAGGAGAAGAAGCCATGTGGAGCTCATGGTAGTCCATACTTTCATCCGTGTGTTTTTGTCTCTTTTCGACGATACGCAAACCTAAATCAGAATGTCATAATGATCATACTCATTTATTAGCTCCAAGCTTTCAGGATGTTAGCCGGTGCGCTTACGAGACTTGTACCCGCTATCTCCGGTAGTTGGGTGCCTCAACAAGGATACTATTCGATACGATGGATTTTGGGTTTCTTTACCCGGCGCATCGACACCAGAGATTGGATTGGGCTGAATCCATCTCGTCCAATATCTTGGAACTCCATCGAATGACGGTACCAATGGACTAGCCCATAAACCGATAAGGGGGATGCATAGTCTCTCGGCCTGGGATGTCCAAGGAGACGCCTGCGAAAGAACCCACGCAATATCAATGTGATATGATATTCAGGCGATCTTCCCCCGATAGATGCATGGATGTGAGAGTAGAGTGATCGAATTCTCTTGCCCTGCACGTTGAAGAGCTACCATAGAAATAATACGATGACAAAACGCAGGAACGGTCAGAGGACCGGAGGCAGGGACCACTCCCAGGGCTGTTCAACCATGAGAAGACCACAACCATATGTCAAGTTCGAAATCAATGACCTATATGGAAAGGCTTCTCAGAGTCAACCACGGTGGAAAACTGATCCCGTACTTACCTGTGGCCAACTGGACGAATGTCGTATGGCGTTGCTTCAACACACACATGCCTCTATCATCCAATTGCTAAGAAGCTTCGACAAAACAAGTGCCTCTTGAAGACATGGGAATAGAATCGTACAGAGCGTAGGATGCATCAACCCAGAGCACCCGTCTCAATTGGGCTGAGATTAATGCCGAGCCCGACATCAATACAAAGATACTCACTTTGAGATCTTAAATTAAGACTGGAGTTATGCTACTTCTTGCCGATATTCAATCTAGGTGCAAGTCCCTGTTGACAATCGTTCTTTGTTGACGACTGGGCCTGGCTTTACACTGCATACCGAGGCTTTCTTCGCAGATTACCTCTGAGAAAGGAAAGATTGAGCGTACAAGGACACTAACGCGGATTCAAAGGTTTAAAGCAAAAGCAAAGACTGATACTCTCTGATACTGTAGCATTGAGGCAGATCGTGGCTCGAGCCAAAGAGAATTCAGCCTGGGAGAAGTGTGATGACAAAGCAGCAAGTGCCTTCCCGATAAGGAAAATCGACCTTGCGCCGCGGCCACGCTAACAATGACTCGAGCAGCGAAAGCTCGAATACAAAAAAGAACAGTTAAGGAAAGCTACAACCGCGAGGGCTTCCTAAGTACACTCCTCCTTTTCATAACAGGTGGAAATCATGTCTGCGTACGGCTCAATCTCTTTTTCATCACGGCCATCCAGCCCTCTCTCGTCGACCGCTTGGAAACTGGCACCTGCGGCAGCGAATCGACCTCAATCGCCGTTCACATCCATCACTGTCCATCACCTTACTTCTGCGAGTGCTGCAAGCTTTCCGGGGCTACAGGAGTTGACCTACCGTATCTTCTCCGATGAGGTTCGCAGCGGCACGTCATATCCACAAGAAGCACCTGTAGGTGAGTATACTCGTGAGGAGTTCGAGGCGTATTTTTGGGCGGGAGACGTGTTCATCGCGATCGGAGTCACGACCGATGTGGGTACGAGCTCAGAAGGAACTCCTATTGAAGGAGGTATTGCTGAAGCTCAGGCATGGAGGAGTTGGGAGGAGTGTGTCGTCGGATTCTATTATGTGAAACCAAATTACCCCGGTCGATCCTCTCATGTGCGCGATCTATTCCTGTACCAGCAAGATTCCTTCTGACATAGTTCAATCCTGTCAGATCTGCAATGGCGGATTCGTCATACCTCCTGCTCACCGTCGATTTGGATATGGGAAGACCCTGGGCAAGTCATACCTTCATTATGCACCTCAACTTGGATTTAAGGCTAGCGTGTTCAATCTTGTCTATACGAGCAACATCGGAAGCATGAAGTGAGTTAGCCGTTTATTGGACTATCAGCTTTGGATATCCTTATCTCGATTGTTCCAGGATCTGGGACTCGTTGGGCTTCACGCGCGCGGGACTTATCCCCCGAGCCGGACGGCTTCGACGTGTAGATGATCAAGGAGAAGAATGGGTTGATGCCGTAGTCTACTACCGCAGTTTGGTCGCTGATAACGCATGGGACAGTGCGCTGTGGAATCAAAAATAAGCTCTGAAAGTGTGTCTTTTTTTTCTTTTTTAATCAAATCATTTATATCCCGCGCGGCGTAAGGCCAGTGGCGGCAGTTTTAAGTGTGAGAGTAGGCAACGTATATCGTAGCGCGTATAGGGTTCACTCAAGACCCGGACTGTCAGCCACACTTGAGTGGGCAATGAATTGTGTGAAGATGGCATCTCCGACTCCACTGAAAGTGGGGGAGGGTTCTGTGGAATAGATATGAGTGGTCTACTATACATCGCTCGTGGCCACGCTGATTGGCTGTTGGCTGGCACATGAAGGTCCCTCGCCCCACTATTAGAATGCTTATTGGCTGGTGAGATGCACGTGGATGATGCTCGATGCATCTGTCAAATCTTTATTTTATTTTATTTTTATTTTTATTTTTATAATTCAAAGCATTTATATCCCGCACAGTGTAACACCAGTGGCAGCAGAAAATACAAAAGAGTATAGCCCCATATACTACATAACAAGCTAAAGGCTTAGTTAAGGCCCAGATTATCAGCCTAGCCAAGGCAGGTGATTGGAGAAAGCAGTTGGGTTCCTAATATTAGGACACAGTATCTGCTAAACCCTATAGCTAGTCCCTCCAGCATATGCCACTCCTAATTGTGGACTGGGTGTCAGTGTATGAGCCCCACCAGATGTAGGTTTTGTAGTGGCATTATAGGTGGCATGATCATATCTGGAAAACCACCCCCTTGTATTAAGCTCTAATTAGCTATAATTAATGCTCTACTATACTAAATTATGAAAGATTAGGATTAGAAATTTTTAGCTTACCCCCCCTCTAAACCTGTTCTAATTAGACATAATTTTTCTAAATTAGAAATTATTAGGAATGATTATAACTTGAAATTTCGGAAAAATCATAATAAATCAAGCATCACAGTTCTCATAGCCTTCTTATAGAGTCATGTCTATTAGAGCACTATTCAAATACCTAAACACAGAATACACCTTATAACAAATTTGCCTTTTGCCAGAGTTAAACCAACAACCTCATATATGCAAGCACCCGGGTCAAATGCTCTAAGCCACTAAGCCACAAGGTCTAATATATAAACTTGGTAATCAGAATGAGTAGACATAATATAGGCAACCTTAACATCTCTGATTTTATTTAACATTTATCTTTCCTCTATCTTATAAATAAATAGGTCAATAAATACCTAAAAAGTCAGGTCTTTCAGGATTTATTTTAAACACCAGCTAAGAAGATAATAAACCAATGGAAAATCAATAATACACTTTATATAGGGTAAAAACAAATTATGGCACTTATACAATTTTTTAGAATGTGTAAAACTATGATTGAGTGTAATATTCAATGGGACTCTACTAGTATAGACAATGCTACCTAAATTTGCAAATTTGATCAAAAACATGATTATAAATAATTAAGATCCAATAAGAGAGAGGGGTTTTCCAAATAGCCACTAGTGAGGTAGAGGGTGGGGACAAGGGTATATGTATGGCATGCCTATATATAAATAAACACAAGATTGTTGGAGGTGATCTTGGTATGCTTAGTGCATATAATTTCTATATGGTAGGCAAATATATTATTCTGGCACCATATACCAACATGACTGTCTTTTTCACAGCCTAATAGCTAGAGGAAAACACCAAGTTTGAGCATCTTCTATATAACAAGGCAATGAACAATATAAATAGTGCTAAAAATTGTAGTATCAATAGTGATGATGATTGTGTGCTACACAAGACAGTATTAGCCACTGTACTAATAGACAAGGTCCATAATATTAGCCACTGTACTAATAGACAAGGTCTATAAGGCTGCATATAGCATATCCCTAAGCCCAACCCACATATTGTGTTCTATAATGACCAGTAGCAGGCATTAGCTAACAATGACAACTTTAATGATCTTGTGTGCAAGGCCAAGGTACTAAGGTCTTCATAGCCTCTTGTGGCAGCTGCCAAGCTGCCAACAAAGTGGCTGGGGCATTAATGCATATTTCTCTCTTTTTATGTCCCTTTTAAAGGCAGCTGGAGAGTTAGCAAAAGAGCTACAAGATAATGGTGTAGGCATATATAAAGGAGAGTAATGTGCTAAAATAGTATAGAATGTGCCACATCTTTACTTTCTCACTGAAAGAGTAGTAGTACTTACTATTTCCTACTGCTAATCAAAAAATTCTTAGTATAGAATTAGTGCTAATATCATGAAATTAGAATCCAATCCAATGCTCACAATGTGTTGCTCCCAATTAGGAAATTAGACACTTTTAGATACTATTAACACTTTTAGATACTTTTAGACACTATTAGATATAATCTGGAGCTAATACAAGGGGGTAGTTTTCCAAATGCATTCAGGGTGCCTTTACCACCTATGCACTTGTCACTTAGCCTGTTACAACTCTTTATTACCTTTGACAATGTAGTATGCCCCACTCAGGTGTTAGTTTTGCATAGATGTGGATAGTAGGAAGGTGGTTATGAGGGGCAGACACTCATCATACTAGCAAGGGGGTTAAGGGCACATATAGCATCCTAGGTGGAGTATAAGGTGCTACGGGCACCACCAGAAGGATACATGATCATTTGGAATGCTTGACCACCCATGCACTTAAAACTATCCAAGTAGTTTAATGACTTTTTGGTCTAAGAGGGGGGAGGGCAGGGTCCTATAAGGGAATGCAACCATAATTCCACCCCAAGTGACTCTTCCTATAAATATGGAGTGTCAATAGAAAAGCTAGCCCCTAAGGATGTCAAAGAGTAATAAAGGAGTGTAGCACCCATGATAGAGAAGAGTAAGGAGGGAAAAGACTCAGAATAAGTGATGAGCTACATCTGGAAAACCTCCTCTTTTAATTAGATCTAATTATTCAAAATACTAATCTGAGCCAATCAGAATATATTATCTATAATTCACTTTATAATCAAATCTGCAAGTAAAAATGACATTGTTTATACTATCATAGTCCTATTGGAATCTATAACCCAATTATAATTTTACACATTTCAAATCTAAATTGTGTAAGTGCCACAATCTTATTTTTACTGTATTCTTTATTTTTTTTATTAGTTTACGATATTATTGTCTAGTGCCCAAATTTAAATATTAGCCCTGATTTTTAGGGCATTTATTGACCTCTCTATATATAAAATAGATAAAAGATAAATATGTAAGAAAATTAGAAATGTTGAGATTGCCTTATTCATATCAACATACCTAGGTTACCAAGTAAATAATTTAGACCTTGTGGCTTAGTGGTTTAGAGCACTAGTTTGGAGTGTGTAGGTATAAGGTTGTTGGTTCAATTCTAGTGATGGGCAAGCCTATAGTAAGGTATGACTTTAGTTTGATTAGTAAGCCCTATACATACTTTATGATTGGAGGTGTAATAGTTGTAAAGAAACCATAGAGCTGGGTTGGTTGATATTTTTCCGAAAATCCATATAATAAATTAGCTTTAATTAGCTCTAATTAGATCTTATAATCTCAGGATTAAAAGAGGGGTAAGCTAAAAATCCTTAATGGTAATTGGTAAAAAATATAGCTATACTTATGCTTAAATATGGCTAATCTAATATGGAGCTTTTTCCTAATGTCTACACTGTACCTGGCACCTGGCTACCTTTCTAGCTTACATATCATAAACTCTGCTAGATCCAAAGTATTATACCCAGTCTAATAAAGCACTGGATTTATCTCAAAGCCTCACTTGCTCTTATTATACTACCACATATCATAGATTCACTGCTTATAGAGTGCTCTCTTGGAACCCATCTGAAGTAATTTATTAGATTAGAGAAGATGGCCCAGTTGACAATGATCATTGAGAAGTCATTAAGAAGCATCTCTTGCATCTCTTTGAGGACAAGATCAATCATGACGAATTCTTTCTTATCCAAGCTTAGCAAAGAGCAATACTCTTTATTTATTAGATAGTCACTGTTTAGACAGCCTAGGACCCCTCTCCATGTGCCTGCAATCATGTGATCAACCTAGTAGTTTAACACAAGATCAATAGTAAAAAATACTTCCTTGCATAAGCACAACAAAGAGCAATAGTATTCATCTGTTGGACAGTTACTATTTAAATAGCCTAGGGACCCCTTTATATGCCTATAGTTATGTAATAAACCTAGCAGTTTAATAAAGCTCTATTTTATCATGTTTAATAGCTAGGCCTAATTGGGTAAGGGATTCAGAAAGTAGGTGGTACTTATTAGATAAGATTGCATAATTGTGTGTAAGTAAAACAAACAATGTGACCAAAAGGCTATCGTCAATATAAAATAGCAAAGAGTCCCAGTTGCACTATTGGCTGACTAGATCTATAGAAGTAGTACAGTGGCTAAATATAGGCTAAATAACATAGGGAAGAGGGTGGAACCTTGGCCTACCCTGATGTTGACTATAAAAGGGGTCTAAGGTAGTGCCATTTTATAAGAGCCTAATGAGGCAATTGGGGAAAAATACTTTCATTGTAAAGGGCAAGAAGGACTGCCCTAGATTCAGGGGGTTGAGATAATAAGCTGGATAAGGGGCTAATTGATATGGTTAGGTCTAAAAGCAGACAATGATAAGCAGGCAACTGTAGCTTTGTAGCACTCCTAAAGGGAGATAGGAGGGCAGTCCTATTTATGGCAGTCAGAGAGTATATTGATGACTAATAGGTTGACAGGGTAGTCCATAGCAGAATAAAACTATTCCTAGAGTCTATTGAAGAGATCTGGCATTGAGGTTAGAGATATGTCATCATGGACAAGGCTGTGGTAGAGGGGCAAGGGGTGGGGTTATGCCTATGCCATGAGATCCCAGACTTGCTGCTTGTTAGCAGCTTTATGGATGATAGTGTTGTAGTAAAGACATTGCACCTTGCAAATCATGCACCAATATATGTGGTGGTCCTCTCTTGATCTCATTTCCTAGTAGCAGATAAGAACTATGGAATAGTTGTTGTTCTACCAAGTTTTGGAGTGCTGGTTAATAAAGGGAATAGTTGTATGAGTGTCAAAAGATTCCACTATCTAAGCAAAGATTGAGTCACAGAGGCATTGGATGTCTTTGTTGGATTTGAGAGGAAGAGGTGAGTTAAGGCTGGAAATGGCCAAGATACAGTCAGCAAAGAACATTTGTTCTGCATCTAATTTTCACTTTATGCAGAGAGATCCTGGGGAAATTTCCAGGCTTATATTGAAGGAAAGGAGTAGAGGGTTATAGTCAGAGAGCAGCTGGCCATTAGGGTCTATTGAGAAAGTGGTTGAGGGTGTAGCCATAATGTGGCTAGTAACAAAGATAAGATTTATAATAGTAGATACATACACTATTTCTCAAGCATATGGTATATGGGTGGATTGGCCATCTGTGTTCAGGAGAACAAGGCCCAGGCTATTAGTGAGGTTCAGTAGTTTGACAGTGGCATGGTCATTGTGTCTATATGCCAGATCCCAGATGTTACTATAAGGGTTGAAGTCACTAATCATGATGTTGATAGTAGGGAGAGTATGGATGTAATTACTAAGATAGTGAAGGGTGGAACAGTTAGCATTATTGTAGACATTCAAAATGTATCTTAATTGTCATCCATTGGGGATGGCAATAAGAAGCATGTCCAGGTGGTCAATTAAGTGTGAGCATATTATCACTCCTCTAGAGTTACAAATGAGATATAAGGATCACATTCCATTTTTTGAAAGTTATATAAATCTGTGTGCTTAAAAATATTCATGGGTGCTCTCATAGGCCACCATTAGGTGCATAAATTTTTTTGAGAAAGAAAAAAATATGCAAAGGTGCAAAAATGCTAAGATATTAGTGTAGAGGAGGAATTTTCTAAGAGATGCTCAAGATCTTTCAGATCCTGGTGTATAACTATCAATCAAGAAAATAATGAGCCATAAAAAAGTTCTTAGGACAGCTATCAGAGTATTTTTGATTCCCTTTGAAGTGTCTCACATCCCATAGCAAAATATTTGCAACGAGCAGTGGAAAGGGTGACAGGAAGCTCGCGCCGCGTGATGATTGGTCATACTTTTGTTCAACTCCGCCGCGCGTTCCCTGGAGTCGCAACTGCGGGGTCCAATTATGAACGTAACAGCATGTGACCCGATGGTCGGAAAAGTTGCAACTCCCTGTTTTTATCTACGTTTAGACACCCCTTTTCATTTGTGCCTCAGCATCTCGTTCTCTCATTTTTTTTTAAAAGAAAATAGGCTGCATTTCAAAAAGCTATAGTAGGTATGTGCCAAGATTGGAGGGAAAAGACACTGATCTGAGGCCGCTATGAAGGAAACAAAAAAGTTTTGCAACTCCGGGGGAGCGATAGTAGGGTCGTGAGCTGCTTATTAATATATGTAGCGACACGCGCGGGGCCTCCTCTTTCAACGAGGGTCTAGTGGGGATGTGCTTGTGTGCCCATGTACTCCTCACCAGTATTGGACACGGAAGAAGGAATGTTGCGCAGGAAACCCCAGTACGGTTCCTGCACAAGCATGATGTCATACTCGTCTGCTTTTGTCTCAAGCAATGTACAAGTGACGACTGGGGAGCGGTTTACATTCTGGCTTAATACACGTAGTAACATACTTGACTGCGTTAATAAAGGCGAGACGGGCCAGCGGTAGCCTGGCACGGAGGGGCATACGGGCCGCGCGCACTCGCGTGCTGCGGGCCTTGGGGGTCAGCGGGTGAGGTGCTGGGGACAGGGAAGAAACCGTACACGGCGGCTCCTGGAGGGGCCTTGAGATCTCGCTATGTCATGGCGAGTGCTAGATGCCCCTTGCCTGTCGCGGGGTGGACGTTGGTCCGAGGGGTTTGACTGGTGTTGTTCGATCCACTCGGCGTTGTGCCAGTTCTGGTAGAATGGGCACGAGCGGTCGGTGGCCTTGTGAGGTCCGCTGCAGTTGGCACAAGAGGGGGAATGGGGGCATGGGTGGCCGTTGGGTGTGGGGTTGTCGCCGTGGCAGCAGTCGGCAAGCTGGCGGTGGTCCTGTACTGAGTGGTGGCCCGCGCACTGGGCGCATCGATAGGTGGGGGAGCGGCATAGTGGGGTGGGGTAACCCCATCGGAGGCAGGCGGTGCACTGGGGCGCAGAGTACTGTTTGCGGTACTTGACCGCATGAACTGATTTGCCTTGGAGGAGGGCGGGATCGCGGAGAACTTGTCATAGTGTCGACAAGAAGCCATTGTCGTGGAAGTCGACGTATAACGTGCCGACGTGGGAGTCCTTGTCTTGGGCCAGACGGGGGGGCGTGGGATGTGTACAGATTGTCATGCAGAGGATGTCTTGAGCTCTGCGGTATATCATTCCGCTGTAATAAGGGAGCCATCGGGGTGGGTGAGAGGGAGGCGGTGAAACATCACCGTAGAGATAATATGCCGCTTGTCGACAGAATAAGACGATGGCGGGATGTGCGGGAACAAGACTCCAAGGGCTGAGCGGACTGCCGTGATTTCAGGCTCCTCCGGGGCCTGAGCAAACCTGATAGTAATGTTGTGGCGGGACGACCAGTGCTGAAGCGGCGCGGAACGAGCTTCGTTCTACAGGTAGTCTGGCATTGACTGTCTGGACGACGACTGCGGGACGGGGAGAGTGAGGTCAGGCTTGGGTCCTGAGAAGACGACGTGGACGGCGCGTCGTGCGCCTCTTGGTAGGGAGACGCGGTGGGGTCTGGGGGGCCGTTCAGCGGCTAAGCGGCATTGGAGCGTCAGGATTTCGACTGCAGAGAGGTCTAGGTTCTCCTCTCACAGCCTGATGATTTCGTCGATAAACGCGTCGTTGGTGGATACCGATTGTCTCGAAGGGGAGCGCGAGACCGTCCAGTTGGTGTAGCTGTTGGAAGGGGCTTGGGACGAGCGCGAAACAGCCCTCGCGTAGGACATGCCGCCAGGTGTGACAGAGCGGGCATTCGAGCCTGAAGAGGGCCGCGTGACTGGAAGAGACGGCTGCTGAGGGTTGGTAGACCGGGGAGGCTGTGCAGGCGGGGCCTGGAGCTCGGGGCCCTGCCGGCGATTCCGGCATTGAAATATCGAATGACCCGGGTTGCTGCGCTGGCAAGGGAGTCCGAGTTCAGGGTAGCAGCATCCAAGGGGTTGCGTCCGAAGACAGCATCCATTTGACAGATTCCAGCCAGTCTGCGATGGAGTGGAGAGAGGAAGTGACGATGTTGTTCTGCTGGTCAAAAGAATCAGAGGAAGATATGTAGATTGGGGAGAAAAGAACCCCGATTTGAGAGTCTTCGTCCATATTGACAGGCGAAAATGGGGCCGTAGGGAATTCCTGGTGCGAATCAGTTGGATTTGAGATTTCCATGTCGAGGTCGATGGGTCGGGAGGGGGTTAGAGGTGAGGTTGGTGAATGGCTGAAGGTCGGGGGGTTTTGCCCTTGGGGTGGCGGGAGGCTCCCTGGTTAACGGGGAGGTAGAGACCCGCAGCTGGTGGGGACTGTGTTCACCAGGATCCTTGGGCATGGTATGAGCACGGTCGAAGGGGAAAGGTGAGGAAGTGAAGATTCGAGGACGATGGGAGAGGCAGTGATGAAGCGGGGTCCGAATTAGGAAGGTGGTGGTTACGGTGCATCTGAAAGTGTGTTCCATCTGAAAGAATGACCCGACGTTCGTTGACCGTATTTCATATTGTGTTAGATGACATGCACAATTGAGAACAAATTGACGCAGTCATAAAATCCGCTCTAGGATTTGTGTGCGGCGATGTGGGATACGCAAAGATGGAAGACATCAGAAGGCATCATCAAGGCCCAAAATTTAGTGCAGGTGTGCAAAGTAAAGCATATGTGAAGCCAGACGTCTCCTCGTAAATCACCCTCTTCTTACTCTTCTTCGTTTGACGTCCCTCTTCCGCGCTACCGCTATACCACCCCCGAATGTGCTGCCGGTTCCGAAGTCGGGGATGCCACCAAGCGAGGCAAAAATGTCCCCGATGTAATTTGACGGCTTTGTCCCCACCTCGAACCGCTTCGTCCATTCCTTCAAAATACCCTCGACAACCTTCACTCCTGCCAGGTAGATGTTCCGCAGAGCAGGCTCGTAACCCTGATTTTCGTCAAGCAAGTTGTCGATCACCGAGCCGCCTATGTATGGTCTGTCGAAGTCCGATGCAGTGCGCATTACGATGATGCGGCTGAAATCGGTCAAATTATGGAGCGACGAGCGGAGTAAAGCTTCGAGCGTGGCATTGTCTTCCTGTTGCGCCGTGCAGTACACTCCAGTGCCATTCGTAAACAGCCTCATCGTGTTTTCGAAAGCTTCGGAGAGCAGTGCTCCAGTCCAATACACGTCTGATGTCGCTGTATCACACTCGACGATAGACGGCTTCTTCGCCGCAGAGGCATAGATTTTGTCGTGAGCGTACTTTGCGCGATATGCGACCGCATCGCGGGAGTCATTCAACGTAGCAGTCCTGGCGAAACCGACGGCGAGAGAGCGTAGTCTGTCATTGACCTCAAAAACCTCTGTGCCGTATATATCTTGTGGGTATTCATTAGGTGAGTCTGAGCCTTGGGGAAAGTAGCCGGTCGTGAAACCAGGTGGGAGTTCGCGCGCATCGATCTCATACTGGAGCGTTACCTGAACCGCGTACCGTGCGAAGGTGACGGAGCCAATCGTGGTAACTTTGGGATTTACGCCTGCGGTTCCTGCAATGAGAAAATATGTCGATCGTAGGTCGAAATGGGGCGACAGTGTGAGTGCGGTGATTGTTGCCGCCGCATTGATTTCTGACTCGCCGATGGCATGAATGATATGTCTGTCGACGATTGACGAGACATGCCTACCTGCTTCTCCAGTGACAACTTGGCAGACAGATCCATCTTCTGTGCAGTGCGCATGGGGAAAGAGTGGGGAAAACCCGGTGACAGTGATGTTACGCGCTAATAGATCGAATTCTGGGATGCCTAGTAAAGCCAATATTCCGAGTTCGTATGCTTCCTCTACATCTGACAGAGGGTAGTTTGATATACTCACCATACCAAGCCTCCGCTTCAGGCGAAAACTATACAACGCGTGAAATCTGGTCAGATTTGGACATATCCATCGCTAGTTACAGATTACGAACATACCATGCTGATGATGAGGACTTTGGGTTTGAGCCTCTCCGACAGACCAGAGGTGCTCCTGACTCCTGCGTTGTGATTGTTGAACCATGGTTTGCCAAACACGGCGACAGGGAAAGCCACCAAACAAGAGAGCACCGTCGTGAGCAGCATGGTCGACCTCGGCTTGTGGTGGAGGGCAATTAAGTTGAGTACGGGGCATCACTTATATATATATGCCCTATGAAGCAAGCACAGGATAAGTCCGCTCAAGGGTTTGAAGCGCTGAGCAATGGATCTTGTTTCAGCGGATATTAGCCTGCCTCAGGGGGAGCCAATCCCGTCGAGAGCGGGCGCCAGCCTCGAATGAAACCGCGATGCAATGGGCGGAACAGCCTGATCACCTTGAAGTGGTCGCAGAATCATGAGATCATTCGCATGCTGCCGACGAGGACTTCTAGAGAGCTGGCTGGACTTTATCCGTCTCTTTCCTCTGTTACAGGAATCTACCGAAAGAATATCATGATTGAGAGAAGTAGATAGGATGGTCGTCATCTTACTTAGATGATATTTATTATTGTCCTGATGTGGTACGTCATATTCCTGTGGTTGTGGATACAGATGCCTAGGATAGCTCACCTTGCCTCGTTGCGCATGCCCTTACCTCGGATGCATTCTGCACTGACCTTTTGTTCTGTGGGTATTGACGCTGTCAGTCAAATGACACAATAGGAGGACAGCTCAGCGCTCAGCCGGCGGCTTGTCAAGTTGTCTTTGAATGAATGCTAATATCAAAAGCGACAGGTTTTGTGGTCATCCTTCCTAATTCGGACACCGCATCATCTACGTCCTGCCCTTCGTCCTCGAGTTCTCCTTTCCTCACCTTTTCCTTTCGAACATGCTTCTATCATGTCTACAGACCCTGGTGACCGCATGGTCTATCAGGTGCGAGCCCCCACCTCCCCGACATCGAGGGAGCCCTCCGCCCTGCAGGGGATTGCCTTCACGGACTCTCCAACTTCCAACCTCTACACACAGCCGCACCCCTCCTCTTCTCAGCTCTCCCAACCCGTAGACCTCAACATGGAAGTCTACAGTCCAACGGAATCTCGCCCCGAGTCTCCATCTATGCCACCATCTCCCGGTGCTATTGCGGATGACACCCAGCTGGGACTTCTGTCCATCCCATCTTCCTCTCCACCACCGACTCCTTCGACCAACAATCCGATGTCGTCACCTCTTCGCTGCACAGCATTGCAGACTGGCTTGAAACCGTCGACTGGGACGCCATCCTCGGGCGCAACCCTCTTGATGCTGCCACCCTCAACTCGAGCCCTCTTGCCGCCGCAGCAACCAGGGTCATCCGGTATCTCAATGCTGGAATTGTTGGTCGTTCTACCAAAGTCCCCGAGCTCCAAGTTTCGCCTGTGCAACCGAACCCGGCTAACCCCAGCGCACGCCGCAGCAGGCTGCGCGTCCCTCTTCAGCCATTAGTACCCAACCGGGTCCCGCCGGCACGATGACTTATGCGAATGCGGTCTCCCGCTCCCTGCCCGCTCCCTCGAGCAACCGCACGAACCGCTCCACAACGCGTCCAGCGTCGAGACTAGCGAACACTGTCAATGACTCCTTCGTCGAGGACATCTTCAGGTTAAGGGAAGCTCACCCGAACCTCTCTGCGAGTGAGCTCCTGGCGCTTCAGCGCCAAGCTGCCTCCCCCTAGCCCTAGAGGCCCCGCCGAGCCACCCTGCCAAGGGGTGCCCATCGCGCCATCCACGTCGTTTTCACTACAATCAGACCCGACCAAGTGCCGAGCCCGGCGATGGCCGTGTGAGCCGTCAACTCCAGGCTTCCCACGACTAGGGAGGTATTCCAAATGTCCTCGGCCAACTGGTCTCCCCGTAATAATCTCACCATCCGATTCACCCAGGCCCCTGAAGACCCCGAGATGAATGCGGTGCGTGCTGCACTGTCTGCCTTTTTCCCTAACATCCCGCCTTCGACGTACATAGTCGATAGGCGACACATAATATCTACGGTGATGTTTCACCGTCTCCCTCTCGCTCACCTCGATGGATCCCCCATCACCGCTGAGTTCTTCACACAGGAACTCAAAGCCTCTCATGTGTGGCAAGACATCCACATTCCCCGCCCCCCCGCCTTGTACCAGACAACGACACACACATGGGCACCCTGTATGTCGACTTCCACGACAACGGGTCTCTCTCCGCCCTCCGACACGTTTTGCGCGAACCGGCCCTCCTCCAAGGAGAAGCCGTGTTCCTAGTCAAATATCAGAAACGAGACACTGTCCCCCAGTGCCCAGTGCTCGGCTTGCCTTCGGTGGGGTCATGCCCGCCCGGTCTGCCACTCCATCACCTGTCGTTGCAATCACTGCGGAGGTAATCACTTAGAACAGGAACACCACCAACGGGCAGCTTGCTGCCAGGGCGGAAACCCCACGCCAGGCAATGCGCCGTGCCCACACCCACCCAAGTGTGTCAACTGTGGCGCAGCCCACAAGGCTACCGAACGCACCTGCCCCTTCTACGGACACCGTCATGATTGCGACTGGATCAGCCAACATCAACCCCATGCTGCGAGTTAGCAGCCTTCTCGTGGCTACCCGAGACCGCACAACACGCGCTCTGGTCTCGGTCGCGCTCAAGGCCTCTCCGAGAGCCGTCGCGTGTGCTTCCTCACCCAACCCAGTGCCTCACCCGCTGGCCCCATTAGTCTGCAGTGCCTGCCTGTGCACGACTACTCCCCCCCACCGTGCCAGGCACCCGCCGGCCCGCCCCGCCCTTATTGACGTAGTACTCGATGTTACTCGATTCTAGCCTGCCAAAGGCTACGAGCCTAGCTCTCTGCCTCACCAAATAGACACCTTACCATCGCTTGGTGCCCTGGTCATATTGGTATGATGTGCTAAGAATAGGCCGACACCCTTGCAGAATCCTCTCCGAGACAATCCACCCGCCTTCATCTCAGCCTCCTTCCTAAAGCAAAAAGCCTACGTTTCTATGCTCCAAGCATGGCAATTCCTCATGAAATCTACAAAGTACAGCGGGAGAGACTTTCTGCGACAGTGCACACTCCGCAAAGTTGCCTCTACCCAGAGTAAGGTCCTCGCTCATATTGGCGGACCAAATACCCTAGCCGTGCGCACCGTGCGCCTCCTCCTCAATCACGGCCCCACGGGCGAGTACAGAACCAATTTTTTCCCCTACGAGAATTATATCTGTAATTGGTGCTGCGAGGTGCAAACGCGCACCCACATTCTCTTCTGGTGCACGCACTACCAGCAGCCACCGGACTTTACCATAGCTAAATATCTTACCAGCAGGAACCCCCTTCCAGGGCTCATACAATTCCTTCGCGACAACCCGTCTGCTTTCACTTTCGAAGACGCCCCGCTCAGTGCGGAGGACCTCCTTACCATAGAATCTTTGTGATTTCCCTTTTCTCCCTTTCATCTCCCATTGCCCGCCATAGTTGGGCTGATAGTCCGGGTCTTAAATGAACCCTTTACGAGCTACGTACATACGAGGCACACATCCGCTTTTACTCTAGCCGCCACTGGCCTTACGCCGCGCGGGATATAAATACATTGATTCAAAAAAAAGACACGTTTTATGGGAAAACAGAGCCCCAAAACTGACGTTGACATCCAGTCCGGAGAGTATTGCTGGCGCCATTCGGAGGAACTAACAGTCCTCGCGTCCTCGTGCTCGAAAGTATCATAAGCAAGTTGAGCTCTGAGTTAGACAAGAGCGCGTTACTCATGCGTGTCATTCTCGTTAATCGCTATCTACCTCACGGAGCTTGCTTGTATTCTACAAAAGTCGAAGGCCAGCCCAAATATCAATCGTGGCTTGACATGTTGAGATTCATAGTCTAGCTTTGACCGCAACCTGGCCTGCCATTTCCTCTCTCGCACGGTCCCGGAGATGTCTGCGAAGGATTTTGCCAGACGTACTGAAACATATGATACATTGTTGAGTCAAGTGGTCTGTAAGACTGTAGCGGTCAGAGACTAACCTCTTAGGGATGGCATCTACGACTACCACGCCTACAAAATCAATTAATCGGTGATCCATAGTAATAAGCGCTATGCAACGCCACACAAAGAGCGGAGAACGAACCTCCTCTTAAGAACTTGTGCCTTGCAACACGTCCCTCGATCCATGTTTGAATCTGACGTGCGAAAGCAGCCGATTCCGCAGGCGATGGGAGGCTGTCCTTGTGTACAATGTACGCACTAATGGGCACGAAGACGCTCAATGTCATGCATCTCCGAAGCTTGAATAATCCATACCGCGGAAGTTCCGTTGCTTGTGAGGCATCCTCTATGCCGATGACAGCCGCATCAATGATCTGAGGATGCTGGAGGAGGACGCTTTCCAGCTCGGCCGGTGGCACTACAGATAGTAATCTAAGCAAAACAATTGGAACAGGCTGTCATAAGTGACATTACCTTGAAAGCCCTGATTAGTGTTCATCAGCAAAAATCATGACGATGACATGAGCCAACACCTGCCAACACACCTTGTATTTGATGAGCTCCTTCTTGCGATCTACGATGGCGTAAAACCCATCTGCGTCGACTATGGCTATGTCTCCCGTCTTGAACCATCCGCTGGAAGTGATCGCGTTCCGTGTTGCCGCCACATTGTTCAGATAACCCTATCGCAAATCATGATATCAAGGGTCCTTCGGATCTTATAAGTCACACGAACGCACCTTCATCACTGTCGGACCACGTATCCACAATTCTCCAGGTTCCCCTTCTTTCGCATCGACATCTGCTTCTCCATCATCCTTCTCTCTCACCACAATACGCGCTTCTAGATTGGGCAGCAATACTCCGATGCTTCCAACTTTGCGAAGGGTGTCCTTGCGCGGAACAATGTGTGTGACCGGTGAAGTTTCGGTCAAGCCGTACCCTTGTGCGATGTCAACGATTGCGCCCACTGATTTCAACTTCTCGATGGCTGAATAGAGAAGCGCTGCACCTAGAGGTGCGGCACCACAGGAGAGGAAATTCAATGATGTCATATTGAATTGGGTTGTCGCTGACGAGCCACGGGTCAGAGAAGACATCCCGTGTAAGTGCATGAGTACATACCAGGGTGGTGAACTAGCGCCAGGAGAATCGGAGGGACAATGAGCGATGTCGTGATATGGTAGGTTTCAATGTTTCGACAGAAGTCGGTAGGGTCAAACTTTGGCATGATCACAACGGGGATCCCTACGAAGAACGGATAGAGTAGGATCTTGGCCATACCTAACCAAATATGCACAAAATTTCAGTGTTGTCAAGACATGAAGGTTTTGGTGCTCTCCGTGGTCGCTCGACTCGCCCAATCACGCAAAAGCATGGGAGGACACCAATGGTATGAACGTACATACCATAGATGTGATAATAAGGAAGCACATTCAAGATAACATCTTTGCCAGGCGTCAATTTTGCGAAGGCAGATTCAATCATGGCAATGACGTTGGCCAAGTTTCTATGGGTTGTCTGGAATGTCGAGGTTGGCATGATAAATGAGACGAACTGAGACCGAAGCGCACCTCAACACCCTTAGGATTACCAGTTGTCCCAGACGAATAACATAACAAAGTCGTCTCGTCAGCTTGATCTCCCTCGAACGTCTCCTCTGCTGTCAGAGCACCCTGACTCATCAAGACATCTAATCCGAGTAGTCCATCCTTGCGCGCTTGACTGCCATCTAGCTCTGCTAACACTATTCGCTTTCTTGCTTCAGTCTCTGATACGCCTTTCAACTTGAACATTTCCAAAACGACCCCGACTAGGTCAGGATGAGCGATTACCAGGTGAGCCCGGCTATCTTCATACTGAAATTTCAACTCATCAGGTGTATAGCCACTGTTTGCAAGGGTAGCACGAGCACCAGCTGCAAAGACACCAAGGATTGCGACAGGCCAGACAAGACTGTTTGGACTGAAGATCATGATTGTATCTCCACGGCGTACTCGTCTGTCTGAATTCTCAGCGTCAGATTCTATACATCTCGACCGAAAAGAGTCTTACCAGCAGGCAATACATTGCGCAAACCGTGTGCGAGGGACAATGTCAGAGAATGAAGCTCTGCGCGTGAGATAGTTCTTCCTGTAGGCGCATCTATGAAAGCGGCGAGAGACCGAGGATGTCTATTGGAAGAAAACAGAAAGGTGTAGACAGATTGAGAAGGTATTGGCAGAGTAGGGTAGGGCGAAGTGTGGATAGACATGGCAGCGAGCAACTCGACCTGTTTGCAATGTGGGGTATTGTGATCAATGTCGCCAGGACCACGTCAGAAAGTGCGGGGTAAAGCACCGATTTATACTAATCCGAAAGGAGAAACCGGTGCCGGGATATGTTCACCGGTCCGTCGAGGGACGGGGTTGGCTCGGGATACAAACGGGGTTTTGCTGAGGTCGCGCGCGCTATAGGAAACGGCGACTTAGACCGACCCTGATTGAGATCCGGAAAGAGCAACAAGAGCGGTTTCGGCAACAAGAGCGGTTTCGGTGACATATGGCGCACACCTGACCTGAGCAGCAGAACTACTTTGACATTCAACGGTCTATTATTAGCAGCCAATATATGATGATGAGCAATAAATCATCTCAGAGCTATATAGCGGAGTAGAGGGGATCCGCTGGGCTCTCGGCAACGCTTTAACAACCTTTCAGACTTGCATGCTGCGCAGCTACGATACAATGGAAGAATACGTACAGCACAGTGTCTTCCTTGAGCATGAGGGAGATCGCTTTTCCATGAAAATCCGAAAATCCGATGGCCGTACGCCGAGGACATGTGCAACCTACAGCGGCTTCCAGAAACAAGATGAATGCTGAGTATAATCCTTGAAGGATGTGGAATGGAGCCGAAAGTGCCTGGGGGCTCGGAAAGACGTATGAAGGTCAGAGGACTCCGCTAAGGCTCGTTCTGATGCTGTCTGAATCACGAGATGTCGGGCGGCATTCAAAGCGGAAAATGCTCACCAGAATAACGATCATGGTGGATATTCGCATACACTCCAACTGGCTTCGTATCCAAGAAAAAGAAACAGTTAGATAGCTCTGAGCCAAATCGCAAATGGACCCGTCACTCAACAGCTTGATGCACGAGAACAAAGACTATTTTAGCGCCCTGATGATATCTCGCGCTCGTTGAAATGACTACATTCTCATCGTTGGTAGTTCACTTATCGGTCTACCTTGAGTGTGGCAGAATGGGGATGATTGTACGAGCTCTTGAGAGGCTGGCTCGTCGCCTTAAGTCCACCAAACGAACAAACTCGAGCAAATAACATTGACAGCTTTTTCCGCAGATGATCCAGACACATGTCAAGAAGCATTGGAGGCTAGAAACATAAGTACGTATCTATGTCAGGCATCAGAACTTCAGGCCAAGGAGAAGACCTGGCTAGACCTGACCAGTATTCCTTGCGCATCGGCAGATGGCATGCTATAGAATTGGCTTAAAAGTGGTTTACAACCAATCGGATATGGTGTAACGGCTAACATTGCCGCCTCTCATACTGTTCGCGGCAGCTCGGGGTTCGATTCCCCGTATCCGAATTTTATTTCTACAACCCGAGCAGGAGATTACTATCCACCAATGATTACCTCCAACATCGGGCACCAATATAGGCAGGAAAACCACATGCTCACAAGATCAAGATAGGGCGTTGATGGGGCGTATATACATCGAGAGCGAGTGGTGTAGCGCTAAACATACAGAAAACAGGACAAAAAAACAGTTGAAGATTTTCAGACTTGGACCTTGATGTTGATGACGCTTGTACATTAAGCATATGAGACCTTGAACGCCCAGGCGTACTGCACTTTGTTCAACTCGTCGTCGCCCACTTCCACCGACAGCACGCCGTCGGTACTCGTCCAGTCGAGCCTACTCCCAGTGCCACCGAGCAGGGTGACCGAGTCTCCGAGAGCGATGGGGACAGGAGCCGGCGTGCTCAGCGTCCCGTTGGGCCGACTGAGCGCGACGATGTAGAACGCGTCAGGCGTGGTCGTAAAGCGCACGTCGGTGAATCCTGGCGTGGTGTCTGCCGAGGCGATCCACCACGGGCGGGTGCCGTAGATCGCTTCCCCAGAACTGTTGAGCCAGGCACCAACCTCGAGAAGAGGCCCTGTCATTTCTGGAATGACGGTCCCATCCGCCTTGGGACCAATGCTGCAAGCGGAATCTATAAGACTGCAGTTGATCCTCGAACGTTGGACTCACTCGAGCAGGTAGTTGCCACCTTTCGATACCATGCTACAAGGAACGTGTCAATGATTTCGTCGCCTCTAGATATAAATGCATACTCGGTGAGCTTGGGTATGATCTCCGATGCTTGCTGGTAGGCATCCGGTGGTCTGCGAAATTCGATCACATATAAGTCGAATAAAACAGAGAGCTCGAGGTTGCAGTCCTCACGTGTCCGAATTGTATCCGTAGCTGAAAGGGTCCATCCCTTCGCTACTCTCCCACTTTTGCGACTACAGGTAGAACTTGAGTGGCGAACTGCAGAAGCAGTCAAAATGTCACATACCAGCCGCGCAGGGTAAGTAGCATATTCCGGAGTGACAAAATCGGTCTGATTCGTTCCGCAACGGTCGTCTCGCACGACTTGCCTCCCCTGTGACGCTGCGTAGTTGTACCAATCGCCGGCTAAGAGACATGATGAGGTCCCAAAAGAATAAGCACGAATGGTGATCACAAACCGAACGTGGGGAATGAGGACCATCCACCAATATCACACCTAAAAATCACTCGTCAGCCTTGATTCGGAAAGAGAGATTGTCAGTTTCACCAGAGAATTTCAGTATCGTATTTGTAGAAGAGAGTTTCCATCTGAGGTTTCTGGACTGTGCCGGGATAAGTCGTACAGTGGAACGCACGCGCGCCACGACTTACTATCCTCGAGGAAATCGTTCACCTTGACCCATCCGGTATAGGGGTCGCAGCATGAACCGTTGAAGGCATTCAATGCCGGACGGCCAGGGAAGCTCACACGTGCGTAGGGAGCGTAGTCCGGGTTGAACCATTCTGCAAGGTTGATGTGAGGCGAGATGATTTTTCAAGGAGACTGCCGAGATTTTTTTTACCTGGCATACTGAAGTAGGTCTATACACTGCGTAGTGAGTGCCGAAAATGCAAAATCGATAGTGCCGACTTACGCCTCTACGCAGAGACGGATGGCGTGCCTTCGCACTGTCTAACAGTTCCTTGACAATGTCGCGCCTTTGATGTTCTCAATTCAGTTATGCACGTCGTGCTGAGCAAAAGAAAGCCTACTTCGGCCCAAGAAGCAAAGAGTTCCGGTTGCTGGAGCTACCAGTATCAAACTGCACAGCGCACAGCTCGTTAGGGAGCACTCCCAGGCTGCGACAAATTGGCTGCGAAGACACACCAGAGCGAATCCGTCGTGATGCTTGGTTACGAGGACGAAATATTTCGCGCCCGCGTTCACGAACAGGTCGACCCAGTCGTCAGGGTTCCACGCGGATGCGGTGAAGTTGGCGATGAAGTCGTCGTACACGACGTTGGGTCCGTACGTGCTCAAGTGATGCACCCATGTCGGAGAGCCCGAGTTGGGTGCTGAGAGGGCAGATATAATGAGGAACGTATAAATTGACACGTCAAAGCGACTGACGATTATGAAGATCCCAGTTGTACCTGAAAGACCACGATATTAGAAAGTAACAGCGCAAGATATGGAAATGAGATACCATTCAGCGTATTGCTGACCGGATGGTGCCCACGCTGGAACGCTGTATACGCCCTGTTACACATTCGTCAACATTTCGAACACTCACGTAAATCAATCAACTTACCCAATGGATCTACGAAATATCATATCGCAAATGTACCGTACCATAGGAGGGTGAAACACTCACAAATATGCCAAACTTCGCATCTTCGTACTACGAAGGAACCCACTCAGTAAACATCTTCATGAAGACGCGACCGATCCGTACATACCCATTCAGGCGACTCGTGTGTATCCAAACTTGGATCGTTGTTCTGGTAGTCTGGGATGCCGGCGACGACCGGCCAAGCCTGAGCGCCTCCAGCAAGCGCGACCTCCTTCCCATCCTTATCCTTCACCACCACAGTGACCGTCGCATTGCTGCCCGAGGTCACATCGACGCTATTCTGAACGCCCACGACGACCGTGACCTGGTCGTTCGTCCTCAATCTCCGGAACGAGCCGGGAGCGATGGTGTGGAGCGAGCTGGAGACCAGGGAGACCGAGTGATTGGAGGTGACCCATTCGGCCAGGGGGCCGTTGAGCGGGGAGACGTTGTTGATCGTCACCTCGATGATCTGGGTCCGCGCAGACTTCGATGTCGTCTCGCCAAGCCATTTGGTTGTCGAGCGAACGGTCTGCACGCTCAGAGCGGGGGCCGCTCTCGGCGCGGCGCCGGAATCTAACACCTGCTGACCCGAGGAGGCGAGAGCTTCTGCTTCCATGGCACCGGCAGCGACAGAGGCATCCGCTGAGATGAGGGAGATGGAGAAGAAGTTGATTTGCGACGATTGCACTGGCAGAGTAACCGACTTGAGCTTCTTGTCGTTCCGCACGCTCACGGTCACGAAGTGGATATGCGTCCTGTTGTAGTCGATAGTCATACCATAGTCGTACGTCGGGTTTGCATAGTGAAAAGGTCTGTGAAGTGCTCGTTCAGCACGAGAATCATAAGAACGTACAAGATATGCATACGTAGAGATCGGCCCGTTGAAGATGCTGCCGCCTGAGTACCACGGCGCGACGATGATCGCAGTGTCCTCGGACGTGCCGTCTTCGAATGCAAACGTCACGTTCGAGACTCTTACATCTCCCAGACCAACCGCTAGCGCGTTGAAAGACTGATAAACACTGCCCCCCGATGGCACAGGCACCACCTGCGAGTTCGACTGAACGGTGTCTAGGGCAGACAGATTATGGAACGGAGGCAAGTCGAACTGCAAGCCTGTTCAGACGCCAGCACCCTCGACAGCGGAAACAGATGTACCTCTATGCCGGTAAAGCTGAACGTTTTCGCTGTCGGAAGCCACTGGACCGGATAGGCCCGCCCGCTGCCGTCGAAGTTCGCCGCAGTGTCATTGAGGCCCGAGGAGGCTGCTTTCGCATTGAAGAGAGGCGAGAGATCGAGTTTCACGGATTCTGCAATGACCGAGCATGAGCTCCACAGACCCAAAGAAAAAATCGTCAAGAACGTTAGAAGACAGTGGAGCATTGTGCCTCAGAGGGAGAGGAGTGCCCTGTACGAGTTGACCAGGTTATATGGGCTGTGATCTGGGCCGGCGGCGCGGACGGACAAGATCGCTTATAATCACGCATCATCATGCAAGGTCGTTGTAGAGAAGGTCAACGTCTCCACAGAGACAACTGAATCTAGCGGCGATCAACTGACGACGCGTCGAAAGGCGGGGTCGAGAGCATCGACGATAGGTGCGCCCATTGTGCGAACCCCAACCACACCATCTGACATGGGAAGCCCCGCCTTTGAGTACGCAGCAACCCTCATTCGGCGAAAAGAACGCAAAAAGACAAGGAGAAGAACACGCACGCGTGACAGCCCCAAGTTCGAGGAGCTGACTATCGAGAACGGGCGCAGACGGGTAGTAGAGGGAGTGCGCTGCGTCGTACACATTCATCCATGCTGGAAGCGACAGGTAGTAGTTTCGGGAAACCAGAAAGTTAAACATAGCATCAAGCAAACGATGCGGATGCTCGTCGTTCGCAGAAGTTACGGGTTGGAGTGGGCGCTGGGCAAGATATCCACGGAGAACGATATGGAAAGTCGTTTGCTGCTCGCAGCTTGCGCTCTAGCAAGTTCAGGGGCCTTCAAGCGCTCTATGCGCGTTCAGGACAGTGGTAGTCGTCGTTGTCGTCGTCAGCAACGAACAGACCAAAAGTACAACATTTCAGTCGGGTTCTTCTGCCAAGCCACGTGCTCCTAACAGCGATGCCGTTTTCGCAAAGAAGAGTTCGGATCCAAGATTTCGACTCCAATGGCACAGAGTCTGCTCCGAACGGCTTCATTTGACGTCTGGGGTTTCGAGAAGGACTGATGAAGTAATTTGTACAAATGGCGGAGCCGAAAATCCTTAGTAGGCCCCCGCCAGTCAGCCTCCGCGCTACGCCGACTCGCATGATGGCGGCCCCATGACATTCCACGGATCCCGCATTCCCAACGTCTTCCATCAAAATCCATCAGAATACCTTGAAGGTTCGTCAGCCTCGGAGCGTAGGTGGGGCGCGCGGCGGTACATTAACGGAAAACGACAAATGGGGGGCAGTTGGGCGTCGAGACCGTCTATTGATACAGCATCATCCATGTGTTCGAGCGCTCACTCAAGCAGCGTACCGCAGCGACATCCCTGAAGACCGTGTATGGTACGAGTTCTGACGGAGATTCATCGGCCAGATTGACCGAGAATCACTCCGCCGTTTATTCCATGATTGAAAAATGTTAAGTACGAGTACATGCTCACAGTATAAATAACACAACAAACAGCAGAAGAAAAACGATAGAGATCGTTCATCCTGTCCGAGAAAATAATAACTTACAACTCTACCGCGTCCAGCGCCCGATTCAACTCGTCATCGAATACTCGCATCTGAAACGCCGTTCGGAAAGGGGCACACAGCTTGCCAGGTAACGAGAAAACAACCTTCTCGAACACATCACGGAACCGGCCATCTCCATTCTCTCCTACATTACAGGCCAATAGTTCGGCATAGATCTGAGCAACGACCTCGACAGACAACCCTTCGCGGCATCCAAAGGCTCCTAGAACAAGTTTACGGTCACCATGCAGCTCAAAGAGCCTCAATGCGCGCCCAAGACGATCCTTGACTGTCTGCCGGATGGTTGCCTCGACAATTTCTGTAGACGTCGGGGAGAATGATGTAGAATCATTGGAGGGGAAAGGGGGAGGGGATGAGGCGGTGCGAATGGTATTCGCATTCACTGGAACAGCAGAGACGACATTCATGAGATACGGGGATACGTATTCCCCCATCGCGCGTTGATTCTGAGCATTCACCGCAGGCGGTAGTTCGAGCTCCGCTGTTGTCGGGTCGGCAGGAATGGCATCCAGTTCAGGATCAAAGTCATCGTCCTGAACGTTAAAGTGATCGTCGTCGTCTCTGCGGAAGCCGACGATAGAGGGGGAATAGACGAGTGAATGCGGGAAGAAACCGGCGCCGTATTCCTTGGTATATTTCTTCATCTCAGAGTAGAACTGCCGTGCCTCGGGGGTGCTGAGGGATGCAACGAGGGAAGTCGAGCGAGCCAACACCGCATCTGGTTCTGTGCCGCCGCTGAGGTAGGCCCCACCTGGACGATGGACAGAAGCAGAGGTGAGCACGCCGATGGTAGTCTGACGGATGGGATAGGGGGTTGTTTTCTGTGAGGCCACAGAATCGAGGTAAAGCCGGCGGGACCTGTTCACGGCCGAATACTTTGAGAACTCGATCGCTGTCCTTCTGGGCGCCACTAACGACGATGCGGCGGGGCGAGTGACCCAGGAACGAACGACATCGGAATCGTGGGGATAAAAAACAGTCGCCCTGTTGCTGTAGCGTACCTGGGATGATATGTCGTGCACAACATGCCAAGTGCTCAGGCTACGCTGCAACTGTGAGGTCTCTGGGGAATCAGCAATGGGCGATGAAGACACGGCAGGGACACTGCAACGCAGGTTCTCTACGTACTTGCCATCACCAAGTGCAATCGCTGCGGTCTGGCGGGCGATCGATGCCCATTGCTGATGCTTGACGCGTCCAGCAGCAAATCGGATAATCTGCTTTCTGCGTTTCTGTCTGTGAGTTGAGTGCTCCTGCGGGGGGTGAGAGGGTTTGGGTTGGGAGGATGATTTAGAGCGGTGAGGACCTCGCGTACTGCGAGTGGACGTGAGTTTGGCCATGGCGTCGATAGGTGTTGGGATGCGGGTGTGAGTGGGAGTGGGGAACAAAGGGCGGATCAAGAAGCGGTTGATGGCCTCAGCTATTTGAAGCTCCGCTTCAATCGCTGCCATTGCCACAAGCCTCTAACGATCACTGTGTAGGCACGAACAACAACACGGAAACATTGCCTTCTCCTCTCTCCTCCTCCTCCTCCCTCTCTGTCTCTCCGCGGCTCTCTTGTCTCCTGTAACGGCCACCAGCTTACTTTCTTGACCACAAAATGGCATCTCTCCTCGAACGCATGAACATCGATGTTCCGGCGACCTCTGTCGGACCCGTCCGCACCAAACCGAAACGCGCAACCCCCACTCCTTACGTGCGTCCGGTTTTCATGCGTCAAACCGTGGCATTCACCGACCTCGTTCTCTTTTTGCATCGACCGGCGACCACAGAACCGCTCGCCAAAGCTGCCCAGAGGTGACGTGAACGGAACGTGGGAGCACGACCTGTATCAGACGGATGGAGGGAACGGAAAGTCCCTGTCGGCGCGCCTCACGTCGCCCGGGGGTGCGCCGAAGATGAACTTTGGGTTTGCGGAGAAGGCGCTGCAGGAGGCGACGGGGGTGAGGGGGGACCGCGGGGAGCTGTCGATACGTGGTGCGAGTTCGCGTGGAAATGTCGTAGAGGTGACGGGCCTCGTAAGTGGTACCACAGCCGAGGATGTCGAGGTCCGTTTCTATCATCGTTCGGTTGACGTCAGCTCAATTTTCACAAACAAATTGTGGTGTCTTATCGCTTGCCTCGTGCTCTCTGCCAGGCCATCTTCAAGCGCTGTGGCCCCATTACCCAGTCATCCGCAAAGCCGACTGCCGCGGGGGGCGTGTCTGTCCGGTTAACGTTCAAGCACGAAAAGGACGCAAAGACCGCAGAGACGCAGTTCGACAAACAAGTCGCTGACGGGAAGACGCTCCACGTGAAGGTGATCGGCGGCGTCAACGCCAGTCTTACCGGACGTCTGGGCGTGGGCGTACAAGACGGGAGCGTCGACGTGCTGCTGGGCGAGAGCACAGGATCTTCGTACGTGTTTTTAGCCTTTTTGAGGACCTTGTTCTCCGCTCACGTCCGGTTCTGTATTCATCAGGAAAATGCGCTCCGATGATATTTTGAGCGACGCCGACGCTCGCGCGCGTGCGCATGTTCTCGTCGCACCTCCCGGCGCCGACCCCAAAGACTACACGCAACAGCACTGGCGCGGTCGCGGTAGAGGGAGAGGACGGCGGGGGTTCGTCAATGGGAATGGGCGACGGGGAAAAGGAGAAGGGCGGATGGATGTAGACTGAAACCGCTGTCCGAGAATCGGCGTTTTTTCTCTGCTGTTTTTCTGTGTCGTTATCGTCGGGTGCCCCCTCCGCTCTGTCTCTTGTCTCTTTGTGTTGTACTAGCCATACTCTATCCTCCCTGCGCGCTTATTTCAGGCCGTCCCCTGTCTGCCTCGTGAATATCATAAATTATTCTCACGAGAATTTTATGACCTCCCAATGGCTTGTCGTACGTACTCTCGCCAGGCATACAGTTTGACAGGTTTTTGCGCATGGGACCGAGAATTTTTGTAGAATTGTGCACTATGTGTAACTGATGTGTTGTCTTGTGAATTGAGAAAGAAAAACGCCGAAGGATTATTGGTGTGTCAAAGACCGCCGCTACACTGCGTGGTTGATTGAATATACTATTGTGCAACTCTACCGGAAACAGACTACCAATGTGACGAGGAATACTGATACTCTGTCTGCTTGCTTCAGATGAAGAGGGCAAAACCAGCAAGGATCACATCAGCAAAGGTGACAAAACGTGGGATGGCCTTGGACGGATTGGGGGGTTATATAATCTCGAGAGCCTGCAGGCAAGGTCATATATGGCATTGCATTTGCCGCGCTCTCCTTGGTGGTTCGGCGCAATCGTTGCATTAGATTGCAATCTGGAGGCCCCGATGCCAATGTAATATATTCCTGGCCTTCATGATATTTTCTTATACATGCACACCGGCCTCAAAATATATTGTTAAACATGCACACCGGCTCAGAATATGATGTTATACATACACCCGGCCTCAAGATATAATGCGATACATACACACCGGCCTCAAAACTCGCCATAACCCTCCTTCGCAAGCACTCGCTCGTCCCGCTCCCTTCCGTTGCCTTCAGGCAACGGGTTGGGATCATTGTCAGAGTCCTCCTCCTCCTCCTCCTCCTCCTCCTCCATCAAAGGGCCTTCTTCTCCCTCCTCTTCTTCAGATTCCTCTTCCGAATCATCGTCCTCAGCGCCGCCTTGCTCGTCGACTGCCTCATCGGAGGGCTCCTCCGGCACTTGTGCAGCTTGCCCATCTCGGAGAAGGCTGGCATTGAGGTGCCATGTGCCCTTGTGACCGATGCCGCCGCCGTGGAAGTGCATGAACATGTCGCGGTCCACAAACCTAGAAGGAATTGAGAAATATAAGTAGGAAATGATGTGAAACTTACATGTTAATATGATACCCCTCCCAATCTTCATCATTTTCTGCTGGCTGTTGAGTGATAGACGACCCAAGTCGCTCGGAGGTGTGTTCATGTGCAAATGCAGGGATGAGGTGTACACTGCAGATGATTTGCTCGGGGTCTAAGAAGCCAAATGCGGCGGGATCGTCTTCGGGGATGAAGGCAACACTGTGCTAGTGCTGGTTTCTCTGCAGGCGCCGGATCTGTCTTCAGGAATGTGGCTGAATCACAGACCTTGTCCAGTGAGTTTTCGGGTTCTGGATCGTGCATTGGGCGTTGCTTATACCGGCGGAATAACCCAAATTCATTGGGTTTCATATCAAAGACAGGGTCCGGCACTGGCACCGGCTCAGGCGGAGCAGGAGGTAGTGGTACAGACTCCGGGTTGGGTTGGGTAGGAAGGGGATGCTGTTTCGAGGGGATATGAGGGAGGGGAGTGGCGGAGCCGGGCAGGAAGTTGTCAAAGCGCTTGGGAAACCGTATTCCATGTCCAGATCGTGCAGAGTGCGTGATAGGAGGCTCAGGCGAGGGTGGGAGTTCTGAAGATGAAGATTCTGGGATGGGGACCGAGTCCAAAATGTCGTGCTGATATGCAAAAAAACGTGAAGACTGTTCAGTATGTAGTGAGTGCGCACAAAGGTTGACGACACTCACCTCTGCTGTCAACTCTTCAGGTTCTACCAACACCTGAGCTCTCTTCCTTGGCCGTGTCTCCGCCTCCTCCACTGTCTCCTCCTTTCGAGAGCGCTTTTGCTGAAAGGTAACATCTTGAATCTCTTGATAGCCTTTGCAGTTCCATTGATGCGTCTTGAGAGCACGCCGGTCGTGGAAATTTCGGGGACACGCGAGGCATTGGAAAGCCATTAAAAGGAGGAAAACAAGAATGATATTAGGGTTTTCATGCTCGTCGAGGGTGCGCGAGCCTCATTGAGCTGTGAAAATGACAAGATGAGTCCGACTCTGCAAAAAGTCTGCTGACGCAATCATGTGACTGCTCAACGTGTCGCGAATTGATTGTTTGGTCATCACTTTCGCTTTCACTCTCACTCTCACCATGCCTTATCGACCCCCTCCCTCCGACAATTCTGACTCAAACATGGAACATTCAAGGTATGTCTCAAACCCAGAGAGAGCGGTATCAAAACGTGCCACAGAAGACACACGCCGCGCACTGAAAAGCATGGCACAACACAAGGGCAAGAAGCCCAGGAAGGACACATCAAAGTAAGTTTATCTTCTTCAATTCTTGTCAACTAACTCCCTCTATTCTCGACAGGTGTGATGATCAAGACGTCTATAAGAGCACTGCATGCTAGATCCCATGTGGAATTGGTCTCTATGAAGATCTCCATAACGTCTTTCGTGTCGGCATGTGCATATAATATGGGCGCCAGGCAAGATTGGACAAGGAATCGGGCAGCGATGATAATTCCGGATGCTTTACTGATGATCTTCATCTGTGAGTACGTTGTTAACAATTTCACTGACCGTCTCTCACTTATAAGATAGGCAAAAGGATCAAAAGAAGACATACCTCAAGATTTTCAAACAGGTTCTCAACCTTGTCCCCGGCTTATGTGCTAAGGCCGAGTCCGAAGGTAATAAAGACTCGTTTCAGCTCTTACTTAACATAGTAAGTGCATATATGCACATATACACATACTACTCACCTCTCGTTAGATGATCAAAAGCAGCGCAAATGCTTGCGCTGTCAATACGACGCACATGAAAAGATTTGTCGCCAAGTATGCGCCGCTCGACCCAGTCGTGCAACTGATCAAACTGGCACTGATGCAGAGCAACAAGTGCGACCGCGGGTTTTCACACCAGATGCTTGCGTGTCTGTTGTGCCCTAACAAGTACCTTGCGCTCTTCGACAAGAATCCCATCCAGTACCTTTTTTCTCAGCTTATATGATGGTCACTGATTTTATTTGGCTCTCTTTTTCCGTAGCACCTGGAACAAGCTCAAGAATAACAAGATCAAGGTGCTCACCAGGCATTGGCCCGCCTTTCTATATGAAGACTACCAATACGACCCCAGCAACCGCGAGAAAGGCTTATTTCGCAGCCGCCTTATTCTCTGCGTAAGTTTTTAACCATGCCATCATTGAAGTGCTAACACATTCTCTCATTGCACAGACATGGAAGGCTATATACATAGGGCCCTCAGCTGCAAAATTAGCACCAGGTGTCACGACAATTTGCACCAAGAGCGGGAACGCAAAACTGCATGGCATCAACGTCGTGACGCCTCAAACAATCGCGTATGCCACTTGCCAGGTAAGTTGTCAATCAATATGTTCATGTGCAGGCTCACTTCAAGTTTCCAGGCATGCTTCGCCATCAGCTCCATTGACATGTGGAGCCCAGACAATGGAACCTTCAACCATCCAACATTCTACAGCAGGATTGTTGATCTATTTGAGATGTATCAGGCTGACAAGTGGACAAAGGACACCCTTGCATGGTGAAACAAGTACTAACCATCTTGCTCTTTGGCTCTGCGGCGCGCTCTCGTTTCGGCTTTTTGTGGTTTATCTTCCGCATTACCGACTCATGTATATTTCTTCTTGCCACTGAATATATTCTTATCGTTTGATTGCCATGTATACTTACTCTTGCTGCTCAATATATACCGGCCATTAAACTAACATGTTTTTATTGTCTGACCAGTGAATATAAGCTCAATATTAGATTGTGGATCATGCAATGCCTTGCAAGCATTGCCTGGCAATATATTCTCGCCAATCCTCACTGAGTAATATATACTTGTCTCAAGGCTTGGCAAAAACCCCAAGAAATATGAAGATTGCATTTTTGCTCGTGCCTCATATGCTAATGCAATACCCCCCCTCCCAATTGGAGGTCTTGGTGGGTTTCCAGGGTATATAAAGGTATACATAGCTATCTATCATTTGTGCACTTTTGCTGATGCAGCTCCTTGTCCACCTCTTCCAAGGGCGGCTTCGATCCCGAGCTTTCATCATCGCTCGAAACAAGTTCATTATACATCCTCTTTGAATCTGGGTACAGCCACAAGAGTGCATTTGCCAGACGCGTTTGAACCCCACGTACCACAGCCTCATCGACACCGGCCCCATGTGTTGCACATGCATCAGTAAACGGGCAAATATACTTGCTTAGCTTATAGAGTGCTGGTGCCATTTGGGCAAGTTTTGCAAGGGCTGTAAGGCTTGTAAGACCGGAGCTTGGGCAAGTGCAATCAGCTAGGTCTTATTTCGCAAGTGGCATGTAAGGAACGTGCAAGTAATATAAGCTCGCCCGAGCAAGCTCCACAAATGTCGATGACAAATCCAATGAATAAAACATTAAATTTATGCACTCATCAGGGTTTGAACCCTAGACCTCACATTATCACCTGGCGGAACTCAAAGCCAGCAGTTTTAAATGCTACACCAGTAGGTCTTATAATTATACAGGAGGTATTTGCAATATATAAAGCTCCTATTGACTTAAAGCAATTTTTTTGGGTAAGTCAGACTGGCTCTTATACAACTTAAACCCTCTAAATCTTTGCTTTTTGGACATTGATGGGAGTGACACCCTAAAATGACTCATTCAGATGAGACATTATTTTTTCATGCTCACAGGGTCTTGTCCACATGAAAAGTGTCTTAAAAGCAAAGATTGAGAAGGTTCGAGTTGTGCAAGGGCTAGCCTAACTTATCCAAAGAAATCACTCCAAGTTAATAGGAGCTCTATATATTGCAAATACCTCCTATATAATTATAAGGCCTACTAGTGTAGTGGTTGAAACTTCTGGCTTCAAGTTCTGCCAGGTGATCATGTGAGGTCTTAGGTTCAAATCCTGATAAGTGCATAAATTTGATGTTTTATTCATTGGATTTGTCATTGACACTTGCAGAGCTTGCTCAAGTGAGCCTATTGCTCCTTGCATAACACTTGGAAAATGAGGATACAGCAGATGAAGCTTGCTATAAGGTCTGATGCTTGCTGCAAGCTAGAAACACTTACAGGTCCTTATAGAGAATGAGTAAGGAAAAGTAACTTATAGAAGTGATGTAAGTGTCTACAAGTGATGTAAGTACTGTAATCATATTTGCCCATTTACTGATGTGACGAGCTGTGTGATCCACTCATTAGCCATCCTGTCTCGTACCTTACATCATATTTGTCTATCCAAAGAGTGCAGCAGAGGCAGCTCCACTTACTATACCTAATAGCTTGCTAATCTGGTTGATAAAAGAGCTGGCAAAGATCTGTATATGACAATGACAACGAGAGTGACAATGGTCTGCTGAAGTGCAGAATGATATGAATTTTGGTGTGGATGCACATTTTGATAACCTACTGATTTTCCCAGTTACTACACATTTTAGTTTGTTGCCAGTTTCTGCAAAGCCCTGGGAGATGGAGGGGCTTGAGCACCACATGCATGCTACATAGCATCCACATTGTTGTCGCAAAGAGAAATTTGGCCCTCTTCCAAACCAATGAAGGTATCATTGACCCAGTGATATGGGATATGCTCATCCAAAAACCACCACTTTACTATCTAGACAAGCCATGTGATGCTGCCAAAGTATTAGCAGACTTTTGCCAAACACTGCTTCAACCTCTGGGCTCTTTCTCTCTATGTGAAGTTCAAAGGGTTGCAGTCTTCACAAAGGAGTTTCAAGAAGCAAAAATAGAGAAGGATGGTTGCAAGATTGTTGAGCCCTAAGTATCACATTATTGATGCATTGACATCATCTGGGTCTAATGGGGAATTGGATGCATAAGAGAGGTAAAAGACAAGCTTGCTAATAATCATCAAGAACTCTGGCTCTTTACCATTGAATTTGACTTGTCAGTAAAAAGATGAATAAGAAAGCCCTGTTTTGACAGAGCCTGGCATATAGTATGGCAATGCAGAGTGAAGGTTAGGGAGAAAATCAGATAAGGCCTGATGAAGGTTGCTGATCCTTTTGTTAATATTCATGAGACAACATGAAAGCAAAAAGGGAAAGATATCAGAAGCAGAGAGGATCACTAGGTTGGTTATAATAGTGATGAGACAAGCTGTCATATCCTCATTCTTGCAAGTAGGGGCCTATTCATGGCTAGCACAAGACTTAGCTGTTTACTTCTATTGAATGCGGCCATGATGACTTCTCCAGGTTCACCTATGGTCAGTGCTATAGCAATGATATTAAGGATGCACAAGTTAATAGTGGTATTTGTGTGTGTTTTTGTTAGTGTAAAGTCTAGAGGCTGGGTATGGCATGTCAGGTCTAGTGTAATGGAGCTTATGCAAAAGTTGCAGCTGTTCAGAAAGTGTCCACTGGTCTGGGAAGGGCTGTAAGGCCATTGTCTGAACAAAGAGAGATCTGTGCTTTGGAGAATTGTGGTCATCTAAACTTGGCTACATAATTTAGCTGCTATAAATTTCATGGTTGGTTGTAGCATTGTATATTCTAGCCAAAAATGCAAGACATGCTAGAGCTCCACCTAAGTGGCTCATAGGTGCTACCAAACAAGGGTCAGTGTCTCTTGTTATATGTGCTCATGCTATGTACCCAGTCTCATCTTCATAGGCAATATCTAGCCTTATCATGGAGTTTCAAAATCTCCATAGTAAGAGAACTCTCACTCATTGGACTTAATGTACATGTTCTTGTTAGGCATGCATTTTGGCAGTGCACAGAATTATGAATATTTTGTAATATTGCAGGTAAAGTTTAATAGAATTAGTGATTCCAGACTAATTACCTGATGATTTCTTGCCTGAAAGAATCAGTATAAGGCCTACATATAAATCTCAAATAAAATAGGAATGTGCTCCTCAATTTTTACACAAAGTGCACCTGGATTACATCATGATCTAATTAAAAAATTGTTCTAGCATAAAATTAGGCTGGAATTGAGCAGAAATGTCATAAATTCCACAAGATGTGTTCATGGAGCACAAAAGAAAGGACATTCAAGCTGAAATCACAAGAAACTTGCAGATCATATTCTGAGCTCATCCTAAATAGTCCTCAGATTCCAAGCTGATTCCATTGTGATTAAATTACTGCTTGATCATTTGATTACAATGGAATCAGCTTGGAATCCGAGGACTGTTTAGAATGAGTTCAGAATGTGATTTGCAAGTTTCTTGTGATTTCAGCTTAAATGTCTATTCTATATATAAAGGCGTCAATAAATACCCTAAAAATCAGGACTTTTGATATTTGAATTTGGGCATTAGATAATAATATAGTAAACCGATAGAAAATAAATGATATACTAAGATAAAATTGTAGCATTCACACAATTTGGATTTGGAATGTGTAAAATTATAATTAGGTTATAAATTTCAATAGGACTGTATTAGTATGGGCAATGTTCTCTTACTTTCAAATTTGATCATAAAGTTGATTATGGATGATATATTCTAATTAGCTCAGATTAGCATTTTGAATAATTAGATCTAATTAAGAAAAAATGTTTTTCCAGATGCTATTAGTGAGGTTGATTCTACAACCAGAAAAAGACAATAGAGGATATGTGTATATAGTGATATAAAAATAATATTATAGCAAGTGTGGAAAAGAGAAAGGGATATAGTGACAATTGGTTTTTACTTGAGGATTGTGTTATGGGCTATAAGCAAGACTGGGTTAGTAAGGAGATAATTTGGTTGTCTAAGGTAAGTGAAGATAAAACTATGGGTTGTGGCAATCTTGTAATAGAAGAGTCCAGATCTAAATAGTGCCTATTAAAGGAAAGCAGTACCTTCTTTATTGCCAGCACAATATATGCCCACTAACCATGGTTATGTCAGAGATAGTTGGTCCTCTACCATGAGTTTGATCTCTTGCATGAATTTAGTTGTCAATATATCTATTTTAAGCTCTTTTAAAATGGCATTAATAACCTTAGTGTTACCACTTATAAATAATTCATTGATATTTATAGCAGGCAAAGAATAAACCTCTGTTTTGTAAAGTTAAATTATATGTGGGGATTGAGATTGATTTTCTTGCAGCTTTTTTCAAAAGCATTAAAGAAGTGGCCTACCATAATGCATTTAGAAGAATCACTCTTCTTATTATGCTCAAATTCTCTATAACTATATAGAATTTCCAGATATTATTATTATAAATTTTCAGCTTTCTTCTTATTATCTATAGCTTATAAAGACTAATTAGCTTGAATTATGCATAATTAGCTCTGATTACACATATTTCCTATTTAAATTTCCCAAAAAAGAATGCCTAACCAAGTACTAGGGCTACTTGCTAGCATTATAGTTATCTATAACTTTCAAATAGGGCTTAGCTATAGAGACTATTAGTTAAATATCTATACTCAAAATTATACTTTACAACAAACCTGTAATTAGGCCAGTTAAAGGGTGTCCTTTGTCACTTTAATGAGGTTGAGTGGTTTGGCTAGTATAAGCCTGTCTTCATGCTTCAGGGGCCAGTGTAGGTGCCCTGTACAGGCTGATGACAAGCTCTGGTTCATATCCTGCATAAAACACATAAAGTCAAGGGTGAGAGGTGTATAGATTGGGCCTCAATTGAGTGCCAGTTTGAGAGCCCTGTAAATTGTCAGCCTTTCAATAATTAGGACCCCAAACAGTTTGGCTCTTGCAAGTGCAGATGATCTGGCCTCTACAATCGTTAGTATAGATGAGTGTCTTTATATGCATGAACAAACCAGAAAGTGTCTATACAGACCTGGACAGATGTTTTAGAGCTCCAAATGCTCCCTGCATATGTAGTAGGATGTCTCATCCTAAATCTCCAAATTTTGGCCTTTTTGTTGTACTATTTGGGGCCTATTTCAGGCTGCATAGCACTGGAACCTCTGAAATTGGCCATTTTTGTCTGTATAATGGGATGGGACCTCATAATTTCTGTTTCTAGTCCATACTGCAAGATGGCATATCAAAATTTCCATTCTTGGTCCACACTATCTCAAAAATCCCATTTCCTTGTCCATATAAAGCTATTTATTGTTGAAGTCATTATAGTCAGGCAAGCTAAGCTGGTCTTCAATAGAACCCCTGTTAGAGTAGTAGAACTCCAATTAACCAGCTGTTTCTGAACCTATAGTTGGCCACTATGCAATATAGAGAGAGGTAAAGTTAAAAAATAAAAGGTGCTTGCTAAGACTTGCCACTATCAATATTATGATCTAGCCACTGTTTGGTCCATATATGTGGACGCTATCTTATAGGAAAACCAGGGGTTTTGGTCTATACTATGAATGGGACAAAAACTGATTTTTGGATCAAGATTTGTTATATTAGAGTGTAACATTCTACCACATCTGGAAACCCCTCCCTCCTTTTATTAAATCATAATTATACATAATTATCAACAGTGCTAATTAGTGCTAATTATAATGTATTTTATCTAATTATCAATAATTATAACCATGATTAAATCTGCAAATCAATATGATGCTATTTATACTACTAGAGTCTTTTAAGAAAGCACTGTCCTAATTGTTATTTTACATATCCAAATTTCAGATTGAGTAAGTGCCATAAATATTTTCTCCTCATATAGAGTGTATTCTCAATGGTTTATTAGTTTTTAGTAGTAGTATCTAGTATCTAGACTTATATTCTGAAAGCCTTATTTTGGGGGTATTTATCAACTTACTTATAGATGAAAGAAATAAGAGATGAATATAGAATAGAACTAAATGTATTGAGACTGTCCAAAATAAGTATATATATTTAAATTACCAAGCTAAGTAAGTTAGACCTTATAGCTTAGTAGTCTAAAAAACCTTGCTAGAGTGCTTGTAGGTATAAGATTGTAGGTTCAGCTCTAGGTTAGGGTAGAGTAGTGGTGCCGACGAGATGAGACTCGTGAGCACACGCTGTCAGGTTCATATTGCGAGAATGAATCAAAGGTAAAGGAACAGGTCTGGAACGCGCGTTAGGTGAGACCCTTCACCGTGTTTGACATCGTCTAGCGATTATCGACCGAACAAGCCGTTAACCGAAATGCCAATGCCCGTTCCAAGTACGATCGCATGAGATACTACTTTTCGATTCCACAATGCATTGGTGGAAGGCTCTCGACCTTCGATGAACAGCTCACTCGCTGGAGGGGCATGTACATGAGGGGTATCATTTGTCGCACCAGTCAAACCTTCAGTGGACAAAGAAGCAAATATCAAGTGCGGACAAGAGAGCGTATGTGGTGCTGGCGGTGATCATGAAAGTCAACAATACTCGGGAGCCACTTTGCTTTGTGTATGGACAAGGCTATCTCCGTGGCCGACCCCGAGTCCACTCCATCGATTGGCGAGCACGAACGTGCGAATGCGAGCCTAACCGGGTAGCGAGGTGAACCGTGAAGAGCCATCGTCTCGAAAAGAGTCGCCCGGAGGTTGCCTTCCAGACTCAACTTCCATAAGGAACGAGAATGCTGCACAAACGCCAGAGCCACCGGGTCGAGCCAATGGCGAATCATGCGGCCTCTCGCGACGTTCGCGGTTCGTCCGATACGACATGATAACGCACGGCTACGATTAAGGGTCCCGCCTGCGAGCGACCTGGGCAAGATCGAGATCGAGCTTTGCACGGACAAGGCATCTGTGAGAAAGGCGTGCAGGCACTGTCGAACGTGGAACATTGCTAGTCAATGATCGGCCTGGCCGGGATCCATCCCTGCGTGCCGACCTGACGCGTGTCTACCAAGCGGCGACACGCACACGCTGCACGGAATTCTCGGAGTATCCCTTGCCTGGTACATGCATACGCCGATTCTTAGAGTTTGCATGAGACAATGTGAACGATACAAGCGTAGGCTGCTATGCGGCGTAGGGCGAACCGCGGACACTTTGCAAAGGCCAGAGACCCCCGAAGGGTGTCTCTTCCAGTGACGCAATAGACCTGGACCCTGAGTGAAAAAAAAGAAAGAAGCAAAGCAAAACACGCGCATCACACTCGAGAGAAATGAGAAACGTACAAATCTCATACCCGAAGGGCCACAGATAGCTCAAGAAGGCATCGGACTTTTTAAGATCCCAAGTGGCTAGGCCTGTGGTATCCTGTGGTACGTGCGCTACCAACGGTATGTGGGGCATACTTTGCGGCCCCTCTTGGAATGAAAGTGATCACTGGAAACTCAAGAGGATGCCGAAGTGAGGCTAGCGAGTTAATCAGCTGAACGAGTTGACTTTGAGGGCATGCCTTGAGGGCTATGCACGACATGCCTGGGACGATTTCAATGACCAATCATCCCCTGCCGCAATGATCAGATGAACATGCGTGGTGGGCGAGCATCCCGTGCGACGGAGCGCCATCGGGGCACGACCAAACGCAGAGATACGGCCCAGTTCGGTGGTTCACGAGACAGATTGGATCAGATCGTTGAGGCAGGAAGTCTCCAGAAAGAACGCTGGCTCGGGGACGATGCGAGCTTAAAACGCCACAACGACGTCTTCTGGAACAAGACAGGAACCAGAAGACAAAGGCCAGGGTATGTTGGATGCTTTGTCACGGGTTCCACGAGGAGCGCGCGTGCGTGTTGGCGCTGCGAATATCCTGGTAGTGGATTCGGTGTGAACCCGATGCGCAGTGAGCGTTAACCTGTGAAGCGTTTCGGTCTTTTGTGATTCGATACACGCACCGAATGACATCAACATTTTTTGCTGGTCAATGATACCTATTGCAAGGGCGAGACCAAGATAGACAAAAACAACGATGATTAGTTTCCGATTCCACAGCTTCTCAAGAGCACTTGCCTGAAGCCCCGCGGGTCAACAGAACCCTAACAAAGGACGGCCCATTTCCTAGCATGATGTATCTCATAAGATGCCATACAAGTATCTAGACGTTGCATAACTTTTGCCACGGAAACGGGCTTCGTAGCATGTTGATGGCCTCGAAGGCCGAGCATCGCGTATGATGGGCTGGCCCGAGTGATGTCACACATGAATTACCAACACGACTCAAGGAAACCGAGCGATGCAGTGGCGGGATACTCGGTGTCAAAGCTGTGCGCGGAAGATCCACGGGCGGGGGCGGGCAATTGTTCCTAGAGATGCATCATTCTTTGATGAGCCCAAGACGGTGCGCAAAGGAGAGAATCACATCAACTCGGGGACGTACTACTACATAGGTGGCACCGCATCGACCCACTTACAGGGGTATTACGGCGGCAGATGTCGCGCGATGGAAACAAGAATAGGAATGACGGAATGGAACAACAATGAGCTCGCGACTGTTGGCCATAAGGAGCCTACAAAGCGGATTGCCTGATTCAGTAAGCCAACAAGATAAATGACGATAGCGCTGGCAGGGTCCTGAATCTGGGATCCTGATACACCGATAAAGCCTGTACGGTCACCATGGAATGGCACGCTGCGAGTATAACAGCATACATAAATAGAAGGCAGACTTGCGATCTTCCAAAAACACTCGTCGCTGAGCGACAGAGGGAATCAATCGACTGCGCGAAGGACTCTTAGGATTTCGTGTTTGCGCGCCGGTTTGCACGTCGATCTCCAAAACCAGACAGAACCCGGTCGATCGGAGCCATACACACACAGACGCCAGAGTCTGGCGCCGTGCGCTGCCTAAATCGAGGAGAAGCGTTAGCGCTGGCCCGGGGCCGGCGACTGGAATACCAGATCCACACACCATGAAATCAGCGGCAGTATGTTGAATTGAATAGAAGACCCCCGTAGTAAATGACGAACTCGTGATTTGGCTGGACGAAGCAGCTCTCTGCACCGTCCGAGCGCGGAATATGTAAATGTACTCGATGGAATTGACGGCCGCTTGGAACGAAGAACATAAGGAAGCACCCTACCAGGTGGAGGTATGACTGACAAGCTGAACCTTACGAAGCGGTCTCACACGTTTATGGACCCTGGCTTGTCCTCGGTTGCCCCCTCAGGGTTCAACAAAGAAGTAGACGCTTCACACTGCGCATTGAAGATGAGCCACGGGTGTTGATAATGCGGGCCCGCCACCAGTGCCGATAAGCGTCGATAATTGGGATCGTCGGCGTATGTGGCGCGCTGTGCGCCTGATGTCGCTGGTACAATATATTGAATCGAAGGGCACGATTGGAAAAGACACAAGGAAGCACACACTGAGCGACTGCGACTATCACCGCGACCGGATGCCTCTCCCCGTCATCCTTGGGGATTACAATGTCTTGGCCCTGACGTGTGGAAAAGACTGCGCTCATGACGCGGCACACAGCGCCATTGGTGACATGTATCGTTTAGGGTCCAAGGATCGCTCAAATGGAGGAGATGAGCGCATAGAGCGCCAGTGCCGGAGGCTCAGCCCTGTCCGCCTAGTACAAGGAAGCGAAAGGCCAAATGCGAGCCCCCTGTTTGCCAAGTCAGCCTGCGCGATGACATACGATGACACACCCGGGAGCCTATTCAAACTACAGCTCTGCATCGCGGCCCGCACGCAGCCTCGAGGTGCTGCTTGCCTGCGGCGCTTGTTGCACGAAACGTCAGTGCGCGCACGAGACCATCATCAGGGAGATATTGCCCTGGTCTGGCAGGTCTGGCTCTGGCAGGGATTCAAAAAAGGTGTACGATGACGGCCATGACGAAGTTCGTGCCATGAAAGATGCCAGGCAGTCTGATCGCCACCACGAACCCTCGAGGGCTCGTCCACTCGATACACGGTAGGCGAGACTCGGGAAAACGCACGCTGCAAACTTGCAACGACTTGCCAGGTCACAAGACGCGTCGACGGAGCCAAGGATGGGCGCTGAAACGACGTCGTGCCAGCCAGAGAGACGTGAACTCAAAACAATTGCAGAAGTAGAGAGAGCGAGATGCAGTCACCAGCCGCAGAAATTCCGAATGGCCATGCACGAGGTCATTCGAATATCGAAAAGTCCCTGAAAGTCCTCCGAGCGGCGGCCCGGTACCCCATTATTATTACATAAAACAACAATGCACAGAAAGCATGCAAACAATAATGATATTCATAGCCTATCGTCATCTGTACGTTGCTCTCCAGAACACAACCCAATCCTATCCAATCCTATCCAACCCTATCGAGTAAACGACTCTTCGTATCTCGAACAGAGACGCGCAAACAGCCGCATCGCTAACGGACCAGCAGCAACTTTTGGATTCGCGAATTTGTAGACGATGTCGCTCAGATCCCGTAGCCGTGATGAGTCCATGATGTCGAGGGCGCACACGGCCCCAGACCGGTGGCGTCGGTGTGGGGGACCACAGAGATCGATGCGCGATGGCCGATGAGTCGCGCGCGCCAGATATCAGATAGCCATCCCCGGCTGGACACACGTATCTTGGGCCCGCCTGGCAGCAATCACGAGAACAAAGAGGATCAAGGGCAGCATGCAGACGAGAGAGAAGAAGGACGGCCCCATCAGTGACGCTGATCCGCGCACCTACCCACGCTCGCGCGACAGCAGCACTTGCAAACAGAAGCTGCATTATGGCATATTGCATATACACTGCATGCATGCTCGCTCTGAGAGACAATTGACGTCGGAGGAACGACGTCCTGCTTTGGGCGGTATCGTACAGGGTCATGTGAGGCCTTGATCCTCACGAAAGCCCGCATCCGTTCCGACGGTGGACGAAGCTAGCTGGACCCTGAATATAACACGGCCGTTTTCTCCCATTTCGAACGCGGGCCGCGCAGCACGACCTGCGGTATGAGTATTTATCGACAGTCTCCACGCCCAGGGTCTGTCCAGCGTGAGCTGATAAAGCGCACGATCCAGAGCCACGAGGCGACCCCATGACCCACGCCCCGTTGCCCCCAATGGTAAAACGTGTCCCGCAGAAGTCGCGAAGATGCTCGCAGCCTGAGAGAAGACCTGCACGGAGTTCGACTCGCACCCTGAGAAGACCTGCACGGAGTTCAATTTTTAGATCTGAGGAGCACGATCCAGCGCACAGCGATCTCGACGGAGGGCCGAGCGCAGCTTGTGCCAACTTGTGCCAGACGGCTTGTGCAGGATGGAGTTCCGACCCTCGACGCGTGCCGTGATAGCCTTTCTGATGCCCAACGGCCCGAGCGAAAGAGACGTTTGAACGCGCGCGCGCCACAGGGTGGTCGCTCGCTCGCTCGCGCCAGGAAGGGCTGCGAGTGGTAGATTGAGGGACGCGCACGAGGTAGTGTCGCTCCTCACCCTCGCGGGGGACCCACAATGGACGTTAGACGGCTCCGCTGGCAGACCGTCTGAAAACCTAAAGCGCCGGCCATCAGTTTGAGGGACCAGCGCCAGCGCCTAGGCTACCGCCTGCTGCTGCAAGGGAGGTACTTATGGCCATCAGGGGGCTCATCTCCGCGCTAATGGGCGTCTATTAAGCAGCGTATCTGTATCTGTAAACCTGGGACTTCCATGCCAGCAGTAAACGCGAGGAGGCTGAGTGGGCCATGTTAGCCCTGCGAGATCAGAATCACCACTACTATTGATGTGGTGCTTCAGCTCGCGAGCGGGTCGTTTGGGGACAAGATGGCCTCGGTGCTGATGCAGATGGTTCTGCGCTGTCGAACAAGGCTCTGTGAAATCTGCACATTTATCAAACAAATGACAGTGGGGTCTCAGGGCACGCTCTAGCACGCTCTGTACGTGAACGCGTGAAGGCCAAGTCCGCCCAAGCGCACAACCAGCGAGATGCTCTTACGAGCTTCCAAATGCAGGCTCGGACGTGACAGCATCGACCATCACCAGGAAGGTACTCCAACACGTGTCTTCCGGGGAACATTCCACTCAGAGAAGACGTTCGCCTCGCTGCAACAGTTGCAATATGCGCCGGACGCTCGGGCCGCGTGCCCCCGATGCAGGCAGGGTCTGTTGCTTATTGCGGGCCCCTGTGGCTGGCGGCGCCGCCCTGCGGACGTGAGCGACGGCCCCATATACGACAGAACGGAGGGCTTGGGAACACGCCGCGCCGCGCCGCGCGACGTCGTGAGTGTTGCCTGGACCGCGCACCGCGAGGAGTTCATTAACGGGCGACGTGCGCGATGGTGTGGGCCAGCGCCGCACGCCCAATCCAGCCGCGTCGAAGCTCAGACCTGCACGCACAGAGCAGCGGCCTCGTCGTCGTCCCACGAAGGCGCTGACCGTCGTCCCGTTTCACGCAAACCCGAACACGCTGCGCCTCTTTGCTCACATCCGTTACCGTACGTGCGAAGGTTACTATTAAAAAAAAATGATGAACGACACGAGGCGGGATCATTCTAACTGTAAGTGTGCGAGATATGGTGCGTGCGACAGCCCTGCCGTTCGCGTGTCGTCAGCGCGTCAGTCATCATCACGCTGTCGTAAACCGCACGACGCCAACCTACGCCAACGCGCACTGAAAGGCCGAAAGAGACCGACAGCTGATATGCCGAAAAGGCCGAGGCGCAGCAGCGCCGGGAGCAGTCTGGAGAAAGTGGGGCAGGGGCGGGGCCTGACGCGGCGGGGCGGGGCAGGGCAGGGCGGGTAGAGATAGGGAGGATAGGGAGCGGCAGGTGGACGTGCCCGACGTCCGTAGCGTCGTATCGAAGCGTAAGTATCGAGAGCGCGAGGCCCGACAAACCCCGACGGCGGCACGCGCCGATGTCGTGATCGTCACGTTTAGCCGCGGCGATATCACGGGCCCCAGCTCGACCGATATTCGCGCCCTCATAGACTTCTAAAAAAAATGATTCCACCGCTCACCTCACCTCGATTTATTTGCATGATATTGCATGATAGCTTAATAGTACGATTCGAAACGACAGATCGCGCAGCGCAGCGCAACGTGGAATAATGGATAAACTTCTTCGTAGTCACATAATTGGATTCTTTTTTGACTGCCTATGCCTAGATGTGTATGATGCAAAAATACAAACATGCGATGAAGAGATACGTGCGGAGAGAGAGACGATGCAAATGAAATGCAGATAAACCTGACCGGAACCCCAAGAGCACCCAATGAACGTGCTATAATCCATAACCGTGGCCTGCAAGCGAGAAACGAATGATGAGGGCGCAAAAGATGCGAGGGCGGGGGGATAAGGGGGCTAATAGAATAGATACGAGGTCGTGGGGCAATAAAAAGCACGGACGAAGCTATGAACGATCAGTAAGAGTCTTATACAATTAGCGGATGGAAGACCATCGGAGATAGATGTGCAAGCAAAAGAAAGAAATAAGACACAAAAAAGCGCAAACATTTTCAGCTACCAGACGGTCCGTGTCGCGTACGCGAACATGTCACGGCCAGCTTTCGATTTTGGATGATGAGTCGACGATGCGGGAGAGACGTGAACGGAGCGTATTGATTCCGGGGATGACGGCTTTGAAGACGGCTTGCTGGCGGAAGGGAGGGGTATGGAGTGCGTGGTGACGGGTGGCATCATGATCGCGTCGCCCGCGAGGTCCATATTGGTCGACGACGCAGAGCCCGAGAGGACCTTGACGAAGTCGCCGACCTGGGGGTCCTGGGGCGTCTGCGGCGATATAGACGACGCAGGGGAGGTCGAGGTGGAATGCGACGACGCAGGGGTCTCGGGGGTGGGGGGATACGAGATGGAGTGCGACGCGATGGCGGGCTGCGCGGGCTTGGGAGGCGAGGTCCGCGGGCCGAACATGGGGATAGAGGTGGAGGTGGATGCGGATGCGGTGGGGATGGAGTGCGGGAAGGTGGAGGGCGAGGGCTGGGGCAGGACGATCTGAGGGTAGGGTCCAGGGCCGGCGAAGTCGCGGCGCACCTGCGCTTCGAAATCGCGTAGAATCGAAGGCTCGACGTTGAGCTGCCACTCAAGATAGCTGCACATCTCGCGCTCCATCTGGTTGATCTCGCGGAGGGCGAACATGCCCTGGCCCACGATGCACCAGGACTTGTTGGAGTAGGTGTCGTCACAGATAATCTTGGATGCAATCATGAACGCTGAAATAAATAGTCGGTGGCCCGAAGAGCCCTTGGCAGCGGGGAAGCGGGCCTTGAGTCGCTGGAGGAGGTAGAGGGAGGCGAATGTGACGGCGGTGTGGAGTCGTGTCCGATGGAGGGCGTAGGCGATGAAGTGGTCCAGTCGCGGGGTGGGGGTGGAGGCGGCGGAGATGGGCAGAGGTGCGTCGGGGCAGGCGAAGAGATGTGAGACGAACCGAGCACTTAGCTTTGCTACGTGCTCGTTTCCATGGTACGGATCGCTACTGCTGGACGAGGACTGGGTGGATCGGGGTTAGGACGGAGTATGAGGCGTGGAGGCTGTGATTACTCACTGTCGGGGTGGAGTGGCTGGCCGACGAGCGGGAGACCTTCTGGGGTTTGCGGAAGGGAGAGGGGTGGCGGTGGACGGAGGGACCAGGGACGGAGGCCATGGACAGGACGGGACGGGACTCGGTGGATGAGAAAGGAATATAATGCGATGGGGAGGAGCTGTGGGAGGGAAGAGGGCGTTAGCGAAGGACTTATATAAAGGAGGAAGGAAGACAGAGAGGCAATCGAAGACGAGCCAGGGGGCATGGGACGCCGGCTGTAGTCCAACATGCGCTCAGTTTCGTCGAACCAGGCCGTGAGCTGCCGTGAGCCGCCATCAGAAGAAAAATCTTTTTGCAAGCCGACAGCCCGGCGCAGTTTCTGCACATTGGGCTATCTCCCTCGTCCAATCCCCCAGCGCCACTGATCACACCGGCTGCTGATCCGGTCCACCCCGGCTCCCGTGCGTGCAGGAATGCGAACACTCACGGAGGATTACTAGACGAGCGAGCCTCCTGGCGTAGGTGCAATCCACGCGAGGGTCGACGGTGATCAGACGATGTGGTAAACGTCCTCGAGGTGTGTGTGCCACCAATAATCCTCGGCGCGGGACGCTCTAACCGTGCTTCGATGACTCTCAAAGCCAGGAGGTGCGGTGAGGTAGCAAGCAGGGATTGTGGGGAGGGCAGCTGGTTAGGCGGTGTGGGGTGTGGTGGGATGGTGGTGGGTGGAGGAGGGTGGAAGAAAGGACCGGGGGACAGGGGCGTAGCGCTCGGGGTATATATGCGGTCGGTGGAACAGGAACAAGACAAAGTCTGTGATCTGAGAAATTTTGTGGCCGACGTGAATGTAGCGCTTTCGCTGTCTGTCAGAGCGGTGCGGCGGCGCCCCAGCCTCAAAAGGCCACAGACCGTGGCTCCGAGATGAGACGCTGACAAAGACAGCTCCATCCCGGCCCGAGTATCGGCGACTCCTCTTCAGTCCAGCGTCGGCGGTTTCGCCTTGCCATGGCTCTTGTTGCGTGTGGGCGTAGGACTGGCGTAGGCGGTCGCTCCTCTCCTCCCCACCTCCGCCGCGTTCCATGCAAGCAACAATTCAAGCCCCTGCCACCGATATAGAAGGCTCCAGGCTGCTCCTATTTGCACCGTTGGCTGGCAGATCGAGACAGCCTCCTTGGATGCGCACCGTGCGCATGCTATCTCGTCCAATCAGTCACCTGCGTACAGACGTCCTGGCAAGTATGGGCCTTCCCCCTCTTCTTCGGCTCCTTCGACGCTTTGGGTCTGCGAATCGAGCACACTGCCAGATCTGCTGTCTCCTTCACGTGTCTACCATCTCCACCTCCCATTTCCTAAACAACCTCGCCGCAATCCTGTACCCTTCTCTTGTAGTTACTCTCTCCCCAAGGGCCTTTCGGACCTTGTTTGATAACACGTCCAAACTCGTCCCCCTGATTCCAGCGATCTGTCCAGATCGCTTTCGCTACGGAGCTCTTCATCTCCCAAGCATCTCCTCTGCCTTTCTCAAGGACGCTTCCACAGACCTCTGGTAGTGCGGAGATGCCTAGCTTGCTCCAAAGATGTCGCTACAGATACTAGTCCTTACCATATACGATATGTCACGGCTCCACAGTCATCTATCGGTTGGGTACCCGAGAAGAACCATCTGGACACTTTGCAGGCTTCGCACCACTTGCTGTGCTGCCCTGTGGTTTTCATCTCGTGGCTACGCGCTTCTCCTGCACCCATGCTCCTCACCTGTTCAACTCGTGGCGTATCCCATAAGCGCTGACGCTACTTACTCCCCTCCTCCAGCTCCGCATCGTGAACGAATGGCCCCTTGATGCAAGGTATGCCAGGCGCGTTGCGTCGTACCCAAAGGGAGATGTATCCCCGTTTCTGATGAGTTGGGACACGTCTGGCACACCTCTGAGCCGGGGCACTCGAGCACGCGTGCACTGTTTTTCCCGTTCCATTTGAATCCGTTCCTCCCGCAGTCGCGTACAGACTTTTCTTCTTCTTCTTCTTCTCGTTTTTGAATATCTCGTGCATCGCTCGACATGTCGGGCTGGAAATGCCATTGCCAATGGTTGCGGAACCAGGTCGCGCAAGGTCGCGCACAGCTTCCGGCAGTGTCTCGAGATCTCACAGTCTCACAGTCTAACACCCGTTCGATCTTCGTCGTCAGAGCGTGGAGTGTCGCAGGATCCTGCGAACATCGTGCGCTTTCACTGGTATACGCGATCATGGTGAGCAGATCCTCCGTCGTCACTGGACTTTTCACGCATCACAAAGACAGGCAAGGTGAGGCATCGAGGGTGGATCGCTGGAGCGATACATGCGTGGCTTCTCCGTACAGCTCTGCTGCGTAGTGTGTTCCTGGTGAATTGCTCAATTTCGTTCGATGATGCCGTCGAGGACGATGACCACCACCGAGCACAGCATGCATACGTATCGCCAATGGCCGCAGCAGGCCGTTTGCTCAGTTACGTCTATGGTGCTTAACGGTCAGTATGGCTACTTGTTTCGAAGTCACTTCTTTCATTTTGCTCTGTTGACCTCTCTTTCGAGCATGACCTCACGAAATGATGCTCCGCGGCGTATACATCCGCACCGCCTTGCTCCTCAATCCCTTGACCCGGCTGCGCTCCGGCGACATCGATTCTCCTATGTGCATCGTTCCGAATGTGCATTTGCGGGTGCAAGTAAGATTGTGAGTGACTGCATTCCAGTCCCCGCGGGACATCTCCATTCACTCGCATCGTTGAGCCGCATCCATGATCCGTCTGTATCCTGGGCTCCAGCCTCGCGTCAGCCGAGTTACGCAACACGTCCAGCTCGTGCGCTCTGGAACCGAGGGCTCAACGCGATGATCCACCCGTTATTCCACGAGCAAGCCACTTACCCATCCGCGATTCCGCACAACACAGCCACGCGCCGTGACACCCGCCTCTTGACAGGCGCAGATGCCCCATAGGTCGGAGCATCATCCCCAAGTCAAGCCTGCGTAACGACGCCGCGCTGACTGACAGCCTGCATATCTGCGACGTCCAAGCGCGCACGGTCAGCGGCCGCTAGACGCCGGAGCGACGCGCGTGCCCCTACAGCTATCGAACCACGTTAGCACCGAATCCCGACACCTGTAGGCTCGTCGTGTCGTGTTTGTTCGTTAGGCGTTTCCCGCGTGCATTTCGCGCTCGTTCATCAGACGCAGAAGTTTGACGGCATCTGCGAGGCTCGTGTTCGAGGTATTGCCCCTGCCACCGAATGAGACTCGACCCTGCTGATTCTGATATTTTCGTGAGGTTCTCCGCTCCATGCCACCGCTATACGTGTGGCATCACAGGCGTCATGATGTGGCATCATTCCCTACTTATAAGTATCTGAATGCACCGCCACGATCGTCAACACCTCTCACTCCATCTCCCAATGAATCAGCCCGCACTCCGGCATAGCATCCAGATACACACAGGCACTCTCCAGCGGGCTGTTGGGATTGTCGCTGGCTCTTGGGGCTCGTGTCACGTCGGGCGTGACCTAAGCGTGACGTTGGCGCAATTTTCTTCTCGCCGTGTTGCGCCCTTCTGATTGAGTTGAGATGCTCTCAGAGGGGTTTTCTTCGCCCTAGGTGCCTTGTGGGTCCGCCATAGCACCTTGTGTGGGCGCCATATCTGTGACGTCACCGACCCTGCGCCCCAGTGCCCCATTCCAGGGGTTTCCAGATCGTCGGTGGAACGTCCCAGATTTTTCCTTTTCTTCGTCCATTCATCAGGATCTTAGCCGATCCAGAGCTGGTGAGTCATGGTTCTGTCAGCGCAGTGGGATAGGTGAACAGGCGTGAGCAAGACACGGGACCCCGTCCACCTCTGGTTTCGACGTTTCGCGCGCAAATGCGAAACCGAGTTCGGAGTTCCGGCCAGCAACATGTATTCATAGCGGAATTTTTGGCCCCAGCTCACTCTCCGGGACTCACGGTGACCGAGAGAGGCGGTTGATATTTCACGGGTCGGACATCTTTTTGGGGGCCCGAGGCCGTATGAAGGTTCAGACAGATCCGAAGCTCTGCACATGCATATACACATACAGGATCGCAGCGTCTGTTTTTTTTGGTCCCATCAAGGACACGGGTCCCGGTCAGCACCCCCAACCCCTCGTACAATTCGTCCGAATTCTCCGATCTCAAAGATACGCCGCTCGGCCCCAGGGCGTTCCCACCGGCCTTATCCGTGTCGCATTCATCCCCTTTTCGGATCGATTTTTTGGAGAAGGTCATCAGCGCATCGCACGCTGTCCTCGACCGACGCTTCGCGTGGGCGTGTTCTTCGGGTTCGGGTATGGTTCTCAATTATCGCGCGTCGAAGATTATCGCTGACTCTGACTCGATGATCAGACGGCGGGCCAGGGACAATGGCGAAGGGCGATGTGCAGAAGCGTGTCGCGCGATCGCAGCCCCCGGTGCCCAGTCCCTGCACTCACGCAGACCCTGCACGGATCCGATTGTCCTCGGGCGTTGCCTTCGCATTGATCGTGCTCTGGCGGCTTCGATCTTCGGAGCGGGGCTGGGGTTGCGTTCTTTCTGGCGAGACCTCAGGCTCAGACAAGGGCTGATGACGCCATCGCGAAGGGCTGCTCAGGACCACCCGCCACTGACTGAGTATGGACCTCCAGGGCCAATCCCATGCTGCGCTGCCTGTGAGAACCGGATATGGGCGTAACGTGCACGGGCGCTGCATCGTCTGCGCGGATATTTGCGTCCTGCGTCCTCGCGATTGTGCGCTGCTCGCCGTGGAACGTGTCTCGCCATCGATGTGTATCCATACTCGACAGCGGTCATCGGCGCATGCCCGTGTCTCGTTCGGGCTCATGCCTTGTTCTGCCTTGTTCTGCTGAGCTGCAGATAAGGGCTGGCTATTAGGGCTACTGGGGCTCGCGACCTCCCGAGATGGGCGTGTATGTGTGCGATCTTCTTGCGCATGACGCGCGGGCGCAGGCGCGTTTGTACGTACGAGGCCTGCACCGTCGCAGCCATTGCAGTAGTGACGTTATAAACGCCGTTTGCTTTGTGAATTACGCCCTGCTGCTGCCTTGCTACGCCGCCGACGCGCCAGCAGCCAGTCTGCGGCGCGGCGCTGAGCTGGGCTCGACGGAAGAAGCTCGCGCACCGCGCCTCAGCACGCTGCCATAGAGACTATTACCACAATCGACGCTTGTCTCTATGTCGGTCTCCCCGAGAGCCAACGTGTTTTGTGAGCCCCTGAAATTTCCATCACAAGCGTGGGCCCACGCTGGGCCCACGCTTGCGACCGCCTACGGCTGGTCCGTATATCCGTGGACTGCAGCATAATACGGCGGACGCGGGTTGCTCATTATTCTCTGCATTCTTAATTCGCCACGTGGGTACTAACTCGCACCGACAACATCCCGTGGCAGGCCCTGACAGGCTTGAACCTGCTTAAACATATACTCGCTCATGAACGTTGAACATCATTGGTCGTCGTCAGTCCCCTCATTAAAGCAATATTACTCGGTCCTGCCTGCCGTAGATCTCCTTGGGACGTCGATCCAGGACACTTCCAGGACCCTCCAGAACACACCTTTCTAAACGTGGCTACGTCCCCCACATCTCTCGACGAGATAAGCCGATGCTGACGAAACCGAGCCAATCTATTCATTGGCGTCAGAGGCTTATCATGTGCGAGGTGGGGAGACCGTCCGGGCCCGTTCCTTAGGTTTCCTTAGGCTTCCTTAGGCCGCCTCATTATATGTCAGTTAATTAGCACTAGGAACACAGCGCATGGCGGGAAAGGGTAGTGAAAGGGTGAATCATATTAGGCATATCAGATAGTGTGGACTTCCGCGATGATCCAACACGCACCTCACCACCGACGAGAACGAGATCGGAGCTATCATTTGAGAACAATAACTTGCACTGTTTCCACCAGAAATTACTACGGCGACAGAGATAGGATCATTCCTGATGATTGTCCTCCATACGTCGTACATACAAGATACAGGCATCACAATGAGCCCAACGGTTGACATATGCGGGTGTACTCACCTTGTAGTCGAACAACAAGTACTCTCGCGGACAACTATGATGTCTCCCTGTGTGCTGCCGAACTCGGCCTCGGCGCTCAACTTTTTTGTTTGATACACTCCGGCCACAACATCGTCTCCGCTGAAGTTCACAATCCACCGGTGCTTTGATGTTTGGACAGTTTGGGCGTCGATCCGCCATGGTCGGCTGAAATCTTGAGGAGCTCCTCAATATGATGATGAGGCATAAGACTGATGAGCATTCGGTGTCAAATAGATGCCTAAGAAACTTTTTTTCGATGGAGCAAACAGTGTGTCCCTGAGCGGCTGGGCGCTTGAGCGCCCATGTTTAGCGCCTGATTTGTAACATTTTTTCACGAATGCAAACTCTCGCGTCTCCCGAGACGTTCCGATGATCTGTTTGGACGCTCGCCGCTCACTGCTTTATACCACTTGCGCTTGTCTCAGTGCATTTTGCTCTCGGCCTAATATCCATCACCCTACAATACTTGTTTTTGATGCCGCCGTCTCGTCCAGAATTTGAAAAACAGTTGCTCGTGGCTCTATGAGGCTTTATGCAGGTATGTCTGCCCACATGGGGTAGGCCCAGGCTTCTTTGATCTCCTCTCATGGTGAGCATTGTTCTCATGATGCTTCCCCTATGTTCTTAGGACATCTCTGTACCCCGAAAGGGATGTTCTTTGTTTATCTCCGATACAACTTATTTGACTTGTTTGTTAGTGATGATCAAACCTTCACTGTCAGTGTGCATAACACCCTCCATGCAGCAGTATGACCAGTATTCCCGGAATGGGCTTACTTTTGTAATTCTAAGCTTCATGTGTGCTCTTCATGCCACTGCTCAGTGTCATGCTGGCACCATAGCCTTTGTGTTCATATTCATATGACTTAGCATCTTTGGTGTTGATGCTATATACCCTCTTTTGTTTCATCTAGGTTCCTCACATACAAATTCTTGACAATTGGTTCTGCTATGCATACACATAAAGCACCACTTTGTCTCATTTCATAAGGGCTAACTTTTGATGGCTCAGTCCAGTTAACCAAGTAACATGCCTCCCTGTCAATGTTTAATTTTATGGAAGACATGCTACTCCATGTCTCAAATCTGTATCCACATCTAAGGTAGTCTACAGCTATCACTACTATAGGTAATCTTAGCTCAGACTTTCTCTTCTTAGACTGGATTTTCACTAGGGATGACCTCTCAATCTTCCCTTGACCAAGTGACACTCTCCAAACAGTTGCAGCTTTTGCACAAGCTTCGGGACTGTGAACTCAATATGTTATACCAAGCTGCTTGGGTTCACACCAATAAAGGAATACATCACAGAGATACCAGCACTGACATCCACATTCTTGATGTTATCACCATAGCACTGACCACTAGTGAACCTGGAGAAGTTGTTGCAGTTATGTTTGACAGAGACGATCACCTCAGTCTCGTGCTGGCTAAGAATTGGCCTCCTACTTGTGAAGATGAGGACATGACAGCCCATCTCATCGCTGCCATCACCAACCCCGTGACCCGCAATGCATCTTCTCCTTCCTACACCCCCAGGGGATTACTCAGGAAAAAGCTGAGTTTGAGATCCACAGCAAGATACCTGGCAAATGCTGACACCACAACAAACCATCGGTTCTGAAATCATTCCATATCGCACTACCTCAGCATTATTCTGAGATTGATCAGCATCATTTCAGCTTCGCCATCTCAGAATCAAACCAGCCCATCTAGGCTCTCGTCATAGATAAATCCCAATCGGGTTATATCCTCTTATTGATATCATTTAATTTAATTGTGTGATAAAAATTGCCTATAAAATTATATTTCTCTATCGACAGACATTGTTGTGATACTACATGAGGACCTCCTTGCTGGCATCGTCGACCACCCCAACCTTCCTGACTTACAGAATCCTAGAACTCATAGTCTCCACCAATCTTCCACAATTAGCATTGCACCACCAATTACTACACGTGCAAAATTTACTTACCGCGCAAGGACGGCGCCGATAGATGTTCTCATACGATCCTATCAGTAATACCTATATAACAGTACTAGTGGACTGCTCATCAGTCCAGAGACTTTGCTGGGCACAAGGATAAGAAACACCACTCACCGACATGCTATGAAACCTGGTCCGCCTCCCGAGTCACAATCACTCCCAACCCCATGCATGGCAACACCTGTGAAACAAAATGTGAGATGGTACAGCCCGCCTTTCACACTCCCTGTGGATCTTGCAAAAGCCCAAGGTTGACACGCAGACAGAACACCCCAAGTCACCAAGCTGCGAGCATAGCAATCCAGAGCCATCAGTCAGATCCCAGCAGCCGAGAATTTTCTAGATTGTGTCCGCAGCAAGCCCCAAGATTCAGCTCAAGCCAAGTACCAGTCCACATTGGCAGTCCAGAGGTATTGGTATCGGGTGTCAGAGCCTAGACACATGCAGACAAATCGCATAGGGCAGGAGATGCGTGAGGAAAAAGACAAGGGCTGACGTGTTGACGGCGCCTGCGAGGCGCCGTCACCCTTTGTCACACTCGTCACATCGCCCTCCCCTTACGGACCACTGAAATACTGGCATTTTTGAGAGCATTCCTTCACAATACTGCAGCAGGAAAGTGTATAGGAATGGTATTCTATATGATTGTATTTAATATACTTGAAGGTCCCGCACCAGGAGAGGCAGCCACGGCATGGGGCGTGACACCGCGGCTAGGTCCTGCGGCACCTCCTCGACATGCGACAATCGCAGCCTATCGGGCAGGTGCTACATCACAGAAGGTTGTGATAGTTCTTGCAGGCGCAAACCGCGGAGTCTGAACATGCTGATTTAGCAAGATTATATCATGGCCAGGTGCATCTCAGCAAAATTCTCGCATCGGTTTTCAGGATTAGTCTGAGATTCCGCCACCTCAGCATAATCTCAGAACTCAGCCGGGTTAAATGCTGAGCAGGAGTTTGTCAGCTTCAGTCTGAGTTCACTCGGTTTTAATTCTGATATCACTCCTGGTTTCTACGCTCGGATCACAGATCGGTTGTCATTTCCTACGAAGCCCTGGGGGTGTACTTTCACATTATTGTGTGAACATGGACAAAAGGATTAGCAATCTTCATGAATCTATATCCACTTTTCTCCCCGATCTCCACTCCGCTTTGCAGCTATACAGGCCACTCTCTGTTGAGAAAGAGCTCCCTCATTCTGCTATGTACCGACAACACAGATACAAGGGCGAAGAGCCAGAATTCTCGACAATGATTAGCAAGTTCGTCCTCCATCTGTCTGAGTTATCCGCTTCCCCTTTAGACCCAGATGGTATTGACAAATCAACCATGCGGTACTTGGTGCTCGACAATCTAGGGAAAACCCTTCTTTGTTCTCCTTTTTTGAAACTCCTTTGTGAAGATTGTCACCCCTTGTATTCCATGCGCAGAGAGAGGGCCGAAAGGTTGAAGCGGCATCTGGCAAAAGTGTGCCAATACTTTGGCGGCGTTACACAGCTCGTGAAGATGGCGAAAAAGTGGTTTCCCGATGGGCAGATCCTGTATCGCTGGGTCCATGATACCTTCGTTGGTTTAGGAGAAGGTTAGATCTCTCTTTGCGACGACTATAAGAAGGTTGTACATTCTGCGTGTGATGCAGAAACCCCTCTGTTCAAAGGATTTGCAGGGCCTCGCGGTGAGCTTTTCCGAGGTGCTACGCGATTGGGAACATCGGTGACCCATCAAGACGTGCATCCACGCCGAGATCCGTATCATTCTGCATTTCAGCAAGCCATCGTCGTCGCATGCAGGTCTTCGCCGGCCCACTGATGCCATTAATGGATTAGACCAGCATGCTATTGGATGTAGCAAGCGGAGCTGTTTCTGCTGCACCCTTTGGATAGACACATATAACGAGCAGTTTGGGATGGGATGGATAACAAGTGGGTTTCACAGCAAGCCTTGCGCGACTTGGGCGCTTCCAGGTGACGCTGCAACACACGGGGCTGGTGTCGATGAGGCTGTGGTACGTCAGGTTCAGACGCGCCTGGTGAACGCACTCTCGTGGCTGTACCCAGAGTCGAGGAGGATGTATGACGACCTAGATTCAAGTGATGATGAAATTTTGGGCTCGGAGCAGTCTTTTGAAGAGGACGACAAGATAATCATAACTTAAAGAAGGTAGACAATGTATGAATGTTCATTTTCACATGGGTGATGTTTCTTCTCCGGTGGAGTTCCACGATAGTGTTTTTCTCAAGCAATAAGGCAGTGTACAGTACACCCCCAGGGCCTTGTTCGAGATAATTCAGAGATCTGCCGAATCATGATCAATCTGAACGGAGGATTAGCTTATAGTTAAATCATAGCAGAACCAATCTGAACTACCATATTCATCTGTAATTCAGCTCTCAAGCTGGGCTGGGTTTGAGTATGAAAACTCAGCATTAGTTACGATTCCCGAAGAAGGAAGCGTTCTTCTAGTCGTCATCACGTGGATATCTCCCCCTTCGTGATTCGGACCAGCATGCTATTGGGTGTAACAAGCGGAGCTGCCTCTGCTGCGCTCTTTGGATATACAGTTATAACGCAAAGTTTGGTACAGGATGGTTAACGAGCGAATCTCGCGGCAAGCCTTACGCGACGTGGGCACTTCCAGGCAATGCCGCAACACTCGGGGCTGGTGTCGATGAATTTGTCGCGGACGGGGTCCAAACGCGTTTGGCAGATACAATCTCTTGGATGTACCCAGGTTCTAGGAGGGTATCTGGCGAACGCGTTTCGAGTGAAGAAGAAAGTTTGAGCACAGAGTCTTCGGGAGACGAGAAAGCGGAGAGGGTTGACATTGCCATGAATTTCTTCCACCTATGATAGAGCGAGAGTTCTGGTCACCGTGGCAGTCCGTTTCGTCGTGGGCCTCTTCGGTAGAGTCGCACAAGCGTGTTCCCAAGCAGCTATGCATTAGTAGCCCTTGACACATCTTCGATGAAGTTTACATCTTGTGCTTGCTAAAACCGTCGAAATAGCAGATCAGGCATGCTTATAGAGACCATCCGTGCATGACCGTACAAAAGTCCAAGGTCACTCCTGCCGTGGCCGTCTGATCGAACCAGCATGAACCGTCAAACGACATCCTCAGACACGCACACAAGCCAGATACAAAATGGTGCAAGGGGCGGGGGCCCGCGCCCACGCTACGGGTCAACGGTATGGGTCAGGCTGGCACTCTGCGCCCACAGCGCCTTGCGCTGTTCTGGTGTCCCGAGATACCGCGCCATGCCCAGGTCCTCGCCCCTGCTGCCAATCCGGTACGCGCCGGGGACGCTGCCCGACCCCGCCGCGGCGACGCTGCGGTACAGGCCGCGCCACAGATACTCCCCGCACTCGTCCTGCGAGACGGTGAACGGCCGGAGGAGGGGAAGTATGGTGTCGAGTGCGCGCACGAGCGCGGAGTCGGACGTCTTTAGGAGGTTGGTGCGCACGCCGCCGGGGAAGGCGTGCGCGAAGACGATGCCGGGGTTGCGCAGCGCGTATTCCTGGGCGCGATGGGGGTGAGAGAGATCAGTAGACGGCTCGCGCGAGTATATCGGCGCTCCGTGTTGGTGCGTCTACGGTGCGTGGCTGAGGGGCTGACCTCGCACATCAGATCGTTATAGGTCGCCGGGTCGTGCGCGCTGTAGCCTCTCCCAGCGGAGAAGACAGAGATGACCTTCGCGTCCGCATCCGCACGTCGCGCAGCGCGCAGCGCGGGGAGGAGCTCGTGGATGAACGCCCACCGCCCGTAGTAGTGCACCGCCGATGCCTTGTCGAGGCCTTCCGCCGTCAGGGTGCGGGCGGCGGCCAGGACGCCCGCAGTGATGAGGAGGAAGTCGACCTTGGGGTGTTTGGCGACGATGTCTGCGGCTGAGCGCTTGACGTTGGAGATGAGGGATACGTCACAGGGCACGAATTCATACGAGCCGGTGCTGATGAAGAGAGATTGTGAGTGGTGGCAAGGCTGGACGGGAGATGGGAGTGAAGGGCGCGGACCTCGATTCGCCGGCGACGGACTTCATGTTCGATATGATGGTTTCTGCGGCAGCGCGGTTGCGGCCTACAAGCACGATGTGCGCGTCGCCTTTCGTGTGCCGGTTGAAGGCCTCTGCCATACCCTGCCCGATGCCAGATGTCCCGCCGACGAAGACGGCGACGGGCGTCGTTAGATTGGCGGCGGACGCGATGTTTTCGGATGCAGCTGCGGATGCCATGGAGTTTGCGTTTGCGGGAGGTTCTGGTGGTTGCCGGGAACGCGCTCACTGGTCAGTGGGATTATAACTAAGAGCAAATCGAGAGCCGCGTGTGGACGGAAGTGACGCGTCTGGACGTAGAACGTTGCGCGATGCCGGCCGGTCCGCGTCAGCTGCGGTCTACCACCCAAGACAAGAGGGCTGTACCTGGGCCCCGGGTCTCGAGCGAGCGCACGTTTTCTCGAGGCAGCGAGCCGACCAGGGCAGCAAGAGCACCATTGCCGTGACCCCTGTGTCATTCTGCGCCTTGTTCTGCCTGGTCGGCGTTTGAGCGTGTTGCATCGGCCTCCCTTTGCTGGAGTACGCTTGGGGGTGTCTGTGTGTTTGTAGCGCGGGGAGGTCAACGTCGGCCGCAACAGTAGCGTTGGTCCATGGATCACAGGGGGTCACACGAACCTCCCCGATGCGCTGCAGACCCACACGCGTGTCTCGGCACTGGCGCCGCAACGCGCAGCTCTAATGCGGTACGCGTGGATATTGTGGTTGTTCGTGCATGCGTGGCTGGTTGGGGGTGGTGGATGATTATACTGCGTATTTCTGAGGGGATAGTGGAAGGTTGTGAGTATACTGCGTATTTCTGAGGGGACAGTGGAAGGTCGTGAGGGGAGGTGAGGATGGATGTGTGGGTCTCGGGCGTGTGTTGGAGATCGCGTGCTACTAGCTAGGACGAGGCTGGATGCTTGGGTCTTCGTAGACGTCTGGAGGACGGTTGTATGAGAGACGATGGAGCATATGAGAGGGAGGATGTGAGGATGTGCGGGGTGCGATGTGCGCGCGAGCCGTGAGAGTGCGAGAGCGCTGGATTGGTAAACCCATTTGAGACGCCAACGCCGCCCACAATCCCATCCACAAATGCTCGCCTTGCTCGCTCCCTCTCTGCGCATACACCCACACCCTCTCCTGCGCGCGCTGCCCTCCCCCGCGACCGCCGCGCGTCGCCACTGCTGCCGTCAACGTCGAGCGCCGTACCACACACCCACATCTCCGTTCTCCCCCGCATCCTCCTTCGCCGCCGCCAACCGTGCTGATGCTGCTCAGAGCAGAAGATCGATCCACACGTCCGTGCTGCCCCCTCCGGCGCCCGTCCCCGAGCCTCTTTCCCTGCGTGCGTCCCTGTTCCATTTCAGCCCCCGGCGGTCTCTGGCCGTCGAGCGCATCGCACTCTGCCCCGAGCTTGTCCCGCTAACCGCCCGCCGTCACCGCTGAAGACAGCTCATCGTCCTCGTCATCAACGTCGCCCAAGACCGTGCTCATCGTGAATAAGCTGCGCACGAGGCCCGTGCTCGACGCGATCGACGCGTTTCTGCGGTACGTTCATTCCTTCACTCTCCCCCCCACTGCGTCGTGCCGGGGACGCTTTTGGGGATGAGGAAGTGCTGACGGAGCCCCGCCGGGCGGGGGCGCGCTTTTTCATACAATCTATATATTTAACTATGTTCGTGCTGGGTTTTTAGGCATATACGGGCGCGCTATCCGGAGGTGCGCGTGTTCCACGAGAATCGGCAGGATATCCCGCAGGATGTAGAGCTCTGGCAGCCGGGTGAGTCGCGACTTCTGCGTTCCTCGATCTTTTGTTTCTGTGGAGGGTTTCTTCTCCTTCGTTTCCGCCGTCGGGTGTGGAGAGCTGATGCTGAAGCTGACGCGATTGATTGACTGGCACGCGTGCGCCCGTGCAGGCGAGGACGCGGAGAAGATCGACCTCGTCATCACGCTCGGCGGCGACGGCACGATCCTGCACGCCTCGTCGCTCTTCAAGGTCGGCGCCGTGCCGCCCGTCCTGAGCTTCTCGATGGGCACGCTCGGCTTCCTGCTCCCCTTCCGTGAGTCCGTCGCGCCATCTCGGTCCAATAACCCGCCCTGCTGACGTCGGGTCACACATTTTTTTGTTCATATGGCTGTTTTGATGGATTGCAATTAAGATGTGGACGACTTTGCGAACGCGCTGGAGAGCGTGTTCCAGGGCACGGCGACGGTGCTGTATCGCATGCGGCTGTCGTGCTCGTTTTATGACAAGGAGGGCAAGAAGATCGGGGACGACGGCCAAGGTCGGTGGAGTCGCGCTGACCCCGTTTTCTCTGTTCATTCATGTTCATCTCTTTCTCTGTGATGTTCTTCCTTGTTATGATCGTGTGCGTGTGCGCGCGCAGACTGGCAGGTCATGAACGAGGTGGCGCTTCATCGCGGCTCGAGCCCGCACCTGAACACCATCGACGCGTTCGTCGACGGGCAGCACCTCACCGAGTCCGTCGTACGTCCCCCTCTCCCCCCTCTCCCTCCCCTCCTCCCTCCATCTCCACTCACACGCTCACACTCGCTCGCTCGCGCGCGCGCGCGCACGCCAGTCGGACGGCCTGATCGTGTCGACTCCGACCGGCTCGACCGCGTACTCGCTCTCCGCAGGCGGCCCGATCGTGCACCCGTCGCTCAGCGCGCTCGTGCTCACCCCGATATGCCCGCGCAGCTTGTCCTTCCGCCCGCTCGTCTTTCCCGCGTCGTCCGCGATCACGCTCCGGGTGCGTTGCGTCTTTATCTTAGGCTTAGGCTTCGCGCCCCCCTTCTCCCCTCCTCCTCTTATTCCTGCTCGCCTTGCTGCTCGAGGACACGTGCTGGCGGACCGCAGCGTCTCTTGCTCCTTTGTTTCTCGGGTTTCGTTTTTTTTAATGCTTCTTCTGACGTTCTGATGATTTGATGTTCTGTCGCGTGCTGCGTTTGCGTGCGCGTGCTGCAGATCGGCGGGCGCAGTCGCGCGGCGGCGGGCGTGTCGATGGACGGGCAGGTCTCGCGCGTGCTGAGCGCGGGCGAGTCCGTGACCGTGCGCGCGTCGCCGCACCCGATCCCGTGCATCAACCGGTCGTCGATCGCGGAGCCGAGCGAGGACGCGGTGCATGGCGCGGACGGCGCGGGCAAGGAGGACGACTGGGTGCGCGATATCAATAATTTGCTGCAGTATAATGCGACGTTTAGGAGTAAGGCGCTGTTGAGGCATAGTCGGGGTTGAGCGAGCGGCCGTGAGGGCCGCGGGGGATTGGCGGGGGGTGGTCTGGCGGGGATCGTGATCTTGGTAGGGATAGGGTCTAGGTGGGGTTCCTCGTTGGTTGTTCCGGTGGGTTTGACAGTTATAAAATTTGTGTCGTTCACCTTCTGTCGCGAAACAGTCGTTTTTCTCGTTGCGGTTTTTTTGATTTGCTCCGGTGAGGCCACGATTGGACCCGCGATCACGGAGTGACAGCCATGAAAGATTCGACTGCCGTTGCATTGCGACCGACTTCATATTCGTAGTCGCTTTGATCAGCACCTACGCACGCAAGGTCGAGTGTTCTCAGACGGTCGTAGGCCGGCGCGCTGCGCCCTGGCTTGCAGCGCGACCCTCTTCCTTCGTATCATAGCACGGGTACGGACGCTGCGCATCCGACGGCGATTGCGAAATCAGATGAGCTTTGCTGTAGAAGCGGTGAGCCGCATGACCCTGTATTGATCAAAGCGATCATATCCTGTCGTGTGTGACGCCTGGCTAGCTAATCTGCGCTTACGCTCGGGGCTGGTCTGCGCTTTCGTCTTCCTCCAAGTTCAGCGTGGTGTTTGAACAGCGTCTGCTCTGATGGTCCAAGCACCGCACCGGACCTGCTCTCACAGATGCGCGCTGCTGGTCGTTGTGGCGAAGTCTGCAAGGTTTGATCAGGCGTTATTTATAGGCTTCTATCTACATGTACTATTCACGAGTTCTGGCCCAAGCATGAGGTTGCTTCTCCGACTTGACGCCCTGTATAAGCCCTGGAGAGCATCGCCCGCAGGACGCCTAGTCTTCCCGCTCCCCATCACCACCTACTTCCAGTCCAGATATTCGAAGAGCAAGTTGTCGGTATACCAGTCTCTGTCCTACACGCAGTTTTTTCGCGTCTCTTGACCAAGCGATCTGCCTGCAGGATATGTCTCGCAACGAAGAAAAGGGTCACCGGTATAAATTATGGAAAAAATTGCAGGTTGACCCGGCCCCGTCGACGAGGGCGAAGATGTTTGATAAAGCCAGCGAGTATAAGTTCCTCTATACTTCCGAAGAAAAAGGCTCGAATGTTGCCCCGACTGGTAGGCGAAGGAGTTGACAACGTCGTCGATACCGCTGGCTTTGTCGCACAGATCTCTCCTGTGCTCTCGGTCTCACGGACCAATTTCTGCACTCGATATCGACGCTCATCGAACTTCTTGGCGAAGTGGCTAAGATTCATCCTTTCATCGAAGGCAAGTGAACAACTTTTGTTTGTGATCGCATCTTATCAACTGCCTGATCAGTGGCAGTCATCCCTCTCAAGAAGGTGTACGCGATGGAGAAGATGCGGCGTAACAATAGCAAGAAATTTCTTCTCCTCTTCGCTGAGATGATAGATATGATGGCGGAGTTGTTGCCGTGAGCCAGAGCCCTTCGTCGCACTGGTCGACGATACTCACTTGCTGCTGGTAAGGCTCGAGGACATTCATGATCTGGACTTCGATTTGGGCGAGGGTTTGCCCATCCTGAGGGGAAGAATGCAGTCCCTGATCGACACAATCGGCCAAGACATCGAGAATTGCTATAATTTATGCGACAGGTACACCAGCGAAACAATCGTGCGCAAGGTTTTCAAGGCCTCTGACTGGGACGATGCGCTCACTGCATGCGCTCAGCTATTTGTGCGCCACAGGCGCGACATCATGCAGGCATTGGCTGCGCATGCCGCCCATGGGGTCGACGAATTACAGAAGGGACAACAAGACTTACAACGCAGGCATGCCATACATTAGTCTCCAGAAGAATACCGCCATTTATGCTGATATTCCTCTGTAGCGTTGATACCATGAGGGACATCTTGCTGAAGTGTTTCGAGAAATTGCGTACAAAAAGCGAGCGGGACTTGACCCAACTTGTGGTTAGGTTTGGAGGCTCTGCCAAGATTCTCACGAATGATAAAGCTCTGGAGGAGGTCTATCTTAAGTCGCAGCGCCAAAATAAAGCAACGGAGCAGAAGGACCTTTCTAGTCGTGTTCAAGCAAAAGGAAAGCTGGACTTTCAGGAGCTGAAAAAGGAGCTGTCCCGAAGCGTTGAGGATAGTATAAAGGAGAACCAAGAACGTTTTAGGTCGAAAATGCGGCTCATGGATCAAAACATCACCGATACCGTGGCCCAAACAGGGGACCGAATTATAAAAACACTCACCGAAGACACTTGGGATCTGATCAAGGATCCGGTGGGTATTCGACCTCATTGTTATAATGCTTGTCGCTCACCTGGTTATAGGATATGCATCAACTTTAAATTTATATGGTTCGAGCATCTGAACAGATGATCATGACCTGGACACCTCGCTAACTGCTGTTTCTCTTCTAGGATCAACGTGCAAGCATAAGATCTGCGCATTTTTTTCTCGCTTTGCGCGATTATTATCAAATCAATTCATCAACTCTCGAGCGGACTGCCTCCGGCCTCGAAAGCATCCCTGAGACGTCAGAGCGCACTTCCATGGACCCAAATCCTGCGGCAGCCGTTCCACGAAAGCCTGTCCGCTTTCTCACCCTGCCCACGCAAAATCCGACCGCTTAGCTTATGCGCACCAACAAAATACAATTGCCAATTATATCTTCCGACGATCTTTGGACGCTGCAATATATTCGAATCAATCGTCTTCGGTTTCTTTTCGATAGGATCAGTCTGGACGCATCAGGCTTTGTGACCATCTATGAGATAACTGCTTTCACGTCCTCGCGTCCGGCTAGGTGGAGGTAGGCCTTGAAACTGTAGTGGTATGGGAACTCAACTCATATTTACCCTTCAGTCTACTTTCTTGGATTGCATATTGGTGTGTCGGTGAGAGTTTTTTTAATTCTACTGTGCTATGAGCATTGTTGACGATGAAACGCTCCATAAGGTTGGCAAACAACGCTGACTAAAATCTGCCAGGACATCAAAGCCATCTTTCGGAATATCTTCGCCACTCTCCCCTATATATTGCGGGAAAACAAGTCAGAAGTGAATGGATACATCGAACACGTTTGGCCCATGCATATGGAGATCGTCACATGTTTTCGGGACACGCCCATGAAGGACTTCCTTGAAGAGAAGTTCGCCGAGTTCTTTCGTGAAACCGGAAAAAGTCTCGAGCAAAACCTCAACAAAATGAAGTATCACATTGATCCACCCGAGACTGCACATCTTGATTAATGGCATGCGAATACATCTCCCTTGCCGTATAGCAAAGCCTTGCTCACGTTATGCTGATTTTAGTCTCTTTTACCATTGCTTACATTGATGTTAAAACACCATCTCGAAGACATTCAACGCGCGACCTCTAAATCTCTCGATCTCGACAATCTACAGAATGCAGCTATGTCTGTTCAACAGGTGTTCAATACATACTATGCCCGTGCGCGGGATGTCAGCGGTAAGTTACATCTCGCCTTCGTCGAATGATGTTGTCTTCTCCATATCTTAATGTTATGTGGTCCATGCACAGACAACATCAAGTATCAAAGACGGGATCCAGAGAAAGAGCTCCGCCTTTTCGCCTCAGGCCTGGTGAGTCGAGTATGATCAATGAGAACCGAATTCATCTCAATACTTAATCACGACGAGCAGTACCAGAATGCTCTCAAACAATACAACGATATCTTTACGCCTGCAGTGCTTCAGTCGCTAGATTCAGTCGGTAGCGACCATCAATCGTCAAAGGATGCATCGTATAGCTATATTCGGCATCGACACACTGAAAAAGTCCGCGTGGATGCCGATATCGCTTATAAAAACTCATGGATCACTGCGCAGGCATTCCTACCGTGGCCGTACAGCAAGCTGTGAGTAGCCTTAGATACTCCGCGTGTCGATTTGGCTCATTCGTGTGCTAAGCTTGGCCAACGGTCCGGATTCTTGGATGAAGGAGATTCGAATTATATGCGCCGTTACACGTTCTGCGCCTTCAAAGCCGATGGCCATATTATGATCTTCGAAAGCGCGGGAAAGGATGAAAAGGGCAGGAGATTTGCACTTGATGGAGAGTGCATGGCCATCGACGAGGAATCCCCACCGGTGACATTTACAGAGAGGAGCGAAGATGGTCCTATACGCCTATTCGACGGCCGGCCGGATGCCTTGACTGGTATTCTGTCGGGAACACGGCATATTGAGGACACGGAATACGCGTCAAGCCGCAAGTTTCATCTGAAGCGACTAGGTGCCAGCACAGTTCATCGCCGCTCAGCTCTTTTGGAAGTCGAAGACACTAAGACAAGATGGCACATCGCTTGTGATGCTATCTTGATTCAAAGGAGGAGGAAGTTCTCTTGGATTTATTTCTGCGCACGTGCCGAAACACGGAAACGATTGATTTACCTGCGTATGCGCCTTCAATGTGGCGACGACGCGGTCAAGGCAGATATTGAGCGCATTGAGCGTTTCCTCGAGCCTCAAGATCAGATCTTCTACCAGTCGCTGTTTAATGAAGCATGGGACCTTGCTCCAGATCACTCGTATGTGCTCATGTTGGACACATCAATGACTCTCACCTCAATTCACATTGCAGAGTTCGATGCGATTCCTACAATATGTATCCAATCAGAGATGTTTTGGAGTACCGCACCATGTTGTGTATGATGTGATGGAGTTTGGACTGCATGCCGCACCTGTCACAAAGTACATAGCGCTCTTTCATCCAGTATCAGTCACCGTGGTATGATAAAAAGCAAACATACGCACGGTGGCACTCAACACAATACCAGCATGGTGGCGTGGTGAACTCCTCACAAGCGGCACACCGCACACTTGTTGCCTCAGTACTCGCTCTCGAAGGCAAACCCGAGTCTTCGGTCGTCTCAATGTCTTCTGGCTCCTCGAACGGATTTCGGACTCGCGTGAGGGCCCTCCTAGCGGATTCTTCGATCATCAACTGCAAAGGCTCCTCAAAGAGAATAGACTACAATCGAAGGAGGCCATGCGAAGATAGGTGGAGTTTGCCTTGTATTGAGATGATATCTGTAGTTAGGCACTTTGCTGTGAGGCACGGATCTACATGCCCGCGTTGTCCTGTCCCGCAGTCAAGGCAGATGACACGAATACCTAAGAAAAAAGAAGCTGTGATTTCTCTAATGGAGCAACAATTCTCTAGGCTTCAAAAGACGGTGGAGGAGAGATTGACAAAGACAGACGATGCACTGAAGAAGGTTCGAGGTCGGTTGGAGAAGATCGAAGAGTTACTGACACATCTTGTTGCCTCCAAAGACGTGTAAATTACGATGAGCCGCTATACTATGCTATGAAGACCGGACAAGCGCTTGCTCTGAGAGAGTGTCTCATTGTGCGTCGCCAAGCATCCATTGGATACCAGAGGTCGGGCCGCGTACTGTCTTTTTTCGGAAAAAACCGAAACCTCCAGTGAACTCCAAGCACGACTCGACCCTGAAGTCTCTCACGCGGATGAAGACACGGACATATTTTGCAGCGTTCGAGCTAAATTTATGGAATGCAGGATAGCAACAACTATAAACCGCTGGTATGGATAAGTACGGATATCCGGAGACCACGTCGGAGGTTGAAGGGGGATCGTCAACGTTGCTGCCTTTAGGAGACTATGGAGAGGGTTAGCGACGCGTCATTCTCAGGAACGTTTTTGACTTGCCCGTGACAGGACGCGTCAACGCGTCATGACGAAACGTTTCGCGTTGGCGATGAGATTGTGAGATGATGCTGGGGCTTGGAGTGCGGAGGTGGAGTGAAAAGCATCCAGAGATGGGTTGTTCCCAGAGCTGTGTCCGGTCTGGGAGCGGGAATTTAGGGGCACACGCGTCGTCCAGCTGGGCATTTCTCCTGGACACCGGCTTCTGCTCCTTGCGCCCCTGCTGCCCAGCGCCGGTGACGCTCCTCCGCACGCGATGATGTCATCCCCCCAGCTCGTCCCCGTATATAAAGCCCTCACCCCCGACTCAATGGCCCTACACAATCACACAAGCACCCACACACCCCCTCACAACCACACCCACACCCACATCTTACCGTACCATGTCTTCCAACAACACCTTCGCCTCCGACCCGTCCTCCAACCCTATCCTCACCGACTCCGCCTTCGGCTCGGCGCCTCGTCCCGACCACCACGTCCACAACAGCTCAGAGCCCCTCCCTGGCGCTCGCGGCACAGACGCCACGACCACCGACTACAGCAAACACAACATCGAGCACGTTGCGCGGGGTAGCCCCGGCGCGGGCTTCGACCGGCGCCCCGCGGGCCCCGGCTTCAGTGGCTCCTCGAACCCAGCTTCGGAGGAGGACATCGGCGCCGCTCGCTCCATGTCGCAGGACGACATCGACGGCGGCGTCGGGATGGGCGATGGGTCGGACGCGCGCAGCCGCCACGAGTCGCGCTCGACGGCGGGCGCGGGGCCTCACGAACATCAGCACGGTACGCGACTCTAAAAAAACGTGCCGAGTGTCGCATTCCTGACGCGCTCGAACGTGTCGCGGAAGAACACGACGACCGCCCCGTCGGCAGAGCCGGGTTCACCGACAAAGTCGTCGGCAAGACCGAACGGGTGTGTTTGCTCGTTTCCGCCTTCGTTTGGCTTTGTACTGAGAGGCGTTGTGATAGACGTTCGGCAAGCTCGCGCACAAGCCCGCGATGGCGGAGAAGGGGGAGTTGCGTGCGACCGGGGGCAAGGCCGCCGTCCGCGGCGACGCGCGCGCGCCTGGGCTTTTCGAGTAGGCTTGAAGGGCGAGAATCGTAGACGAGTGGGGTTGTTTCATGACGCTGCTCGACGGAGTCCATTGGCAGTGTATCACCATGATGTATCCTATCGCTGGCCGCTTTCATCGAACAAATGTGCACCATGACTGCCCATCGTACCTTTTCGCGGGCGATCTCCGATTTCGTTCTGACTGGTGACTGTCGAATTTCTTGAAACAAGCATATGCCTGATCCTTCTGTTTACAGCACGACCGAATTCGCAGCGGGTGTTGTGTCTCACCGACGCAGTTACATTCGCGCCTCGCCGTGCTCGCGCAGCACCGGTGAGCCGCTCTACCGCACACGAACCCATCTACATCAAGGCGTACAATACCTATCCAACAGCCGCTCGAGCGCCCGCCTCGCCTCGCCGTCCTCCCTCCACGCACCAGCGAGCCTCTCCCGAACCCTCCGCGCGTTCGCCCGCTTCCTCGCGCCGACGGCGCCGTACATCGCTTCCAGGGTACCGTCGAGCTCCGCCTCGACCGCGGCGCGCGTGCCCGCGGGCGTCTGCCCAGTCGCGAAGATCGGTTTCGAAGATGCGGCGCCCATGCGCACCTCCACGAGCTCGAAGGCGACGTCGAGGCGGTGCACGAGGCGCGCGGCGTTCATGGGCTGGTCGGCGGCGAACGGCCAGCAGACCCTGCATTATCGGTTCTCAGAGGGGTGAGTCGCTACCGGGGCGAGCGGCGAGGGGGGGGGGGCGTACATCGGGACGCCCTGGCTGACCGCTTCCATCGTGCTGTTGGACCCTGCGTGCGTGACGAACCACCCGCAAGCCTGGGGGCGAGGAGGACGTCGGATCTCTCACGGACACGGACGCGGACACGGCGCGCGAGGTCGGTACTTGCCTTGTGAGCGAGGACCGTCTGCTGGGGAGCCCAGGGCACGAGCATCGCGGTCTCTGAATTGTCAAAGTGGGCCCTCAGGCCGTCCGGGATCGAGGCTGCGCGCGAGGCGTGGGCGAATAGCTGCGGGGAATTCGAGGGGGCGGGTGAGTCTGCGGGAGGGGCGGCGCGGCGCCGGTGGTGAGAGAGGGAGACTCACGAATGGGATTTTCCTGCGCTCCAGGGCGTACAGCAGAATGCTGAGGTGATCCATCGACGACGGCCTAGCGGACGCGTGTCCGTCAATCGATCACGATGCGCGAAGGAGAAGGCGGGGCCTCGAGATACCAGTATTCCGTGCCGAAGCAGACGTAGACCACCCCGTGCTCCCCATGGCGCTCGTACGCCCTATCCAGAAACTCGGACGCCCGCGCGCCCGTTCTGCCGAACGAAGCGGCCAGCTCGGCGTCCTTGGACGCCTGCGAGAAATCGGTGGTCCCCGGGTTGAACGCCATGACGGGGCCGAGGTGGAACGTCGGCCGGCCGTTGGTCCGGGCGACCCAGGCGGACATGCTGGCGAGGCATTCCGCTCCGTCGTAGGGGACCGCGCCGCCGGTGACCAGTCCGTCCGCCTCCACCACGAATCTGCAGACGGGCCTTCGATGAGCAGCGTCCTATCGCCGACGGTATGATACTGTGCGACGTGTGCGACGGTACCTCGACAGCTTGACGTATGCGGCGAGGTTCTTTCCCTTTCTGGAGCCTATTTGTTGCGGGAAGAACTCCCAGTCGTACATGGGCGGCATCCCAGGTATGCGGATGACGGCGCCCTGCGGGTCTTCCTCCGCGTCCTTGAGGCTGGCTAGTTTGTCGTCGGCGATGGCACGGTAAAAATCCCCCTTGCCGCCCACGTCTTCGGAGCCGACGATGCTGAGGAACGCGCCAGAGAAGCCCGGCATCCATTGGAGGATGGGAGGCGGCGAATCCATGGACCGTATCGCATAGAGCCAAGGCAGCTCAAAGCCCTGACGAGAGAAAGGGACGAGAGGCGTTCAGGCAAAAATGGTCTTTTCGAAAGGGCGTACGGGCGGCTTACATCGAGGATGGCAAGCGAGGGTCGGGCGGCGGGAGGGTAGACTACGCCGGTGCTGGCGCATGCGACGGGCGACCCGGTGATGAGCGCCGTCCAGGTCGCTCGAAAGCCGCCGATCTTCAAGCTGGCGTCCGTATCGGCGTCCGAGTGTTGACCGACGGCCACGACTCTGGTTCCGCGCCCGTCAGCCCAGCGCCCCTCACTCGACGGGGAGGAGGGCGGAGGGAAGGGGAGATTGAAACGAAAAGGAAAGAAGGGAAGGGCCAGACCTGACTTGTCCTTTCGGGGGGCCCTCGCTTTTCAGGCCGCGCGCGACTTCGGTGGAGACTTGGGCGGCGCCGTTCGCGATGTTGGGGACCAAGTAGGTCACCGTGATCGGGCGCGCGGAGGCGATCTTCGATGCGAGGACGCTGAGCGAACGGGTATGGCCTGGGCCTGCGATGAGTAAAGAAAGACTTTGCGAGTTGCCGGTGACTTACTGCCTGGTTTGGCCGAGAGCACGAGGTGGAAAGACATTGTGCTGCGGGGTGTCTGTGACGGAGGTGCCGCGAGAGGTCCGACGGAGACCGAGCTCATACTTAAGTAGCACGGCACACCTGGCCAGTCGGCGTGGCCAAGCACACGCAAACAGCTAGGTATGTTCATGCCAGTGCCGGCACAGGATGTCGTCGGAATACGGCGGAATGGTTCAGCGGTCCACGTCCATCTCCTCCTGGGGCTCCGACGTGCCATCATGAGCTCGTCTGTTGCGGCTCCAACTCTCCCCGCGAATTCTCCCGAAATTGAAGCTCCGGCGCGGACTCAGACTCCCGGGAGCGTCCCTCGGCAGCAGCAACACGTCCTCGTCGTCGGCAGCGGTCTGGTCGGCCTGACCATCGCGCAGGGCCTCAAGAGGCGCGGTATCCCGTGCACCGTCTTCGAGCGCGACGCGGGCCAGCACGGGCGCCTGCAGGGCTGGTCGATCACGATCCACTGGGGCCTGAGCGCGCTCGAGCAGGTGCTCCCGAGAGAGCTGTTCGACGAGCTGATCAGCGTGGGTCGCTCGCTCGCGCGGTCGTGTGCGGTCGGGGCGCTCACGGGAACTGAGTTGCTGGGCGCTTTTGCAGGTCCACGTCGAGAGTGAGTTCCGCCCTGCGTGTGCGGCGAAGCGGCAGCGACTGACGCTTGGGCGGACGCCGCGCCAGCCCATCTCGATCGGAGCACGGGGAACTTCCTCGTCATTGGTCAGCACGACGCTCGTCGCTCGCCGCTCGCGCCCGCTCAAACTGAGTCCTCCCCGCAGATGGCCGCGATCTCACCGTCGAGCACCGTCTCCCGCCGTCCAAGCGCCGCATCCGCGCCGATCGCGCCAAGGTCCGCAACGTCCTCCTCGCCGGTCTCGATATCCAGTACGACAAGCGGCTCTCGCATTTCGAACGTGTTCCCGCCGGTGGCGTTCGCGCCTTCTTTGAGGACGGGACGAGCGAGGAGGGCACCGTCCTCGTCGGTGCGGATGGCAACAACAGCACGGGTGCGTTGATGTATCGCCTGCACACTCTGTTTCATTTGGTGTCGAGTTTGGCGCAGTGCGACGTGGGCTGGTCGCCGGGGAGAAGGCCAGGTCGAAGCCGATCCCGGTAGTTGCGTACGGTGGTAAGTCGGTGCCGTTTGTAGACGTGTTTTTTTTAATTTTAATTCTGACACGGTTTAAAAATGCAGTCGTGCAGCGGTACACTGCCGAACAGATCGCGCCGTTGCGTGCTCTCGACGCACATCTCTTCAACTGCATCAATCCGGACACGGTCCGCTCAACTTTCTTTCTTCCGGACCATCACTCTCACACTCGTTTTCGTGTTTAGCGCTGCTCGATCTGGGTGAGCGCCTCGTGGCTTCCGGGCTGTGTGATGGGCACCATTGACGTTGGATCGAAAATGTAACAGTTCAGTGCGTCGTCCCGCAGACCTCTGCGTTCTCCGAGTACTGACGTGGCGGCCCGAGTCTGCAGGTATACAAGAGATAAATGAATCGCAGACAGAGTTCCAGATGCTCTCTTTCGTGTCGCATCAAGTTGATGATGTCGCGAAGGAGCTGCCTGAGGATGCGACCAACGCCGAGGTGATAGCGCCTACCGCAAGTCTCTGCTCTTTCAAAAGATGTGACCCATGTTGCCCCGCAGCGTATTGCCGACATGAAAGCTCGCGCCGGTGAGGACTTCCTGGTTGCTTCCGACCGTTCCTAAATCAAATTCGTTCTATGCCAGAGGGATTCGCCGAGCCTCTCTATTCGCTTATCAACAACATTGACGATACCGTAGAAGTGACCAGCGATGACCTTTCGTGTTCTTCCACATGGGATCTCACATTCATCGGATTTTAGTGCACTCGCGTTTCCCCGGCTGACTGGATGCCGATCCCGTGGGATAACTTGTCCGGGCGCGTCACCCTCGCTGGCGACGCGACGGGCCCGATGACGATGTATCGCGGCGACGGTGTCAACCACGGCATAGTGGACGGTCAGCGACACCCACCCTTTCAGCGGATGCTCGCGCTGATGCCTCGACGCAGCCGCGAGCTTTGTGAGCCAGCTGAAGCGCTTCGTGGATGGGAAGGTCGGGTTGCAAGCCGCCGTGAGTGGGGCACCCCGCCGGCTCGAGCGATAGGGAAGTGACTCATCGCTGTCGGCTGTGTGTAGATCGGCGAGTACGAGGACGAGGTGAGGGCGCGTCGGGAGGTGGCGATACCGCTGTCTAGGCGAGCGGCGCTGGACGCTCATGGGATGCCATCGCGTATGTGCCGCGCACGATCCTCGGACGAGCTTTCTGGCTGACGACGGTGCTTCGTTTTCGATCGTAGCGGATTCGCCGCTGGTCTGTTCGAGCCCTCCGCCTGCCCAGGCGCTGAAAAGGTTTTCTTGAACGCGGACACGCCTTTTACGGTAGTCGGCGCAGGCAGGGTTTGTGCTTGGTGTGCTAGATCGTTTCGAGGGTGCGACGTTTGTGGTTTGTGGGCAAATGGACGTATGGCTGTCGAGGCATGGGAGGCCGCATCATGGACTGAGTTGCACGTTGGTGTTCATTATCGTCACCGAGCCGTTACTTTGTGGCGGTACCGCGGTGTTCACTGGGGAGTCTGACATCCGAGCACCCCATCAGGCACCTTCAAAGCTTTGCATTCATGGATCGACGTACGTCGAGTCGCTGATGAACGGCAGCTCGTCCGACTGCAGTTATGTAATCTTTGCTCCTTCGTCCCGTACCACGACGTCCAGCGATATCGACGAGAAAGGCTCCGCCTTATTCTCCCGCGTGATAAGCACGACGACCGACCGCCGTGACCACGGCGCACGCTTACGTCTTCGTCGAGCGCGCGTTCCCGATCCGGAGCGAGGCCTGGCTGGGGAAGGTCGGGCTCGGTGGCGCGGCTCGCGTCCGCGTTTGCCATTTCGGTCGCGGAAGGGCTGCGGATCTGCATGCCGCTGGGCGCCGTCTACTTGTGTGCGCGCTGGTGGGAGGTTGCCGGGAGGTCGATTCCGCCCGTGTGCGTGGTCCCGTCTTGTCCCCGTCCACCTCCCCCCGCGAGCCCACGCACAATGTCTGCCTGCGACCTCGACGCCCCTCCGCCGCGACCCTCGCTGGGGCCGTCTCCGGTCTCGTACGGGACCCAGCGAGGCCTGCGGGGGTCGCGGGTCGCTTATCCCGTACGTTCTCACGAATACTGCAGGCCCGGCTTTTCTGATGGGGCGCCTGGCGATTCGGAGAACATGGAGCTGGTGCCTTCGGGCTCTGGGACCCACTTGGAAGAAAGGCGTGTCGGTGTAGGCAGCCAGGAACTTTTGGACGAGGGCGAGGACGAGGGCGAGGGCGAGGCGGCGATCCTCGATAAGGAACTGGATCAGCGGAATCGGAGGCCTTGGCTGAGGAGACCGGCGCCGTGGTGGTTCGTGCTCGCTTTCGGATCGCCTCTGGTGCATGTCGCCGCCCTCTGCTTATCTGCTCCGTCCCAAGCTGTCTCTCGGTCATTTGCGTGGTCGCGCTGGGGGCGGGGTCGACCGCCGCGTCGCAGATCGCGGTCCTCACGAACATCATGTGCGAAGAATACAAGCGCGGGCTCGAGTCTGATTCTACGGCCGACCTTGCGCTTTCTCGCCGATCGTCGTCATCCTTCAATCCTCACGAGGCGCCGATCGTGTGCGCTTCTAATCCGGTCGTTCAGGCAGAAACTGCTACGGTGCTCGCTGGTGAGCGGACCCTCTACACATCTTTGCTCTCCGGAAACAAACGCGGTGTTCGATAGCGATGGCGACAATAACGGGCATCCTGAGCTGCCTTACGACGGCGTGGTGGGGCTCGGTAAGCACTTAGATTATCCCGCCGTAGCCCACATTTCGCCTCATCTCCTCTGGAAGCTCTCTGATAGACACGGTCGCACTTTCGTTTCCGGCTTCTGTACGGTACCAGTCACAGATCTGTCTTTCATACTGGTCACCCAGTTTCCTGCGCTGATACCGGGAGGGTATCGGTTCTTGTTTTTTGGATGTGCTTTGCAGGGCAGCCTTGGTGGTGAGTGGGGCATGTAGCATTCTTATGGTTCGTGACTCCCGAGCGCCAAGTGCCCTCCGAATAGGTGTTAGTGCGCTCATCGCCGCCATGCACGGGTACCTTGCCGACTGTACCGCTGCCGCTTCACGGTATGTCCCTGCTATGCGCGTTTCGTCCGAACACGACAGTGCTCACCGCGAGAACAGGGTCCGCGTATTCTCGCTGTTTTTTGGGTGAGCGGATACCTTTGCCCACATGATCTGAGACTGATCCCCGCGATGGCGCAGATTTCTCTATACCGGCGCCGCAGTCGGGCCGACCCTTGGATCGCTCATCATCAGGACAACCAGCAACGACCTGTCCGTCTTTTATTTCTCCGTTTGCGTCAACTTCGCCGTCACCTTCCTCCTGTGGCTCGTCGTCCCCGAATCGCTCCTCCCCACCCAAATCAAGGCTGCGCGGCGTGCTCACGAGGTGAAAGCGGCCGAAGGGAGGCGGGTCGCCGGGTTTTTTCCCGGCATCGGAGGTCTTTTTGGATTCTTGGCCCCGCTGGGCGTCTTTGCGCCGGTGAAGATCCGCCAGGATGTGCCTTCTCGTGGAGGCGGGAGACGAGACTGGGATCTTACCCTCGTAGGGATCGCGTACGGATCCGCGCTCACGGTCGGGGTGAGTATCGCGATCGCCGTTTGTTGGCAAGGAGGCCCATGACGTCTACGTCCAGGGAAACACGCAAGTTGTTTTGCAGTATGCTGCCGCAACTTACATGTGGTCCACAGAGATGGTATCTTCTTCTCTTCATCGGTCGTCTGTCTGTCTGATTCATCGCCTCCGATCGTTATCAGCTTGGGTACTTGAACAGCGTCATCGGGGTGTCTAGAGCGGTCTTTCTGGCCTTGCTGCTCCCCTGTACGTAGACACTCAATCGCGATCGGCGAAGCCGTCCCTGCTCACCTCAGTCCACAGGCATCATACATGCATTCGGGCCCAAACCCAACCCCATACATCTTCCTATGGAATCCTCGGAGCCGTCTGATCTCTACGCAGCATATCCTCCCCGATCCCCACCCCCCGTTCAGGAGCAACCGAAGAAGCAAGAGCGCCACTCCCCCGCCTTCGACCTGACCCTCGCTCGCACGTCTTTGTTTGTCGAGATAGTGGTGTACGCGCTCGCTCCGTTCGCGAGCACCGGCTCGGGCTTCATGGCCGCCGTCGCGGCTGGGTCTTTGGGCGCCGGCTTCGCGCCTACGATGCAGAGCCTCGCGCTCGAGCTCTATCGGCGCCGCGGGGGCAAAGGTTCGGGGAAAGTCTTCGGCGCGCTGGGCCTCGTGCACGCGGCCAGGTAAGCTGCCCTCTTCCCTCCCTCTGCCCCCCTTGCGAATTCACGGTCGGTGGCTCCGCACACACGCCCGGCTCGTGCGCGCGCGCGTCGTCAGCGCGCATATCGTGGGTCCTGCGATGTTCGGCTTCGTGTACCTGAAGACGGTTGGAGTGTTCCCGAGGGCGGTCTTTTTCGTCGTTGCGGCGCTGCTCGCGGGTGCGCTGGGGATGCTTGGCGTCGTGAGGCTCGCGCCGGATGCGCGGCGGAGGCTTTTGGGGGCCGGGGACCTTGAGGGACGCCGGCAGGAGTCGGCACCGCTCTTGGAGGAGTGCGCGGGTGGCACTGTGACGGGGCGCGCGGCGCGTGAATGAACGCGATGTCTTTGTCTTTGAGAGGGGGCGTTTGCTGGGACGTGAGGCTGGCGATGGTTCGTCGACCGTGGTCTCACGCGCATGTCCGGCGAATATCTGTACTTTTTTTTCCGTTGCTGATCTTACGCGGACAACAGTCGTTCTACGCACAGGATCTGTACTTGTCATCTTATCATGAAATATTCACTCCTACCTCTCGGATGAAGGTCTCTCCAGGTCGCGGTTGAACATCCCATCGTCAAATACTCACGACTCAAACGTCATGGCCCCCGTTTGAGGGAATCGACAAGTCGCGGTACGCGTAGCGCTGGCGACGTCCAGCGCAGGAGATCAACGTCGACCAGATGAAAGATGTCGCCTGCGAGTTGGCCGCCCTCGCCTCAGGGACATCTTCCCGAGTCTGCGTCATCGATTGCCCTGATTGCTTCAACGTCGACGGCAGGCTTCGAATGCGCGGTCGCCTTGACAGGGTCAGGTGATCCTGGCGTCGCACCCGGATGCGATACCACGTTGGACTTCGTGGCTGCCGAACACGGAAGATGGCCGTGCTCCGTGTGGAATGCTGCGGTACAGATGAGGGGGGGGAGAGAATCGGTGACCTTGATCGTTGGCCACCATTGTCGTCCGGGTGCTGTTCATAGTCTTAACTGGGAACATGAATACCGGTAAGTGAGGCAACGATATCGTAGCAGGTGTGGAGTACGACGCATGCCTAGAATCACCTGATGAAACCTGACCTTGCATGAATCAAGGTCGAAACGACTGTGGATATGACGTTTGCTTGGCGTTTGTGGCCGATTTCCAGAGTCAGAGTACTCCACGGAAAGAATGAAACAACGGCCATGGCTGTGCCAAGCACGTATACGGGATTACTCTGCGAGATGGTAGCCGCGACAGAATCCAGCCGTGAGGAGACGATCAGAGACATTCTCGCGCCGAAATGACGCCATCATCGTGTCTCGACTGGGCGGCAAGTAAGGTGGCTCCTGACGGAGTAAACGTGGTCTGCGGAATGGAGGTGGCCTCGTGGAGGTGTCTACTAGTCGTCAGCAAGGTCCGGGCGTTCTTCGATGATAGAGTGGCTACAAGGGAAGCAGCGGGACTTGCAACGAGTTTGTTTACGAGAAGCGCCTCGTGGACGATAGGCACCTAAAGCAGGCAGGAGATCTTCAGCTTTACGAGACCTAAGTGTCCAGGAGTGGAAGAAGTAGAACAGGGTTTGTGCTCACAACGATATCGTACGTAGGAGATTGATGCACATCGCATGGAACGGTCCCGATCTACCAAAGCGTAAGTAGGAACAATCTTCCGGCCGGTGGAAGCCATGAGGACATTCGCGGCGGCAGTTCGATCACCGCCGCCCACTTCAAGTGTCTGACATGGAAGCAATGGGGACGCATCGGAGTCCGATGATGGACGACCTAGTGAATGGTCAACGTGGTATTGTTGCAAGGTGCTAAACTGAGCGCTCACCATTTTCGAAGCTTTTCTCCAAACCGTTAATCGGAATGCGTCGGTAGTCGGGAAATGCGGAATGGACCTTGTTCCGAAGCTCAAGTGCGTCTCATGGCTTCTATTAGCCTTCTTGCACACATCGCGAACGCGCTGCCCACGGAACAACAAGCCTACAAGTTTAGCTCGTCCATCATCGCTTCGGCCTTTGCCCACTCTTCTTGACACCCCTGAGCGCTCATCAGCCACTGGACACTTTCCCCCAGCTCCTGCCCGATCGTCTCTAACGGCATGCCCTCGAACCTGTCTAGTAGGAAACCATATGCCAACCCGTTACTCAACGACTGCGCCGCTACTCGCTGAGCCTGCGGCAGCCGGATCCTATCATAGATCTCAAGCACGTCCATCAAGTTGGAGGCTGTTGTGGCGCGGTGCGCAAGGAGGAGGCACAAAATATACGCGTCCTCGATCCCTTGACCAGCGCCGAGGCCCTGGTGCGGCGTCATGGCGTGTGCAGCGTCGCCCAAGAGCGCAACTTTGCCGGACACAAAGCGTGGGAGGGCGTTTACGACGTGGATGGCCCACCGAGAGGCGGTGTGGGCTGACCGTAGGAGGCTAACGAGATCTGGCTCCCAATCACGGAAGTTGTCGGACACCTCCTGCACAGGGACATCGAGGACCCATGGATCGGGAAGTGGACCATCATTGTCGGCGGAGACGTTATCATATGCGGTGATGTGGATGGCATCGCCGAGAGTGTTCGAGGTGACATGCCTGCCCTTACCACACCACTGAGGACGAAAGAGAGGGAGTTTAGCATACGGGTTGTGGTCGCGAATATGTGTGGTACTCACGATGGTCATGCCGGGGCTCTGAGAGAGCCTGAGAAGACGTTCTGAAGTATTCTTCTTTATGTCAGCCTGCATGCGGTATGCGAGCTGCCCGCTGAACCGTGGCTGGGCGTAAATCGGGAAATCCGCGAACATAGTCATGCGTACTCGCGAATGAATGCCGTCCGCGCCAACCAAGAGATCCGCCGTGGCTGTCGTTCCGTCGGCGAAGTGGAGTGTCACTGGGTCCTGCGGCTCGGTCGATGTGTAACAAACGAGCCGCTTTGAAGTGTGGATTGTGCAGATAGCAGAGTCGAGTTTGGTTTGAAGTATGTCCAGTAAAGCGACACGGGAGATGATCATGGGGCCCTGAGTTAGAGAGTAAAAGTCGTGGCCTCCCGAGGAAAGGTCGGATTTCCTAAGTGTGGGTCCGCGGACTGGCGAAATTGAAGTATTAGCCATGATGAATCCGATGATATTGTGTCAATTACCGCCGTTGTCCTTGGGCAGAGAGATGCCCCTCTCAAGGCAGTCATTCTCGATGTTCAAAAGGTCCTGGAGAACATCCCAGTACCTTTTCCATATCGCGATTCCAGCACCAATGGTTCGAATATCGGAGTTCGTTTCGTAAACGTCGACGGCGATGCTGCCATTAGTCAACTTTTTTGAAAGGAACGAGGCGAGGGTGAGACCACCAATACCGCCGCCGCTGTCGATGTCCCATCATGTCGACATCAAGGCTGAAAGTAAATAGATAACAATTCGCACCAGATGGCGACTTTGAGGAAGGGCTGCATAGTTTCAGCTCAAAGACGACGACCAGCTCAGGTCCGGCGACGACTTTTGTGTACCAACGGCAGCCCCTTTGGCAAGATGTGCTCCATTCCGGGCTGAAATTATACCCTTCTTTTACCTAATAATGTGCCAAATCGTTGGCTGTCGGAGCTTTTCGTCTTTTATACTCTTTTAAGGTAGGCCGCAAGCAAACACGACTACATTACGTGGCGTTACATTTACATGACATTGAGTGACCATGGAGTGACAAAAGACTTATTAAGTAGTTAATAAGTAGTATTTGTTGACAATAAGTGAGCTAGGGGATAGGAGAGACAGAAAGTGGGCGAGGAGTGGTATGTGTAATGAAAGTGATACTGCATAAGTATCTTACTTCATGTGATGTTCATCTAGCTGCTCCAAAATTGAGTCCGGAAGCCTGCGATGGCCGTGGTATCTTTTTGCTGCCCAAGATGCCAATAAACTTATGATTAAAAATATATATTCCACTTCCGGTCATAGCAACACTCAAAAACATTCAAAATGTATCTTCTCTTTAACCGAGTCCAAAATGGAAAAAGCGGCACGGAGCAAATGTCAATAAAACCGATACGAAGGATCGCTCCGTGCCCGATTTCTCAATTTTTTCTCGGTGAGTGAGAAGATAGCGTTTTCTTGCGAATGTAACGCCTTCCCCCGCCAAATGTGACATCTGAGCATCACGTGATGTAGTCGCGTTTGCTTGCGGCTTACCTTACGTTCAACCGTCAGCGTTCTCAACTTTCAACTCTTGCGACGACATTTTGACAACTACATCATTCAGCAGCTTAGATTGGCACAGGAGCAGATCCCACGCACGAGGTGGGCGCATCGCATCCTGTCACACGTACTTTACATTTTCTTCCCCTCAATGCACACAAGTTCATTTTGATTATCTCAGAACCTTCAATACACTGCTCGGAATCCCTAAATTGTGCATCTAATTACGCTCATCGTACCCATAATCGCGCAAGATCTGTTTCGTGCTGCTCAAATCCTGCCGATGACCATTACTGACACTGATCACATCCGCACTTGTCAGGAGTAGCCTGAATTTGCTAATCCAGCTGTCGGTCTTGGCTGACGTCTTGAAAGTGACGGTCATGAGCGGGACATGGTGCCTTTCGGAGACGGCAATCAGGCGCTGTACCACCTTGAGGTACTCGGGACTGTCGAAGGCCCCAGTTCGCTTCGACGGCAGGCCCAGGGAGACGCGCATATCACCAGGTCCGAGCATCAACGAGCTCACACCAGGCGTTAACGCAATAGCTTCCGCATTTTCAAGTCCGAGCTGTGTGTGCATGTCAGAGTCAGCGAACTTGGTAGGAGCAAGGTGCGTGTGTATGCCTACCTTGCTCTCGATCTGACAGATGACGGCGACATGCTCATCAGCCACGCGCTCGTGTGAAGACCCCTCCGGTGCCATGTCGCTCGCCCCAGCAATCAGCGCTGAAGGGGAGAGAGAACGCTCGCCGCCTGAGTACGCGTATTTTGTCTTTGAAACGGCAATGCGGGCCTGTTGCGGCGTATCAATGTGAGGAAATACGATTCCGGCAGCACCTAGATGGCATGAATGGTGTGTTGACGGTTTAGACTGAACACTGCTTACCGGCATCCAATGCATGAGTCAATAAATATGAATGCTCATTTGGTACGCGAACAATCGCACAGGTCCTACCTTCGCTGGCAAGATTCACGGTCTGCACGAGTCGAATCAGGTTCTCGGGGCCGATTGCTCTGGTCATCGAACGAATAAAACCTCAATGAAACAACACCGGGCAGTGGAACGTTGAACGTACGTGTGCAATGCATCTATCAACACGAAGTCAAACCCAAGCACAGCGACGGACCGGGCAACGACATGGTGAGGAAATGCCATGATAGATCCGAATAGGTGAGTCGGTCCTCGCGAGGAAGGGTCGAGAGTGTCTCGTATCGCTTTCGAAAGGTTCGAAGGTTGAAACAGCGAGCTGGCTCGGAGGTGTTGCATTCCTCTAGCGAAGGGTGGCAGGGCAGAATAAACGGGTCTGGCTCGATTCATGCTGCTTCGGCCTTTCGTACGGTGGGTTTGGCAAGAATGGAGGGTTTGAATGGGTCGTGAATACTGCGTAGCTCGAACGACTCAAAGATATCCCTGACGTTTAGACTCTATCTCCAAGTATAGCGAAGTCGCTCAATATCATGAAATTGATGCCTCTTCGAGTCACAGGGTATCATCTACTTCTATTATAGTCACTTCCATTTCCCTACAAGCGGCATGCGGCAGATGTATGTAAGTGCTCCGAGGCTTATGGGGTACAAGTGCCTTCGACCCTTAAAGAAGCTGATTATCCTGGCGAATACCATAGGTTGGTTACAAGCTCAAACCTGGCTCCTGGATTTGTACAAATCTTGAACAAGATGATTCCAACTCAGATCGGAATCGGAATTTGCAGGTCTATTTCGATAAAACCTAGGTCACTGAAACACTGTTGAACAGAACCAATAGTAGATAAGTAGTGGTCCTCTTGAGTCTATTTCGGTCATGGCCACTTTACTCTGTCCCCTGTACTCTGTGAAGCTTATACGAGGAGCAGCGGTGAAAGGGAAAACTATCTGTGTGGGGCGATGGCAAGTGCCCCAATTCCGACTGATGTCCAGTGTGCATCGGAAGGGTGGCTTACAGGTACGTTATCCCCGATTCTTCGTCGAGGTGTTGCGGTAGCGCTGAAGAACCTTCGGAACATAGGCATCGATGTTGCAGATTGAAAAGACGCATCAACGGAAGACCATTCCTCCAGCAAATACTTTGAAAACGGGGCATCACTTTGTGAATTGCACACGCCTAGCGGGACAAAGGGACTTGACTAACTTCGGCTATGATAACACCAATAGACTGACCATATGCTCACTATTCCTTGGATACTGGATGGAGGCTGGGGCACGCCAAAGATCCAACCATGTGCGTCGTATGCCTTTTCTTTTTCGGTATGACTGCATTGCCGATTCGGACGAGCGACCAGACGGTCCGCTAAGCTTTGAGCCCAGTTGCTCTGTGTTCCACTACGCCCACTGTCTTTTTGAGGGTTTAAAGGCATACAGACGTGCCGATGGACGAGTGACCATGTTTCGTCCTGGCATGCACATGACGCGAATGAACGCGAGTGCAGCGCGAATCACACTACCTGTCAGTACTCTATCATCAATCCGTCGTACTAATTAATCTTCTAACTTCTGGTATACCGACCCGACAAAATAGACATTCGACGGAGATGAACTCCTCAAACTTATCATGGAACTTGTCAGAATAGATCAGGCATGGATTCCTCAACCGACGGGGCAAGGTCTATATATTCGGCCCGTTCTCAGTACGTTGCGCTCCTCCGTTCGAACATGATCAAGCTTTGAGGAAAAAATCAACACTAGTTGGCACTCAGACCAAAATCGGGCCCTGGCCTCCTGATGCGGCACTTCTCTATGTCATGTGTAGTCCGGCGGGACCATACTCCTCGCACCCAGTGGCGCTACAAGCAACGACAGGATTCACGCGAGCTTCAGTTGGAGGTACTGTTCAACTCATACAGGCTCTGCTTCCTACTGATCGCTTTTCCTTTTACAGGCACTGGGGATTTCAAAGTCGGTGCCAACTACGCCTTGGGGCTCCTTCCCCAGAAGCAAGCCGCAAGCCTAGGGTACGATCAAATTTTATGGCTTCATGGGCCGGAGCACTATCTCACCGAGGTTCGATCCATGTCGGTGTCCTGTGATAATCAAGGGTTACTGAGCGAATTCAGTAGGCAGGAACAATGAATCTCTTTGTCGTCCTCAAGAACGCGACCGGTGCACTCGAGCTTGTGACACCACCACTGGATGGCATGATCCTTCCAGGTATCACTCGTGATTCTGTGCTCACGATAGCGCGCGAACATGTCTCGGGAGTGAGACCGCTCCCTAAGCTGCCCAGAAAACTCACTGTCACCGAACGTCCCATCACCATGAAGGAGTTTCAAAATGCGGCCGAGTCGGGTAGCCTTTTAGAGATGTTCGGAACCGGTATGCCTACTTTCGAAAACTTTCAGTGCGAGAGCCCAACTCACACATTCTTCGATACCAAGGCACCGCTGTTGTCGTGAGTCCTGTCAACAGGATCGGGTATATGGGAAAGGATATACATATCCCGGGGGAAGCTGACGGTATGGGGCCGGTATCGAGGCCGCTGTGGGGGGAGTTGATTGGAAGGCAGACAGGAGTGATGCCCTGTAAATGGAGCATTGAAGTGTCGACGTAATAATAGATGTGTGGCTCTCGATGGTCGAATTTTGTAGATGCTCTGCCTCCGTAGAGTTATTCATACCGCAGGGTTGCCTCGTGTAAATCAGCAGGTCCTTTCATTTCCCATATGACAGGGATCGTGTGACGAAGAGACCTACATGTTGTCAACAAGAAAAGGGCAAGAAGCACCGATAGGAACGAATGGTGAAGTAATGAGAACCCAACTGAATGAAAAAAGCGGTACTACTCATACTTGATCTCGAGGGAATATTGGTGATGACAAGAAAGCAAATCGGTTCAAATTGGCCTATGATGTCGTGCTTACGAGGTTACGAATCCTGCGAAACAGCCCGTCGGCGTCTTCACCATCCGCCCATGAATGGCTCGAGAAACAGCTCGGATTCAGGTACACGGCTACCTCTGTATTGTCTTTTCTCGGCGCCAATCCAATTCTAAAAGATATCAGATAGTCGAAGGTTTTGAGGCACTCTGACCACTCACTCTGCCACAAAAGCCGTAGGGTCGGCATGATCTGCGAACGCCCTTGTGATACACAGTTATGTTAGTGCGCGGCAAGACAGAGAGAGCGAACATGCTTACTGTAGCAGTGGCGCCCCATCTAAGATGCGACAGTGATCGAGCAACTGACGGGCAATGAACGAATCTCGTCTAGGGATTTCGCCACACATGATGTACAGCTTGCTCGACAAACCGATAGCCTCGTTGGCCGTGGCTGCCCCAATCTCGTAGAAGAGGAGACAGTAAGCAGGTTTGTCGGAATCCGCGCCTCTTGGAGATGCTATCAGCGACCTCCACAGATCTCTGCAAGTGGAAATGAAGTGCTCTGGGAGGGTGACTTTGCCACCCAAGCTCAAATGAGATTCGAATGCATCGAAATCTGTGGATGCTGATAAGACGCATCGTGTATAGAATTTGACGCGCGGGAACGGATGTCGGGTGGCATCGACGGAAAGCATTCTAGGACGAAGTGTATCGGGATAGGATGCAATGTAGTCCCGTACCATGCGCCATGCATCCACGAACGCCGGCGACGCAAACACTGTATTGATGGCGCTGCTCGAGTGAAAAACATGATCCAGCATGGCGAGAATCTTAGAGGTCGTCTGGCAGGAGGGTAAAAGCCAGTAAAACTTGACCTTAGTATGGGAACCAACGAGGTCGAAACCGACGAATGTGGTTGAAGGCGAGCAGATGGGACAGGAACTCTGATGAAGGTCGAGTTCATAGTGCATAATCGTGGAGGTGATGTGAGTCCAGAGATCTGGAAAAACATCTATCCCATTGATGTCCAAAGCGATAACCCGGAGGGTCTCAATGGCCTTGAGTCCGTTTTCGAATGAGGTGGATCTATATGACCCGGGGAAAGCAGGGGCTATGTCCACAACATAGCGCACGATGGGCTTGCCTCGCTGATCGTGGTTCCTCCAGCAACAGCTGAGCTCAAACGGCGTGTAGTCGTTTGTCATAGACGACTTGTATCGTGGGCGATAAAGCCCGATTGGTGCGTTTGTGGAGGCGGAATCGTGTTCAGGCCCAAGACCTAGCCATGGCGCGACATGGTGGACAAAAAACTGGACATGCTGCTGGACTTGGTTGGAGGTATAATCACCGTGATACGTGAGCGCGCCTTGAAGGTATGGCGCGAGGATTCGAGACCACTGGAGGCCTGATCGCCAATCGTCCGCCCCCGGATGCTCTCTGGATGCATATGATGGATTGATCTGTGATATGGCCGATGCGTAACCTGCACATCGACGTGAAAACAAATGCTCACAATTCGATGGAGTTGATCATAATCATCGGGATTCATGTTCGGGGGGACGATTGGCGAGGGTCTGGAAAGAATGGCTAGTACTGTTCGGCAAAAACTAGCTCAAGCGCTCAAGAAGTATAAGAACTTACTTCACAAGACGTCAAAGTGTTCCATTTTCCTCCCTGTTGTCCTATTGGCGTTCATCCGACCGCGAAAACTGTATACATGATTTAAGAAGTGAAGGTTTGAATCATGGTTAGTTTGAACCTGCGTGTATTCCTCTTCGAAGCCATACCTCTGCTTGCACCACTATTCTGGCCGACCCTCGAGCACACCTCTCCAGATATTAGCGTCTCCATACCTCTGTCTCCTCCTTCCAATGCGCCGACACTCTCCAGATCCCTCCTCTCCTTCTCGATTGAGCAGGATCGTTGGGTTGATTGGATAGGACCGGGCTCAAGAAACGAATTCTTCTTCAATGTGCTGAGTAATCTGAAAGATCTGTCTGGAGAGGCGACGAGGTTGCGGATAGGAGCGGACTCGGAGGATGTGACGAACTTCAACTCCGCCGTGAAGGTGTCGCTTTTCGTTTGCTCGCCAGAATACAATGTCTGATCAGAACGAGTACCGTGCTTAGCTCTCGGACGCAATTTTTCCGCCTGCGACCGCAACAGACCCTTACCCGGAAGCTTTGAATGTGATCGTTGGAAATGGGTACTATCAACTTGCCTCTTTACTGCCTTCAGGCGAGCCTCCTGCCTTGCTATCCACGTTCTTCTGTCAGAATACAAGGATTTCAATAGGAACCAAGGTGATATGGGGAGTCAATTTAAAACAGCGTAACGTTACCGCTGCTTCGCTCCAGGCAAAGGCGATCGTGCAAGCATTCTCCTCGTCCGCTGTTCAAAATGCAGGGGTCATGTTGCAAGCAATTGAGATTGGGAACGAGCCGGACCGATATAAAAGGCCGGAGTGGACTGTCGAGGACTACGTCAAAAAGTACGTCTTAAAGTTAAGCTTCGAGTCGAGATCTTCCTATATGTGCTCACTAAGGGGTCGTTTGTAGATGGACTTTGTTTGCAACAAACGTATCAGCTACTATCGCTGCGGTGTCCAAGTCAAACGTACCTTTACTCGGGGCAGCTTTTTCACAGTCTACGCATAACACGACTGGCTTTTCTCCGCAAAGTATCTTCGAGCTGGGCATCCTCAATACAGAACCTGGATCTCAAATCTCATCGTAAGTAGCTCGCTCTCACATTTTGCACATCTGTCGATAATCGATACAATGGGTCTGGCTCTGACAGAATCTCTCAGCATCATTACATCTGCGCGTGCCCACAAGGTGTCCTCCAAGATGTGATGTCAAAGCCCGCTATCCGGGGCAATCTTTCTCAGTATTCCCCCGATATTGCAGCCGTACATGCCAAAGGCCTTACATACATCTTGGGCGAGACCAACAGCTATCCATATGCCGGGGCTCCCCACGTCAGCGATACTGCAGGTGCAGCGCTTTGGGCACTGGACTACACACTGTTTGCATCCCAGTTGGGGATCGAGAGGATTTATTTCCACGAGGGCATCGGATTTAAGCACAATTTTGTACGCCTTCCTCATTCCTCGATGCTTCCTGTATTAAGGGAATGACTGACTTCACACCCATATACTGCCCGCATCATTCCTCTTTGTATGTTCGCACGGACAGATACAACCGATGACCCTTCGTCGCTCCATCTATGACGGAAGCGCACTTCCCCAACCACTCGCACCACACATTCAACCTCAATATTATGCCGCAATCATAATCGCCGAAGCCATTGGCCCCTCGAACGCCACTCAAGCCATAGAGCTTGACATCAGCAACTCCCAAGTTTCTGGTTACGCGTTCTTCGATAACGGGCATCTCAAGCGCGCGGTTCTCATGAATCTGAATGTGTTTGTTGGGAATACAGCTAGGGGATCGGTGCACGTCGTTCCAAGTATTGTAGGGTATGGTTGGATGGCGCCGACGACAATGACGATCAAAAGGTTGACGATTCCGTGAGTCGAATCTCTCGACGTCTTTGCATGTGAAAGGTGATTCGCTTTTTTCATGATGGAAAATATCGACACAGGTTTGCAAACTCCACGTCAGGCGTGACCTGGGGCGGGCAAACGTACGAGACGTTTGATGGGAAGGTACAGAGGGATTTGGTCGTCCAGACTGTGCCGATTAGTCACGGTGTGGATATTCACGATACGGAAGCCATCATGCTCATTTTTTCATGAGGTTACAGTGTGGATCAGACTGTACGCAGATACGACTCACCAGTTGCCTCGTTTTTTTTTGTTCTCATGCTCGCCTACAGAGGAATGAATTGGATTGTTGCGTCATGGCTCAATGATACGAGTGCGAATACAAGTCATAGACGTCAACCAGCGTAGACCAAAGTCTCACTGTGGTCTGTATCTTAGAGTCAAACTTACATTGGCTCGGGCACATTATCCGTCAACGCCCTGGGTGATCCCAAATTTGGCGTCCCATCCGAGTGCCACCCAACGGCCTGGACCATTGTGTACCTGCACACAGTCAGCACCGAAGGTCTAGAATAGCACCGCGTATTGATGCAAAGCCCGGAAAGATGGTGGAAACGTACCGCGATCCATCACACAGTCCGGGCGAGGTCGACGACGCGTGGTACACGTTGTAAATCTCGTCTCCGCTAGGGCTCAGGAAGAAGCCGTTGTGGCCCGGCCTGGCACGCAGTCCAAGCGATTAGTCGATGCGCGCGACACGAGGAGGGGGTGGGGCAGCGTGGCTCGCTTACTCGTAGTTACTGTCGATGACGATCCAAACGCCGGTGATGAGTGTGCAGCGCCGCACGAAGGCCGCACGAAACAAGGAAGAGAATCGGGACGCACCCGTTCGCAGAGGTGAAGATGGGGCTGCTGTACTTCGTCCAGCTGCTCGCGCTCAGCGGGTCTGAGCCCGTGAGCTCCAGCCGACCTAGGGAGTACCCAGTCCCCGCGCAGTTGCTCGCCGAGTACGTCATGAACGTCCTCCCGCCGTGGTACAGCGGCGCTAAATGTAAATTACCAAGCGAAGGTCAGTATACGTGTCAAAGAGGGTGAAATGACGAAGAGAGATTCGAGTCACACACCCGGACCCTCGTTCACGTTCGCGCCCACCTGCTCCCACGCGTATGTCGGAGTCGAGATCTTGACTGTGTTTCCGAGCGTCGTGGCGCCGGTCATTTGTCTGCCATTAACACAAACAACACAAACAAATTCAGACTGGATGGAAAATCAGGAGTAGAGGCCCGGCAGTGAAAGACGCACGAGATCCACAAGCACTGGTTGTCCCCGTCCCAGCTCGAGTAAACGAAGTAGTTGGCGCTGCTCGTGACGAGGACGGTGCCATCGATGGCCCATGTATCGCGGTTTGGAATGACGAGACGGCCTGTCGAAACGAGCAGCATAAGCTTACACAACTGTGGGCTGTGCTAGGGATGGAACAAGGCGCACTGGCATACGACCAGGTGGAGTCCCAGATGATGTTCGAGCTGCCCTTGAGCACATGCGAGCGCTGGTTGTCGAACGTGTCCGATGTGCCGGCGGAATAGTAGCTTTTCCCCACAGTAGCAGCGTGTGTCGTAAGGATTCAACGAGAAGAAAGAAAGAGGGCGGACGCACATGTACCACGCGCCGTCCACGTAGTGAATCTCTGGCGCCCAGATATTGCAGCATCTGGACGCCGTGCTGTCCGTCCAGACAACTTTAGGGGTAGCCGTCTTTAGACCCGCGATCGTCTGAGAACATATCAGTTTCAGATGAGCCTCTTGAACAATATACTTCAAGAAAACAAGGAGTCAGTACAGTAGCTCGCGTGATCTGGATGTTGGTCCAAGTCGTAGTTGTCAAATCTATTTTAGCACGTCTCAGCGATACACAGGTATGGAATGATCAGCCGACCGACAATAGTAGCCTTCGTGGTAAACCTATTTCGAGATCGCTGTCACGATGAGTTGAACGAGCAGGGGTGAAACAAAGGCAGGCACCATGAACGGGTCACTCCCATCGGTCTGCTTGATTGGATTTTGGAAGGTCGCGGCGCGCGAAAGCAGCGTAGCGTTGTTCAACGCTACAGCAGGGGAGTCGGAGATTGGCACCACAGCCGCCCTTACCACAGCGGATGCGACGAGCAAGAAGGCCGGTAACAAAGGCTTCAGGTACCACATATCGAAAGTCAGAGGTCACCCAAACTGAAAGGGTATTCGAAACTGGGAGAGCGGTGCTTTAAGGCATTCCAAGTGGTAGTCGCGGTCCGTCCGTATAGAGAGCGGATAAATAAGCCGGGCCGTTCCTGGCGTAAAGGTACCTTGCCGCCGAGGACGAGATGAAAGCCTGCTCCACCTCCGTATGTGAGCACGAAAGTTGAGAGTCACGGGGATTTTGTTCGTAGATAGCAGGCGACGCAGTCAGGAAACGGAAGTAAGAATCCCATAGCACGCCGGGCGACGCCATCTGTGAAGGTTAACTGGGAAAGGTTGCGGACCAGATCTCAGGCTAAAGCTCGGAGCCAAAGGGTGAATAAGAAATATGCCAAGGTGTAGCCGCGGTCAGTTGATGCCCGTGACAGAGATCTAGGTCATAGCGCATGCCACCAGATCGCATGCTCCAGAAAAATCCCGCTCTCCGCGGCAAAGTTTAATCATGTTCAAGTGCCTCAAGGTAGAGTATCAGATGGTCCCAATCGCGAATAGCAAACTCGGCGACATGGTGCGTTGGCTAAGGCTGACTACCGCCTACCCGTTGGTCTGCATGAGCATCATCTGAGGGTAAGCTCGGTCTGGCTGAGCGCGGGGGCTGCCGCTCTTGGTCTTGCAAGTCTTACTTGTGATGCAGGGAGTATACTTGATTCAAGGCAGGCGCTGTAGAGAGCATAAAGCTCGGCGCGCTGGTCAGATGATAGATGAGATGACTTACCTGCATGCGGGCGCCGATTTCGTGACTGGATGCTTCATCATGCGATCCTCACCGATCTAGGTCTTGTTGAAATTAACGCTTCAAGCTTCACGGCCACCAAAGTCCTGAACATATCATACATCTTGAAGTAAGTGTCGTCAACCAAAATGGGAACTTCTGTCGGCCAAATCAGGGATCCAGGTTTCCTGATCGGGTTCATGGCGGAGATTGACTCGAGAGACAGGTGGATACCAGAAGATACCAGAACGAGAGCTGCAAGATCGTAGTTTTCGTGCCCTACTCGAGAGAATAGTCGCTGAAGGTCGTTGGACAAGTTGTGCGCTGGCGAGGAAGGCCAGATGTAGTCCGGGCCGCGTCGGGCTTTTAAGAGTTTTCGTTTCCTGACGTCACACAAAGGGTCCGCCAGGCTGTTGGCACGTAGATCGTCGTCTTTGCATTCGACCTCGATTATTCGAGTGTAGGCTATCGAATAGCTGGTGCTGATCAGTACTGTGTCAATAAGCGTGAAAAACATGTTTCTGAACCATCCGATCAACGATCGCATCCTGATCTCAGACCGTCTCAGGCATCGTGTACTCGTATGCATCCCATTCGACTCGACGGTGGAATTTATCAGAGACATCCGAGCTCTTGTTCTGGACTGACAGCGTAGTCTACCTCAAAGGAAATGTGCCTCGCTGTGTCGCAAGATAGATCAACTCGAGGTCCTCTTTCACTTTTGCCACATACATGTAATCAGGGTTCATGTGGCCATATTGTTCGCATGACGCCATGCGTATCAACGGCACAAATTGTGACACACCAACTCTTTCGATCTTCCCTCAACGACGAACATGGTGATTTATGTGGCGCTTTACCGAGATGATGACCGACCAGTCTCAGCTGAGCACTGATCTCTCTTTACCATCCGAGATCTTGAATATTCTGCTCGTCAGCGACCCAATGGGTCTGTCTTCTGCAACAATCGTGGGCTCAGTGCTCAAGGGGTGAGTGTTGTACGATCATCCGGGACTGTCTCCTTCAAGCGCTGATGTGCGAGAATTCTCGCTTCCGACCAGTCTGGAAGCCTGGCACTCTCCGAGGACATTCTCGCTGATCAAACCTGATTCACAGTCATCGGCGATGATGGTCTGTCAGTACAGTATATGTTTACTCATCTCGGCTAAACCTCAAGCAACTATCGCTTTGACTTTCCCCACTACCTCTTCTTGGTATGCGGTCCCAGCATCCTCAGGCTATGACTCGGTGCTTCAAACAAGCGACAGCTTACAAATATGTCTGCCCGAGTAACGAGCGGTTCCAAGTGCAGATACAAGGATGAGGCGGGAGTCCACTCTCAAAGCATGAATGGGTAGGAACTCGTTGCACAGATCTCCGAGTGCACGGCATGCCATTTACGTTCGCGAGCCAGATTCTCTAGCAAGCAGGTCGGCAGCGGAACGAATGGACTGTTGACAGCGCGCGGTCGCAGCAGACCAAATTGGGCGGTGTTGGCTGGGGATGCGACTCCGAGACGCGTAGGGCGACGCGGTCACCTGACGAGTTTATTGTGTACAGGGTTCCCACGCCTAGTTGCTGAGTTCAACCACGACGGAAAGCTCTCGTCGACGTCCGCGACGACCTCGACGACGCACGCGACGACCACGGCGTTTCTTTTTGTTTCTATCTTTTCTTCATTGATGGCCCCCTTACGCGACCGCGCTCTTTCAAACTCCCCAGACCCAGAATGGCCTCCGCAGCCCACCACTCCTCTCCGTATCGCCAAGCGCGACGCACCGCAGCGCCCGCACGCCTCGCAAGTCAGCAGGCGTTCATCCTCGACGTATTCAAAGCTCAGGAACAGTAATCTTGTCACTCAGTCCCCCTTCAGAGCACAAACTCAACCTCCTAATCGCCCTTCGTCTGCTATCAATGTTCCTTCGCCCCGTCGCGTCAGCGGCGAGAAACGCGCACGCCCCACCTCGATGTACTCGCAAGAGGAAAACCAGAGGCCTCTCGGATTCAAGCGACGACAATCCAGAGGCTTTCAGGGTCTTATCGACCGCGAGCCCGTCACCAAGAGTCCGTTCAGGCAAGACTCTTCTGACGACCCTCTACCCCCACCCGTACCCCCGAAATCAGATCCTGTCCATCTCCCCACTCCTACATCCTCTGCATCTCCAGTCCGCTCCTCTCTCGTGTCAAAGCGCTTTCATGGCCCCAGGATCTTGGGCAACGAAGTACAGAAACGACAAAGGAGGAAGACTGTCACCTTCGACGAGAAGTGTGATGTCCTTGAGTTTGATCGGGACGAAGGAGAGATGGAGGAAGATGTCTTCGACTCTGATTCTGAAGACTATGGTGTTCCAGAGCCTCCGCACGGGGTTGAAGACGAAGAGGGCTATGCAAACGACAGCATCACTGGACTGGTCGACTCGATGCTGCAAGATGCGCGTGATGAATCTAGGCCGCATACTCCTCCATCAGATAGGGCGCTCCCTCCGGACCTAGACAACGAAGACGGCGTACCCTATGGGAGGACACATCACGCCGAACGAACCATCGCCGCTCATCATCAACATCCGACTCCACCTTCAGAATCATCAGACCCACCGTACGAGGTGCACGATGGTTTGCCTGTCGTCAATACACCTCCCAGAGCTCGTAACCCGAGTGACGCAACGCCTCCTAACTCTAGTTTGCCTCTCGGGCGGTCTACCGAGCACAGAGCTGACGAATTGGAGGCGGACGCTGGGTTGTTGCCTCCATCACCTTCACCCGCGAGGGCTGGCAAGCTCATCGCCAGCCCCATCGAAGTCGGCTCGATTCCGAAACTCGACCTTGGCATCGAGCAGCCGGACGAGGTCAAGGGCGATAACGATAACGAAGGTATGTGTTATGGCGCATCTTATGTTGCGTTCTAAATTGGCGTTGGCGTCAACAGATCCATTCTCTGTACACGTAAAGGAAGAAGTACAAATTGTTGAGCTTTCTTTCATGTCAGGGTCCGCGCAGGATGACATGGAGCCGTCCAACCTGTCATTCAACCAGTCTGATGTTTCTCTATCTGGACTAGCAGCAGAGCTCGGGATTGTCGACCCCGAGGACAAGCCACCCACTGAAGAGAACTTGAATCCCGTGCGGACGTCCACGCCCCCTCCAATATCTCCTCTGAACCTCAAAGCCTCCATGTCATCCCTTCGCCGCTCTATGGAGTCAATCGAGGAACGACCGATCCCGCTTCCCCGCAGTCGGAGCGCGTCGCCGTTTGAGTCCCCTTTCTCCAGTCGCGTTGCCTCTCCAATATTGGGCCGCGCAGGCTCGCCGGCGTCGCGTGCTGGGTCACCCGGGCTTCCCATGCCTATGCGTGCAGGCTCGCCTCTGGTCTTCCCGTCTCGGGTCACTTCGCCTCTAGGCATACCATCCCGAGTAGCGTCCCCTTTCCAACGCAACAGAGGCGACTCCTCGGCCAGTCTGAATAGCCTGAACGGACGCAGCCCGCGGATCAGCAGAGAAGAAGTCCAGAGGCGACTGCGAAAGCGGAGCCAAGAGAGCCCGACGCCTGAAGAAATCATGGACCCCGCTTCTCAGGAGACAGTGAAGGTGCCGGGTGCCAGCGACTCCGCAGATGTCACCTTAAATATCGCCGACGACGACTTGAAGGATGTGCGACCTCCCATCGACGGGCATGCCATGCGACGGGAGCACCCAACTTACGATGGCGTGATCTCTTTGGATCCCGAACCTCAGGCCATCGATCCGCCCCGACCTTCTCTGCCTGTGCGTGCCATGTCTGTCGATGCCGCTGATCCCATGTCAGACTTCAAGGGCCTAGACTTCGACCTGCCGAGCGGAGGGCCTGTGATTGACCTCGGCATGTCTGACATAGACTTTGACACAGAGCATGTGGACATTGGGGAGGTGCGAAGCGCTCTGGATAGGTTAGTCGCTAACGTGGCGAGCTCGAAGGGTTCTGAGAGGCCTGTTGGTAAGCCCCGGGCGAAAGCGAAGTCGGGCTTGGTGAGGGTGGAATCTGTTACTGAAGGGGTCAAGGCTGGACAGTTTGAGCCACCAGCAGATCTTGATATCCTCATGGACGAGGACAAGGAGGACGAGGACGAGGAGGGCGAGGGCGACGAAGATCAAAATCAAGACGATAGGATGGACGAGGACGAAGGGGAGGAAGACGAGGACGGCGACACTCAGATTTATACTCATCGCCCACAACAACACTCTTCGCCAACCCCAGAACTTCTCTCTGGAAGCAAATTCGTGAGCCCTCCCTCGAGTCGAAGTGCCAGTACCTCCTCCCTTGCCCCACCCCTACCCCTACCCCCACCCCCACCCCCACCCCCGAAAGATGCCATTCGCACTCGTGAGCAGATGATTCTTGAGAAGCGAAGGGAGCTACGGCGGCGTGAAGAGGAAGAAACAATGGGCATCGCTACGCCACCGCGGCACGTCAACTCTATCAAACGTCTGGCGGTAGAGGGGCGGCCATCCAAGCGACGTAGCATGAGCGCAGGGGATGCAGAGGACCTTGAGCAGGCAAGGGCCCGGGAACTGTCTGGCGATCCCGGTAGGTCTGAGAGAGGGCTGTTGGACGTGGTTCCTCTCGAGGCCGGGGAGGAAGTTCCCTTGGCAGATAGCATCGCAAGAGAGCTGAGGAAATTGGGCGGACCGAGCAAAGGAGTATGTGATTTCCTCATATACCATCATCTACTCTTGATGATCAACTCACACCAGAAATATCATGTTCGCGAGCATGAAGGCACAATTTATGCCTCATCTGATGCCGATAAGGTTACTCACATGGGCAACGTGGGCGACGTCGACAGCGGGAAAGCTTGGAGAACGGTGCGCAGGCCGTCCGATATGGTATGTCATCTTGAGTCGTTCCCAGCGCATGTCCGCTAACGCACCTCGTAGAACGAATATGCCAAACAGATTCGGCTATATCGAGCGCAGGAGAAGCCTGGAAAGGCTCACGGCAAGGTCTTCGTTCGAGGTCAGTTCGCGTACCTCGATTGCCCTAGAACATGCACTGATCCTTGGTGAAGTGATCGGCGTCAAGGGCCTTGACGTGCCCATTCCTCAGCAGACGACAGCCATGTCGTGCACTTTAAACAACGGCATTCACTTTGTGACAACACCAGAGTGTCGGTTGTCCAAAGATAGCAAGATCGAACAGGAATTCGAACTGTGTGTACCGTTTCTGCGCACTGAGGATCAAAGCTGATATGCTTGGTTAGAATCGAGCATCAGAAGCTCGAATTCACACTTACTCTGAAGATCCGTCGAGACCCTCATGTCGTCGCGCAGTTCAAGGCGAACGCGCCACGACCTGCCCCACCACCTCCACAAGCACCACCTCCGGCGTCAAAGGGAGGTATGCGAAGCTTTTTCTCGACCCCGAAGAAGCCCACGAAGGTTGCCCCAAAACCAATCGTTGCACCACCACCTCACAGACTAGAGGAGAATCTTGCTCGCTACTTGAAAACAGACGGTCAACTCGCACGGGCCTTTGTCTGTTTCAAGGATATCGCAGATCGATGCGACACCAAACTTTTCGAGACGACATATCCGCTAATTGGACAGCGGATGGAAACGAGCTCGAAAGTGTCTTCATTGCAAATCGGAGAGTTAATCTTGCAGTTCTTCAGGTTACCTCCCCTTCATGGTATACCAGCCAGCCAGCAACCACAGAGCTTGGAGGAGTGTCACCGTGGGCTACGTCATATTCACTGGCATAAGCAAACATACTTCGAGGGAACCTTGACACAGAACGGTGGTGATTGTACGGTATGTTTACCTACGATTTTTTTTCGGAGTTCTAGTGTTGACTTTAGGCAGACCTGGCGGCGACGTCACTTCCGAGTCATCGGTGCCAATCTGGTCGCCTTCAACGATGTTACCAAGAAGGCCACAGCAACGATTGACCTTCGCAGGGCCATCGCCGTTGAAGACATCCAGGAGGGGCGGTCCCGTGCTCTCAGCCCAGCGTCGGTGCAGACTGCCCGTAGCCCGTTTACCGACGACTACGATGACGTCTATGGAGTCAAACGATCCTTCCGTTTGTTCTTCAAGCGCGATCAAGAGATCGTATTCTTTGCGGATACGGACGAGGAAAAGAGTAGATGGTGCGTCCCTACAGTTGATTGATTTTATTGGTGTGAATTGGCGTTAACTTCCCTTTGTTACCTCAGGCTCGAAGTCCTCCAGGCGCTCGTCGGGCATATTCCCCCTAATCCGCTTTGGGCTGAGCTTCTCTGGCAACACCGGCAGGAAGCAGCGAAAGAAGGTGTTGCACATACGGCCACTGCCTCTGGTTCAAGATCTGCTTCGCCTCCACGTCGGTGATAGCAGATTCGTATGCGCTTCCTTCGTCGGGGTGTCACACTTAGTTGGTCTTGTACATTATCTCTATCTTTTGGTCTCTCACTCTCCCTACGTTATCTCTCTACTACAACTCTTGTCGTTCGTCTCGTCGTTCCATTTCATCGTCTCTTCCCTATCGCGCACTTGTCTTGAACTGTCCTGTGTCCCCTTTTTGTCTGCACTGATGTACATTAAGGCTGCATAGAACTCGTCTGTGATATATCGTCGCTGCTTTTTCGCATCCATGTTTTTTTGCATCTGTCTGACAGTCCCGCTCCCTCGAGTCCGTGTGCACGTACTTTCGTGCACTCCAGATCCCGACTTCGTGCATCCACGAGACCAATTTGCCCAGAGATTATGATGTACTTATGTCTAACGTATGCCGACCTCATGTAACACTGTTTCTTCCAAATCAAAGATTCCATACATCCTGCATTTGCTTATAGAGAGGTTCCCATCGGATAAGTTACCGGCTAGTCATCATACTCCCGCGTCTCCTCGCCCTCTCTAACGGAGGAAGGTCATCTCCATCATCACTTGCACGAAGGCTGTTGTTAGCAGCATCTTCGGTGCTCGCTAACAAGATCAGTTGATGACGTGAAACTGACACAGGTCAATAAGACGTACCTGTGTCCACAGATCGATCCACCGACGACGGAGTTCCATTCGAATTTGAACCAGAGGGGATCGGAGGCGGCCCCATCAAGTTCGAAGTCGATGGCGGGCTTATTGAGCTCGGCAATATTTGTTTGGGAAGCATCGACCGTCGGCGCTGTAAGAGGATATGTGAATCTTCGATGGTGACAAGAGAACATTTGACTTACCTTATTGACGCCTGCGACGTTGACCCCCTCGAGATCGATGAGGAATTTATCCTCTTCAACATGCTTGCGTTTCTCTACGCATTCGACAACCCAAGCGATGCCGACCACTAACGGGCGTGGTCCATCTAGCACTCTGTACGATAGAATCAACAAGTTGTCCCATATATAAGGGGAAGGCAAGGCAGGTCACCTGTACTTCGTGAGCGTGCTCAATAACCCGTTCTTGAACACGATGTGGGTGCACGACGAGCCAACGCGACCGACGATCTAAATTCAAATAAGCATGAAAATTCAACCGTGATTGCTTGTGTATGTAGGAGATGAAAGCGCGCCTTCGCTCCCATGCCCCGTAACATGTCAACGAACAGACCACCTGCATCATCGCCGTCGTCTGTCCGCACGTCCACAAAGATTTTACACTTCTTCAAAAGTTTCAGTGATCCTCCCGCCTTCTTCTCGCCGGAGCCTGACTCTCCGTCCCGAGACGCCGATACATGGGCACCGGTGCCGCTGGCCCTTCCTAGTGCTCCAGGTGCTGTGCGTGTCCCAGCGGAAGATGGTTGTACGCTCGCAGAGCGAAGAACTCTCCCGTTTGTTGGGGAAGTAGAGCTCGGACCTGTTTGTGGTTCTACAGGAGATTTTTTGGGAGGGTTGGGTGGCGTGTGGGGATCCCGGGATAGAGTTTGAGAGAGCAGTTGAGAGGCTAAAGAAGCGCGCCGTGAGGCGTTGTGTTTCCAAGAGTCGTGAGGGTCAAATTCCGCATCACTGTTCCCGGCAAGAAGGTCACCGACGTGTAAGTTGGAAAACACATTGCCCGTTTCGCCAGCAGCGTTTTGCTCCGCCGCTCGAGAGGGGCCCGAGCTTTCATCTTCCAGCTTGGGCATATTCGTCACCTCGACTTGTACTGATGGTCCCGATCCGCCCTTCACCGGGCTGCCTTCCACTGTCGGCAAACCCGACTTCTTACTGACCTTTTGGAATACCCGCCCCATTCCCACTCCGCCGAACAAGGGTTTAACGTGGGACATTGGGACCCGAGATTTACCGATCATGCCAGTGTGGACATTGATTTTCGGTGGAGGAACTTCATCATCCTTGGACATCGCCATAGATGCACTGAATACCGCAGCAGGAATGCCTGGCGGTTTCGGCCTCGATGCTGGTCCAACAGTGCCCGCTCGTGACCGCATGGCAGAATGACCTACTGCATTTACACGCTTCAGTTTGGACAGCGGACCTGCCTTCGCTGCGCGAGCTTGATCTGATCCGCTGGTGAACAGGTCGTCTTTAGAGGTGGGAGGTAATGTGCTGTTGTCTCCACCGTCGCGCACAAATCCGATGCTCGTCCCTGGTCGTGGCGGCGGGGGCATCTTCAGCCTTTCGAGCGCTTGAGATAGATTCGACAGTGAGGTCTTCTGCACTAAACTACGCTGCGTGCCGGCGACAGAGGCTGGCTTGACTGGTGAACTGAATTTCATAGGCGACGGCTGCTTGGGAAGTGATACGGGTTTCTTCGTCGGCGACGCGATGGCCTTGCTCTTCGATGATGCGGTCGCCTGAGCGAAGCTGAAGGATTTCTTGTGTGACGATGCTCCTGGCGTAATTGGATGAGATGGACCTATCCGCACATGAATAAAAAGAACCTGGCGAGTGACTGATTGCCTTGCCTGCAACAGGAACGTCTGCTGCCTTTGCTTCGGCATCCATCTTCTGCTGCATGAGGCGGGTCGTGCGAGGTGGCGGATGTGCCATCTTTCCCAGGAGCTTGGTTTTCGCCTTTGGCATGAACAACGATGGTGGCTTCTTAACTGTTCCAATCTGTTTCTTGCTCGCTTCCCCAGAGCGTCCACTGCTGGGCAGAGACGACAAGGAGGAATCACTCTTCTCGGACTTCTGCAGAGACAGTGAGCTTGAGGGTCTCGGAAGGCGGCTGATGGGAGCTTGTGAGATCATTCGTGAGGCGGCTGTTGGTACCATAGCAGAGGCATCGGTGGCGGGGTCATTGGCACTTATCCGAGCGTCGGATGGAGATTCAGTAGATACCACTACTGTCACTGATGTTGTCAGACTCGTCGGTGGTGTTACATCAGTCTGTTGCGGAATTGTATCTGTGGGGATAGCATCCGAGCGAGAGATGTTTTCTATAGGCTTTGATAGCGGCCGTGGGGTGGCAGACGCCTCACGATCCTGTATTCAAATTGATATGAACAATGCAGTCACCCGTAAAGCAATGATGCCACTCACGGCTTCAAAGGTTAACGCATGCTGTGGATTAGTTGATGGATCCTCGACCAGCTCAGTAGCGCTCTGGGCAGACAAAGAAGTCAACTTCGATGAAATACTCGAGACTCTAGTCACGAGGAACCGATGCAGCTTCACCGTGGTCAGCACAGAAAGGAGGGCTATTTTTACCAGCAAAGGTCAAAGCAATAGCATAGGGACTCCATGCTTGCCTCGGTCGCGTAGATCATGTTATCCGAGTCTCATCAAGAAAGACAACTCACCACGGCAAGCGGTGCGTTCTGAAGATGGTTGCCTGGGGTTGATATATGTGTACGGTCCTTAGAAAAGAAAGGCGTTCGTGGAAGAGGGGTAAGAGGCGATAAAAGAGAGGAGTCGGTATGAAAAACTGTGAGTAGGTGATTCGCAGGTGTCCGGAGAGTATCAAAGGCTCTTCTTCGAGGCGTTACGACCGATGACCCACCAAGCTCGACATCATCCGACGCGTTATGTGTGGGCAGCAATGGAAGGGAGACAGAATCAGTGACTGGGGTCATTACGGGTGACATCGTAGTTCGTTCCGAAGTATCCCCTTCGCCCGGCTGCTCGACGACCATATCTGCAATGTCGTGCCGATGTTCAACTGAACGGGGTACGCTGCTAAATCGCAGCTGAGGGCGCACAGGAGATGAAGAAGCAGCTCTCCATGGTGAGGGCGGGACTTTCTTGAGGTCGATATGAGGGATACCTGGGGAGACTGGCGGAACGGACTGTGTTCGTCTACGAGAGGGAGTTTCGGGTGGTGGGGGCGCATGATTGGAGGCGGCATTGACGCGTTGAAGACCCGAAAAATCGAAAGGTCCCGAAAAAGCACCCTGCTCCGGAGAGGGGGACCTTGGGTAGTCTAGGATGATATGTTCAGTGGTGTGGGAACATCGCATTTCGTCAGTATCCAGCCATATGTTTGCTCACCGTCGTTGATATCGTGCCTCGCCCTTTTGCTGTCCCTTCGTTCGCCATCATACACCACAGAACCACCATCAGTCGGTGATGATGAACGTTTCTGTGGCGGAAGCTTGTCTGGCGACAGCGATTGTTCGCCCGTCGAATGACCCTCCTGTCTATCTGCAGGGATCTTCCCTTTCTCTAGCCTCCTTCCTGACCCGGAGGCATCATAGCGAGCTGCATTTCTCGCCACCTTGAACGGTGAATGGCCATAGGAAATGAGTTCGAAGTCGTGAAGGGTCCTCTGGGAACGTGTGCGTGTCCCTTTTCCTGACATATGAGCGACCTGAATTATCATATGTGATGTTTAAGCCTTCTTCATGAGACGATCTCGCCTTACCTGATCAATCAAAAGAGGACCGGAAAGGAGGAGGCGGAGGTGGTGGCGGCAGAGATGGCGGTGTGGACGCTCGACGCGCTAAATGATTATGTAACAAACGCGGTTGTGGCGCACGTGACACTTGGGCAATGCGCGCGCCACTCACGTCTGTCTCTTGTCTTGTTCGACCTCGCGGTGGCATATTTAAGCCTTCAGCTGAGACCCCCTTCCTCAGAGCCAACCTCCACCACAACTCCCAACTTCTAAATCGCGAACAAACACGCTTATCATCTACTGTTGTGCACCTTTCGATCGAGATGTCTCAACCTCAAGCCAGTGCTTTGGAGTACGCTATTATACCTACCTTGTAGTGGATATCTCACACCTATATATTGTGCCTCGCTAGGTTATCTGATTCAGAACGCAAGAAACCCGACAACCGATCTCCTCGCAAGCAGCGAAGGCGACAAAAGGAACGAGAGGAACGAGAGAAACGAGAGCCTCGCGAAGACATCACCTTGCGCCTTCCGACCGAGCTGATTTCTCATATCTTCTGTTTTGATCCCCTAGCTTCAACGGACACATGGTTCATTGAGGACGTTTCACAGCGTGAACGATTGGACGCCCCTCCATATCCCTATTGCCTGTCTGTCGCCGGCGTATGCAAGAGATGGCGAGCTATTGCCATGATCTGCCCTAGACTCTGGTCTCGTCTCCTACTTTTCAACCCCAAAGCGACGAACGAAATGATTGCTCGCTCGAAGCAATCGCCGCTTACCATAAAAACTGGGAGCCTTTGGGCATTCGAGCATTATAACAAACACTCCCTTACACTCGCTCTCCACGAGATGCAGCGCGCGTGCCACATCGAGTTTAGCGCAAAGGGCGAATACTTTCAGAAGAGTATCGCTCTGATAATGGAGAAGCCTGCCCCGATCCTTGAAAAACTTTCGATCTCCTTTACGGACAACAATGCGTTCAGGCTCCCCAACAATCTATTCCAAGGCAACGTCCCACAATTATCATCCATTCAATTGCGAGGGTGTATACTCAGCGCATCGTCGCCCCTCATACACGCTGGATTGACGACTCTCATAGTGCGAGGCGTCGTCCTCCGCCATAGACCGGATCTTTCAAAGTACTACGCCATACTGGAAAAGACACCGCAGCTTGAACACCTCGTCCTGTGGCACGCTATCAGCTACCAAGACGAGACCGCGGAAGCCGATAGAGGCATTCCTCTCAAATCGCTCAAATCTATCAAACTCGTGGATAACTACTTGGGTTGCTGCCTCCTCATGACCAACATCGACATACCCCCGGATGCGAAGATTTCTCTCATCACAGAAGTCAAACTGCAGCCGGGAGAGGAATACTACAGTGGCGATGTCCTTCCCGTAATCGTCGACCGACATGTCACGGAAGAGACCCCCTCAGACCACCTCACCCAGCTCGTCATCGACGAACTCGTACCAAAAAGTCTCAAAATCACCCTTGGTTCCATCCCCAAGAAAAACATCTATGGCACCTACATGGGCTTCGATGCAGGGACGATCCAGTATGACCTGAGTATCGAATGGACCACAGCTAAAACCTTTCCCCGCGACATGGCTGCTCAGCTGATGACTGCACTCTGCTGGCGGCTGCCGCTACAGAACGTCCAGCGACTATGTATCAAAGGTCGATACAGCGTTTCGCCTCTCAGATGGTTCAGCACGTTCCGCCACTTGAAGGACGTCACGACTGTCATAGCTGCCGGCGATGTCATCTACGGATTCATTAACGCGTTACCCGTGTTGAAAGACGTCACAGAGAACACGGAGTCTGATGAGGAATCAGAATCAGAAGCAGTCGAGGAAACGGCAGAGGAAGGAAACAAGAAAAAGGTAGAGGACACGGTTGAGGACACGGTTGAGAAGACAGGAGAAGACACGGGGGAAAAGACGGAAGAGGACACGGTAAAGAAGACGGGAGAGGAGACGGGAGAGGACGCGGTAAAGAAGACGGTTGAGGAGACGATAGAGGATGAATCCAAAGAGTCGTCAAATACCGAAAAGGTCACCGAACCCGATGCCCATCACGATACTGAAACGATCAAGGACAAAGGCAAGGGAAAGGAAGTCGAGAGGGAAACCGACGTTGCACCGCCCCCGAAAATGAAGCTGTTCCCCAAGCTCTCGGATTTGTCTCTCGACTACGCCCAATTAGACAAGGCTACTGGCCGCCCATACATTGAGACGCTGAAAAGTGCCCTTGAGATACGTACCGACATCTCACAGTCACCGTTTGCATTGGCCTTCCGGGCCTGTGCTGTGTCGAAACGATCTCTCCATCTGTTGAACGACATCGAGCTCGTAGAGGTCGAGAACAACGTAGCGGACCTATTTTCGCCCGAGGGTATGTTCGGCGAGGAAAAGTGGGCGCTTGGCCCCAGTGAGGAGCCGGAGTCTTATGATGACGTGGACGGCGATCTTTTGCGGCCAGAAGAAGAGGAAGAAGCAAGAAAAGGAGAAGACAAAGAAGGTTCAGAAGGAGCACAACAAGAATCTTGATTTGATCTTGACAAGCTTTATCCTGTATCAGAATGTCCATCGTACCTTGGTTCGAGCTCGGGCAGGCTCGAGCAAAATTGCTGGGTGGTTATGTACTGACGAGTAGAACAAGGTGTAACTTACCATTTTCATTTGAATTAAAGACCACATCGCCGACTGCACCTGTTATCGTAGTGCACTGTGTATAATTCTTTTGTGAAAGACTTTTCACCACCACCATGCCGAGTCGAAACCAACCGAAGGGTGCCATGATCCTCCTGTTGGGGAATCCTCTTTGAAATACGTACTCACCCTCCAATGTTCTTAACCAAAGTGACATACGAGGCTCTGTGTCCCTCCTTCCGCGCCAGGTGAGCAGCGGTGGTACCGACGACGTGCTCCGACGTGGATACCCTCTAAATTGTTGTAGCATTATTATTCAACGGAGGATGGGCCGCATAGAGTCTAACCATTTGATTATCAAACTTATAAGGCGCTGCAGCTTTGAGGGACTGTAAAATGCGATCAAGTTATTCTAGAAAACAAGTCCAACCTTTTGTGTCGCTTTGATGGGCGTACCGCTCAAAGATCGACTTCCTGACATCTACTGAAAGCGACTGATGGACTTAGCTGCAGGATATAGACCGATGGCCTTGAACGCTGCACGATTCGGTTCACAACATCTAAGCGAGGTCTGAAACAGGCGTTCCGGCCCAATTCCTAGGTCTCGAACCTGAAACCTGACAAGCCCGACCGAGCAAAATCGTAGCACAGTATGCACTCCAAATTTCCGCGCTGTGGAATAAGGGCTCCACTTAGTTTCGTTGTGCCGTTCAGTCGTCGGAGGTTAACGCAGAATGCTTCCAGGATAGCGACATCTGTGCGGGGAAGATGAGTCATGGAGTGCCATCGGGCTGCTACATTCGAAGCATAAGAGGAGAGAGATGCACTGATGTGTGCACAAGGATACGACTACGTGCGTGGAAGAGATGGAACGTCTTGAAGGAGGTAAAGATAGACGGCGGTATATGCACAAAGAGTTGCGATCAGAAAGTGCGGATCCCACCGAGCTTGAGGACGAGGTCCATCGACCATGTTGTGAACGGAGGCAGAGACAACGTCAAACAAAGTGTCGATGGAGAAAGCTGATGGGGTGCTGATGGAGACTCTGAGGGCAAGGACAAAGAGCGCTGGCATAGATCATCCTCGTCTGATAGTGATGGGGAGTGACCCATACGTCTTTACCTAGCTTTACTGCTAACATTCCTACTGTAAGTGTCGGCAAACCTCTCGTCGTCGTCGAGGATGGCAAGAGACAAGAGTGCCTCGGAGTTTTGCGGACTTTCTCATCAGCCTTTGCCATCACATCGATATCTAAGTCGAAGACACTTTCACCAGTCTTTCACCGCTACGATCGCGTTGACATCTAACAGCCAGCGAACGTGATTTGCCTGAAGCACGTAGAATATATCACTTCGAGCATTATAACAAGGTAAGCACCAGAGTTTTCCATTGGCGAAAGACAGACATCGAAGATAGATTCAGATTTTGCTTCTCTAAAGGAGCTCATTACAAGTAGGCGGCCTTTCACGGATCGATCATGGCAGAGGAGTCGGACGACTCCACTCGTGAAGAGGTCTTCATGGAATCTACAAATGCTCTCTGGACTCTGGAGAGGAAAGTGCAATGGAATGCGCTGGCACCGATATCAAAGCTGCCGCAGGAAGTCCTTTTACAGATATTTTCCTACCATCGTTATGGAATACCAAGGCATTCCTTTTTTCCCACCTGGATCTCAATCACACATGTATGTCGACTCTTCCGAAGCATCTCGTTGAATTGCCCGTCGCTTTGGAACAACATCGTGCTGTCTTCCTCGGAATGGACACAAGTAATGCTCGCCCGGGCTGGAATGGTTCCCCTAGAAATCGACACCCGTTCTCTCAACTTCCAAGAACATACGCAGCGTCAGAATCTGTGCATAGTGCTCAGCCATCTGCTTCGCATCCGCATCCTCTCTTTGATAGGAGTGCCTGCAATTTCACGGGATGTCTTGGCTGCTCTGATCGCACACCCTGCTCCGCTTCTTGAATCCTTCACTCATAGCACCGAAAAAGAAGAGTTCACTATGATTCTTCCTGATGATATATTCCAAGGAGGACAAGTCCCGCGACTGAAGGAGCTATCGCTCATTGGATGCAATTTCAGCTGGACATCTCCGCTTTTCCGGGACAGCCTTACCTCTCTGTCTCTCCGATGCGGAAATGAAATGGCCTTGCCATCCATGTTTAACCTTCTCGACGTACTCCGCCGTATGTCATTATTGGAGCGCTTGGTTCTTGCTATCCCCGTCTTCCCTTTTGTGACATCATTTGAGGCAGATTCGACCCCCCTCCTTGATCGCAGAGTACCTTTGCTTCATCTACGAGACCTCAATCTTGAGGGCAATGTACTTGATTGCTACGAGTTCGCCAGCCACCTCATCATTCCTTCAAGCAGCAGCATCACCACAGAACTGTATCATGATGACGAGACCGACTACACAACGTCTTTGACCGCCATGTGTGGTATTACGAGATTGCTCTGCTTGGAAACCACCCCTGGAGCTGGAAGTTTGGAAACTGAAGCTGCCCCCATCCTCGCCCTCCGTGTCATGAATCCCGGTGGTGGTGGACTCGAGTTTGAGGCAGCGACCGATATTGAAGAAGGATCAGGAGCAGAATTGGAATGGAAACACGTCAAATATAACATGTCCTTCGCCCTCTTGCGCTACGAATCCGATCTGTGCTCTTCGTTCCTGATCAGAATCAGCAACGATCTTCCACTCAGCTCTCTCAAGGGTCTAAGCATCTGGGGAGAATTCTGGCTCAGCATGCACGATTGGAATCATGCCCTTACCCCAAAATTGCATGGCCTGCACGTTCTGCAGATCAGCGGGCCAGCGATTATCGGGTTTATTGAGGGTGTCAAGACCACCATACCCCCTCTCAGCGAGATCGGGGCGCTGCACACTACGACGCAAGTCGAGCATATCCTTCACTCGCCCTTTATGCCCCGCCTGACGTCTCTATGGATCGAGAATGCTGACTTGAGGGCCAACTGCGAGCTCTTTAACGGACTGGTCGACGTGCTGAAGCATCGGAAAGAAGTTGAACACCTTCCACTTCACACTTTGCATCTCAAAGATTGTAACGTCCACCCTTGGCAGGTGGATGAGCTGTCGCGGTGGGTGTTATCTCCCACAAAGTGGGATCAGTGCAAGCACGGCATGGACAAGGTTTCTTATTGTATATTGAAAGAGACATATTGGGATGAGGAGGATGAGGAGAATCCTGTAGTTGACAGCGATGAGGGTACGGAGCCATATTGGCATGACAATGATTTGTTCGAAGATGAAATTGATGACGATATCTTTTTCGATAATTGAATGATATGTCTACATGATCGGAAAATCTCGATACTATCACTGATATAGTGTTCGGTAATTTAGGGGTGTTCGGTAATAGCTCGAGGAGCGATGAGTCCTCAATCGGTCTTCTTCAAAACATCTGTAGGTTATTTGGATACCATTACCGAGGTCCCAGAAAAAAAGCTGAAGCTGAGAAGTTCACGGGAGGGGAGATGGTTCAAGGATTACCTGTTCGGTAAAATCTGTTTGCTCACTTGAGCCAGCCAATCTTGTCCCATTTGTATGGAAATATTTGAATGAGGTAGCATAAGGTATATCTACACTGTGCAAATTTCTCCGAGGATAGATCCAGTGTCATCGCTGAACTGCAGAACATCGTCCTCGTCAAGCGCGACAGCAAAGTCACACTTGACGAATTAGGAACATAGTTCAATTTCCGCCAGCGGCCCGTTTGGAAATATCCAGAGAAAGCAACATGATCCAGGCCTCCTAGAAGCGGAGTTGGAATGCGGCAACCACGGCTCCGTGACATCGTCGTGACCATCGAGCGGAGAAATTACCGAACACCCTCAAAACCACCGGAAACGTTCCGCTCAATGACATACTAGCCTTCCGGTATATTAAGTACACAGGAAGGTAGTATGAGTGTTTGCCAGTATCCATGCCAAGCCTCACCCTCAGAGTTCCATTTCAAAGCTAGGGAATATTTTTACGGTTTTCTGACCGAACACTGCCGGAAGGATAGAATCTTTGTCGCTACGCCTGTTGTTAAATTGCGAGCCCTATGAAGCAGTACTTTTCCGCGTTTCTGCGCGGCTCTCAAATGCATTGTTCCATTTCATGGCATGCCAGTCCCTCAACTCGAAAATTCAATGTCACAAGGCATAAAGGAAAACATACATATCGTCGACGTAGATGGTATAGGTCTCATGCTGCGAGTGGGCCTTCGTCTATCTCTGTGTAGGAGTTACGCACCAGACACGCCGTGCCAGTTGGACAATGCCGATTCAGGGGTCGGGATGGGAAAGGTCAGGGAAGACATCAAGCGGTCATCAAAGCGGTCATCAGCGTGCAGGAGAGACGTTACTCGAAGCCCCTCAGATTCATTTGCCCTTTTTTATCAACTGATAGATCATGGCACGCGTCCTGGGTATTTAGTCGATACGCACGACATATGAAGGAGGAGGGGAGAGAAGGAAACAATGTGGCTGACTTACTCGTTGTTACTTACAATGCCAATACAGCAAGCATCGGTATTCAGTGGTGTCATATGAAGGCCGTGCGGAACAAGAAGGAGATTTGAGTTTCACCGATTCGCAGAACTGCTTGAGGTCGTCCACCTGCTCGCACTCAGAAGGTCCGAGGCTGTGGGCTCTACATGACCAAGGGAGCAGATAATGACGACTGTGAGACTGTGAGTCATTGGCCTCTATGTTGTCTATTAGAAACAGAGAAAAGCGTAGCATTGAAGGGCCCATGTCCTCTATTTAATCACACTCACTATGTTTGAGTGATGGATTATTTGATAGACTGTCAACCTGGATTCTCATCGACATCCAAGATGCCTGAGTGATGCTTGTTGTGAGTATCGGAGGATTGGCCGTCGAGCGGCGACGGACCGGAGTGTTGCGGATTGTCGCGCCTGGTCACGTCATTGGGATGAGTCGGAGGTGTCCGCAAAAGGGAAGTACGCGTCCGGTGCGTCCTCCTCCGTGCCCCGCGTCCGACTCTCCTCGCTCAAAAAGTGTTCCGCAACGACCGTTCATGCCTCTCTGACCCTGCCACGTACATCCTGCTGCCATCTCACGACATACCACCTTCCCCCTACTTCATCTTTTGTGTTCATATAAACGTATATCACATATACTTGCTACTCACCACACTCCGGCATGGACACGCCTGGCGAACAGTCCGGCAGCGAGTCGACATCGCAAGCTCCATCGCGGGCTGAAGAGGAACAGGTGAAACGCCTCCGCGAGGAACTCTCTGACGAGGTGAAAGGGCTCAAGAAGAAGAAACGCAGTGTATGTCACTTTGCTTGTGCGAATGCTCGACAATGCCGAAAGAAACATAAGTCTAACGTGCTGAATATTTGCTGTAAAAACTAGAGTATCTTCACGACCCGCCGGTTCTTGTTCTCCCTGGGCATCCTCCGTGGGTCCCTGCTCTCTTGCCTCACCACTCTTACCGCGAACTAATCAGCCCACATATAATAAATCCCTTGACAGTCGGCACTCTCCTCGGCGTCATCCTCATACAACCCACCGATCTCCCGGACCTCCCTGCCCAGCTCGCTCTCCTCCTCAGCGAATACGACCTCACTCTCCCCCAATTCGACTTCGACCTCTCGCGCGTGGAGACCGAGTGGCGGCGGCTCACGAGCAGCATCCCAGAGCCTTGGAAACTCAACAACGACGGGCGCGAATTTAGCGTCGGCGACGCGCTGCGCGCGCGGGGTTTGCAGGCAGAGCACCCCGTCGTGCTCGTCCCCGGAATCATATCTACGGTGCGCTTCTGTCCCTCCGCTCATCTTTTTAGTGCGTTCGCTCATTCTGCTGCAGGGCCTCGAGTCGTGGTCCACCGCGCCCGAATACCGCGCCTTCTTCCGCCAGAAGCTCTGGGGTGGATTCCAAATGCTGTCGCACGTCACCTTCAACCGCGACAAGTGGATGGCCGCGCTCCTGCTCGACCCCGACACCGGGCTCGATCCCCCGGGCGTCAAGGTCCGCGCGGCGGAGGGGCTGGACGCGGCGAGCAGCTTCATTCAGGGCTATTGGCTATGGTGTGTAGTGGATCTTGATTTTTTATCTTTTGTTTCGCTCGGAAACTTGGGACGGGCGGGGCTGAATAAGATTGCGATCGTGCAGGTCCAAGGTCATTGAGAACCTCGCGGTGATGAACTATGACACCAACAATCTGCACCTCGCGCCGTACGACTGGCGGTTGTCGTACTATAATCTCGAGGAACGCGACGGCTACTTCTCGCGCCTCAAGACGACAATCGAAGGATTCAAGTCAGCTTCTCGTCTCATTCACAAAAAATAAGCTTGGGGTGCTAACGTGCGGCAGGAAGAGACAGGGCAAGAAAGTGGTGATCGCCGCGCATTCGATGGGTAGTTCGGTGCGTTGTACTCGGCTCGCTGACTGATTTTTTTTTATGATGGAATGTTCATGCGTTCTGGACTTGTGATGCGTGTGTAGGTTACGTTGGTGAGTCTCATACATGTGTCGGTTCTCGTTCCCTCTAACGAGGGGCGTCGCGAATAGTACTTGTGAGTGCTGCTTCACGTCAATCATCGCCATTCGCTCTGCTGGCGCTGTCATCTCATCGTTTTCACTTTCGTTCTCCATAGCCTCAAATGGGTCGAGTCGCCTGAGCACGGAAACGGCGGCCCTGATTGGGTCGAGGTGCGTGTTCAGGCTGCTCCATTAAACCAGAGCTCATGTCTTGCATCTAAACCTCGACCCCTCAACGCGTGTAGAATCACATTCACGCGTTCATCTCCATCGCGGGGACTCACCTAGTACGTATCTCTACACCCTCGACCTCGAATTTTTCTTGATTTGCTCGAATTATAGGGCGTCGTGAGTATCACCCACATGGTCTTGATAGACCTCACAGCTCGATCACTCAGCCCCACTCGCATCTTAGGCAAAAGCCATGGCCGCGCTCCTGTCGGGCGAGATGAAAGACACCGTGCAGATCAACCCTGCCGGCGCGTATGGTACGTCTTTACCTTCAAGGGTGTAGTTCCCACAGACACGCGATGGGTGAACGGACATCGGATTGAACGTCATAGTGCTCGAGCGGTTCTTCTCGAAGAAGGAGCGCCAGAGGTTGTTCCGGAGCTGGGCGGGCAGCGCGAGCATGTGGATCAAGGTGCGCGCCGCCATCCGAGCCCTAAGCCTCTGTGTTCTCTACCCTACCAGTCTCTGATGTGTCTGGCGGCTCGCGGCGCGCGCCGGCAAACAGGGCGGCGAGGCAGTGTGGGGCAACGCGACCCACGCTCCGGACGACGAGTCGGACAAGGCGCACACGCACGGCGAACTCATCGCGTTCCGGCGCGAGCTATCCCCCGCGCCGCCCGATATGGACACCAGTCCCATGACGGGGAACGCGTCTGCGGGCGCGCGCCCCGTCGAGGTTGGGAGTGTCGCTGGCGGAAATGGGAGCGAATTGGGTACGGTGAGCGCGCGGAATATGACGGCGGACGAGGCGGGGACATGGATATTGGAGCACACGCCGACATCGTTCCAGGTAAGTGCTCTTTCTTTGGTTCTAACATCCGGGTTCGGCGTCCGTGTGCGTATTCTTGCTGATGAGGGTTCGGCGGTGGGTAGAAAATGATGCAGGCAAACTATTCGTTTGGGATCGAGAGGGACGAGGGGGTTCTCGAGCGGAACGATCGAGATCACACCAAGTGGTCCAACCCGCTGGAATCTAGGTGCGTCGCGTGTTTCCCCCGCTCCGTTTCTTAGTGACTGATGTGTGTTATTGTCTACTAGACTGCCCAACGCGCCCTCGATGAGTATATACTGTGTGTACGGCCACGGGAAGGAGACTGAGGTATGTTCCGTATATATATACATCAAACGCTAGTGAATGTCGCTGATGCTTACAACTTAGCGGTCATATTGGTTGGCGTGTACATGATCACTCGGTACTATGTTACTCACATCTTGCAGGTATGCGTCCGGCCCATACGTGTACGAGGACGGCTTGCTCGCCGACGCGGAGAACCCGACATGCACCAACTCGTCCGACTGCGTCCGGCCTCCGCTCGACATGCCGCTCTCGCGACAAAGCTGGATCGACAAGGATTACACCGACGAGAGCGTCACGCCCAAGGTGCGTGTCGCATGCCACCGCGCGCGCGAGGATGGGTGATACTCATGTTGCGCACCGTGGTTCGTATGGGCAGGTCCGCAACGGCGTGAAGATGGGCGAGGGCGACGGCACGGTGTCCCTACTCAGCCTGGGCGCGATGTGCGTCGAGGGCTGGAAGCGTGAACGATGGAACCCGGGCGGGGTCCGGGTCGTCACGGTCGAGGTGCGTACACTTCGGGCCAGCTCCCGAATCTTCTGGAATCGAGAGCGCGTTCACCGACCTGCGGGATTGTCGCGCAGCTCCCTCATCTCCCGGTGGCCACGATTCCGCGCGGTGGCGCGAACACTAGCGACCACGTCGATATCCTGGGCTCTACGGGGCTGAACGAGGTCATTCTGAAGGTCGCGACGGGCGTGGGCGACGAGGTGCGGGATAACTTCGTCTCTAGGATACGAGAATACGCGAAGAAGATTAGATGGGACGGTTGATTTGCGGATATCCCAGACTTAATGCGAGATCCTGCGTTATACCATTCCAAACACGCGTCATCGCCTGACTTAGCCAGATATCGATCAACGCTGAGAAGGTTATGCAGCTGAAGAGCTTATAGCAGCGCAGTCATAAGGTTGATAACGCTCACCTCTTTGAGGAGCGGCCTCCACTGTCGAAGGCTCTGGCCTTCAAGGATGTGGATAACATTCGCGAGAGCGACACTGCTAGGTCATCCTCTTCTTCCCCGTCTTTGAGGCGATCGGATCGGGGATTCCTTCCATGCCACCCCATATTTGCGTCTGTATACATACGAAGAACACAGAGATGAACGATGGTCCACCCGTGGCGTGATAACTACGCCAATTACGTCGATATTCTGGTATGCGCGTTTCATAATATCTTGTAATATCGAACACCTCCGAGTTGGGTGACTGGTGTATCCTATTCGTGACAATTTTGGAGTAGAATTTGCGTCTAGGACACTCAGAAACACAAAGTAAGAATTTAATTGATAAGGTCTGGCAATCCTCAAACAAGACCGGTAACAAAGGTTTCGAGATCTTCAGGTCATGCATGTAAATACACCATTCAATCCTTGTCAAAGAACATATCTCCATAATCTTCAGTCCAATAGACATCGTCATCATCAACAGACGATTCCTCTTCTTCCCAATGTGCCTCTTTCAGTGCATGATGAAGCATCCTGTCCATACCACCCTGACACTGATCCCATTTGATAGGAGACAACACCCACCGCGAAAGTTCATCCACCTGCTAGGAGCTGACATTACAATCTTTGAGATGCAAGGTGTGAAGTGGAACTTCTTTCCGATGCTTCAGCACGTCGACCAATCCGTTAAAGAGCTCGCAGTTGCTTTTCAAATCCGCCCTCTCGATTCATAGAGACGTGAGGCGGGGCATGAAGGGCAATGGAAGGATCTGCTCGACTTGCGTCGTGGTGTGCAGCGTCCCGATCTCGCTGAGAGGGGGTATGGTGGTCTTGGTACCCTCAATAAAACCGATAATCACTGAACCGCTGAGCTGCAGAATGTGCAGGCTATTCAAGTTTGGAATAAGGGCATGATTCTAATCGTACGTGCTGAGCCAGAATTCTCCCCGGATGTTTAGACCCTTGAGAGAGCTGAGCGGAAGATCGTTGCTGATTCTGATCAAGAACGAAGAGGACAGGTCAGATTCATAGCGCGAGAGGGTGAGGGACGTGAAATATTCGACGTGTTTCCATTCCAATTCTGCTCCTGATCCTTCTTCAATATTGGTCGCTGCCTCAAACTCGAGTCCACCACCACCGGGGTTCATTACACGGAGGGCAATAATGGGGGCAGCTTCAGTTTCCAAACTTCTAGCTCCAGGGATGGTTTCCAAGCAGAGCAATCTCGTAATACCACACATGGCGGTGAAAGACGATGTGTAGTCGGAGTCCTCATCATCATGGTCCAGATCTGTGGTGATGGTGCTACTTGAAGAGATGATGAGGTAGCGGACAAACTCATGGCAATCAAGCACATTGCCCTTCAAATTGAGATCTCGTAAATGAAGCAAAGGCACCCTGCAATCAAGAAGAGGGGTCGAATCTGTCTGAAACGAGTCTACATAAGGGAAGATGGAGTTAGTGAGCGCCAAACGCTCCAAGAATGGCATACGTCAAAGTATGTCGAGGAGGGTAGACATGGATGGTAAGATCATGTCAGTTCCACATCGGAGAGACAGAGAGGTAAGGCTGTCCCGGAAAAGCGGAGATATCCAGTTGAAAATGCATCCAATGAGCCATAGCTCCTTCAGTCGTGGGACTTGTCCTCCTTGGAATATGTTATCGGGAAAATTTGGAGATGGGTCTTCTTTGTTGGTGTTATGAGTGAACGATTCGAGAAGCGGAGCAGGGTGTGCGATCAGAGCAGCCATGACATCCCGTGAGATCGTGGAGGCTCCTAGGAGAGAGAGGCTGCAGATGCGGGGTAGATGACTGAGCACTTGTGCACAGGTTTTGAAGCTGGATACGTTGGCGATAGATGGGGAAATATGCATGAATTTCTAGGGGAACTATTCCAGCACGGACAAGCATGACTTGTGTCCATTCTGAGGAAGACAGCACAATTCTGTTTCAGAGCGACGGACAATTTAATGAGATGCTACGGAAGAGTCGGCATACGTGTGTAATTGAGAGCCAGGTGGGAAGGTGAGTGGGACTTGGTTCTCCATAACAATGGTAGGAAAATATCTTCAGCAGGATTTCCTGGGGCAAATGGGATACTGGTGCCAGCGTATTCCATCGCGCTTTCTGCTCCAGAGTCCAGAAAGTGGCTTCTGTAAGGAAATCTTCGTCGGCCGCCTCTGCCATGATAGACTCAGTGAAAGACCGCTCTGTTGTAGAAGTGCTTTCAGATTTCAGAGATCTATGATGTGAAATATTTTCAAATAAGCTCTGCTTTTGATCTTGGGGACTATGGTGCTCGCTGCTTACCCCATCTCAGTGATATTTTCCTAGTGTCTTCCCACGTTCACTGGCTGCCAGCGCGACCGTAGCAGTTCCGATTTACGTGATGAGGGCTCGAGCGCTGTCTACGATAGCGACGAGAAGCTCGTTGGGACAAACATCACACGAGCGACTCCCTCAGGAGTCGTCACTGCATCGACTTAGATCAACCTAGATCAACCTACATATCTTACGGAAATGTCACTCGCCGTTAGGGGTTTTCCGCGATTCTAATGTCATATATTAATTGGAGAGTATGGCCGCCTGGCGAAATGGCATCGCGTCTGACTACGATCTTATCTAATTACTGATTGTGTAATCAGGAGATTGCAGGTTCGACCCCTGCGGTGGTCATTTTTTCGCCATGCTCTGCAGTCTCATGCCTTGAAAGACAAAAGGCAGACTCATAGACTTGCACCAGACTCACGCCCTTTCCTTCGTTTCTACAATGAAGACTTAACTCAAACCCTCACTTTCAGCGCTGATTTGTTTCTAGCTTAACATCAATGCCACACGAAACGACAGAGAAGTCACAAGAGCTCTCAAGAGACTGCCATGGTAAAAGTTCAACAATACTCGCACAATCTGTCCGCCAGGTGCCAGCACTCCCTGCATCGTCTTTCACCTGTCGACAGGTGATCAATCAGCAGCTGACCGAACAACACACAGGAACGGCATTCTGTCATCATCTGCTTGGCTTCCACCCCTTTACGAGACGGATTTTCTCACTCTTTTGCTCACCTGAAGAGCCTTCCTATCGCTTTTAAAGATGATTACCCTGTCCGACCCTACCACCTCGACTCCCGCTCCGCATGGTGCGCATATCAGCAGATGACAGATAGCCAGTGAGGCAGCGATCGTGCCTCGAGTATGAAGTCTGGAAATGCACCCGTAAGTTCCTCTCTCTCACCGCACCATCTAGACGGAGGATAGGTGTTCCTTCCGAGATTTTTGTGAAATGCTGGCGGATAATTCACGATAATCTTGAAACTTCTCAACACACCAACTCAGAGGCATACATTCAACTAGACTCAGAACTCCTCACTACGTACACATAGATCGCAGGTAGGAGACGTACGACCTGCTCATATCTCCTCATCGATTCATGTGATCAACAGGATTCTTGAGGTTCTTGGTCTTCGGCACTATGACTCGACAAAGTATCCGTTCTTAAAATATATGGATCGTCCACCTGCTTTGCATAAAACAGAGAGTAGTGTCATTGTCAAGGCAGTCCTATCTGATCGCCTCATGAACAGCATCCATCATCTCTTTCTCCTTGTTTCAGTCCTCATATCTCTTTACAACAATGTCGCCTACGCTGACATGACCGAATCCCTACTCATGCAACGGGAGATGCATAGGCGGTTCCAACAACGTCATAGCGTACCTGAATCGCACTCTGACAGTAGCGCGTTGAAGCGACGGGACGGATCTACCATCACCTTTGCAAACCCTGCCGCGGACAAGTTTTTTGTCGATGGTACTGCCATTCCTGACGGTGAGTATGCGCTCTCCCTCTGATCAGTTTGTTATTAAGTATGTTCTAGTACCATTCGATGCTGGTCCCTCCTGGGCGGGCCTCATGCCCATCTCAGGGAAGGCAGGCGAAACGAGGAAGCTGTTTTTTTGGTACGTCATCCGCGGCAACTCGATTCACGTTTTCAACTATCAATATTAGGTTCTGGCCCACTACGAATGCGTCCAATGCCAACGATCTGCTGTTCTGGACGAACGGTATGCATCATCATGCAGACTGAACCGAGCTGAACATCGTTGATCATGGCTCGCCCAAGGTGGACCGGGATGTTCATCCCTCGAGGGATTTCTGCAAGAGAATGGTCCAATCTGTGAGTCCAAATCATGCTTTTTTAGACACAGAACAGCACCGAACAGAGAGAACTAGCTTGGTCTTGGGGTCAGTCTCAACCGACCTTGTATGTTTGCTTGAACACCCTCTGTCATTGAATACTATTCATGATTTATTAGAAACCCATGGTCGTGGACCAACCTATCAAATGTTGTGTGGGTTGAGCAGCCGGTTGGGGTAAGTGCTCTGATATGCTAATTGTCGACCGCGATTTACTCATCTTACATTCTGCAGACTGGCTTTAGTCAAGGAACACCTGATATCTCCAATGACGACGAGCTGGCCGCTGAAGTGTTGGGATTCCTGGAACAGTTTTTAGAAGTATTCAGGGAACTCAAGGGTTCCAATTTCTTTGTCTCCGGAGAAAGCGTACGTGACGCCATACTCTTTCTGCGCAAATTTTGATATGAGCACAGTATGCTGGCTTTTGTGAGAAGATGACGATCAACCTAACTGATATATGGTCTGACTGATTTGCATGACCCAGATGTTCCATACATCGCCAATTGGATTTATGAGCATCCAGGGGGTTTGGACCTCCACCTAAAGGGCATATGGATAGCAGACCCCTCGCTCTCATACAATGTTGTGCAGCAGGAGATTCCCGCACTTCGCTTTGCCCAAGTACGTCTACATTTCGTGGCGCGCCTGCGATTTGACTCGTAACACTGCTACTAGGCGAACGCGAACGTATTCCCATTCAATAGTTCTTTTATGGCGCAACTGCAAAATATCTCTGACACATGTGGTTATACCGATTATCTTGACCAATTTCTCACCTACCCTCCAGCCGGTCAACTTCCCCTCCCAGTCGGAACTAACGGCACATTCAATGCCATACCTAGCTGTCGTATCCACAGGCTCGTCCAAAGTGCCGTGACCACGTAAGTTACAACAGCGGCTACCTGCTTTCTACGTTGCTAAAGGCCCGATATGAAGACTGAATCCGGCCTTCGATGTCTATCGCGTTACAGAGGCGTGGCCGATTCCTTGTGAGTGATACACAACAGTGATCTTACGACATTCGCCTACCCTCGCTCCTTTAGGGAGCGTACTGGGCTTCCCCCGCTCCACTCAAGAATTTGTCTATTTCAATAGGTCAGGATTTACTTCGAGGATTGGGATGCTCTTTACTAATTTGGGCTTGCAGGACCGACGTCAGTCGATTTCCATGTCCCGGGTCTAAGGACCATCTCACATCGATCAACAGGTTCAAAACGCAATCCACGCCCCCCATGTCGTATGGGAGGCTTGTCAAGGGCCAGTATACATCAATGCAACGACAGGTGCTCCGGGAAATGACCAGAGTATCCCGTCGACGCTGAGCGTTCTTCCGAACGTGATTGAGAAGAGTGAGAGGACCGTGATCATACACGGTCTGGCGGTACGTACTCGCTCTCACAATAAAATTGATCCAGTATCGACCGACGTCGATCGCTCAGGATTTCATCCTTGTGTCTGAAGGCACTCGCATTGCCATACAGTGTGTCCAGTCTCGCCGTCTTCTCAAGGGCTCGTCCGAAAGTTACATCTTTCACGTAGGAACATGACCTGGGGTGGTGCACAGGGCTTCCAAACACCAATCGAAGCGGAGTCGTTCGTCGTTCAAGACTTTGGTGTTTATGGAAATATGCATCAAGAGCGCAAGCTAACCTGTCAGTTTCGAATTTCCGGCACTTCCAATTCCATTGACTCACTACATACTGTCTCGTCCAGATGTCGAGTTTTACTATAGCGGACACATGACCCCGCGTGAGCACATTTCGCAACAATCCACTGTGGTATGGATTGTTGACCAGGTTCGTTTCTGGCAGAGTTCGTCCCCTGGGCTGCGTTCCAAACGATCGCATATCTACTTGGAAAAGCCGATTCTCCCTCCGCCTCCTAAATGGAAGAGATAGTCGGAATAAACTAGTCAGGCTACCCAGCGACCAACAAAAGCTTGTTCTTTTTCTGTCTTGAAGCCATATACCGTGTAAACGCTAGCCTGAAATGGCCTTGTTTGTTTGCCTGGACAAATTAATTACTACATACGAGTACAAGGTGGGTAGGCAACAAGCATCAAAAACACAAGATCGTCCGTGAGCATGCCACAACAAACTGGGTATATACTTAGTCCCGAATATCTTACACGACTCTGGCTCCGATCTGCTTCGCCATCCCTCAGAACGGTGACACCTAGACATTTTGGGCGTGATGGGCGTGAGGCGCGGGTGGGTCATACTGCGCGCCAGAATGGCCAAACGAGTTGCTGCCATCGGCGTAGGGGTATGTGTAATGGGGTGCGGTGAGCCCTTCGGTGCTGGCGCGACCCGTGGCGACATATTTGTAGCCGGCGTCGAGAGGTACGTTGGAAGTCCAAGCATGCTCGAGCTCGAGCTTCTTGCCGTAGGAGGATACGATGTAGACAGCATCTAGTGAAGCGGACGATATCAAGATCGAGATCTTGTAACGAGATCGGAGGTGAGGGCACGGGGTACGCACATGCCTGGATCAACAAATTGACGACGACGCCACCGATCATCGCGCCTTTCCCGACATTGAACGCGCTGTTGCACGAGTTGATGACGTTTTGGTCGGTCGAGTCCTTCACGCAGTTTCGCACAAGGTCTTCTCTCGGGGTCGTGAAGTATGCGTAGAGGAGGAATGCGTCCAGAGCTATTTGGAGTCCGAGCGCCCATCCGAGCCAGAAGCTGTAGGTCGAGAGCATTTTGATCGAGCGGCGGATCGTGCCAATGAACCTGGGAACCATATCCCACTTAGAACACTGCACTGTAAGATAAAGTCGAGACAAGACTCACCCTATGAAGGCGGCAAGGGCGAGGATTGTATAATAAACACCCGCTCCCACCGTTGCACCCTTGAGTTTGGCGCTAACGTCGCTTGCTAAAAGTATGACGCATGAGTACGATACGCAGACAATAGTGAAAAGAACATACGCCAGTGTGCCAAACCGTACCATAGTGCTGCTGCAGCGATTCCCGAGAGGAGGAATTGGAAGAGGGAGATAAGAAAGGCGCCGAGACGTAGGGGCAGACAGCAGCAGAAGTGATGCGCGGCCATGATTGGGGACTCGGATGTGTGAGCGTGTCAGGAGAGAAGTGAGAACTTGAAATCGGGGGTCGTGAGTCGTAAAGGGGGAAGGACTGCAGAGGCTGGTCTGGGATGATGGAATGGAGACGGACAACACGCCTCGAAAAGGATTTTATAGAAATCACTGCTAATCGAGGAGGCTGTCCAGGGCCGATATGGCAATGATTGCATGATGCCTTGCGGGCGGTGCGTGCTGGACGCGACACTTGCGATCGCAAATTCGGAACGGCTGGCACTGCAGCCCAGCGCTCAGCGCCCTACAGTCTAGATCAGCGGCGAAACAAGGGACCGATGTCTCACAACAGGACCTTGCATCTCTGTAGATTCCGAGCCACCCTTGGCCTCGAATAGACTCGCAATGCCACGAAAACACAGTACTGGTTTATAACCCGAAGGCAGCCTATCTTGCCAGTGCACGACGAGCGACCATTGTCGACAGTCGACGATGTGTTTGATTTTGTTTTGATGGGTAAGTCCGGCACGGTCGGCAAGCCAAGACAACCCATGGCTTCTGATACAGGGAAAGCACTGGAAAACATCGCCTTGATAGAGGATGTGCTGCGCATGCCAACGAAGCAGGTAGAATGGTGCTCGAGATTTCCCAAGCCCTTACTAGCGAGGTTAGCGTCTAGTGTTACAGTCATCGTATTCCTAAAATGCTGCGGCAGAGTCAACGAGGCAGTGGGAGACCGCAGCGATGACTAGAATCCACAATCACAATCCACGTAAGACAGCCCACGGACAAGCAACGGTTTGTTCCAATATGCGGTAGAATCATAGGAGATGACCGCGATACATCGTAAAACCATGAAACCTTCAAAGAAAAAAAGCCTCAAGTTGATTAATTGACAAGTACAGTAGCAAATGAAAAATAATAATGAAGCATATAAATAAAGCGTGAAAACGCGGGCTTAGGATGGGAAGCTACGTGAAGTGCTCGGCGGCTGTTCAGTCGAACCATCCGTGCATCGTGAATGTCGTAAGTTGAGAGTCGTGGATGTCGTGCGAAGTCGTGAGTCCAAGAAATCGTAGCCGGGAATCACCGCGGCCGGTTCGCAAGAGGGTCCCAGAGGTTCGAGGGGTCCCACCGAGCCACGCCGGCAACCCTGACCGTCCTACTTGCGGGCGTTGATTTGTGCACTGCAGATGGGTATGCCGTGGACTGGCGATGCGAAGGAAGGTCTGGTTCACGTCTACCAACATTGAACGATGGCCTTGGGATCTGGACGGGAGCAGCTGATGAGATCGGCGTTTGCAGTAACACATGATCCTGGGGTATACTCTCCAAAGGAGCGGAATATCTCCGATTCGTCTTCACGTTGTGGTGTCGCGTTGATTGGGGGGAATAACTATGTCGGCTGTATGTGGACCGGCGAGTAGAAGGTTCATGAGACGCTGAAGGTATAGGAGGCGAGCCGACGTAGGACATCGAACGGTCCCTGGATGAATGCAAAACAGGGTGCGATGCATTGTATCCAAGTTCGTGGCTTGTATCCTGTCGACTGGAACCACGAATACGAGGAGAACTCCCAACAACAATGGTCTGACGCGAGGCTGGGGAGGACACAAGCTGAGGAGATGGTATTGAAGGTTGCGTAGGGGGCGATATATTTAGTGTGTAAACCTTGGCCGATTCGCGACGATGCCTAGATTGACGTCGCTCCTCCCCACGTCGATCGGGTGGCGGAGAGTGAGGATGCATGGTCCTTGAAGGTGTATGTGTTCTTACAACCGGTAGAGGGGGGGAGAGGGGCTCAGTGCTTCGTACACGGCCAGCGTCGACGCTTCTACTCAGAACAACAGGTAAGGGACCTAACTGTACAAGCGTGCGATGTGACTGAGATGAAGGGATACCAGAACCGGCATCATAGCGTGATGAGCGGTCCGTGTCAGATCGTGGCGCTGAGGGTGGGAAAATACGGTCAAAGAGGCTGTCCGAGCGCGAGGGTGCCCGACTCTGCATTTGACCAGAGTCCACTTGAAGGTACTTTTCGTTTTGGCTTGAAACCAGTGGAACACCCTCAAGGTCAAATGGGGATGAAGGAGGGGTCAGCGTGGCACGACGACTCTGACGGCGACTGCTGCGATATGTCTCGATGATGGACGGTGGCGGAGGGTCTTCGTACACAAGACTGCTGTGTTCTACATCGCGTGAGATACGCTGCAACCGACTTCGATTCCGTTTGGGAATGGGCGTGAACCTTGTATTATCGTGGTCTGGACCAGATTGAGAGACACGATCGTAAACGCTGCGCCACCATGAACGACGGCCACGAGCATGCCCTTCTCCCGGGTCTCCCGGGTCTTCTTGTGATCGGTGTCCTACGAATATTTGTGGGTCGACGATGATTCAAGATGGTAAACTCATACCTGGCTTCGCATATCCTCTTTTCGACAGTTCTTTGTCAATCTGCTCTTCTAAACCGTCGCTTCTTTCTCGCCTCATTAACCCATACCCGTAATTGTCCCCGATACCCAACCACTGCCTTTCCCCTTCGACCATGACCAGTCGATCCACTTCCACGTCGACTTCCACCCCGATCGTGTCCTTCTCCTTATCACGGGCACGCCAGACCTGTGTCCTGGATTGACCAAATGCGCCCTCCAACACAGCCTCGCGTCTTGCCCTCGTGTCCGTTTCAATCCCGCGCATTCGGTGCCAGATGTAGACGCATCCGTTTGTCAACTCGCGGAAAGTCTCCCTGAAGTCCATCGCATGTCTCAGTGCGCGCAGACGTGGGGTTTGCTCGGTATCTGAGCGGTAAGGCATATAGCTGAAAGCACGTATGTGAACAAATGCAAAGATCCTGGAGATAGAAAGTGTGTCAGGATGATGCGATCAATAGAGTTCAGCACGCACATCATCTCCAGGGTCTCAAGAAGAGCGCCCCAACCGATATTTATATCTTCCGCGGTCATATATGGAGTCTGAGATGAAGAGTTAGACGTAAGTTGATATAGATCGGTTTATTTAAGTTCACATCTTTGACGACTCCTATCATAGAGAGGAGAGATAACGCAGAAGCTTGCCAGAAAGTGAGGAACACTAAACAGGAAAGTCAGATGCCTATTGTTGTGAGGTGAAAATGACATACCAACAGCCTTGACAGCGAACAATTTCAGAACTGGCCTCTGAGGCGAAAGCTGCTTCGACACGCAGAAATAGAGCTGAAGGAGACAATACATGGCAATTGAAACACTGGCGGAGATAAGAGCGGAGATCTTGTACGACGATTGCCCCTCTTTGAATAACGAAGTTCTTATTCAAAGCTGTATTGCTCACATATACATGTCCCCAGGCAGGTGACCAGGATTCCTCGCAATAGAGGCCAGCATAATTCAGTACCACCGCAGCGAGGGTGGTCCTGCACACAGAGATAAGTGACTAGGTGGAACGGCCCATTCAAGTACGCACGTCGGCCTGATAACACAATATTGCAGGACGCCCCACTTCATAAGTTGCAGGAAGTATAATCCATCCTAGCGAAAATTTAAATCCGCACCCACAGCATCAGTTTGTTCGCGGGTAGCTCACCTGCGGCTTCCATCTAACGAAGAACAGCGGAAAGGCCCATTTGCCTGGCTTTTCTCCACGTGCCATCAACTCCATGTCATGCTCGCGAGACAGTCCTTCCTTGCGAAATATATCCTTCTGCTCCTCGATATTCGGGGAAAGGTAGGTCAATAGAAGGTAGAAGAAAGCTGTGAGGACGACCGATTCGTAACAGTCACGGATAAGAAGTAGCGGGGTAGAATTATCCTAATAGGAAAAGCCAATGGTTCGTTAAGCGCGGAATCGTTTACATGATTCAAGAGATGTACCCAAAAAAGGTACGATGCCAAGCTGATCACTGCATATATGGGCACCATAAACAAGATGCGGACGATGTCTGGACATTGGTAGATGAGCTTCTGTGAACCAGATAAAGAAACAAAAACCTCACGGCGCTGTTCATGCTTCTAAAAGAACATGAGAACGAACGATTTGAAGTGCGAGGTGATACGATACTCACATTTGTGTACCACTGGAGATGCTTGTTGATGAGCCAGAAGGACGTGATGCTTGAAACGATGGTGAAGAAGCCGCATATAATCCATCCCACATGGTGAGCTTACCAGCAGGAAGTATATTGAGTGCAAATTCGAAGGTTTCATACACAGAACGCACCTTGGAACACCACATTTCCGTGCTGGATGAGAGGAGGCCCGTCCTCTGGAGCGTGAGAAGGATAGCATCTTTCGCTCGGCATATTGGATAGTCGAAGACGTTAAGGGTGGTATTTTCGATCCTTGTGGTTCGTGATGATCTGAATTAGAAATCGTCGTGTCGTGAATGTCGTAGTAGCTTGGACGCGCTGAAGAGCGATACGACGCGTCTCCAGTGGGCTCCGGTGCGACTTGGGCTTCTGAGGCTTGGAGATCAGAGCATATGCAGTTATAAGATCCCCGAGGTATATACGAAACGTTGATCAAAGCATGAGGCCGCCAATTGTCAACGTGGAGACGTGGAGGGACGAAAGTCGTCGAGCTAGGTTCGAAGTCGAAGGGCGCGAGATCGCCTGGGTCACGTCCAATCATGTCACGTTCGCTCATCCCGATGCAGGCACGTTTCTTGAGTCCTTCAAGCTCCACCAGAACTAAATCATGCAGCAGAGATCCATCACATCTCTAACAGCCGGTGCAAAGAATGTACGATTCTATTCACCCAACAAGCAACAATGAAATTTGCCTGATTTCTCGCGATTTTCGTCTACAGGCGGGAGCATTGTCGGCAGAGGAAGTTGATACCATTCTGTCTCACTCGAATGTTCTCGATCAACCTGGCTTCAAACTCGTGGGCGTAGAGTCCCATAGAAGTGCGGTCATAGGTAAGAAGATGAGGAGGAAGGCAAAGGCCCTTCGTTATCTTAGGTGTTGAAGCTTGGAAGCTTCACTCGTGTCAGGATGAGGCGATATGTGACTGGAAGAGTCCACCTGCGTAAAAGATAGCACTTTGTTGGTTGGAGCTGGAAGAAGAAGCCGAGACAAAGCAAGGAACACCACGGTCAGGTTGGGAGCGCCGCTCTATGAGAGCAGGGGTTCGTGCTGCGACACTTCTAGCCCAGTGATTCCCTATTATGGGGCGACGAAGTTCGGCGGCAGGAGCATTGCTGATGAATCCAATGCTGTTTATAGCAAAATGAAAAGAGGACACGACCTGTGGCGAGGTCCTCGGGGCATCTATTGCCGATCAGATGTACTCTGGCGTCTGAAAGCTATCATAGACGGTAGCCGTTCGCATAGTAATGACACATAGAGATATTTAGGCGAGGAATCGCTGGCATCGCAAGGCAAAAGATCTCACAGACCACGAAATCGCAGGAGAGATGGCGATTATGAGCTTGGAGGCGGTGCATGGGTTTCTTGGACGAAGGAGATGGATGTGTTGCGGTAATAGCGGTGAGTGGTTTCTCAGACCGGTGCTGTATGGCGGTGTTTGATCAGTGGCTGCCATCGATCCAGCCGCGCAACCGCTCTCCGCCCATCCACCTACTATCTCTACCGTTCATATTGAGGCCCCCGACGACGATTCGGTGCCCCGAAAGTCTGAAAACACATCCGAGCTAACCCCATCGTCCCTGCTGAACCATAGCGATCAAATCATGCAGAGACATTCGTTCACAGCTCTCAATTCGACGTTCATCGTCGACTCAGAGTACCAGTTTGTCAAGGAGCTTGGCCAGGGCGCATATGGTTGTGTCGTATCAGCGAAGCACCGCAGGACAGGTGAAGGCTGCGCGATTAAGAAGATCACCAACATCAATACCAAGGTGCGTGGGCCAACGCACTAGGAGAGCTTTACTCAGCAGTCTGTGCAGAGGATCTTGACCAAGCGATGCCTCAGGGAAATCAAGTAGGTCCCGCCCCGCGATCGGTTCCGCGAGATATCTAATCTCTTCTTGTGCGAAGGCTACTTCACCATTTCAGAAGACACAAGAACGTAAGTGTGCTCAGGCGGTCGTGTCAATATCACTCATATGAGTTCGCAGATCACCTGTCTGTACGATATGGACATTGTGTTTGGGCCCGATGGCAATTTCGATGAAGTGTATCTATATGTAAGTTGTTGAACTCCCACAAATCTGTCTGGATTAACGCGATCATCGTTAGGAAGAACTCATGGAAGCTGACCTCCACGCAATCGTACGTTCATCTTTTTGATGTACAAGAAGAGCGTCATAATACCCTAACGCCCAATAGATCCGATCAGGACAACCACTCTCCGATGCGCACTTTCAATCCTTCATTTACCAGACGCTATGTGGTCTCAAGTATATACACTCGGCCAATGTGCTCCATCGTGACCTGAAACCAGGCAATCTGTTGGTCAATGCTGATTGCGAGCTCAAAATCTGTGATTTTGGTCTTGCCAGAGGCTTCAACCAAGCTCAGAGGCAAGGGTTCATGACAGAGTATGTCGCGACAAGATGGTATCGCGCTCCGGAAATCATGCTGAGTTTCGCGAACTATGTATGTCATGGATACTGTCGCATCTGGTGAAATTCACATCTTTTTTCAGGCATCGGCCATAGATGTGTGGTCCGTCGGTTGCATTCTTGCGGAATTGCTAGCTGGCAAGCCTATCTTCAAGGGCAGAGAGTGAGTCAATCACGGTCATCTTACTCTCTTATTGATAATTCGTTTTAGTTATGTTGACCAATTAAACCAAATCCTTCACTATCTGGGCACGCCCTCTGAGGACACCCTTCGTCGTGTCGGCTCTCCTCGCGCACAGGATTATATCCGCTCACTTCCCATCAAGCCTCGCGTGCCATTCCAACAGCTCTTCCCGCATGCCAACCCGCTTGCGATAGATTTGCTGTCCAAGATGCTCAACTTTGATCCGGCGAAACGAATCACCTGCGAACAGGCGCTCCAGCACCCTTACCTTGCTGTCTGGCACGACCCTTCTGACGAACCTGTCTGTCCAACCGTGTGTTCATATCCTCTTCGTTTTCGTGATCGACATGGCTGACATGATATACAGCAATTCGACTTCGGGTTTGAGGACGAAGATTCGATCGAGGGCATGAAAAAGCTCATTGTGGAGGAAGTCAACCATTTCCGCGCGGAGGTGCGCGCACATGCGAGAGCCTCTGGCCAGATCCGTCGCCAAGACAGGTTCGTATTTCGTCCTGTATTTGGATGCTGACGCGCATCTGACTTCGCGCATAGTTTGCCTATCCCCTCACGCGACGACATCATTGCATCGCCAATCCAAGAGGATGCACCCACGAATGGCGCAACGTCAGGCTACTACTCTGGAAACCCTGTGTCGGAGCGCGCACCCAGCCCCGTGATGGACGATCCTAGTGCGGAACTCGAGCGTGAGCTTGCAGAGACGCACATTGGCCGTTCCTAGATGGAGCTCAACTTGCGTGCTTCGAGCATGGGGGGCCATTGTAGGTTGGAGGTAATGTGGATCGTAAGGAACGGGAAGGACTTTCGACTCATCTTGTGAGCTTGTATGTGGTACGTCGGTGGAACGTGAGGATAGGAAGCGTTACTGGATATCTGCGCATGTTGATAATACCTGAAGTGTAGTACTCAGATGTATCGGTGAGCCTATATAAAGCGATGGAAATGATGTCGCTCAGGGAGAGGAAAGGACTTTCTCCATGGTTGGACGCATCGTATCACGTACCACTTCTATAAGCTTTGCAGTCCTTCTACTGGCAGTCACAGAGCACAACATATGTGATAGCCAGACGGGTATGGCCTAGCAATACAAGGACAGGATTTCTCATCCGTCGCGATCTATGTATATCATGCAAAGAATTGTGGACATGGGGTGCATTACAACTGATTTCGGCGACATCTGTTACACGCCCACATCTGACGACTATGGTTTCGCTATTGTCCATGTCGTTCTGCAACACTGTTATCTCCAACTTGACTCGAAGTTTGGTATCAATGGGAAAAGCAGCATGTTTAGTAGCGCGATCGTCTTCAAGAATTTTGTTAACCCTATCTTTTGCACTCACACACTTTCCATCGCGCATGACAGAGATAACAGAACTCTGTGCTGCAGAGGCAGGTGATATGAGGACACCCCATATAACGTTCAACCAGCCTGCTGCATCCGGGGCACTGTGCCCACCCGGACTCGCGGGTAAGGTCAAGGACAAGACGTTCAGATGCGCTGGGATCAACAACACAAATGTGTGCGCTGTTGACATTGACCTGGGATTTGCACCAGCTGCAAGTGAGCGTTTTGCATCCCGCTGCAGAGCACAGAAGCGCAGCGGGAGCAGCTGAATCATTACCGTCAGTATGTGGGGCGTCAACAAAGCTGCTGCAACCCTGGCGAGCGCAGTTTCTGCGTCTCGGATTCGTGGGATTTCTGCACAAAGAGAACGTACCGAGGCGTATCAGACCTGACAGTCGTCTGCGGCGTGGTAATCTCTTCTGCAGGCGACGATGAGCCATTTTCGGCTTCATGAATCTTCAACGCAAACAGGTGATCGTTCTGGATGCGAATACACAGCTGCGCCTCCTCAGCATAAAGCTCTAGTACAAGTGCGGCATCCGACGGCGACGCATCGTCCCGACCTTTTCCCATCTGCTGTCCTTGAAGCTCAGCAACATCTTCAATGGTGAGCTCAGCGATCATCGTCGACAATTGTAAGTCTTCCGCGTAGAGTTGTAATGCGAGCTGGGTTTCTGTCAAAAAGCCATGAGTGTCTTCGTCGTAGATGTCATTGGGGCCACGATTGACCGGTAGTCGATCTCTTAACACTGGTAGAGCACTTGTCGTGCTCTCAGCATAAGGAAATTCAACATGGGACGGCCCAGCATGAGGCTGATACGACAGACTTCGACATGTGGGGTGAGTGAGATAGGGGAGTTAAGCTGATGAGACTGTCCGTGTAGCATCGCTCTTTTTGAACTTGAATCACTCTGCTCTCGTACGTCAAAGATTCTGTCAATATTTAAGGCAGCTCAAAGCATCAAACAGAACAAACCTACGCTGGGATACACAGTGAACTTCTGGGTGCGCAGAAGAGACACATTGGCAGGCCGCTGTATACTTGCCCTCTCTGAGAGCAGACCTACTTCAGAAGACGCAGTTTCCGAAGCTCGTCTACACTTGTACCCCCTGCGGAATGAGTGACCACGAGGCACATAAAAGAATATACCAAGAAGATTGTGTCCTCAGCGCTGCTCCATGCGCAGTATATGTTGAGCTAGACTAGACTTGAGGTGGGCCATGGCATTACCTGGACCATATCATGGTGCATTCTAGTAGGAGTAGCTCCTCGAGAACAGTGGAGTAGGGCGGAAAGCTGCCAGATGGCTGAAGTGTCATAATGTCAGTCTATTACTGAAGGCAGCAACGTTGGCGATTCTCCTTCGAGTCAAACTCCGACGTGGTCTCCAAAGCCGCACCCAACCTTGCAAGCCCCAGTCTTCTATATTCATAACGATATTCGCAAAGGATGTTCTGTTGAGTTCTGATCGAGATAGATCGACATGTGATTTAATGGAGCAAGCAAAGTTGGGCAAAATGCAACGAGCGTCGAGCAGAAGATGATTTCGGGGATTGGCGACGGCGCGTCTGGTAAGCTTGTTGTGCAAATTTATGACAACTACTTCAGGACCTGTCCTCTCTGCAACCATGACTTCGCTACACGATAGGGAACAAAATAAGGACCGCCTTTCGACGGCCATACGGAAATCATATCCATTGTGCTGTTGCTAACTCTGTAGGATACATTTCTGAAACCGATCGTCTACTTCGACTCCGTAGCGGCCCTCATTCGATCCTCGAACAGCTCTTTTCCAATTTTAATCGCATCCGTCAACCTTTCGTTTCGGAGCTTGCGGAACGCTTCCGACGTACGATATCCCTTCCACATCGTTTCATCCAACATCTCTCACCGCTCTTCTCCATATGGATGCTCTGGCGCGCCAGCATATCCCCAGGGTTTCGGCGTGTATGGTTGGACCCATGGGTTCATCACAGATGTGTCTGGATAGAGAGGTCCAGTGAAATGAACGAGACAAGGATCATGCAGCTGCCGTAGCTCAAGGGCATCACGGTCCACGGACGCGGCCTTTGCATAAGGTTCCCAATCCCTGTCCATTCCACCTGAGTGGCAGCTCGCAAATGTGCTCACGAAAGTGAACATTCAGCGCATCCTGATCCTTGTGTGCGAAATCCTGCATCCTCCAAGCGAATGCCTCTAACTCTCCAATTCGTGTACGGACTTGGGCCAAGTCTACGAGCAGGACACCAGCGTTGAAGTACGTGCATCTGCCTACTCCATCATGGCCCATTGGTAGCCCCACATCTCGCACTGCGCCCAAGCCCTTTCCATTCAGATCCACGTTCCACAGCTCCCTGACATCGGCCCTGATGAATGTGTCGGCATCTAGATATAAGGCGCGTTCGACGGGAAGGATTCGTATCAGATCGATCTTGGCCCAACCCATCCCCATGTCTGCAGCGAGGCCGTGTTCAGGAATGTCGAGGAAGACAACAGTGACATTATCGCGTTGGGGAAGAGAGAGCTGCAGATTTTGCTTCATTTCGACGGTCAGTCCACGATTCGCGATATAAACCGTGACCCTCCCTGGCGTATGCTTCACCAAGCTGCGAACGGACACTGCTGCAGGCATCAGATATGAGTGATCAATGGCATATGCAACATGGATCCTATAGCCCATCGCATCGCTCAGGCTGTCATCGTTGACCTTATCTTTCACCAGAAATTCAATGCCCATGTCCACTGTCTTCTGTAAAATTATCTGATATTGCTCCGGAGCAGATAGTATGCGATATTCGCCCTGGTGCAGCGACATAAGGGCATCGATTCCACGTTTTGGATGATGAATGCTGTCCTCCGGCTCCTTGGTCCAGTGATAGTCGTCGAAGACAAGGATAGCTCCTTTCCTCGCCAAACGCCATGCGAGCTCTCCGTCAAGAAGTGTATCGTCCGCCTCGTGGGACCCGTCGACATATATCCAATCGAATCCGGGCTCCGATGAGTTCATTTCTTTCTCAAGGAGCATCATGAGAGCGGGGAAGCTGAACTGGTCGAGAATACGGTATGTCTTCTTCGTCAGCGAGAGGTTGTGTGTGATTTTGCGGTACCTCTCGCACCCGCGTCAGTATGCTGCAGATCAAAGTGATCTATGCACACTAAGGTTCCGGTCTCTTTGCAGAGCTCATTGAGCAGGAATACAGCCGACCGCCCTTCCCAGGAGCCGATTTCAAGGGCTCGAGGTGCTTTGGAGGATACGAGAGAGAAGAGAGGCCTCCAGATAGCCATGTTAAAGGAGAACCAATCCTGTGATGGCGTAAACAAGGTATTCAGCGTTGTTCTACGTTGGTTTGTACAAGGCTGATCAATACCACGACACTGCGTCATAGATAAACACTCACTGGCATAGTGAGATTGTAGTAGCTCTCGATCCTCACCTGGCTGGGGTACTCGACTTAGTGACTGTGATGCAAGATGCAAGTACGTTACTGTTCGTTTTTGGTCGATGGTATTTATATCTCGTCTGTGTGCCTCTAGATGACAGGCGCTGTTTTGTACTATTGCCCACGAATGGACGTCTTCCATTCAAAACGGCTACGCAGCATTGAACTCGATCGTTTTTAGTCTATATGTGTAGCACAGCGCTCAGGATCGCGTGAGCGGCATGAAGGCAACATATTCATGGTATATCATGCATCTAATTTTGCTCACAATAGGCCTGTGCAGATATGCAGTCTCAAATCACATCCGGAACCAGTTTTGTGAGTGTTGAGTTGTACACCGAAAAATTGTTGACAGGGTGTCACGCCTGACGGTTTGCCATCCTTTGAGTCAAATTGAAATGGAATGCAAACAGTTTCATGGTCAAGCTTCTTTCACATTCTTGATTTCTATGGCATTGACCGGCTGCGACCACGCGCTAAGTAATATCTTGAAATAGAGGTGCTTCCTTGTGCATCGTGCCTGTCCCCAAGATTCGCAGGTTGAATTGCTCTGCTCTGCGCAGGACCGCAACGAACCAGGAGTGGGTTCATTTGTTGTGCGCAGGACCGCAGCCAGGAGCTGGAGACGAGTTCAATCGATGTCTCGATTGCCTCCCTTGGCGAGCTGCGCTGCGATTACCGTGCTGTTATATCAAGCAACTCTGGTCATCGCAGAAATCACCTCAGCATCTGACATGTCTTCTGACAAGAAACCTATCCTTATGGTCGCAGGTGGAAATGGTTTTATTGTGCGTTATATCTCATCTGAGGAGGGACACATTAATGACAATTATCTATAGGGCCCCCACGTTGCTCGTCGGCTTCACGCCGAAAGTTATTACGTGCGGATCGCTGATATTCATCCTATCTCTGCCTTTGCTCCAGAATCTATCAGCGCAGAAGTATTGGTCGGAAACCTTTGTGACATCGCATTCTGTCAAAAAGTGATCCGTGGCGCATATACCATATTTCATTTTGCTGCCGCTATGGGTGGCATGGGCACCATACATTCCACCAATGATTTCGTCATCTATTCTGAAAACCACACTATGACACAAAACCTTCTTGCCTCATCGGTGTCCGCCGGGGTCACTCGTTTTTTCTATGCATCATCTGCTTGTGTCTATCCCGAGCATTTACAAGACAGTAACGCTCTTGCTGCAGATGTCTCTCTTCGCGAGACTGACGTTTTTGCAAAGCCACCCCCCAAGCCTCAAGGACTCTATGGGCTTGAGAAACTCAATTCCGAGCTCCTCCTTCACCAGTACGAATCTTTCATCCAAATTCGCATCGCTCGTTTCCACAATATCTATGGGCCAAGAGGTGCTTGGCGGAATGGTCGAGAGAAGGTGCCAGCGGCATTAATTCGAAAGGTGCTTGCTGCAAACCTCCTAGGCTCATCTGCACCAACCTTGAAAATCTGGGGTGATGGGAAGCAACGTCGAAGCTTCTTGTATATCGACGACTGCGTCGATGCCATTTTACTCCTCATGTCAAGTCAGGATGACAATGCCGCTCAGCCAATCAATATCGGGTCAGACAGAGCAGTGACTATCAATGACCTGGCAGCGATCGCTCTGGAGATTATTGGTGTTCACAATGCTCAGATGGTGTACTTTTCTTCTCGGCCTACCGGTGTATCAGCTCGGAATTCCAACAACGAGGTCATTCAGGATCGTCTAGGGTGGCGCCCACGAGATGACAGGGGACTTGTGCAGGGAATGCGCCTTACAGCTGAAAGGATGTCATGCGAAATAGAGCGACTCCCGATTGGCCTCAGTCATGAGGATCGTTCTCGGTTTCTTCAGGGCTTGATGACGAGTCGCCTCGTGAACCTCCATGAAGAATGCATCACGTTTGCCATCCTATTGCCAATAACCTCTCGTGGAGGGACCAATCCCGAGGATTGTTTGACAGATCTGACCCGCTTTGCACAATCGCTCTCTAGAACTACCTGGCGCGACACGCATGCACTTGGAGGACTTTAATTTCGAGTCAGGATTTACCTTGCCATCGATGAGGATGATTCATTCCTGCTCGACGCCGAGAGAAACAGGGCTATGGATATTCTGATGGCAGGGAATTTTACAGATATCATAACATTGGTCTGCAACTTCCCACCCGGGCAGATCTGTGACCTATGGCGAGAATGTGCGAGACGAGCATGGCAAGATGGGTGCGATTACTTTGTCCTCATGGGTGACGATGTCGTTTTACAGGATGAAGGCTGGATGCGCGACAGCGTCCAAGAGTTTCGCGCGTTATCAGAACAAGAGTTCGTCCCACAGGGTTTTGGCTGCGTGGCTTTCACATATACGAGCTTCCCTGGAATGCCCACTTTTCTGATCATACACTGCAGGCACATGGATGCTTTCGGAGGAGAGGTTGTGCCTAAGTCATTTGTTAATCAAGATGGGGACCCTTTTCTGTATCAGCTTTATCGCCGATGGAACTGTTCCCGGATGTTCCAATGTCGAATCTATAATTCACTCGGTGGTAGTGGACCCGCAAGATACGAGAAGCAGCATTCACCGGACTGGACGTACGAGACTTTGACTGACGCTACCAAGGTGCTGCGTGACTGGCTCGAGATAGCCGCGCCAGCCGCCACACAGAAGCTTACCCTGGACATTGTTATTCCATCATTCCGAGTCCAGATTTCCCATCCTCACATCCACCTTCGAACTCAAACCATCCAACACCTGCATTGTCATGTTCATTGTCATCATTGATGACCCACTTTCCCCTGCAATCGGAGAGCTTGAGCACCGATTCGCACATCGTCCAGACGTTCGAATCCGTATCAATGAAGAGAATCTAGGAGCATCGGCGTCGCGCAACAGAGGAATCGCTGAATCTTCTGCCGAGTGGATCTATTCTCTCGACGATGACGTTTTGCCGAACTCATATCTACTTATCGAAGCCGAGAGGTCGATGCGCGCCCACCCAGATGCGGCAGGGTTTGTTGGTAACATGCAGTTTCCTGTTGCTGAAAGTGTCTTCACGACTGCCGTCCATCTTGCTGGTGTGACCTATTTCTGGGACATCGCAACCAAGATGGACGAAGATGTACCGTGGGGCGTCACGGCGAACCTCATCTATCGGCGCGACGTGAAGGACAATGTTCGATTCAGTCTCCAATTGCCGAAAACTGGAGGTGGAGAAGATATTGCTTTTTGTCGACAGAAGCGTGCTTACTCAGTCTCACATGGCGGAGAGGGTTTCCGAGCCGCCCCCAGGGTTATTGCTACCCACCCTTGGTGGAACAATGGTCAAAGGTCGTACTGGCGATTTTATGGGTGGTCAGGGAGATGGGGCTTTGGTATCCCTCTTTCCGCAACTGACTTATCTTGATCATGCACCGAACAGCGCTGAACTCTTCCTGATGAGCGCCATATTAATCGTGGGCGGAATGGCATCCACGATGAGCACGGGACGGAGTGTAGTGTTGAGATGTGGTTTCAAGATGGCTGCGGCGATTTTCCTGGGTAATATTGTCCATGACATATTCCGTCATCTCTGGAGGGACAGGAAACGCACGGAAGCGATTCACTCCTCGCTTGGGGGATTATGGTGGGCTTTGGCTGTGTTGGAGAGCTCGTTCATTCGGATGTTTAGTGAGGGAGGACAAGTGGTAGGGGCGATACAGAGGTTTGAATTGCGGTCTTTAGGAAGGAGGTTTGATTGGTTTGCGGGAAGGGGAGGAACTGGACCGATTGGGGAGGAGAGGATGAATTCGCGACAGAGGTTAGCACTGACTGTTGTTTTCTGGGCTGTCATGCATATGGCTACATACTAGAAGCAGTCATGGTTTGTTTCTCTTTCCATTATGGTCGTAGTGAGATGTGTTATGTACGAGTAATACCTATGTAGTATTTGCAGAGCTTCATGAAGTGTTCCCGGCGAGCGACGTTTTCTCTTGTTGCGACCAGCTACGAACCTATCTACTCTTTGAACTTCGCAACAATCACCAGAGATTTCATTCACCATATCACGCTAAACGGAGCTTTGTACAGTTACATATCACGGTTCACGCCTGGAAAATCATGTGGATAACGCTGGATATCCCTCTGACGTGTCTCCAGACGCACTGCCATCATGTAGTAGAGAACGTTCAGTATGTCCTGGTCGTGGTGGAGCTCTGCATTCCCCGGTGAGTGCCACCAACTCTCCAATTCATGAGCGGCGAATGAAAAGACATGTTCGATACTGCTCTGTGAGTGAAAAGGATGACAGAGCGAGGCCGAATCTGTAGAAGCTTCTGCTTAGCGGTACGCTGATCCTCGCCCCAGCACGGGAATTCATCTAATCAACGCACGAACATTTTATTTTTACAGTATTGTGCATAGCATTGATTACAATCGATTCCTGCGGCACCTGTTACATGCCAACATCTGACAACCCCGGCATCGCTGTGGTTGAGCGAGTCAGCTCATCATTTCATGGATATCAAGATTGAGTACTTACGAACAGATACTGGGGAAGAGTGTAAAAGCAGGACTCGCACTGCCCTCTACCATTGCGAAATGTCCATCCATTGTGGCCGCACTCATGATTATACCGCAAATCATCGACGGCATCGCGGATAAGTCTCTCGCGCCGTTCCGCAACGTGAGCTCGAATTTGAGGTTGAGGCTGAGGATCAATGCGCACAGCCGGTTCAGGAGCACGAACACCTCCAAGCATCCTGTCAACCCTCTGCTCTGCGGCAGCATAGAGCAGCCTCTCTTCCCACTGAGGACACGTGCACGTCTTCCATCGCGCTCGGCAGAGATAACAGAAATCTGCCTTGCAGAAGCAGGTGATATGATAACACCCCGTATTGAGTTCAATCAGCCTGCTGCACCCGGGGCACTGTGACCACCCAGACTCGCGGGCAAGGTCAAGGACAACACGGTCAGATGCGCTGGGATCGACAACGCAGATATGTGTACCGGTGCGATTGACCTGAGATTTGCACCGGCTGCAAGTGAGTGTGTCACATCCCGCTGCAGAGCACGGAAGCGCAACAGGAGCAGCTGCACCATTGCTGTGTTCTGCGCCAACAAAGCTGCTGCAATCCTGGCGAGCGCAGTACACGCGTTTCTGCGTCTCGAATTCGCGGGATTTCTGCACAAAGAGAGAGAGCAGGTCTTTGCCAAGATGTTCCCTGACCGAGAGGAGGGGGATGTTTTGATGACAACAGCGGGGTGGGTAGAGTGATTCGTCTCGTGTACAGGCGGCGAAGAGATCTGCTATGCAGCCTACATCATAGTCGTGCCCACACGGTGTGTGTATATTGACACCGTTGATAGGATCACGACATATGACACAGCTTGTATTCTTGGGTCTGTGTGGAGAGGATAGCTTTTGAGTGAAACAATGTAGTCAGAGATTTGGATGCTTCAGGGACGTACCGAGGCGGATCAGGCTTGGCCGTCTGCGGTACCTTGATCTCATCTGCCAGGAAAGATGTGCCATGTTCGTCTACATGAGTCTTCAACGCGAGCAGGTGATCGTTCTGGAAGCCGATGCACAGCTGCGCTTCCTCTGCGCAGAGCTCGAGCGCAAGTGCTGCATCCGACGCCGGCGCGCCTTCGCGGCCTTTTCCCTTCTGTTGTCCCTGAAGCTCCGCGATGTCTTCGAGGGCAAGTTGAGCGATTAGCGTCGACAGTTCCAACTCTTCCGCGTACAGATTCAATGCGAGCTGCGCATCCGTCAGTGGACCGTGCGCGGACTCCTGGTCAGGTTCACTGATGACCGATAGTCGATCTACCAGATCCGACAGAGCATTTGTATCCCTCTTAGCATGGGGCGATGCAACATGAGACGGTCCAGCAGCAGGCGGGGGAGACGAGATTGACATGGTGGGTTGGTGAGACAAGGAGGACGAGCGGGCGAGACTGCCTGAGTAGCATCGTTCCTTCTCAACCTAAAATACTCCGCTCCTGTCAGAGATCCGTTCTTTCCAAAGGAGTTAGAAGAGCAGAACAAACCTCTATCGATGTGGATGCGGGAATGTGCGGCAGAACTTCTCGATGCGCAGCAGTATGCAGGCTCGAATAACGGAATGCCAAATAGACGCATCTAGACAGGCCACAGCACCCGCACTCGGTTTTACGTAGCAAATCTACTTCAAAAGGGGTCTTTGAAGCTCGGCGACACACGTATATCTTGTGGAGCTGCTGGGAGGCACATGAAAAGGTTACACTGATAGATGTGGTAATAACATCCTCATCACTCTCTCACGCGCGGTAGAGGATGACTTGGAGGTGGGTCAATGGTCATGGCATCGCACAAACAAGAGTCGTGCCAGATTCGGGCTACCAGCTGCTAGCAGACAAGCTGTAGCACAATGAGCTTTCTTAAGTAGGTTAGCAAACGAGCAGCAGTGGGTATCATACCCAATCTTGCGGGCCGCGGTCATGCGGGTACACATCTCATCGATGAAGGACTTTTTGGGTCAACGAAGGTCTGGATGGAATGGAGAACGCGAGAATCAGCATGGCGATGGAATGAAGAATGCGAGTATGAACCGAGGAACCGAGTGGTGCCCATTGCGGCCAGCATGCCATCTAATTGATTCTAAATGGCTGAACTTGTGCGTTCTCCGTTTACTGTACTGTACTGTAATAGGTCGTGAGTGCGGATTTCAAGATGGGGCGGCGTTTGAATTGCAAAGGCCTCCGGCGCTTCGAATGCATTTCGCATCCACGACTCACAACCCGGCACGACAGCAGTACATACTGTATGTACTGAAAGTACATCTCTATCATTCTAATGAGAGCAACGGGTCACCAGACCCACCGCCATCATCGCTATGGTTTGCAATTAAATACAAGACATGATCCCTCCCCCACACCCGTGAGGAGAGCGTATATGTGCAAAGTAGGTACCACAACAGCCCAGTGACCGAAAAAAATAAAGAAACACTCGAACAAAAAGAGACAAAAGCGAGACACTGCGCGCGCATTGCGGGGCAAGTAAGCGTGATAGGGTACAGCGGAGCGGGGAGAGCGTGAGTGCGCGTGTAGCAGGGCGCGAGGGCGAAGGCGAGGGCGAGTGGGTGTGCGGATGGGATAGGGGGTGCGAAGAGTGCAGAGACGATCCGAGACGGCGCGTGCCGGCGGGCCGCACAAGAGCAGGACGTAGATAGCATGGTGATATATGAAGCACAGATAGAACACAGCAAAAGCATCGCAGACATTAGACGGAGGAGGCGACAGGGCCGCTCGACCCAACCTCGCCCGAACCAGACTCGCCAACTGCACCCCCATACGCGCGTGATTGGCCCCCGTCAGCGGCAGGATCGCAAGACGTGCCGCCGCTGCCGTCGCCGACCACAACGATGAGGGAGGGGGCAGAGCGGGGTCGGCGCTCACTTGCGCACGACCCAGACCTCGAGGCGGCCCTCGGGCTTGCCCTTGGCGCTCTCGCGCGCGGTCTCGATCGCGAGCTCATAGTCGCTCTCGTCGCGCAGCGAGACCTTGCCGCCGTCCTCGTCCTTGAACTTGAGCGCGAGCTCCCGCGGCGCGAGGTCGAACTTGTCGGCGACGCGCTGCACGAACTCAGCAAACGGCACCGTGGGGTCAAGCGCCATCCCGCGCACGTCGTCCTCAAAGTGGATCTGCAGGGCGAGGCGGGTACGAGCGTCAGCCGGCGTGTCCATAGATGCAACGCGGAGAGAAAAGGAAGAAGAGAACGAGCGGGACGCACCTTCACCCGGATCTTCGTCAGCTCAAACGGCTCGTCCCAGTCCCCGCTGCCAGTAACATATCCCTCCTCGTCCTCCTCATACATGCTCTGCGCCATCGTCCGCCGCGTGCCCCGTCGCCGGAGCGTCCCCGTGCGACTGCCCCCGAACGAGCTCGGCGCGCGCGACGGCGCTGGCGGCGGTGACGTTGCTGGGTTCGCGTTCGTGCGCGCCCACGCGGCGACGCGGTCTCCCTGCGCGGCCCCATTGCCGCTGCCGTTGCCATTGCTGTTGCCATTGCCATTGCCATTGCCATTGCCATTGCCGACGCCGTTACTGTTGCCCTGCGCCGGGGGGAGCGGCGGCGGCGGCGTGGGGTCCGCGTACGAGTCGATATACGAGTCGTAGAACTCCGTCATCCGCGCGCCGCCTCCCGATGGCGACTTCTTCGGCGGCGAGGGCGGCTGCTCTGGGGCCACGCCCCCGGTGGGGCTCATGCCCGGCTTGCGCACGCTCAGCCCGCGCGTCATCGGCGCGCCCATGCCGCCGCCGCCCGGGCCTCGCGCCGGCGTGATGTTCGTCGTGCTGCGTGCGAGTCCGCCACCACCGGCGCCGGCGCCCGGACCGCCGGGGGCGGCGCGGGGCGAGGTCGGCCGCTGGATGACGTTCAGGGTTGTTTTGGAGCGCTGGAGCGGGACGTCGTCGTCTTGTTCGATACGCGAGTGGCTGTTAATAGGGAGATAACATAGAAGAGATGGGCAGGACACGCACTGGGGGCTTTGGGCGCGGGGGTGGTGGCGCTCCGGTTGAGGGCGGGGGGGTCGAGGTAGGTGTTGCCGGGCGTGATACCCTGCTTGAGGCGGGTGACGCCGGTGAAGGTCGTGTAGGCTTCTGAGGAGTCTTCAGCGGCGACGAGTTTCTGGAGGCGCCATTGGGAGATGCGGGGGAGGATGAGGAGGGGGAGGGATATGTTCAGAAAGGGCATGCGAGTTGCGAGGGGGTGGAGGTAGAGCGAGGGAGGGGGGAGGGGATGAGGAGGAGAACAGGAACGTACGGCTTTGCCCAGGAAGTCGCGGGTCTTGGCATTCTTAAGCTTGTTCTCGGACGGGCGGTAGAGGACGCCGACGGGCTGGTGGGGGAGGGTGCATCAGCATTCGGCATCAAACGAACGCGCGGAAGCGCAGAAAGAAGAGAAGAGGAGTATGCAGCCTGGTCACAGGTGCTCCGTGTCCTCGTTTCCAGAGCGAAAGACGGACGAGATTAGGGACGGAGACGCACGATTGAAAAGACGGTGTAGCCCTCTCCGCGGTCGCGTATGGCCTCGTCGATGACGTTGTGCTCGTCCGTCGCCTTCTGCCGCGCGGCGTCCGTGAGCTCGGCCATTCCCTCTTGCAAGCGGCCGAGATATATCAGCGAGAGGCCTGGCGACGACGGATTTGGGTGCGGCAGGGGAGCAGGGGAGGGCGTGGGCAGATACGGCGGAAGCGTGAGAAGGTGAGATCGGGGAGAGAGGGAGCGGAAAGGGGAGGGAGGCGACAGACCTTTGTTGAAGAGGACTTCCGAGGAGAAGAGCGTGAAGGCGAGGCCGAGCTGGGTGTAGTTTCTGTTGAAGGGAGATGCGACGGGGCGCGGATCAGAACGAAGACGTTCAAGGGCGGATGGAGATGCGATGCAACGGGAGGCGGCCAGAGGCAAACAGGGAGAGGGCGAATCGGGAGGCAGAAGGGGTGGGGGGTGGGAGAAGGCAGATCAGGAACGCACATGGACTGGTTACCGCGAAGGTAGAGGAGGGCTTCTTCGAAATCTTTGGCGGCGAGGTCGTAGCGGCCGAGGAGAAAGTTGGACACGCCACATTGGAAGTATCTGAAGAGGGGTGAGATGGGAAGATCGAGCGATGATGGGTGTGGAGACGGCGGTGATGAACGAGGACGTACGCGACGGCGAGATACTGATCGAGGGCAGTTGCGGCGATGAACTGCTCTACGGCTGCCTCGTGCTCGCCGAGGGTCGCGTAGATGAGGCCCATGTTTGTAAGGATCTTTGAGGAGTCTCCGATGCGCTGAAAGGGGGCGAAACTGAGGGTGAAAGTGAGAGATTGAAGAGAGGGAGGCGTACGGAGAACATGTCGAGGCTGCGTTCGAAATCCTCGTCATCGTAGGCCTTGAGAGCGGCTGCCCAGGTCTCAAGCTCTGCTTTGAGGGACATGGTGCGGTCGTGTACGGGGGTGGTGGGTGGATGTGGGTATGTGCGGGGCAATGGGCGATGGGGCGTCTAGGGAGAGTGGGTGACGAGGGCTGCGGGAATGAGGCGTGCCTGACGCTGGGATCTATGAATAGCGAACAGATGCAAGAAAGGACGGTCCAGCGTTAGAAAGAGCGAAAGGGAAAGAAAGAGGGTGGGTGGAAGGTGGAAAGCGAAAGCAAAGACAAGAAGGAAGGAAGGAAGAAGGACAAGGGCGGACGTACTTGATCCCGGCACGGTTGCTACGCGGTATATAAGTGCGGGCGGGGATTGTGTGGGAGAGAGCAAGGGCGAGGGAGAGAGGATGAAGGACGTGATGGGCCGTCGCTGTTGTGCGCGCGCTGGGCGAGTCTGACACGGTGCTATAACTGATGGAGAGGCGCTGCCGTCCATTCCAGACGTGACTAGCCCCGTTCTGCGCTGTTTCCCTGGCGACTGCGCGATTCATTCTCCTTCCACAACTCCCAGCACGAGCGACCCGCTGCGGTCCTCTCCGTCCTCAAATACACGCTTCTTCCATACGCTATATCCCTGCTGCGCCCACGGCATCCCCTCGGCAGTCTGTCCTCCGCACACATAAGCGCCACCCGTCTCGCGATATCGATCCCGTCATCTTTGGCTAGCACGCGCCCCTCCGTCAGAGCACCTCTCTTCGTCACGAGCGATCTGTCTCCTCACCCCCCTTGGCAGACGTGCTGCTCTCTCTCCATTTTCTCCTTGTCCATCGCACACCTCCGTGCCCCACGCAAGTGCGCGATCAAACATGTCTTTGATTGATTGACCCCTGAAAGTCTGATTCATTATGGCAGTGGGCCCGACCTTGGCGCCCGCTGTCGAAATTATGTCTCTCTCTCTGCTGCCCAGAAAGGCCGATCCTCAGGCCACATCGGGCCTGTGTTCGCAAGCCCTCCTCGTCGTTGACGGTCGTGCGATGTGGGATCACGACGGCCTATCGTCGGCCGTCCATTCACCCGCTCCTCCTTTGTGTCGTAAGTCTCAGACACAGCGCCTTGGCTCTCGCTTGTGCTTGGTATCAGCTCGATTGATGGCCCCGGCACCGCTTTCAGTCCCCTCTCCCCTTGTGCCACCGCCTCTTGCTGTCCGGCCACGTCGTAGCTTCCTCTGTCGTCGCATCGCTGGTCTTCGGGCCCTTCACGGCTAACTAGCTTCCCACCCATCGTGTCGCGACGGCGCAACCATGCTCGATCTGAATTTTTGTTGCAGTATTTTATTGAATGTCCAGTGCCCATGAGGTTCAGTCAAGTTCCATAATTGTGCCCACACATAAGGTCTAGTGGGTTCCCCCATAAAGTCCCACAAGGTGCCCTATGAGGTCCCATAAGGTTTCAAGTGATTCTGTAAGGTCACATGAGGGACTGCTAGAGTGGCCAGTCCTTTGGCCTGATTTATGGTTCAAGCACTAGTACACTTAGTTTTGTTTCCAAAGCCTATGGGATAGTCGTGTTATGTGGCTTTTGTGGGATTAGCCAACAGCTAGTTGCTACTAGATCCTATCTCTTCCTCTTCTTATTAAGACTAGCCTCTTACCTATTGTGTTGCAATGGTGCAACTATGCTTAATCTAAAGTTTTTCTGAAGTTCTTAGTCCAATATCTAGTGTTTATAAAGTTTAGTTAAGTTCTATAATTGTGCCCATATATAAGATCTAGTGGGCTTCTTTATAAGGCTCTATAAGGTTTTCTATAAGGTTTCATGAGGTTATATGAGGCTCCACTATAATAGCCAGTTTTTTGGCCTGACCTATAGTTTAAGCACTAACACACTCAGCTTTGCTTTTTAACACCTATGGGACAGTAGTGTCATGTGGTTTTTGTTGGATTAGGTAACAGCTAGTTGCTATTGGGCCCATCTCTTCCCCTTCTTATTAAGATAGCTTTCTATCCATACTGTTGTGATAGTGCAATCATGCTTAATCTGAGTTCTTGTTGCAGTGCTTGGTCTGATATGCCTATGGAGTGCACTGACCATAAAGTCTAGTATTTATAAAGTCTAGTGCCTACAATATTCTATAAGGCCCTGCCTATAAGATTCCCCTATGAGGCTCTTTTATAAGATTTTGTAAGGTTCTATCTAAAAAATTCCCCTATCAGGTTTTTTTGCCAGATCCTGCCTATAAGGCTTTTCTATCAAGTTTCCCTATTAGGCTCCTTTATAAGATTCCCCTATAAGGTCTTGTTTATAAGGCTCCTTTATGAGGTCCCATTTATAAGATTCTTTTGTTGGGCTCTACTATTAGGCTCTCCTATTATATTTTTCTATAAGGTCTTGCCCATGAGGCTCTTTTATAAGGTACTAGAATACTATTTTAAGCCCCAATGGCTATTAAGCCATGGCCTGGTCTAATCGCTAGAGCTGCTAGGCATGCCAAAGTGTGGCTTGCTCTGCTTACTATATTTGTCATAAGTGCTTGCTTTACTTACATAGTTTCTTATATGGCCCAAGTGAGTATAGCTGTCACTCAAATATCACAATTTCCCATTATTATACTTTATTTAGAGGATTGCCCCTATAGTTATTAGACTTCATATGGCAAGAATGTCTCTCTTGGATATGTGATTATATTCTTCTTTAATGCTAGAGTATCTTGTTACTTTACAATACTGGAAGCAAGGTTATCATGCATATACAAGTAGCTATTTTACTAAACTAGCAAACAATTGTTTGTAAAAGGTCATGACACATTAAATTACTGTACTACTCTTAAATACAAATCTGTATTAAATGATCTACACTACTAACATAGACTGTTCTGTGTTCTCTCATTTGGTGTAAAAAAATATGTTTAGCATATGTTAATTAGGGCAGAATATTGATGATAAGACATAAAGGCAGGGAGCATAATGGAAACTAAGAACTGACCATAAATAAGCTGGGACCTAAAGAACCCCCCAAAAAATATTAGGAGGCTAGGTAGACATTTATTAAAAGTTGGCAAAATTGCTTAGATACAAAACTCCCAAAATTAGCCAAATTTTGCTAGATAAGTCCAGGCATATATAAGATCTGTAAAACTGCTTGGATTACCTTATCAGGCCTCAAAAAGGCAAAAAAAATTGCTAGACTAACCAGATCAGGCCTTTAAAGGCTAAAATTTTTACTAGGCTAGCTAGATTAGGCCTTTCAAATACTTAAAAATTGCCAGATTATGAATTTTTGGCTTTTCAAAAGGTTAGCTCAAAAAGCCATTTGCCAGGGAAATTATATAGTCTAGTATGTTATGTGCCGTAAGATATTTGGGTAGTAGTTACTGAATGATGGTGAGGCTTTCTTAAGAATAAGATTAATATGTGCCAAAGACTATAAAGGAAGTTCTGCATTGAGAAAATCAGCAATAGAGAGCTAATGGTCTTGAAAAAGACTAAGACATTCCAAAGAAACAATAATATTGGGCTTTTGGTTAAAAAAAAAGATAAGGTTAATAACTTTAGTATCTGATATTATGATTGCTAAATTGCTAAATAGCACTCAAAACTGGTTAGTGTCTACATATCTACTAGCAGCTTTTGTAGTTTAAATTTAAAAAGTACTCTACAAGATTCAAACTTGAGGGCCCTTATAAACTCACTAACAACTCTTAACTATTAATCACTATACTATCCCAACTCTAAATTCCTGGACTAGGATTAGGCATATTATCCAGCTACAACTATTTATAAAACAAATAAGTCAGGCCTTAGCATTATATAGGGCTATTTTTTCTTAGACTAGATTAGGCCTAAAGCTTAAAAATGCCAAAATTTTGCTGAATTGGCCACTTAGCCTTCCAATATATTTTTCAGGGCTCCTAGACCTAGATACACTTCAAACTTGACACACTTCTACCCCATAGTTTTTGGAATGGCTAGCTATAAAGAAGATTGTCTATTAGATTTGTGGATAATTGTGGATAAGTGAATAGTACACTTGTAAACTTATAGACTATTACATAATATAAACTTTGAAAATTGAGGATACTGGAGATAAACTTAGGCATAGCTAGTCTTTCTAAATTCTGCTACTCTGACAAGGGCTTTATTAGAGACTAGCTGGGCTTACTGAGGGTATTTTTGATAAAAACTTATTGCTTTAGAAGGTATTAAAGATATTTCACATTTTTTCTATTTCTATTCCTATTATGCTCTGTTTTTTTTATACCTTACTTGTAGTATATTCAAGGTTAGGTCTTATATTATACAGAAGAAGGATTTTTGAATCTATTATTTGTAGTAGTTATTTCTAGTGTAAACTGAGTTTACCTTTCCTCTTATATAGGCACTCTTTTTTATCAGATGAGTGTTATATATTTTTAACTAGCTTACTTGGATTCTTGTCAATACTATCTAAGACTTGATTATCCTTGGAACTTTGTTGATATGCTTATTCATTCTGGTATTCAATACTTTGTTAGAGAGCAATTTCTTAGAGGATATTGAGAGTTTATTTGTAAGTTGATAGACTTGTTAAGATTAGAGCTCTTACCTATCTCCTTTGATAACTCCATAATAGCATATGGCCTTGGTATTGCTATAAAGCACCAGTCTAACCTAATTAGTCTATAATTAGTATGTAATTGTTGTTTATCTGCTAGACTAATGTTTAGCTTTGTTTTGGCTTGGTCCCAAGGATTGGCAAAGAACAGATTTTGCTCATATGCAAAGATTGCCTCTGAGTTCTCATCCAATAAATAGGCTTGAAGCATTGCTGAGACATGCTTATCTAAAAGGCTTAAGCAGTGGCTAATGTGTGCTCACCCAAAAGGCTCAAAGCTGCTTAAACATACTCCTTAAAGGGATGAAAGCAGCTTCTGAATATTTTTACTCTATGAGAGATTCAATGGATTAGAATAGCTTTGAGAGGCCAAGATTCCCTATACACAGCTCTTTGCTAAGCAAAATAGTTTGATAAAACTAATAATAAGGAGCCTAGCAACCTAGTAATAGAGAAGATCCAGTGGTTTAACCTTATTAGAGATAGGAACCTTAATAAGATACCTATTAACTAAGTGATAACTAGGCTGGTAGCTGAGAGTACTCCCCTATTGTATATAGTAAAAAAGCCATATCACTAGATAGTTCTTAGTTTTAGAGCCAATATGTATAGTAGATGCACAAAATAAAACTGTATAATATAGACACTAGCTTATTGAATAACAAGCTAGATACTAGTATATAGAAGAAAATTGATCTCTCTTATATAATTGTGGCAGCTGGCACTATTAGAAATATAGCAGCTAGACCAGTGCCTCTCCAAGATAAGGGAAAGGCAGCTAATTTTTATAAGTATAGTGGGCTAGATATACTCTAGATCAAGATATGGGAAGTGACTACTCAAGAGCTAGATCTAAGGACAACCTATGCAATAGAATCAAAGCTCTTGACTATATAACCATATTGTGACTACATAAGGAATTAAATAATATTAGTACAAGTAAGGCATAAATTATTGGCTATTAAATATAAAGCATGCAGGGTTAAGGTATTGGGCCAAATAAGCTTCTGCCTATAAATAGATAACAAAGGCCAAAAGCACCTAATCTAAAAGAGGCTGATCTTATTCAAAAAACCAAGGCTTATAGTTATTACATAAAAGCAAATCATCTCAAAATAAACATGTATAGACTAGTTGGCATAACCAAGCCTTTTTGTTGCTTCGAAAAGGCAGCAACCTATATAAGGCTATGGGCATAGACCCAAACCCAAGTGATTCTAGCTTATCTAGCTTTAAGTCTAGCTCTAAGAGCAACTTATTAATAAGCTCTGAATTATTGAGAAAGGCAAGAAAGTGGGTTTGTAATAGGAACAAAAAAAAACAAGAAAAGAAAAAAGCCTAAACTCAAATTTGGTAGCAGCTCCTCTAATTCTGACTTATTTGACATGTTCTCTTTAGAATTTAATAGTATTCAATCCTTTGACTCTTAGAATATATAAGTAGCAAAGAAGCAAGCTTGTAATGGTATAGGAAAAAACATCTCTGATTGTGGTACTTACAAAATATCTTAAAGATAGATCCTTTGTTTGTCTACAATAGGAAACCTAGGGCAAATGTCTTTTAGAAATAGACCAGGAAGATATGCCTGTTTATTAAGTGCTTAGCTATGAAACCTTGAAAGGCTATTATGCTATTAGAAAAATATACCTCTGGTTAAGTATACAAATAGTTTAACTAAGAGGTAATATAAAAGAATAGAGATTCTCACTTACTAATTTCTCTAACAAAATGTTCAATTATCTATTTTTAGCTGACTTTTACTC